GCGACCAATCCGATCGATGAGGCGACCAAGGTCGTCACGTTCATAAATGGACTGAGAGATGGGCCTGTGAAGACCTATCTCTTCCGTGAGTACCCGAGTACTTTCGCAGCTGCAATTACCCTTGCAATGCAGGAGGAGTTTAGCCTGCGGCAGGCTAAGCTGCATGCACATGTGCCGAGGCCACAGCCACGCCCGGTAGTGAGGACGGGAGGCCCAGAACCCATTGACGTCTCGAGTGCTGCAACTGCTGGACTCCAGCAGTCGCAGGGAAACAATGTGCGATGCTACCGTTGCGGTAGAGTCGGTCACTTTGCTCGGGAGTGCACGGCCCCCGTGCACCAGCAGGGTGGCTATCGCGGCGGTGCCGGGCACCGTCGCAACCAAACAAAAAACGCTGGACGCCAGTAGGCGCGGGGGCGCCCTACTGGTAATGCAGTTCCGCGTGTCGACCTTGGACACGCGACACTGAGGACTGCAGCCCCCAGTGAGATTCATTCTCGCTGCAAGAACCAAGATGACAAGCCTGACCTTGTCATCCTGAACGTGAACTCGATGAGAGCAAGCAGCTCTCTCCGTGCTTTGGTAGATTCTGGCGCGTCGAAGAACTTTGTTCGACTGCGAAGTCTATCAAGGCTTGACTTCGAGGACTTAAAGATACCTCGAAGTATGTTGGAAGTACGACTGGCAACGGGTGCCGTCGTGAAGACCGAGAAGCGCATGGTACGCGTGCGTTTCACGTATGAAGATCAAGAGTTTGTCGAGACCTTTATCGTCCTGGATCTGGACGATAAGTTTGACATTGTATTGGGCATGCCGTGGCTTGCCCGGCATGATCCGGTCATCGATTAGGAGAAGCGCACTCTCGTGCGCTTCGGTCGCGACAGCGGAACAGTGAGCGATGGCCCTGTTGCCGCTACGCACGCACCGACAGGTGCGCGCGACTCCCCACTCGAGACAGCGCCTAATGCCACTGTCCCGGAGCGCCCTGGGCGCGCGCGTGTACGCGCGCAAGAGCTGCTAGCGTCGGCGTTGCCGCCGACAGCTAATGAAGGAAATGTGTTGACCTCGGAGGTCGACACCCGCTTTTCAGCGAATCAGGAAGAGTCTCCGGCCTCAAGGGGCACGGATGACGCAGGCGAGTCACACGCCTCAGCCGTGGAGGCTGACGCGAATCTGATTGGATCAGGTCTGGCCAATAATAAGAGCCAAGGCGACGTAACGCCGTCGACTCCGGCAGTCGATAGCTTGGACGAATTTGATTCGTCGGCTCGGGGAGCCGACGCACCCTCCGTAATGGAGGGCTCCGCCAATAACAGGCATCGAGATGAAGATGGCGTCGATGTGAAGATGGCGTGTCGGCTCCGGGAGCCGACGCTGCAGGCGGTCCGGACGGTTGCAAACGTCCCGCACCGGAAAAACTTGCATGCTGTCGTGCACCCGGGCTGCACGATGAAGCGCCGGGCGACCAAGCCGGGCTTGAAGTCGCTCGCCCGCGGGATGAACCCGCCGGCGGTACTGAAGAAGAACACCCGTCCACGGCTGGGCCTGGACGAGGTCAAGAGTCATGCGGAGCCGGACAAGAAGACGGCGCATGCGAAGATCGCTGCGCAAGTCTCGGCCCGGGGCCGAGACGCAACCAGAAATGTCTGCCGGGCAGACGGAGGCTGAGAAGCCGGACGTCGAGACGTTGAACGTCTTGACGCGTACCAGTGCCGGGTTCCGGTACAGGGAGATGACTCTCGCTAACCCTCCGACGCATGCGTCGGAGTTGACTTCGCTTCCAGTCATGAGCTGGAAGCGCTTCGCACGTGGCTTGCACGATTGACGCATCGAGCAGATATGCATTCTCTCGGACGCCGAGAGAACGAAGAGCGAGAATGAAGAACTGAGGCAGTTCTTCATGGAGAGCACCACTGAGAGCGAGGACACTCTCAGTGCGAAGACGAAGAAGGAGCGCTTTGAAAAGCAGAGCTGGGACTCGTTGAAGACGAGTCCCTACTACGAGATCTTACGGGAGTACGCGGACGTACTTCCGGAAGAGATTCCTGCGGAGCTTCCGCAGGACAAGGGAATCCAGCACGAGATTGATCTCGTGCCGGGCACGAAGTACTGTGTCACGCGGCAGTGGCCACTGCCGCGAGTGCAGGTCAAAGCGATCGACGACTTCTTCGAAAGTCGTCGCAAAGCTGGACAAGTGCGGGAATCGAAATCCCCGCACAGTGCTCCGACGTTCTGCGTCAAGAAGCCACAGGGCGGCTGGCGCATCGTTCATGCGTATAACAAGCTGAACGATGCGACGATACCGGCGCAGACACCGCTACCGCGAAAAGATGTCATCATCGATTCGATGGCCAGGAGCACTGTCTACAGTGCTCATGATCTGCGCGATGGATTCTATCAGATCCTCATGCGTGAGAGCGACATCCCTATCACGGCTGTGAGCACGCCGAGCGGCATGCTCTCGGAGTGGCTAGTGATGCCGCAGGGTCTGAAGAACGCTCCTGCGACCTTCAACAAGTACGTAACGCACTTGTTGCGCTCGGTGCGCGACTTCGCACCGAGCTACTTCGGCGATGTGTTCGTCCACAGCCGGGCTGCGGACGGGATGAGCAATGTTGAGATACACAAGGTGCATCTCCGGAAGCTGCTTGCGCTCATGCGCAAGCACAAGCGCTATGCGAACCTGAAGAAGTGCATCTTCGGGGCGAGCGAGATACCCGTGCTCGGGTGTCTCGTCAGGAAGAACGGTGTCCGCCCTGACCCTGAGAAGGTCAGAGTGATCAATGAGTGGCCGACGCCGTCGAACGTCAAGGAACTGCGGCAGTTCCTTGGTTTGGCCACATACTTGTGCAAGTACGTGAAGGACTACGCGGGCATGATACACCCACTGTCACAGCTCCTGAAGAAAGACGCCGAGTGGGTTTGTACTGCTGAGTGTCAGTAGGCCTTCGATGCAGTCAAGCGGGGCTTGACTGAGGCGCCGATCTTGGCGGCAGCCGACCAAGATCGCCCATTCCACGTTGTGTGTGACGCATCCGACTTTGCAATCGGATGTGTGTTGATGCAGCACGATCACGAGGGCCGTGATCGTGTATTACCAATCGCGTCAGCTGAAGCCAGCTGAGCGCAACTACCCGGTACATGGCAAGGAACTCCTTCCCATGAAGTACGCACTCGCGAAGTTCCGAGTGTATCTACTCGGAAGCAAACCGTTCGTGGTTTACACAGACCACGCGTCGCTGCGGACGGCTGTGAAGTTGCCGCACATCTCGCAACGGATGGTGAGATGGCTCTCATTCTTCGCAGAGTATAACTTCCGGGTTGAGTACAAACCCGGAAGACTCAATGTGGTGGCCTACGCGCTCTCGCGTCGCCTGACTACGCCACGACCGATGTCGACGTCAATGCCATTGACGCCATGCGATCGAGCACCCCGACGTCGTCACTGTTGGACGACGTGAAGGTCGCGTTCGCGCACGACGCGGACGCGAAGCTCTTGCTGGCCTACGGCTCAGCGCGTTCTGACAAAGCTCGTCAGAAGCTGCCGAAGCATCTTCGGGCTCGTGCACACCGTTATCGGGTGCACGGCGGGTTATTACTCTACAGTGCAGTCGACAACAACGCGGACCGCGTTGTCGTGCCCAATGACCATGACCAGCGACTCAGAATCATGTACGAGTATCACGATGCACCGACTGCGGGACATCCGGGCCGTGAGAAGACATACCTTCTTCTCACGCGAGACTTCTACTGAGCCCACCAGTATAAATGGGTGCGCAAGTACGTCCGTGCTTGCGAGGTTTGTCAACGTGTGAAGCCTGCGCCTTTCGCGCAGGCTCCCTTGCAGTCATTACCAACTCCACGGGAGTGTTGGCAGTCCATGTCTTTGGACTTCGTGTTCGGTCTTCCCCCGGACAGCCAGGGGAACACGGGCGTTGTGGTCTTTGTTGACCGCTTCAGCAAGATGGTACATCTTGCTGCGGTACCCGCTGAAGTGACTACGAAACAGACCACACGTCTGTTCGTTGACATGGTGTTCAAACACCATGGCATGCCGATCGACATTGTGTCGGATCGAGACCCGCGCTTCACTGCACACCTTTGGCAAGAAGTGTTTACACTTCTTGGGAGTCAATTTTCGATGTCGACTGCGGATCATCCGCCGACGGACGGGCAAACCGAGCGCGTGAACCGCGTGCTCGTAGACGTGCTTAAGAACTACGCTCACTCGTTCCAACACTGGAGCGAGTGCCTGCCGATGGTGGAGTTCGCCATCAACAACTCGGTGCATGCCTCGATCGGGCATACACCGTTCTACGTGAATGCCATCAGGCACCCACGCCTCCCGAGTCTACTCGGGATGGTGGCTCCTTCCTTAAGTGGGGGAGGATCTACGACTGCAACACAGCAGCCGCAGAATGCCGCTGACACTTGCACAGTGTCAGCCGCGACTACGCGAAAGAAGAACAAGAAGCACGCGTCTGTGCAGGACACAGACGCCGACAAGAGCAAGAAGAAGAAGAAGAAGAACGGGTCTGTGCAGGGAACAGACACCGCGAAGACGAACGCAGAGGCCGGGCCTACTGCTAGAAACGAGCTGAACGAGTTCAGCTCGGACGCAATCAACTTCGTGCAGCGCAGACAAGCCGTCATTCGGTTTGTCCAAGACGCTATCGCAGCTTCTGTCGACCGACAGAAGCTGAACGCAGACAATGTTGGTAGGGGCAACACTAATGAATTCAAGAAGGGTTCATTGGTTTTGTTAGCTACTCAAAACCTGCCTAAACATGCAGTTTCCGACTTCGGGGCGAGCAAGCTCGCTCCGCGCTTCATCGAGCCGTTCACGGTGTTGGCACGGCATGGCAACGCCTACACGCTAGATATTCCATCTAGCATGCGCCTCCAACCGACCTTTTACGTCGGGCGGCTGAAGCCATACCGGCAGCACGAGCCACCTAGCTCGGCTGGCCCGAAGCAGAAGCCCCAGCGGGAGCGAACCTCTACTCCAGCGCGTGAACGCGCTGGGCCAAGCGTGCGACGCGACCTCCCAAGTCGACAGAGATGTCCGACGCGGTCTGCGAGGCCTGAGCGACTTGAGCCCTCAGGATCGCCACCTTCTGCTTCAGAGCGGCGAACTCCCGGCTCTGATGCTGTTCCGCAGCAGCGATCCGCTCCTCGAGCGTCGGACCAAGGTCAACCCCAGGTTGACCATACCCGGGGCGTGTTCCCACCACCGCCGCCTCCGATCCACGACGCCCGCGGCTCAACACGCTGGATTGTTGAGCGTATTGTGAACCATAGTATCCCGAAAACGAACCGGCAGCCGGTTCGTTATCGTATTCGTTTGAGAGGGTTTCCGCCCCACCAAGATACATGGGAGTCACGGGACGTCCGGCTGCAGGACGTTCCAGAAATGGTGAGGGCGTACGAAGCTCACCACGCACTAGCGGCGCGAATGTAGCGCGAGCGCTGTAATTACCTGCAGCGCCCGAAGTTTCGCGATCATCGCGTTTCTCGCGTGCCAAGGACTTGGCACGGAGATCCCTGAGACTCGCCGGTACACGAATCGTCGTGTACCCGTTTAGGTCGCGGTCGCTCAAGCGCGCCGCACCCGGAAGACACAACGTGCACTGTTGGCCTTCGGGCACAGCGCATGGAATACCAACGTCCACAGAGGATATGTGGAGCTGCTCCAGCCGCCCGCGCGTCGAGAATGTCTCGAAGCGCTCACGGGCATACTAAACCCGCTCGCGGTAAGCAGCCGGTTTCTTGTTGAAGTTCTCAACAAAAGCATTCCAACTTTGACAAAGTGCCTGCCACTCAGGCACTTTGCTGCGAGAAGAGGTCTTCTTGCTGGAGAAGTTCCGAAGCTCGTGGAAGAGCCCGATGTAGTAGTCGCGCCTTTGATTCGTTAACGGATCACAGTGCTGCTCCTCCGCAACAGCATCGTCGTGGATACCGCTGCATACGTACAGCGGGATTTCGTTTGGAGGCACAGTGTTGCCCACACGGTCTGCGATCTCTGACGCAGACGGCATCCACGGATCGCGCGCTGCCTGAGTAGCGCGCGGAGAGCTTGAAGGCGCCACCTAATGCGGGGAGCTCAAAGCCCCAGCAGCAGAGAGCGGAGTGTCGCTCTCGCCGCGCGAACGCTTCGAGCTCGAAGCGTCCGAGTCGTCTCCTTCACGAGGGCGTTTCGACCCGGCATGCGGGTCGAGACTATCGCTGTCGATAGACTCCTTGCGCTTGCTAGAAGAGGCCTCGCCCTCTTCCATCTCCACGTCGTCGTCCTCGAAGTCAACGGCGTCGTTGACTACAGAAGAACCTTCGAGGACAATCTCTGGTTGAGTTGTCCCCGCCGCAGCCTTGGTAGCAAGAGCGTCACGCTTTGCTTTAAGACGCTCGCGGTACTCGGGGATAGAGAGAGTCTCTATCCCGGCGGAGGACTTCCCCTCTGCTGCAGCGTCGGTCTTCTTCTGAGGCGAGCTCATTGCGGAATGAGCTCGAGTTTTCTTTCTCCCAACGTGAAGAATTGACGAATGGTCAATTTCCTTATTGACGTGCCGTGACTCGGCGCATCTAACCTTGAGGGGGGATGGTGTAACAGGGTTACACGCACAAGTGGCTACAGTCACTTGTAACTCTAACAGACACGACGTCTGTTAGAGGTTTGAAAGACTTTCTCGACCTTGGTGTAGACACACCAAAGGCTACATACATTTAGGATCACCACGACGGGTGGTCCATAGAGACTTAGGATTCCTATTGGCTGAAAGCAGCATCTTTTAGCCAATGAGCGACATGCATAGCATTGGAATTCTGCCAACCAGCCGTTGGCAGATTCCTAGTTTAGAATATTACATTTAGAGGAAGTCAGAAACATAAAACAAAAATAGCAGTTCTCATTTTAACCCAAAAACATTATTTGGTTCGTTTATTTAGATTAATTTATACTCGGAGACCCGAGTATAATTAACTCTAATTTAAACTAAGCTACGCTTCCTCACATACACGCGCACACGTGTAAGCTAAAGTAGTGGGCCAAAGTAGGCCCATTACACCACTTATTCTTTGAGACCCTTGGGTGGGGGGGTCTATACACCAGTCAACTTCGGAGCCGTCACCCAAGGCACTGGCCAGCCCTGGATGCACACTCACTTACGCGCACCACCCTCACAGAATGAGGGAACAATACAAAATATAATTCAGTCCTATCACACAGTAGTCAATCAATTCGGTCTGGGGGGGTGACTACCTCAACCACCAAAGATACACAGTAGGGAATATGAAATGAATGCCCGGTTAGAGCACGCAAATAGAAAATAAAGCTCTCACAGGTCACTCCGGGGCGCGAAACCCCAGTCACTGCCGACTTTGCCTTGGTACCTTTGAGTCCCAACTACACCAGTGCTCGCTACACCAGTGAGGCCTTGGAAGCGTCCCTAAACTGGCTTAGACCTCGCGCAGGCAGTCTCCTGGAGCGCTCTTGAAGACGTCAAAGTCGGGGTGCTACTTCTGCCCCGAGCACAGATTCGTCCGCGTGTTCTTCGGCAAATTGGTTTCTGTTTACATCTTACGTTTGGCTAGCTATCTTCTATCACTTCGCTGACTTTAATGTAGGTTTCACTATGCTTCGCTTGTCTTGAGTATGCGTGTGCTTCTTGGCAGTTCTTCAGCATGTTTGTCTTGGTTTCGGTATGTGAAGACTTGTTGACGGCGAGACTTCTTCGGGTACACTCATCAGATGATGACAGAGGTACCTGGGTACACTGTCTCTTCGTCTTGGAACTGGACCTCTCCCTTGGATGTGCGGCTCATTCGGTGCCGCCCGTTGATCGTGGGGGATCTTGGTCACATCAGATCTGGTTCGACGCCGCTGTGCGAACCCACGCGGCGCACACTGGACTTGTTCTTGGTGGGTCGACATCCAGTGTGGGCACGGGGGCCGGACCGAATGAAACGATCCGGTCCGTCCCCATCCGGTGTGGCACTTCTCCATTCGGTACGCCATCACCGGGTACACCACGATCCGGTCCCGACAACACAAGGCTTCATCCAACATGGTCTTGTGTGCGTGTGATCATGTCTGGTGGGGCGATTCAGTGGGGTGGTCCGACAACTTGACTGAGCCAATGCAGGCAGTGGCCAGGATACGTTCGCTGGCCACACTTTCGCGCCTTGGGCCTATCCTGCAGTTAGGGAAGTCGGCGGACGGACAGGATGCGTGACTCCGCACCGAATATGAGCGCTCATCCGGTGAGCGCATCTCCAATCCTGTGAGCCCATGCTTGCTGCAAGTGCCGGGTTCCACCAAATCTCCACACACATCCACAATCCACACGTCACACTCGTCTCCACCGGATCTCCATCTCATGCGACCAATCACATCTCACCGAAGGGTCCACGTATCCATGGGGTCGGACATGGGTGCAGACAAAAATCTGTTTTCACATCGTGTCAACCGCCCCTCTGCTCAGGTTCTTTCACAGAGGATCTTGCCACCGAGGTGACAGGACATGACCAGACCCATATACAATGGCTCCCACTCCGAATGGAGGGTCGTACCGATTCGCAAAACCGTTGAGAGAGTATTTCCGAGAACGCATGTCATCCAACGTCCCATCTCCGTGCGGGTCTCCGCACATCACAATCCAACTGGCAGAAGCAGTCTGCCTCAAAACACAATCCATTCTCCATCGAGCGACTCATCAGTGCCATGGGCGAAGCGAACGACACGGCCGAGACGCCTGGTAGCAAGCCAGCGAGCCCGGCACAACTTCCGCTAGCTCCTCCACGGAGAGGCAGTGACGCGGGTGCCAACTTGGGCTCGGATGGAAGCGCCGGCGGCTCCGGCGACAAGCGTGCGTCCAGCGACGGCGTCAATCAACGCTGCAACTCCACCGAGAGGATGAGCAGCGGTGCCACGACGATCAGGCGCGCCGAGGGCGACAACAAGGGCGCCAACTTCGAGAGCGAGGACAATGAAGGTGGCCGGCAGTCTCCAGTGATTCAAGAAGGTCATGGGTTCGCCGAGCGCGTGCTCCGCAAGCAGCGCAGCATCTCCGGGCGCATCCTGTCCGCGCAGGAGGCCCTCGCCATGCCTGCAGGTGCAGGCCATCCGGCAGCGACCAACTTCGGTGCGCCAGCAGACAACCGGTCGCCGGCCGTGTGGGACCCACCTCCTGAGTACAAGCCGGACGGCGCATTCTGTATGGTCAATTCTGTATGGTCAGCGTCCCCGCGCGTCTGGAACACATCGGCGGCAACCGCTTTGTCCGCGACGGGTATGGCGGACAGGAAGTGCTGACGTCGATCGAGGGGCTCACTGCTACGGACCTGGCCGAACTGAATGAGCTGGTCGGCGAGCGTGAAGACGTCAACGAGTTCTTCGTTCGTCCCCTGGCCAGTTCGCCCAACCCGACCGAATTAGAGACCCTGCTCAATTCTCTCTCTGCGCGTCGCGAGATGGCATCCATTCTGTCCGTCTACGAGTGTCGTGACTTGGCTGCACGGGTATTCGGTATGACCACCATCATGCGGCGTATGCTCGTCAAGTACCGATTCATGCGGCACCAAGTTGAGACGCAGGGATCCGGTACGGCTGACATGCTGTTCGCCGCTCAGAAGGAGAACACACAGCTCCAGATCGCGTTGGGTCAGTTGGTCGGGCAGTGGCAGGTCATCACGGACCACCTCAAAGAGGAGAAGGAGAGAACCACAGAGCGTTACCGGGCGGACTTCAAGAAGTTGATGACCGAGCTCGAAAACGAGAAGCAGTCTCTGCGGGACCAAATCTCAGCTCTGGAGGCCAAGCTCGGTACGTCCAACGAGTGTGTCGAGTCTCTCGCGTCTCACGCCTTCGATGTGGACCGAATGATGAACTTCCTGAACCGCAACCAGACCAAAGGGACCGGAAACTGGCGTCGTCTGGAGGAGCTGTTCAAGCGCCACAAGCTTGGTACGACTCCGCCGTCCGAATGGCAGACACTGATCAACGTCACTTCGGCTGACGACATGTTCGCGGAGCCCGGTCCGTTCAGCTTTCGTCACGAGGCCGACACCGTAGAAAAAGACAACGGCGACGAGTCCGGACCGAATGGCGACTCCGGACCAAGTGGGGGTGCCAAATCAAGTGGCAGGCGCGTCTCCATTCTGGATCTCACCGGTGACTCCAGACCGAAGGAGCAGGCTTCTGCACAACCATCATCCGGTACAGCCAAGCGTCAACATGAGGTGCCGGACCAGGTGCAGTGGCGCCCTATTGCATGGGATGCATCAAGTGACGTTGCTCGCCCGGTCGGCAAGGAGTACCTGATTGACGAGAAGACTGCGTGCGCCTCCTTGGCCAACCTCCCGATCGTGTGGCGCAAACTCCGCACCGACGTCCAGTTGGTCATGCGCACCGGATTGACGTATCACGCTGCCATGAAACTGCTGGACCAGGATACCATGGCTCACAACATGTTTTTCCCGTTCGGGTTGTCCTGCATGTTGGTCCGGATGATGTTCTGGATCCGCTTGGACTCCACGTACTGGACGACGTACGTCCCGTAGATCTACTACCTGCACGCAGAGGCGATACTGGAACGGTGGGCCGATAACGAAGAGACACCGGAATACTGGCTGGGCCTGATCGACCACACTCAAGACGAAAGCGACTTGCTTCTCGGACCGGATGACGACGAGGGCGACAGCGAGAGTCGTGACGCCACGTGGGAACCCAGTGCGGAAGAGAAAGCCAAGATCGCTCGGGCCGAGGCCAGAGAGGATGAGCTACGTGCGCTGCCGGTGCTGTTACGGGATTCGTCAAGCACTCCAGATCCGGTGTCGCCTCTTCGCAGGTCCAAGCGTCGTACCAGTTCGATGTCGTCACAGTCGGATTCGGTGTCTAGTGCACCCTCGGCCAAGAAAAGGAGGAAGGCCCGACCGAGCGATGACCGCAAGAAGTCGCCCCTGGCCCGCACGGACATGGGCGACCTCACACCGGAAGAATTGATGGTGATCGAGAAGCCGGGTCCGAGCGTCACGTCTTGGGGTCACAAGGGGATCCTGACTACGTTCGCACCCAGTACGGTCAACGCTGTCAACCAGTCTCCCGGGTTCCCCGATTACGCACCAAACCACAATGGTGGTTCGAAACCTCTGAAGGCGCGGTTCCGACCCGACGAGTACGAGGTCATTCTGGATAGCAATCCCGGAGGGCGCATGTTCCGTCGACGCGTCGTGCCCCTTCTGTTTCACAAGCGCAGCGCGCTACCGGATAGCTATCTCGAGGTTCTGTCCGAGGTCGTGGCCTACATGAAGGAGGACGCGCTGACTTTCTGGCACGCAGGTCACTGGGTCACATTCGATGCGGACAGCGTGGAGGCCGCCAGGTCCCAAGTGGCACGCAAGAAACGTCATGACGCGGCCATCAAGGACTACAACAAGTTGATCGCCAAGCTGAAAGCGTCTGGATCGCCCAAGACCATCCTGTACGAATCAGGCATTTGGGTGTACCCCGCCAAGCTCTGTCACTGGATCCTGTTCGACCGGTCGGAGACAAACCTCGGCACCGAGCCATACACAATGATGGAGCAGTTGGCAATTCTGGACCGCGCGGAACCCGCCCGCTTCCAGTGGACCGGGGATGGTCCACCAACGACCTCGTCGCTGCTCGTCCTCATGAGATCCGAGACATGCTCCTGCCTCCAAACGAGCTGCGCGGCAACTGGGTCTCTGTCAAGCACCAAAACTAGTCGCGCATTTGGCGTCGCCATCTGCTAACTACATAGTTCCACATACTCCATGTTCATCACTCGTCCGGCTCCCAGCTGTCCTCAGGCAACAACGCCGCATCGAAATCGTCGTCGTCATCCAGTTCGAGCTCCACGGTAGATCGTTTCGGGAACAGCGCTCGAGGTTTAAGGCGACTGATGTGTACCCACGGGTTGACGCGGTATCCTGTGTCCTCAACCTTGAGCTTCACGCGGAAGTCGTCATGAACCTCGTCGATCCTGAACGGCCCGTGCCACATGTGAGCCAACTTGCGGCTCAATCCTGTCTGGACCTTGGGGATGTAAAGTCATACCGAATCTCCCTTCTCGAATCCGGCCTTCAATCGTTCGGAGAGTTCTTTCCACTTTCGTGTCTGCTCCTCAGATCGTGTCCGCTTCGCCTGCTTCTGAAGATCTTCGGCACATGCGATCGCATAGCTGTAGTCGCGCTGAAACTTTCGACGCCACTCGTATGTTGTACGCTCAGGCACACTGGATGGTTTCGGCCCTAGCATCGCCGACACCGTTCCTTGTGCGTCCCAACCGTGCACCAGATAGAATGGGGTATCCAGTCTGGTCGCGTCGAAGGAGGTATTCAGTGCGAACATCAGTCGTTCTGCATGGTCATCCCAGTCAGATTGGTCTGCTTCGGCAATGTAGGCGCGGACGCTCCGAATGGCGGTCTGGACAGACCGCTCCTGTTGGCCGTTCGCCTGAGGGCGATAGGCCAGGGTCGCGCGTTGACGGCTATCCAACAGCTCCCGGAAGCGAGTGAACACCTCACTCATGAAGCGAGGATCCTGATCGTGTCTGATCATCGACGACGCACCGAAATTCCGAAAGACTCGCTCTTGGTATGCCTCAGCCACATCCTGTGCCGTCGTAGACGACATGGGTTTACACATCACATAGCCCGAGAATGAATCTGGAACAACAACAGGAAAGTGTAACAACAACAGGAAAGTGGAACAACAACAGGAAAGTGTTTCCCCGTGCTGACATGGGCATATGCGTCACGAAATCCATAGACACCACTTCAAGTGGACGCCGAGGCTCGATGTTACCAGGCGACGGTCCAGGATTGGGAGGTCGCCCCTTTCCGCTTGCACAATCGACACACTCCTTCACAAAACGTTCGACGTCGGCGTACATACCGGGCCAATAGAACTCGGTCCGGAGTCGTTCGTGTGTGCGCGTGATGCCTTGGTGTCCACCTTGGAAATCCTCGTGAGCGTAGTGCAGCAGGTCGGCATACAGAGTCTGGGGCACCACCAGGCGAGGCTCATCCTGTACGTCCCGAGGTCGGTCCCGTGTGGAACGCGCGAGTCGGTACAGAACGCCCCTGGCGTCCAGCGCAAACAGGTCAGAGAGCTTCGCGATCTTCCGCAGTCGCCTGGGAGAGTATCGCTCCAGGTCTCCACTCAGATACGCTTTCACTTCTGCGATGAACTCATCCTGGTCCTGGTGCGCCTTAATTCGGCGCCACCGTTCGGCTTGGAACTCCAGCGGACCCAATGGCTCGCTGGATTCAGTCTGCTCCTGGGTTCTCGACCGGGTTAAGACCGCCATGACTCGGGCACAGTTGTGCAGTGGTGCTGACTCAGGATCCTGTTCGGCACTGTCCGGTGTCACCTCATCCGGTGTCGCTGCTGCCTCGGTCGCATCTCCATTCGGTACGTCTTGACCAGCTTCGGCTACATCCGGTGTCACAACTACCGGTTTCATCAGCTTCTCGTGGATCTTTGACACTCGCTGCAAGTGGGTTCGCTCCTCTTTATCCTGTACGGTCCACGTGGCGCCAAGCGCTAGTGTCTTGGAGGTTAGGCAATCCGCGGTTGAGTTGTACATACGCTTAGCGTGAACCAGTCGCAACGTACTGAATCGCCCCTCCAGAGTTTTGCATTGGGTCAAGTGTCGTTGCAGGTTGGGCTGGTTGCAATTGATCAGCCCTTGGGCCTGCTGTATCACGATGCGAGAGTCTCCAACCACAATCAGGTCCGTTATCCCACGGTCAAGTGCCATTGTCAACCCATTCAATAAGCCGTGATACTCCGCGTCGTTTACCGTGACATCGTTCAGAATGAAGCCTTGTGCCTCCAGTACGTCCCAACCGGGTAGGCTCCACAGAATGCATCCGCAGCTCCCTTGACGTGTCGATGTCTTCGCGGCTCCGTCGAAACTTAGCACGATCCCTTCAAAGTTGGCGTCCAGCATTTCCACACTGATAACCGGCGGCGGCTTGACGCGCCCCTTGGCTGGGATCAGCGACTCCGCAATCCGGTCCAGATGCTCCCAGGGGGTAATACCCGCACCAAGTATAGCAGCCAGACCGTCTTCGTCTCGCTGGATACGGCGAACCTCCAGATCCCACTGAGATAACGCGACGCCCCACGGCACACAGCGTCCATCCGCAGATTTGGACTGGATCACCCACTTGAGTACCGAATAACGGGTGTATACAATCAACGGACACCCCTCCAGGATCGTCCTGAACACATCCACCACTCTCATGACCGCAATGACTTCCTTCTCCGCGACGTGGTACCGAATCTCTGATTCATTCAGCACGCGCCCCGTGAAACGCACGGGCTGGATCAGTCCGTCATGCTCTTGTCCGAGGACCGCGTAGGCGGCCCACTTGTTTGCGTGCGGGATGATGATGAACGGCTCGGTCCGGTCCGGATGTCGGAGCAACGGGGTAGACACAATCTTCCGCTTCAGAATCTCGAACGCCTCCTTCGCCCTTGACAAGTCTCGACCGGCGCGCACCTGATCATCGCTCAGCTCGTACAGGACTGCGGCCACTACCGGAATATCCTCGATGAACTTGTGGTAGTCATTCAGACTGCCCAAGAAAGACTGAATGCCCTTCAAAGTAGACGGGAACGGCAGGTCCAGTACTCCCTTGACGATCTTCGGTGTCGCTCAGAGCCCTTCAGCACTGATCTCGTGTGATAAGTACGGAATCGAGCGCTTACCGAATTCGCTCTTCGGCAGGCTGACCGAAATGTTCCAGTACCCCAACCGGAAAAGTAGTGCATCTAGGTCGATACACAGTTGATCCCACGTAGGCTCCCCGTGCGCGATGTCATCGATGTACGAACTCCGTCCGAGGACAGGACCCATCTGCATCGGTGCCGGAATATTGCGCTGGAACACGGTCATCTGGTTCGTCAATGCAGGAAATTGTCGACCGGACAGGATCTCCTCGTCAGATTTGGTACCGCTCAGCGCGACATTGTCCTCTTGCGGCTTCAAGCCCAGATAATCCAGTACGTCCTGATCCACTTCGGCTTCCTCATCGGGCGGCAACCGGACAAAACCCCACAAGCAATTGTTGAGCATCTGCTGGTAGACCAAATGAGCATTCTTCAGACCGAATGACATGCGTCGCCACTGGTAGTGACCGAAAGGCGACACGAACGCCGAAATGAGATTGGCTCGCTCCGTCATCCTGATCGCCCAGAAGTCACTGGCCATGTCTAGGCTCATGAACCACATCGCACTCTCGAAACCGATCAGAAGGTCATCGATGAGCGGGAGTGGGTATGGATGAAGCCATTCACAAGTCGATAATCGATGCACATCCGAATGTCGACTGCAGTTATCTTCAGCATGATCACAATTGGTGAAGCCCAGGGTGATGTGGACGTCTCGATCAATCCGGTCTCCAGCAACTTCTTCAGCAACTCATACACCTTCATCGCGAGATGCGGTGCGACCGAGCGAGCTCTCTGTGCGACCGGCTTGGCATTGCCCACATCCAGATCGCAAACGACTCCACGAGCTGGGGCAGGCGCTGCATTGCCGTCGCCTAAGAAGATTCGCCGGTGGTACTTCAGAATGCCACGCAACCGGTGTTCATCATCCGGTCTGCTCACACCAGGTTCACCAACATCTGTTTTGTCAATGTCACATTCGGGGCTCAGATCCTGTACCTCCGGGAGAAGCGCTAGCTGATCCCGTAACTGCGACAACAGATCGCTCCCTTCGTGGATGTACACGGCAGGCTCAAAGTCCAGTTCTTCAGCATTCAGTCGCATAACCCGTTCGTACTCCATCTTGAGCTTCTGGACGAGAGTGCCGGACAGAATCTGGGAAGCTAAGTCGGACACATCTTCCGCGGTCTCATCCGGTTCGTCTCCCGACACTTCGTGTTCATCCGGTGCGACCGCGTCGAAAAAAGTGTCTTCATCTTCGTCCAGTGTAGCACTCTCATCCTGTGCGACCACGTTAAAGAACTCGTCGTCATCATCCGATTCGGTATCATCGAAGGAGATTTCATCGCCGTTCTGACTGGCGGCTGGTCCCGGTATGTTGACTGACTCGACTTCGCTGGTCGGAGGTGTTAGGCGTTTGAATGACTCCTCTTCCTCAACCAGGTCTTGCAGGACCGGACCTTCAGGCAGTTCCACGATCTTGTCCGACTTGACTGCTGGATTTTGTAACACCGCTGTGGAACACGTCACGTCCTTCTTTCCGTCCGGATGCATCATCAATTTGGTCGGCCAGGTGTACTTCGCAGGTTCCACGGCGGGCGGTTCGCGATCCCAGAGTGCTTGCAGGCGACGCTGCTCTCGCAACTTGCCCTGTTTCGACAAAGTGTTCTCATAAATCAGCACCTGCCATTCCTTGTACGCCCTCGATCCCGGACGGACAAAACGCACCACTGATGGGAAAAATCCATACTCCACAATGTAGGTCAACGTCGTTCCGGCCGTTATCCAGAGGTTGTACTCCGAGATGTTCACCACCTTGACCGCCTCGGGCCAGGACTTCGCTCCGTACACGATCTTGGTCACCCATCGGTCGCCACGTCCGGCCCACACCACTTCGCGTTGCGGGTTGGCTTGGCCGAACCGAATGCGCACGACAGAGGTCGGAGGTACAGGGTCTCCGGCGCTTGGACCGGCAACCTCATCCCTTGCCGACGCTGCACCTTGTCTCCGTACATGAGAACAGGCTCTTCATCCGGTAGCTGCAGAAGTCCCTCGCGGATGCATAACCGAACTCCAGCACAGAACATAAAGTTCATACCCAATAATACGTCCACACCTTCACCGATATTCGCGACCCAGACATCCATGACATAGACCACTCTCGCACCGAGCGTGATCTTGATTTGGGTGCTGGCAGAGATGTAGGTGGGTTTGCCACCCAGTCCGGACACCTTGATCTGTTTGTGTCGGTTGAGCTTGATCTTGAGTCTACGCGCAAGATCCAAACTGATCATACTCACCGACGCTCACACAAGTTGCGCCGAAGCACAGGTTCCTACGCTAGCTGGTTCTGCGGCTCGAGGGTGGCCGGCCAGGAGCACGAGGAGTAACAACGAAGGTAGCGAAAGTGACGGACAGTGCATATGAGGACGACGCATCAAGTAGGGTGGCGGGATCCGTGGGGAGGGGCCACGGGGGCGCAGAGTACAGTGCAGTCAGTACTCTGGCCGTGAGAGATAACGTCTCCGAACGTCGGGTTCGTTCGATGGCAGTGACGGACGTTGTCTCGCCCACTTGCATGTCCGGCGGGAGCCGCCTGGGGCTTGCCGGAAGCCCAAGGTGTCCATGTAGCTCCCTCCCAGCCGTCTCTATTCCCGAGACCCGCCGTGTCGTTGACGGGTCAGCCGGCAGCTGTCTGATCGTCGTAAGCCTCGCACTTGTTGGCAGTCGGCGTTGAACCGTTGACCTAGGTGTGGACGTGGTGACTAGTGTGCTCTCATGCAGGAAATGGGAATTGGGCTTCGGGTTAAGCCGAGTAAACTACAGTGCTATGGAAATTCCTCGCCAATTTTCAGAGTGAAATCATCGCTCCTTCAAGACCCTCTCCGTAGTGACCATGCGGTCTGTTAGGGGCATTGCGTGTTAAATGTAGGTATCTTAGCGCCGCTGAGAACTGTGAATACCCCGGACGACCAGTCCAGATACCCCGAATATTATACACCCCTTCTCTTGAATTTGTTACGGAGCCTGGAACAGGCGCTGGACTCTTGGTTCCATCCTTGTCAACCGTACCAAAATCATCCTTCGCGGAGCAGTAGGGTGATCTTGCTGTTTAGAACATGCAATTTGCCGTTCTGAAGTTAATAAGGTGTAGCTATCCCTTGTTGATTCACAACAAGTCTATTGCATTCAATTAGTAGAGTTTTTGGAGCTCTCGCAGAGCGGCCAGGCTCTTCTCCGCTGCGTGCAAGTCGGTCTGCAGCTGCGTGAGGCGCTGCGCGTCCTGAGATTGAACGGATTCAGGAACCTTGCTGGCGTAGTGGGGTCCCTGTTGGCGGCGAATGAGTGCTTCTGCAGCGGAAGCACTCTTTGAGGCACGTTTTTCTAGCCGGTAGATCTCGCTAGCTACACGCTGCGTCGTTTCAGCGTCGTCCGGCACTGCTAACAACACTACAGATCACGGAGACAGCAGGTAAGATATCGATTAAGCTCACAAGAACTGCTCATAGCCGGGAACAAACCTCGACAGGAGTCGGACACGGAGTGCGTCAGCACGTGTGAAGACGAGAGCAAGGAAGAACCCTCAGCGGCAGCTTTGATATCCACGTTCACACGGCACTGAGTCTCAAGGTCAGGCCGCGCATCCTTCAATTCGGAGTGCACAGTTGCGTTCGAGCACATAATGTGAATAGTAGGGAGCTCACTGTACACACAATCACAACTGTTACAAGAAGTATATAGCAACAAAAAGAGCGATTGGCCAGCTTACTTGTCACCAGCAGGAGTCGCATTCGGGGCCAGCACCTTGACGGTGTGACGAAGCGACCGGATCCCATGAATCACATCGATGACAAGCTAAAGGCGAGTAATAGGATAAATCAGGAAGTTGAAGCAATCAAAACGACAGCAAACAAACACTTACCGCCATCCTCTCTTCCGCATTCGGATCAACCCAAGAGCTCATGTGGACTTCTTCCGGGAACTCAGAGCACAAGATTGAAGTCTCCACTCCCTGCTCGCTTGATGACGCAGCTAGTGGGTCAGCATCGCGGATACGCTGCCACAGCTCTTCCGTGACAAACGGAGTAAACGGATGCAGCAGACGCATCGAGTAGTCTAGACACCGGTGCAACGTGGCTTGAGCGCTACGCTTCCGTGCATGCTGCTCGTCTACGTCAACGTTTTCCTCTAAGCGGTTACCGTACAGCACAGGCTTGCTGAATTCAATGTAGACGTCACACAGCTCCTGCACGAAGAACCGTTGAATGGCAGCAACACTGGTCGCAAGCTGGTTGGCAGCGATTCCTCTGTTCACTTCCGACACTACACCAGCCTGTTACAGTATACAAATGACACTGTGAGTGCGCGAATCTTCGTGAGCAAGCACTGCTTTCACTTACCAATCGACTCATAATCCACCGGTCTGCAAGAGTCATGTCATCACGCAAATGCAGGAGGTCTACGCACTCGTCCGCAGCAACACTTGCATCCGCCTCCAGCAACGGTAAAGCGTAGCGAACAGCATTCCACACCTTGTTGCAGAAGTGACGATATGACACGACACGCTGCACGTCCATGTTGATCTGCCGGCCTTGCTGCAGATACGAGGCCAGCGTGAAACGCAACGCATCAGCGCCACAGGTTGGGATGCCCTTCGGAAATTCCTTCTTCAGCTCTTTCTCTGCCTTCTTCAGCTCGCGCGGACCAACATTTCCGCCCTGATCAATAACAAAACATCGTCAGATGATCTAGCACGTTAACAGACTGATTTAGGTCACTTTTGAGGCTTACCTGCAAGTCCGTAAGTAGCTGCTCCAGGCTGATGCCATTAATTACATGCAGTGGGTCGATGACGTTTCCTAGGCTTTTTGACATCTTCCGTCCTGTTTTGTCGCGCACCATAGGGTGCAACAGCACCTTCTCGAATGGTACGCGCCCGGAGAACTGCACAGGAAAGAAACATATCGCATCACGTGGGCACACCTGCGCGTTAGATCAACTCGGCACGATTTGAGAAAGATATTACTCGAACCTCTTCACAGAGCATGGCCATTCGTGCAACCCAGAAGAACAGGATATCGGATCCGGTCTCCATTACATCCAGCGGGTAGCTAGAATTTAGATCCGTCGTGACGGCAGCGTCATTACTTGCATTGGGCCATCCCTATCAGCACGGAGTAACATGTTAGTTGTGCAGATCAACTCGCGACTAGTAGACCACTAGAGCAACTTACAAAAGCCGACAGAGGAAGCAGGCCCGAGCTAAACCATGTGTCGAGTACGTCCATATCTTGTTCGAGGTCATCATCTTGTAGTTTGCATCCAAGTTCAGCCTCAGCCTTCTGTCGAGCCTCCTCGAGAGATGACGCAACAAACCACTTGTCACTCGCTTCAGACACGCTTGCGCTGCCAGGTTTCAGACGGTACGCCGGGATACGGTGGCCCCACCAGAGCTGGCGGCTGACGCACCAGTCCTGGATATTGTCCAAGAAGAAAAACCATGTGTGTGCGTGTGACTTTGGCTCAATAGCCATCACTCCGTTGCGGACGTTGTCCGCAGCGCGCTTGGCCATGGCACTGCAGTCCACGTACCACTGCGGCATTAGCAACGGCTCGATGACGTCTCCTGAGCGTGAGCAGATCGATAAAGCAGTCGGGTGGTCGAGCTACAGTATCAAAATGCACTGATGTCAATCGAAAGAGATGTGATCAGCAACGGCATATTCCAACGCACCTTGTCAACGTAAAGATCCATTGCCTGCAGCTCCTCGACGACACGTTGGCGCGCGTCAAACCTGTCCATCCCAATAAACCGTTCATCAATGTTGCCGCACAGGTTTCCGTGCTTGTTCATCACTTCAACTTCCGGCAAATCATGGCGACGACCGCACTCGAAGTCCTTCGGGTCGTGAGCCGGCGTGACCTTAACCACACCTGATCACCGAAACCAGCACCACACAACCGTTAGACCTAAAGGCGCTTCAGTAAACAATAGCTATCAAACCCGAGTGTCGTACCAGTGCCGAGCTCCATGTTCACCAACACATCATCCGTGACAATCGGGATGCGTTCCTTGGAGAATGGGTGCACCACGAATCTCCCATGAAACTCCTTGTACCTTGGGTCTTCCGGGTGCACGGCAACAGCAACATCTCCAAAAATCGTTTCCGGTCGTGTGGTGTCCACCTCCAAGAACTCGCCGGAATCCGAGTCCGCAATTTGGTATTTGAACCTGTGCATGACGCCAAACTCCACCGCCTTCTCCCTTCCAGGCAGCATCTTCTTCGTGGGCTTCTCCAGCTGCTCCAGATCCACTTCAATGTCCGAAATGGCAGTCTGCAACGTCGGGCACCAGTTGACCATCCGCCGTCGTCTGTAGACCAGCCCCTTCTCATGGAGCTTCACGAAGGCGTCCACCACAGCCCTCGACCTCTGCTCGTCCAGCGTGAAATACGGTTGGTCCTTCTTCACAATGGCTCCAAGATGGTCGATCTGGCTCATGATCCGGCCCCCGTACTGCTCGTTCCAGGCCCACACCTGTTGCACGAAGGCCTCCCGTCCCAGGTCGTGGCGGGACAGGCCCTTCTCCTTGAGCAGCTTGCGCTCCACGACGCTCTGCGTGGCGATGCCCGCGTGGTCCAGACCCGGCAGCCAGCGTACGTCGAAGCCGCGCATGCGGTGCCAGCGCGCGATGGCGTCCTGGATGGTCACGGTCAGCGCGTGGCCAAGGTGCAGCGCGCCCGTGACGTTGGGCGGCGGCAGGATCATGCTGAAGACCTTATCAGAGGGCGATGCAGCCTTGCTCTCCAACTGTGCGCTTGGGCGCAATGCCTGCTGCCAGTGTTCCTGCCATCCTTGCTCTACAACCGTCGGGTCGTAGGTCGGAGCCAAGGGCGCCGTCTTCACGCGCTCCCGCAGCTCGCTGGACAGAGGAATGGACGGAGTTGAACACGCCGATAGAAAGGAGGAGGAGTGCAGCGTCGGACGCGTCCCCAGACAGCGCGAGAGGCTCCCCGTAGGGCGCAGCAGACGCCCCGAAGTCACACCCTTGAGGCAGCCGCGCCGCGCCAGCATGTTGCTCTTTTGATATGCGGCTACGATGGATTCGTGTGCGCCACACATGGATACACTGCAGTATGGGTACCTTTTTGTTGTGCTCCACATATGGCTACAGTTTTCATTTCAGCCAACCACTATCATAAAACATGTCGGTGCTGGTGGAGACGACGGTGGGGGCGCTGGTGCTCGACCTGTACGTGGACGAGTGCCCCCGGGCGTGCACCAACTTCCTCAAGCTCTGCAAGACCAAGTACTACCACGGCTGCCTCTTCTTCAATGTGCAGGAGAACTTCATGGTGCAGGCGGGGGACCCAACGGCCACGGGAGGGGGCGGGGACTCCATCTACGGCCAGCTCTACGGCGCGCAGGCCCGGTTCTTCGAGGACGAGCTGCCCAAAGCTCGAGGGAAGACCCACGAGGCCCGTAGTGGGCTTCTAGGTATGGCCTCGGGATCGGCCAACCAGAACGCGTCTCAGTTCTACATTACCACCCGCGCCGAGGACATGGCGTATCTGGACGAGCAGCATACCATTTTTGGCGAGGTGGCCGAGGGCATGGACGTTCTTGCCACAATTAACTCGTTATTTGTGGACAATGACTACCGGCCCTACCAGGACGTGCGTATCAAGCACACGTACGTACTGGATGACCCGTTGCCGGACCCGAAAGGGCTGGAGGAGCTCATCCCTCCGTCGTCCCCCACGCGAGAGAGACCCGAGCAGGAACAGGTGGAGCCGAGACTGGCGGCCGACGAGAAGCTGGACGAGAATGAAGGCAGGACCGAGCAGGAGATCGAGAAGGCCGTGCGCGAGAAGGAGGCCAAGTCCCGCGCCGTGGTGCTGGAGATGATCGGTGACCTGCCGGACGCAGACGTCAAACCTCCAGAGGAAGTGCTCTTTGTGTGCAAGTTGAACCCCGTGACGGAGAGCGCAGATCTGGATATGGCTTTTTGCAGGTTTGGGCCGTGCAAGGCGGAGGTGATCCGAGACCAGAAGACGGGCGACTCGCTGTGCTTCGCGTTCGTGGAGTTCATGGACCGCCGTCACTGCGAGGAAGCGTACTTTAAGATGAACAACGTGCTGCTCGATGACCGTCGAATCAAGGTGGACTTCAGTCAGTCGGTGTCCAAGCTGTGGAACAAGGTCAAGCGACGTCCGTGGGAGAAGACGAGCAAGCGTGATGGCGATGCGTACTCGAAGGAAAGGAAAAGTGGCGGTGGCAGTGGGCGACGGGAGTTGGGCGGCAATCTGCGGTTGAAGTCACGAGGTAACGACGACTTTAAGCTCGTGGAGGAAGAGGAAGTTGCATCCGGTTCAAGACGCCGACGTAGCCGCAGTCCAGCTCGTGAGAAGCGCAAACGCAGTCGCAGTCGCAGTCGCAGTCGTACCCGTGCTCGTGCTCGTGAAGAGCGCCGCCACAGCCGTGATCGCAAGGAGCGAGGACGATCCTCACCACGCGACAAAGATTCGTCGCGATCGAGGCGGGAGCGTGAGAGAAGCCGCAGTAGAGACCGCGAACGTGGCCGGCGTCACAGAAGCCGAAGCCGTAGTCGGGATCGTGGAACGAGGTCAAGGCGTTGAGTTTTGACGTGAAGTTGGAAGCATTTTGTAGCAGCTGCATCGGATCTCATGGCAGATACTGGACTTAAGGTAACGCAAATTCCAATGCCTTATAGCACAGGCTGTATGTGAGATCTCGTGTAGGAAAGGAATGGCAGAACAAAACCCATGCGTTCACCACGGCAAGAACATGAACTTCCATTGAAAAATTGGTAAACTTTCCATTTCATAAAGTAAATTTAACTTTTTTCTTGTTGAAATAAACAACTTCCATAGTAAAGTTCCAAAACGCGTCAAGCTTCAATTTGCCTGATACGGAGAAAATGGCGCTCGCCCTCGCGCCGCTGCCGGCGGCGTGCGACGCCTTCCCGTTCGTGGCGAACATGACGCTGGGTCCTCTAGGCATCGACTACGTGCACATGCACTACTGCTCGCTCTCCGACCTCCCTCTGCTCTCCTTCTCCCTGCTGTTCCTGTGGCTCGCCGCTCTCTTCTACTTCCGTGCGTCTCCACCATCTCATCTCCTAGAAAAAATATAGTTATCGTGATATTATCCCTATTTTTAACTAAGTTTATCCATCCCTTTGTTTCTCTCCAGTGGGAAGCACGGCCGACGGGTACTTTTCCCCCACGCTGGCAAGTCTCAGCGACCGCCTGCGGGTTCCTCACGACGTGGCGGGCGTCACCTTCCTGGCCTTTGGGAACGGAGCTCCCGACGTCTTCTCGGCCATCGCTGCGTACAGCTCCGGAGTGGGGGAGACGGGGGTCAACGAGCTGCTGGGAGGAGCTATGTTCGTGTCCACCGTGGTGGTAGGCGGCGTGGCTGTGGCTAGTGCTGTCAAGGTGCAGCGCTGGGCCTTCGTGCGAGATGTGGGGGCGCTGATCGCCTCGCTGCTGCTGTTTCTGCTGCTGGCTTTGAGCAGCAGTGAGAGAGATGTCGGGGATACAGCGGTGGCTGCTCTGATGTTTCTAGTGATGTACGGTATCTACGTGGGCAGTGTGGTTTTCCCAGCGTGTGTGGCAAGGTACAGAGCAGCTGAAGACGACGTTCGTGATGCAAACCTGGCGGGCAAGGCGTCGCTGATGATTTCCGCGTTTTGGCACGCATTGTCACCGAGAGGCAAGGATGCTAAGAGAGTGAAGCGACAGGGACACAATTACGCGTTTATCACGAGGTCGGAAGCTGGGGTACCTAGTGAGAAAGAGGGCGGTGAATCGCGTGAAAGTAGTGATGGGAAATCAGTGGGGGCCACGGAGCTTGAGATGTCTTCGCCGCATGAATTGGTCGGACCAAGATTTTCGAGCCGAGTGTTTGATGATCATTTCGACGTCGACGAGGAAGATTCGCTGTCGTCACCACTGATTGCCGATGGTGAGCGTGATGTGGACGAAGATGACGAACGCGCGAATCCTGAATGGCAGCAGCACCTTCGCTGGAGATGGCGGCTCAAGAGACGTGTCATCCGAGTATTCTCAACCAACGAACCAATCCTGATGAAGGTTCTTTACATTCCACAAGCGACTCTTGTGCTCTTTAGGGATGTTACGGTGCCGCTGTTCGACGATGAATCCTGGTCGCGTCCCAAGGCATGTCTTTCCCCTATAACTGTCCCGATATTGGTTGCGCTCACGAGTGGATATGCGGGTTTCGACGTCTGCGGTGGTAGATTACCATATCAAGTGCCGTTGTGGCAAGCCCTTGCGCTCGCCGGTGGTTGTGTGAGCGGCATTCTCTCGTTCTTCACCCACCGGTCACACGCGCCACGGTCTCTAAAAGCTTCAAGCCTGTTACTCTCCCTGGCTTTTATTGCATGTGTGTGTTGGATCTACGCTGTGGCGAATGAGCTGATGGCGCTTCTGGTAGCGGTGGGATACATCACTCACGCGAGTAACAGCTTATTGGGCCTGACCGTACTCGCGTGGGGGAATTCAGTTGGCGATTTCATCACGGATGTGTCGGTGGCACGAGCAGGGTTTCCACAAATGGCTATTGCCGGGTGCTATGGTGGACCAGTCTTCAACGTTCTGCTTGGTTTGGGACTGCCCATGGCCTATGCATGCGTATCCGGGCGCAGTGAAGACTTGGCACTTGATGTGCATGCTTGGATTTCGCTGAGCTTCCTCTTCGTATCCCTCATTTCGTCGCTACTGGTTTTCCGGCACCACAACTATCGCTGCCCCGTGTGGTACGGCAAGCTTCTCATGATCTATTACTTCATCTACTCGCTTCTCAACGTTGCTGTAGCATTTCGGGTAGTTCTTACGTAAATGGCGTTGTTAAACTTTAGAAAAATCAAACGGCATCTTTAAGCCATCTAAAGACAGGGTCGGAGTTGGTGCTGAGCGCATCGCTCATGTCGTCAACAAAGTTGTCGCTATTATCCCTGGCTTCGTCGTAGTAGTTCTTCTTTTGTCCAAAGCGTTCCCGAGGAATGGTTTCATGTTGCTCACGACCATCAGCAGGCTCGTGATGTCCACCAGGGAGACTGCTTAAAAGCACAAATAAGTTAGTCATGGATCACTTCACAGGGGGACCAGGTACTGAACAAACAAGCTCACTCACTGCTCAAAGTTCCACTCAAACTTGGTGCATCCGATACCTGCAGTTCATAAGCATCATTATTAGTATTTCTTTTGGGATTGTTCCCCCGTCGGCACACCTACGCTCTGCAGCGTCGTCCTCATCCCACTCAGGTCGAACAGTTTTTGTATGGATCGGTCCGAAATCGCCGAGCCAACCGTTGTAGTCTGTGTGATATCAAAACATGTGAGTTGTCTTTATCGAATACAGACTTTGGCATCCTGTTGTACATCGTACGGCGTTTCGGTTGCTTTGGTGCGTTCTTCGATTGTCGTCGCGGTTCCGGTGCAGGTTTGCAGCCAAGGAAAGAGTTATCCAGTGCCGCCGTGCCATACAATTCCTCTTTCAGTGGATCTTGACGCCTGCCAGTAGAGACGCTGAATCATGAAACACAGCAGAATTACTGTTAACCACCACTAACTACAGTCGCAGCAAAGTGAGCACTATGACAAACTTACTTTGGCGGCTGTTTGGAAGCCGACGCAAGTGGCTTATCGCCACCGAACTTGTCCATAAGTGGGCTCTTCATGAAGTCATCCACGATCTCCAATGCTGCAGCACCTGTGAATGCATAAAAATATGTTAGTTGCTGCTTTTGAAAGGAGCTACTCACAATCAGCGTCAACATACCTTTCGTTATATCGCTGATGGGCATCTTCTTAGGGCCAAGTCGTCGATCACGCACGTCCTGCAACTCTCGCCGCGCATCATACTCAGCCAGTCGAGCACGCGCTAAGGTTTCTGCCATTCTCTGGGACTGAGTCTTCTTAACTCGCAGAATTTTCTGTCGCCGAGCGTCCAGGTCGGGCTGAACCCTGGACTGCACATGCTGAAGCGACCGGGGGACCTGTCGAGGCTGCCGCTGCTTTGGCTGAAAGTGGAGAGGGCGTTGCTTTCTCTCCGATTCGGCAACCACATGCTGCGAGACCCTGGTATTCCCCATTGCAGCACCTGGGGTTGAAACGCTGCGTGCAGGCCTGCCTGTCACTGGAGAATTAAACGAGTTGGACGTCGCACTTCGTCGGCCGTAAGCACTCTCCTTCTGTCCACCATCTTCCTCGACACTCATGCCACTGATTGCCCGCGCCGTGCTGTGCGTTTGACGCACACACTCTGCCACGTACGCTCCTAGAAACTCTGCAAAAGTTGCTACTGGCAATTCAGTCGCAGGGATTGTCGTCGGCGACTTTCTCTGGTCCATGCGAAGGAGCTTCTCCTCCAGCTCTTCCCTCGTCTTGATCTGCGACCCCTCCCTGCTTGTGAACTCCTTCCACGCCAAATCCACCAGCGGTTTCCCGAGCAACTTCGAGTGGAAGTCGATTTCGTCAAATGTCGGAGGCAACGAATACAACACGCCACTCGAAGCTCCTGAACTGGCAGCAGCCTTCTCTATAGCAGCATGAGGTCCGCTCTGAGCCCCTGCAGACGGCTCCGGGAAGTCTGGCATCTCCACTTCTCCGTCTCTCCACGAGTGCGACGGCTTGGCACGCACTCCCACCGCTGAGCGCTGCATCACTGCCCCCTCTCTGCCAATTGGCTGGGACGCGTGGCGCACGTAAAAGTCCCGGGTCTTGGCTGCGTCATAGCCTGCAGTCAATAGCAGAAGCACGAGTTAGTGACACTACCTGGCACTGTAGACTAACCGTTCTATGCTCCTGTACCCGTGATGGTCCGCAGCTCGTTGCAGCTGATGCCCTTGAGCGAGAACGTGCGCGCGAGGCACTGCACGCCGTAGCAGAGCGTGATCTCGAGGATCTCCTGGTAGCGGGCCTTCTCGCCCTCGAAGTTGCGCAGGAACGTCTCCACCGCGCGCGAACCTGCCACCGCCCGCGCCATTTTGATTCGCCGATTCAAAATCAAAAATGACAGGAAAAGCGTTTTTTAAGTTTTTTTTTTCAGATTACAGACCCACTTCAACTTTCAGCTAAGTCGAGACCACGCTGTTCAAGCCACGGCAGCAGCCCCGCCCGATTCTTCTGCCTGGCTTCGAGCCTTCTCTTCATTGTCGTCGGGCGCGTCTTCTGAGGCAGAATTGCTAATTGCTGCCAGAGTTCTCGTCGGATAACGCCGTCGCTAATGCACTGGGCGGTGTGCTGTTGGTCCACTTCTGGACGCACCCGTGGGCCAACACCGAGTGCTGCAGCTGGGTCTTCAGGAGCTTTATGGGACTGCTCTTGCGTCGTAGGCTGGCTGGGCCGGCTGGGTTGGCATTGAGTGGAACGACTCCGGTGGACTGCGCTAGTGCACTCGACAGGAAATCGTCCGCAGCGGCGCCGTAGACCTGCAAGGTGCAACAGAGACCGAGAGGTCAGAACGCCACCCCAAGGCTAGCGGCGCAAGTAGTCGTCATTTTACCTTGCGGGCGAGTGGAACGAGGTTCAGCAGCATTTGCACTGTCGTGTGCAGCTGGAGAGTCATGGCCTGATGGTTGCGCGCTAGCAATTGAGCCTCCAGTTGCGCCTCCTGTCTATGATGAACCTCGGTCGTCATCTGAGTCTGGAGCTCGGCCATTTTCAGTTGCAGGTTGGCTCGTGCCTGTGTCATTAGACGACAAAGAAGTCCTGAGTGATGCAGCTTCCTCAGTTTACTGGATGGCATACATTTTACCTGGTCAACGTCCCGAAGTTGCGACTTTGTTGACAGAAGCGTGTGGCGCAAGAGTGACTGCTCCTTCTTCATAAACTCCAGCTGCTCTTGCGCGTGTTTGACGGACCGAGACCGTTCGGTGCCGTCGGCCAGTGCATCTTCCGTCTTCTGCTGCAAAGTTTTGCCGACGAAATCATGCGAGGGGGCTTCGCTTGTCACGAATGACGGCAAGGCGGAGCCATCCTCAACGCGCTGTTGAACATACACGTAGCAACGATATCAGTCAAGGCCCCAACTGAACCTAGATCCACGAACAACAACAAACCATCAAGCGATCAATTCCCCAGCGATAACTTGGATTCACGACAAGAGTTCGCTGGAGCAATACGCGAAATTCTGGCGCAGTTTCAGCGATGAGAGGCTCGAGCACTGCGTCAGTGAGGGAGCATATCAAATGCAGTCCTTGCTCACGGCCGATGGAATAACTCCAAGGGGCCAATCGCTCCAGCAAAGTGCTTCCGGTCAGTAGTTGATATCTGCATGCCAGATGCATCGAATAATTAGCTTGAGTCGAGTAACACCTCCACTGAAGAATGCACGTACACGAGGCACCCAAACTGCCACATATCAGAGGCCAGAGTGGGTAAAAACTCTTCCTTAGCAATAAAAGTCCTTGCCGCCTCGGGTGGACAGGAGCTCAGCGGAATGGCATGAGTGCCAATCGTACGCTGGTCGTATAGCTCCCGGCTGGTGCTCAAATTGAACAGGCAGAGGCCCCGATCTTCAAACTGGCCCACGTTTTGCAGTGTCTGAGAGGAAAAGATAATGAGGCTCAAATACGTGTACAAGGTACAACTGTGCATGCAATCGGAAGCAAACGTACGATATTCCCGTGGACCATACGTGCATCACAGTGCCAGAAAACCAAGCAATTGGCGACTTCAGTGGCGATCGCTCGAGTTGCTTCCGTATCGCACAACTTCTCCGCTCTCAAGCCTTCCAGAGTATACAAGGGAGCTTCCATCACCAATGCGTAGTCCAACGTGATAGTCGTATCACTACTCGTATCCACATTGGCGCCATGGGTTAGCACAAAACGATCGATTTTACGGTGATAAGTTGGCTATAGTGAAGTGCAGTGTCGTAAACTTACCCGTTGTGGTCTTCTGGAGCGACATCGATACTGCGTAACGTTAGCCTCCGTTTTGCATTTTCAAACGTTTCATGCACAGTTGGGGAGTAGTTAACATGGTCATCTCGAATTTCCGCCTGGAAGCGAAACAAAAAATATTAACAAGTCGACAACGATTTGGGGACATTGAGTTAGAACGTACCGCAGTTTTCAGGCAAAGAAGCATGCTTTGTTCATGATCCACAATAGGTTTTGGCGTGTAAAAGTTGACGAGAACTTTTGTTGCGGTATTGGAATCCATGGCGACGTTTGTTTGCACGTATACCACCTCGGAACTTTGTGTAAAGCACGTGCACTGTCCGTTCACGCTCAAGAACTCGTATCGATGGCGATACGACGCTGGTCCGCATATTAGCAATGCAGTTGTTTCGGGGGAAGATGACGGGTTATCGACCAAATACTGCACTGGAAGCTTAAAATCCTACAGTGACCGAACAGAATATCAAATGAGTTGGTGCAATGAGCGAAGATCCGACACCACGGATACTACTTACCCGATCCGCGACCAACGCTGCGCTTGGCCAGCTGTCAAAGAGGATCTCTAGAACGCGCGGCGTTACCTTAATATTGCTGCAGAGATAGTGTAAGGGTGTTCTCTCGTCCTAACAGTACAAAAGATTACATTAGTGAGCTTTCGAATGTACATGTAGCTGGTGCACATGCCCAATACCTTGTCGACTTGACGAACTAGGTCGTGGCCTCGATCGAAAAAGAGCCACAGAAGCTCAGACGACACCGAATGATTCATGCACATATAGTGAAGCGGTGATCGGCCATGCTACATGAATGGGTTCAACACACTTAGATGACACGACAATACAAACCGACTCAGTGACGCAATAGAGCTTACCACATCTTGAGTAAATGAATCTTCGCAGCACATAAGGAGGGTCGTGCGCAAGAGTTCGGTGGAAATGGACTCATTCATGCAGAGCAAGTGTAGAGCTGTAGCTCCGAACTGGAAATAAAAACAACACAGTCAACCAATATAGTTACTGCACTGTGTCGTTTTGCTACAAAGCCTAAACCTGAAATGTTACCTTGTCAGCTTTGGCACACGAGGAATTGTCGCTATCAACCGAGAAAAAATCTGTCAGCATGTCGATATTGCAGCTCTTGTTCGAGCAGAGGAAGTGGAGCGGTGACAAATCATCCTGCAGTGGATGAAAGCCAAAGTTATTGACCGTATGATCATACAACAGAACTTCGGGTGGAACTGCAAACCTTTTCAAGAGTATTTATGCCTGCCGGGAGCGCGTGGAGCACCATGCAGAGCGCTTCCCGGGTAAGGTTTTCGTTCTGGCACAAAACGTGAAGAGGCAAGTCTCCGTTCTAAAACAATATAGCACGGGGGATCCAAATTAGCTTGCAAAGGGTTTAGAGCGCCAGAAAACTTGAAGACGGATACGTACGCTATCTGATAGAGAAGCCGAATCGGCAGCTGCAGCAAGCACAGTTTGAATGACGCCCAGATCCAGTTCATGGCGCTCGCAAACCCAGTGAAGAACAGTACGCCCCATCTAGTGAGTTACATGACAAGAGGACGTTAATAATACATCACCAGATTTTCAGGGTTTCGTTATCAAGTTCCTATAATCGCGTACCAAATCTCGCATCAGTGCTGTGGTTGGAAAGTTCTCGAGGAGGTGATGAAGCACTGGCTTATTCAGTTTGGGGCCAGTCATTACCAAGCAGTGCGTTGGTGTTTGGCCCTCCTAAAGCGCCAAATTAACAACAACAAACAGTGTCATCTCGATATCACACTGCACCATTAATCGAATAAGTCGTACATCATTGATCGCCGCATAAGCAGAAGTATCCGACCCCAGCTTCTTGATCAGGCCAATGTCGCACGTTGCATTGCGACAGAGATGATGGAGAGGCAAGTCCCCACTTGTGTCTTGCACGAGTGTGAGCTCCGCAAGCGAAGCGGCAAAAACACCAAGCGCCTGCACCGTCACGCATGTGTTTCCGCACAGTACATGAAGTGGCGTTCGTCCATTCTGTGCACGAGAGCAACGGGTTAATGCATGGTTTCCTTCCGAAACCACCTCGCCACAGCGTACTTTATTGACACAGCGAACGGCCTCCGGGTACGTATTGATCATCATGGTCATGAGGTCGACATAGCGATAGTTAGGACGCAACGCGCACACGTGATGCAGCGGTAACCAGCCCTCCTTTGTTTACAAAAAAAGAATGATGAGACCACAATGACCCCGAGATCCAAAACTCATCACTCTCGATGCTCCGCACCTCGTCACTTCGCCTCAAGACGCTCGGGTCTTTCGCCAGCGCGTCCAGCATCTTCTCCTTATCCTTCCGGGCCACAGCATCAGCGAATAGCTCTGCGCCTGCATCTTTGGCAGCAGATCCAGACGCTGCCGCCGCGTGTCTCCCGCCTCGCAGCCTGCTGCTCGTCATCATGGCTCGCATGGACTTGCTGATGGCACTGGAGTACGCTGCGCCCGACCAGAGCGGCGTCTTGGCGCCCTTGGCCGCGAACTCCGCGTCCGAGTCCGAGTCCGGGGCCTCCATCATGTTCATCATGATTGTCAAACGTGCTCTAAGATCCGCGCCCCTTCAAGATCTGCGCGGCTGTGATTGGTCGATATTATGAAACGGCGATAGATGGAGTGGCGGCGGTGCATCGAGGCCTGCTCCACGGCGGTCCAAGGCCACCACGGCGGCTCTGGCGGAGAGATCAAGACGCTGATTGGTCTGCTAGACCGCAAGGACGTGTTGGTGGCGTACGCTGCGAAAGAAGCGCTTCAGATCGTCTTGGTCAGCGACGCAGACGCCAATAGCCATTGTGTCAATGCCGTCGTCAAGTGCGTGGCTCATTAATCTGGATTAGGGTCAGATAGAGGGCTGAACCAATACTTTTATGTTGCAATTACCAGAGAACTTGTCACGATATCGCCCGAGTGGCAGGAGACCAGTGGATTTCGGTTCCAGGTGCTGCGGCAGCTACTCAAAGTGGAATCTGGAGGAGAGTCGGGCGAAGATGGTAGAGATGGCGGGAGTGAGGAAGAGGAACTATCAGAACGAGTGACCGAGCCCTCGTATTTGCAAGCAATGTTGGAAAATTTATGTGGCGTGGGTGCTATGATACGCAGAGTATTTGGTTCGTCTCGATGTGTGAATGAAAGCTCCACGGCTGCTGCTCCTTACTCGGTTCAGTACGAGGCCTTGGTGTTTTTAGGCGATTTTGTGAAACGACTTCGCAGCCTGGAGAAGAAGGAGGTTTATCAACTGGTGGAGTTAAGCAAGCAGGTGTTGGTGCTTATGGGTGGCGTGTTTGTGACGATGGACTACGCCTCGCAACCGGCATTCGTGACTTGCGCAGTTCTGGAGTTTACTGGCGACTTCCAGACAGCTATAAAGCGTTGGAAGGATCAAGAACTCGGTGATGAAAGTGCCATGGCCCTGATTTACAAGAAGTGGTTCGAGTGCTGTTTAGTGTGGCTGATGGATTCATCGTGTACACCTACTGCGCTGCAGCTACTCGAGAGCAATGAACCTCCAAATGTGTCGAGCCAAGAGGTATTCATAGGGAAGTCGACCCGGTACCCATTCTTGCAACAGTGGTTGGTGCTTCTTAGCCGAATGGGAGTCTCATTTCTGGAGTTTTCCGCTGGAACGACGAGTGCAGAGCCAGTAGTGCTGGCTCGGGCAGGCGAACGACCGGTTTGGGCTACGCAACAGAAGCTACCAAGTCGACAACGAACTTTTGCGGTGCTTGCCGAGCAAGATGATGTGATGGTTGAAGTGCTGAACGGTCTTACTCGCATGGCGGCTCTAGCAGGTGCTGGCGTGAGTATGCCAAAGCAATGGAATCAGCGAATCGCCTGGGCATCAGACGCTATCGAGATCTTAACTACTGAGTATGACCCCGATTTACTCTTCGCTGACCTGGTGGACACACTAGGACGAGACCACATCGTGCTACTTGACCTCCTCGTATCAAACGGTAAGATTACCGTGCTTTCTTTTGAATGCCGCTCCATCTAATTGATATCACGTTTGTCTCCTCAGAAACGCAAATGCTCGAGTACACCATGCGATACCTCCGACATTTAAGTGCGCACTGGAAGACCAGCAAGCAAAAACTGCAGGCGAACAACCGACTTGAATGCGTTATGAGTGTGCTTATTCGACTTCGACTGGAGATCGACAAGCTAGTGGCGGCAGATCTGTTTCCTTACAGTGCGGGGCCACTCACCAGACGATTGCTATTCATCGAACAGCTTTACGAAGAAGGCTCAGGCGATGATGCAGAGCGATGATAAATTATTTTGTGTTTTAATCTTCAGCGCGGTTTTACCGAGCGCAGCAAAAGAAATAGAGTTCAATATGCAAGACATGTGCAATAACACACTTGACGGACGGAATAGAAGCATTGCAAAAGGCGAGAGCAATGGCAGCAGCCGAGCCTCTCTGATCCAGAATAGCCTGGACAGCAGAGGCCGCCTCTCAGCGCTCACTTAACGCGCTGAGTCTTCGACACGAATGCCGTGCGAAGGGCGGTTTAGCTTGGTCTCGAGCTGATCTTCCATATAATGGAACTGCTGGACCATGGTGGGTAGCATCGGCTCTGCAAAAGAACACATGCTCAATGAGTACGGCATCGTAGACAGCAGCACACATGTCAACTTCCTTACCTAGCTCTTGCTTTTGGCTCCGCAAGATGGCGGAGTTGACTTCATCTGCCACGCGACGGCGTTGAGCCTGCTCCAGCAGATGCCCAAGCGGCGAGTCCGACGGGTTCTTGAACGCAATGACGGACATCGTCCGTTCGATCTCGTGAAGAAATTGGGGCTGCATTTCAACCGACAGTCATACACACAAAGTTAGCAGCACGCTCTGGGCCCATTGGAGCAGCCCGCTACTTCTCTGCTCTGCCCACTCACACTCTTCTGTCCAAACGGCGCGAGGTTCTTGATGGCAAACTGCAGAGCCTCCTCAATGTTGTGGGCCTTAATCAGCTCGATCAGCTCCTGCTTGGCCAGCAAGAAATCCATGCCGTTGTTCTTCTCCAGGAAGTCAGGGTTCATGTTGGCCAGCTTGCTGCGCGCCTTCTGGATCTGCCCCTTGAGCAGCAGCTGCTGGATGCTCATGCGCTCCTGCACCGACTGCAAGTCCACGTGCGCTGTACAAGTAGAGAGCCCAGCCGTCAGCAACAACTTCAAGCTGCTAAAACACCGGAACGACACCCCAATCCACTCACGTCTGGTGCCCGAGTCGCGCCAGAAGGCCTCCGCCACCTCTCGGTAGCCTTTGCCCACGAGATAGTCCATCACCAGACGGTTCATAGACCTAGAAAATGTATTTTAACGTCAGTGAAAGGATTGTTACGTGATGAAGTTGAAGATCGAGCGCAATTTACTCTTTGGAGATCCGCATGCGCCGGCGCGAGCTGCGCTTCTTGTTGAAGCGGCGCTCGTTGGCGGGCGTGCCGCCGAAGCCCACGTCGGCCGAGGACCCGAGCCGGTGGCTGGCGCTGCCCAGCGTGATGTCGCGCGAGTAGGTCCGCATAGCGAGGAATTAATTATCCAAGTGACCTTGGGCGCGAAATCCGAACTGGGGTCGCGCTTTTTTTTTTTCTTCGACACTTGCTGGTCTGCTGTCACATAACTTTCAGATAATCAACCAATGGAATTGATGAGCGATGTGGGTTGGTTGAAATTATACTGTCGGTGTCAAAGTGTGTTCGGATCGTGTACTTCAAGGTTACATTCAGAAAACGGCGCAGCTGAAGACCAGCTAGCGATGCTGGGCATGGGGCGCTCCTCGACGAGCGGCGCGGGCGGCGGCGAGTTCAACATCGCGTTCGTGAACGGACCCATCAAGTTCCTGAGCGAGGAGGGCGTGCTCTACGCCAGGTTCTTCCACATCGTACGTCGATCTTCGCTGTCTACCGTCCGCTGAATCATATCCGGGAATGCTGACGCCTTAACATTAATTACATTTTTTCCCGGTCGGTCTACGGCAGGTGGACACGGATTCAGATGGCTACATTGGAGGCACGGAGGGAGCGGCGTTTATCCGTCGGGCAAGGCTGATGAACGACGCCAACCGAGAGGTTCGCGGGGAGAGACTGGGGGCATGGTCGAGGGAGTATTATTTGACTGGGCTCTTGTGGTGTTTGCTGGCGCAGATCTGGCGCCTGGCTAGTGGAGGCAAGTCCCAGGAGAAGCTGAACAAGGACTGCTGGTTCGTAGCCATGAAGCTCGTGGCGCTAGTGCAGAGCACCGGCAAGTGCCAGATGCAGAGTCTCTACTCAGGAGAGCCTCTGCCCCTGGCCGACTTTCAGCTCGAGCAGCCAGTCGACAATGTGGTGAGAGCTGCAGGATATGATGTGGACTTGTATAGAACCATTTTTATCGATGGCTGCGTGGTGTGTTAGCTCCCAGAAGAGGTGCCGCCAGATTTCGAGCGGTCCTTTGTGGTGTCGGTGAGCACTCCGGTCATTGTTGGGTCGGGCTACTCTCGCTACACGCAGTACGTGATCTCCACGAAGGTATAATGCTGCGACTGCTTTAAAACTTGAGATTTCTGAGGGCAAATACTAACGCGTCTTGTGTACGAATGACTGCGTTGGCATTGTATCCTTGATGTAGACGAACTGCTCGCACTTCCCGTGCACTAGTGCACAAGTGAAGCGGCGGTTTAGTGACTTCGAATGGCTTCACCAGCGATTGCTTATGCACTTTCGAGGTAATGATTGGTGATGCTGAATTACGAGGCGTCAACGTAATAAATATTGTGTAGCTAACGAGTTTTTCGACAGGCACGATCATTCCTCCGCTTCCCGAAAAACGCTGGACAGGAAACATGGATGCCACATTTGTCGAAGAACGTCGCCAAGCTTTGGAGCACTTCATTGTAAGTTTTTTTTTGTCAAAACGGCTTGTTGGATTCATTCGTGACCTGTGGGTTTCGCACAGAATGAAGTGTGCAGCCATGAAAAACTTTCTCAGACGCTCGAGCTGCAGATCGTCCTGACTGCTAGCACTGAGGTTCGTAAGCCTTTGCATTCACCTGCTACCATGTTTGCAATTTTGTACTGATTGGCACGGCCGTGAATCGTGGTAACAGGGTCTCATTGCTGGGAAAGAGCTGTTAAAGGTTGCATCCATCGCTGCCGCGTATGTCCCAACTCCAGCTTCTGTAAGCTCACTATGGAGCTCCTTAAAAGACGGCGTGTTTCTGGCGTCGAACGTCCAGCAAGTTGAGATCAAGACCGATGATGATTACGCAAGGGTGGGTTAAAGATGTCGTCTTGTCCCGACAAATAGGTGTGGCACTTATAGACGAATTATTGCTATCTTTACAGATCGGCCAACATATCGACGAATATGAAAAGCGAATTCGAGAGGTGACGCGCTGCTCGGACATCGTTTATGCCGCTCAGCGTAGTGAAGGGTACGAGATGTCACGGTTTGGCAGCTATTTGTCTGCGTTGTCCGAGCACGAGAAGAGGGATCCAGACATGAAGCAGCTCGCTGAGGTGGGTCTATATTAATTATATGGGTGAATCTACTTTAATACAACGTGCTGATGTGGCTGTTTGTTGATTTACAGGTCGCTGGTGACCATTTTGAGACCGTGTCCAATATTTACCAGGATCAGGTAAGCTAACTACGTAGCCGCCATAATGATACATGGAGCTGATACTAATGCAATCTTTGTTGTACCAGCTGGATAAGTTACTATCGATGTACGTGTCGATTGTAAGATATCAAGCCGGCAAAGTAGATGCCGTCAAGGTAAGGATTTATTGGTGTTTTCTGGGGTGGCTTCCGATAATGACCGGGCGTGTTTGTGTGTCCAGACCGTGATGCATAATCGCGAGTCGGCAATTCACGAGGTCCAGCAAGCGAATGCGAGTATGCAGCGCAACAAAGAGCGGTTTGCAGCTGCACGAGCAAGTAGTGGTGCAGCAGCATCCGCCATGCGAGCTGAGCAGAAAATGGCTTCGGTAAGTTGACAGGATATCTTTGCGAGCCGCATTCACATGTAGTACCTTTGCTCACTTCATATTTTACGCAGGCGGAGGATCGCATGAACCAGGCAAAGGAACAAGTCCAATTCATCGCGAACAGTCTGAAGGTAGAAACAAAGCGGATGGACACCGGGAAGACTGCCAACCTTAAGACCGCTTTGTTGTCGCTGGCAAATCTGGACTTGGATTACCACGTTCAGGTAACTTTCACCGATCAGTTTGGTTGGTATTATGCGTCTGGCCGATGTTGATATGTTTTCTCTGTTGTGCATGTAGTCCCGAGCTGCGTGGGAAGGCCTGCGGTCATTCCTTGAACTGAGTGATGAGGAAATGGCTGAGAGTCGACAGAGAGCCCAGGCCTCAATCACGTATAGGAAACCAGGAGAGAAGGACTTAGGTCAATTCATTGGGCTGTTGTGAGAGCCTTATTTCTCTACTAACGGAAGGAATGTAGAATGCGCTTTTACTAAGTGAACTCGCATTTACATGTCAGACGGGAAATCCGAACCGCCATCGCCGATGTCGGCTGCGTCTGGCATTTGTACCTCCTCCTGATGAGGTGCATCTCCAGCCGCAGCGTGACTGCTATCTTCATTCTCGTCCTCATCGTCGTCGTACACATGGTCGTCCATAGCTTCGTCCTCATCATCTTGACCAGGTGCGTCAGTGCCTTCGGGGTCCTCTACGTCATTTTCACCGTTGTCTTCTTCAACATCTGTGGAAGGGCCCAATGAGTGGAAGCTCATGTCAATGATGCCTCCGCCGTCCTCAAATTGTAGACCATCAAAGATTTCCAGGTCTTCGTGGAGACTCATGTTTGTTAAAACATCGTCATCATCCTGATCTTTTTCCGCCCGAGACGACTGGTTTTCGGATTTGACGTCTTCCGAGTCAGTCGTGTTGTCTGCAACTCCGTCTTCTTTCTTGATTGGCATTTCGTCATTGGGTGAATGCTCGGTGGGGTGGACCACATCCTTGATGTTATCTTTCTCTTCTTTGACCGAATTTGCTCCATCTTGAGCGATCTTTTTTTCTTCAGTTGCTGCGGCAGCCTTTGCTTGGTCGTCAAGTTTCTGTATGTTAAAAAATCAAGTACATCAACTTAGTATTTTTCTTTTCTACTAGACCCTCGAATAGTGCACGTACCTTCGCCTTAATAAGTTGCTTCATCCTCTCGGTCATTAAAGATTCGAGTGAGGCAGTACCTCCTTTTGGAGCAGTTTGTCGCTATAATATTACGTGCACGAAAAAAAGATGTCAGACATACTACCTTTCATATCCATGCATTTCAACTCACATCGTACCTTATACATTGCCTCAAGGCGCTTGAACTTCGCTTGTGTGTTTGTCTTCACAGTCGCCCCGGAAGCAAGGAGCTTCAGCTTTGACATTTCGGCTGGTAGTTTTGCCCCAGCCATCGCGGCAGACGGAAGCTTTGGTGCTGCATTCCGAGCCCATTGCTCCAGGAGCCGCTGGAAATCGTGTGAAATGGGGCCGTATCCTCGAAGGTCCGGTGTAAGCAGCGCCCTAAAACAATTTACACAGGAGCATGTCAGTACTTGCCTAAAAGTAATGCATTCATTCCACACACACGTACTTTGAGCAAGTGACCGTAGCCTTATAAAGATCCACAGTCGAACCATTCGTCTTGCACCAGCTTCCATTGGGGCCATGCTTGAACAGCAAGTATCGTTGGACGGAGTCGATCATGGCGAAGTTATCGTTACTTTTTGCCTGGCCGAATAGCTTCATGCATTGGAGGAGCTTTCCGACGACCTCGTACTCATTGAGTATCATCGCTTGGTTCACATAGGCTGGATTGAAGATGATGTTGACTTCGGGCACGAACAGATCTGGGTTTAGCTGCAGCGTGCCAAAATTGCTCATGATGTCTAAAAAGCCGAAAATCATCCGCAGCCTGAACACCATTATCCAATGAGCATATGCACAAATCAATCGCGGTTAGATGGTGTCTTCCTGCTGATACCGCCAAAATACGAGAAGATAGAAGCACATCACTCACTGATCCGTAAACTGCTCCCAGATGACACCGTCAGTGTCGAATGGTCGTAGTCCCTTGTACATGCCCCGCACAGTATGTGTGTGAGCAAACACGTCTAGAGTAGATGCCCCAAGAGGAATTCCGACTTGTTCTGCACGAAGGGACGTAAAGAGTTAGAACGCGGGCACATACATAATCACGAGTCGCAATCCACAGACAGCGACACTTACCTGCATAAAAAGCAGCCAGGAGGGTGCTAATATACTTCGTGAATACCGATGGGAAGACGAGTTTGTGGTGGCAACGCGAGCATGTGTCCACCTCGGGTGCGTTACGAATTCCACAGACAGCGCAAAGACTCGAGCATCGCACAGTTGGGCCTTCGATGGCAGGGTGCCACCCGAAGAAGTCCATCACCGTGAATTTACGCGCTTTCATAAGCTCAATCACTTTATCGTGCAGACCATGTGCAATGCAGGCTCTCTTCAAACTGTACGAATCGAACAAACCAAAGACACGCATGGTTAGTGTATCGCAGACGTATATGTCTCGTAGGACATTTTCAGTACCTGTACAAGCCAATCATCACTGTAAAAATCTCGCGGACGTTCAACATCCACTTGTCAGTGGTCGTAAGTTTTTCGCGTATCCAGCGCTGGGTAAATAATAGGAAACATAGCGAGAATTTGTAAGCCAGGATACTGGGACTTCCGTTGGCGTGATTTACTGCGATAATGTTGAATACCCACCTGCAAATACGGCTCGACAAACTTTTCAGCAAATGGTTTGATCGGGTAGCCTGCGATCTGTAAACAGCAGCGCGAACATGAGTGCGAATATTCTCTCGAATTTTTTCTACGAACGCATGCCTTAAGCGTACCGAACCGATTTCTCCCAGTCGTAACGAAGCCAAATGTCCGAACTTGTCGAAGTTCAAATTACTATTGGTCTCCAAATTCACACACAAGATCGCCCTTCGAACCTGCCATACAACAGGTACACGTAACAACCCCAGCGATTAGTATACGCGCATGGAATTCTCCAAGAACTGAAGTCTTACCGATAGAGCATTCGGTCCACCCTTCGTCAGATCTTCCGGTGACGCCCTATTCTGCTGCACGATGAAACAACTGCCACAAAGTTGACCGACTGCGCGTCGTATCAACCCAGGATAAGCGTGAGTGATCCGTACGCCAGCATACAAGTCTCGATTACAAAAAGCGTACCAACAAACGGGAAAATTGCATCCTCGCCAATGCAAGCAGGGTGTACGTGGAGAGCGCAGCCACCATTGCACGTGAAAATGTCCCCCTTCTTGCCGCAAACAAGGCAAGGCTCTTCAATCTCGTTTGACGTCACTGGCACAACAGTAGCAGGTGGTGCCTGCATCTGCTGCTGCGGCTGCGCTGGGTTCTGCATTCCAGTGGGCACCGTCGACTGTTGGGGCTGCGCAGGAGCTGCGGTCGATGTGTTCAACTGGAAATTCATTCCGTGGCTTCCCATAAGCGACGCCACGTGAACGTTGGCGCCGGGATTCGATTGCATCGGCGGCGTCTGCTGTGCCATCGACGTAGCATTCTGGTGTCCCATCATCGTAGCCATCGCTGCTGCCTGTTGCTGCTGCTGCGCGTTTCGTCGAGCTGCCATACAACAAACCAAAAGGTACAGTAAGCATCCAGCAGCAATAACCCGCCAATCACCCAGCCGAGATTCGCCCGCACTAGCGATCCGGTGGCGCACCTGCCATCGCCGCCGCGAACTGTTGCTGCTGCTGGCGCTGCTGCATCTGCATCTGCATGTGCTGCTCCTGTGTAGTGGGGACACTGGGAGCCACCGACAGCATGGGCTGCTGCTGAGCCAGCTGGAGCGACTGCATCATGGGCTGAGAGCCCATGAAGAAGAGATTGTTGCCCTGCTGCTGCGGGCTGCCGAACATGGCCCTCGTGGCGGCCATGGCGTTGGCCTGGGCCAGGTTCGAGGCGGCGTTTGCCTCCGTCCGCATCTGCTTGGCCATCCGCTCCTCTTCACTCGCGTCCGCCGCGCGCTTCTGCTGCATGGCGGCGTCCCCGGCGCCGCCGCCCCCGTTCATCCTGGCGCAAATGCGTCGAAAAATGAAGAGTGTGGGTCTCTTTAGGTGGCACACATCACATGAACGTAGTAGAAGCCCTACATACAAAAATACAGATGACGAATGCAATGAGGATGCCCGAATAGTGGCCCTAATGATGCAAGACATGCGGCTGCAGTCGAAGAGATCATCGGTGCAAGATGCTGGCCAAGGTGGTGCGCTCCTCGCGGATGCCCCTGCGCAGCACTCGCGCGTTGTCTACCGTGGTGGACGATGAAGTGCGCAAGTTTAACGCTGCTTCCTCGTACGTCGCTGCAGTTCTACGTGCGTACTAGTTAGTGCTCTCTCCACTTCTAACCGTTTAGTATTATATTGTACCGCTCGCTGCAGTGACTGGTGGGCGCCTAAGAGCACGACGGGCGTGGGTCCGCTGCACCAGATCAACCCTGTGCGCGTCAAGTACATCCGCTCTCACGTGATCAAGCACTTCGGCCACACGACGGACGACGACCCCATGCCGCTGCGCGGGCTCCGTGTGGCGGACGTGGGCTGCGGCGGTGGCATCCTGTCCGAGGCGCTGTGTCGTATTGGCGGCACCATGGTGTCTGCTGACCCTGGCGAGGACAATATCGCAGTAGCGAAGAAGCATGCAGCGATGAGTCGCCACACCAGCAGCATCGACTACCGCCGCTGCACGTCTGGTAGGACACAACTGTTAGTTGCTAGCAGAGAGCTCTGCTTGCTAAGCTTTGTGGTGCATCATGTTGCCATGTTGAAGATGATTTGGTGGCACAAGGCGAGAAGTTCGACGTCGTGTGTTCGCTGGAAGTCATTGAACACGTTTCCGACGTCTCGGCGTTCTTGCACTCGCTAACGCCGCTGGTAAAGGTAAGCGTGCAGGATGATTGCTGCTGAAATCTATTTGCGAGAGCTAACTTACTTTGCTGATATTGCCCCCCTACGTAAAAGCCGGGAGGTCTACTGTTCCTGTCGTCAATCAACCGCACGGCCCTTTCCGCCGCGCTTGCGATTGGAGCTGCTGAATACGTTATGCGAATCGTTCCGCCAGGTAAGGCAGCACTGGGCGGCTGGTATTATGCAAATTATTCGTCGTTAATGATGTTTGTATCTGTCAACTTGTAGGAACGCACGACTGGAACAAATTTGTGCAGCCGGGTGAGATTGAAGCTGAGCTGAGGAAGGATGGTTTTGCCGTTAAGGATGTGTCAGGCATTGTGGGCGATCCGATCTTCCGTAGTTGGCGTATTCACCCCACCTGCACCGACATCAACTACATCATGTGTGCGTTCAAACCTGAGGAGTAATTAGCAGCAGCATAAAGCAGCCTCCACAGCAACAACCTGTTCCGACACAGATTGATCAAAACGTCTCCTATTGGCGACGAAGTCTCATTGACCACTTGAAATGCAAGTCTTCTGCTGCTCGTTCGTTCCGAAAGTCGATCTATCGTTCGTCTTCACGTTCGCTTCCACGTTCTTCCTGGTCACTCTTGGACCCATCGTCCGTGCGAGTATTGTAATAACGCTGTGCGTTCCAATATGCTGCAACTAGCGCCTCGTAGCGCTCGTTCTTCACAAGAGAAAGCTGTAGGTCGTGGTCGTCCAAGGTAGTTTGATCCTTCAGCATTCGATGAAACAGTCGGTCTCGAGCAGCTTCGCTTGTCGGCCAATTTGATTCCACTGCAAGACTCGCGAGCTCCTTCCACTGGTGCTCCAATGCATCTGGAAAGAAAAAATCACAACAGTAATTAAAGGCCGTCAATGTGAGAGATGCATGAGCGGATACTTACTTTCACCGCTGAACTCGACGTGAATGTGCGTGTTGCTGTCCTCCCCATCATTGATTTCGGCATTGTCTTGAATCTCTTTCAATTTTCGTCTGCACGGCGATTACAATTTGTGGACAGTCCTACCGATCAAGATGAAATGTCAACTGATACTTACCTAATTGTTCGGAATGCGCTCATGGAGATGAACACGACCGGAATCGAAGTCTGCTGAACCGCAACTGCAGCAGCTAGTGAGCTAGCTGCATGTGGAAATCGTTGATCGCCCATAATGATTCCTGCTGGGCGAATCGAATCGAAGAATGCCAACTGCCGCACTAACGAGCATCCGCGAGAGCTTTTGGGATCTCGCAATCTGACGGCAATGAAAGTGTCCGTCGTTATCCCTTGACGCAAGCGAGCATTTTGCGAGATTCGCATGGGGTCTGTCTCGCACGGGTTGGACGCTTGAGGGTCCGGAAAGATAAGGTCGTGTCTGCCAATAGGGAGATTTACCCCAGTACTACTTCCTGTTGCGCTGTAATCTGCAGGCTTGATAAACTCGTATGTATCCGCAACCAATTCCGTTTCCGCTGAAGTTGCCACGGAAATGGATAGAAAACCAGCGCTCGCATCTTCGATGAGGAACGCTGCAGATCGACGCAAAGGATCACTCTCGCCTGGGTGCACCGCGAATCGATCAACTGCGCATGCTGCGCTGAATACGAAGCGTAGCTGTTGGCTTTCACCGGGGCGAACTGCAACCATTTGCTCTAGCAAGCGTGCTCCAGAATCTGTAGATACCATGACCAACGGGATGTTGATCGGATGCGGCAATGACGACGCAGGAGGAATTCGCACGCGCATGGGTTTTTCACCCACTCGCTGAACAAACACAACGCCCTTGGCTCCAGCTTCGTCCGCGATTGCAGCCTTCTGGTGCATCGGGCAGCCGAATACGCTCTAGCAACAAACATGTACAAACTTAGAAGAGTGCACAGTCAACGAAACATGTATGGCAGTAGACGACTTACCGGTACAAGCACGTACTTGTCTGTGACATTGATCGAGAGTGGGGAGCACCCATCGAAAGGTCGAGCTAATACCAGCTCTCGGAAGGCACAACTCGGTGGTGAGCCATCTGAAGACAACACAGCGTAGAGCTTGAGCTCCGTTGTTTTGTCGCCGACACTTGCCACCTGTAACAGCGCAAGACACGTGCTTCTTAGATCCCCACGTCTACAATTATGTTCATATCTTCTTCAGAATCCTTACCACGTAGTCAAAGGTCTCTTCATTGCTGGGATCGTAAGTAAATGCCGACGCGGTTGCTGCTTCAATAACGCTTTCCTTGATAGCCGTCGGCGGGGGTTGGATGCAGCGACCGTCGTGAGTCTGGAAGCGCAGGGTGCGCGGTAACGCCGCCGCTTGCAGCTCTCCGACAGCCTTTTGCAGCGCAACACCCTCGAGCGACACGTCGTTGACAGCGATCAAGCGGTCGCCGATCTCCGCCAACCCAGAGGCCTCCACCGCTCGACCCCGACCCTCAGAGTCCGCAACAAACTCCAGCACTTCCAGCTTGTCGCTCAGCCGCAGGCCGAGCGGCGCGCTCGTCGCCACCACAACCGAAAACTGCTGCGCTTCCAGAGAGCATTTGTTGGCGACCACAGTGTCCGCACTGCTCACATCAGCGACGACCGACGCCGCTGCGAGGAGAAGCGGCAGGAGTCTGCACCACTGTGCCATGCTTGTCAAAGATCTTGACAAACTTGAAGTGGCCCTTACAAAAATCAAATAAGTTCACGAAAGGACACTTCATGATCGGCATACGCCAACGTGATACTGGCTGGCCCATTTGTTGCCATCCGCCATACACATATTTTGGAGGAGCAGTAAGTAGTAGTTCTTCACCTTGTTACTATCTACGCTAGTCTAGTTTCAGCAACTTGTCCATGGAAAGGTAGGCGACCGAATCTTAGAATTCATTCTCGTGCGCCCACAGCTTGAACGTGCGGTCGAAACCACACGAGACAACGTGCTTTTCGTCCGGGGCGAAGTCGGCAGACATTACCTTGCCGTCGTGCCCGCGCAGTGTGGTTATCAACTTCCAGTCGCGAGTTCGCCACAGCTTAATGGTTGAATCGTACGACGCACTCAGCAGGAGTTCACCGGACCCAGGCGAGAAGCGCACGTCGCTCACCAAATTGCTGTGCGCTGGAATCATGTACGAGCACTTCTGCTGGCGCAGATCCCAGATACGAACACTGCGGTCATCACTACCCGAGGCCAACTGCACACCGTTGGCAGCAAAGTCCATCGACAGAATCTGCTTGGAGTGGCCCTGCAGCGGTAAGATGGCCTTGCCCGATCGCAGATCCCACACGCGCCCATTGCCGTTCAAGTCGCCAGTAGCCGCGAGTGCGCCGTCTTTCTGAAAAGCGATAGCGTACACTTCTTTGTAATGGCCCTCCTGCAGCAGTAGTTCTTGTGCTGTTGCGACGTCCCAGAGTCGCCATGTGTGATCGAAACTCGTTGTACCCACGTAGTTGCCAAGTGGGTGAAAAGCTACCTTGCCCAGTCGCGCCTTGTGTCCTCGCAATACAGCCAAAGGTTCACTGCGTGCCGCGCTCCAAAGCCTGGCAGTGCCATCTGCAGAGCCACTGCACAAACACACCGAGTCTGCGCCGTCCGTCATTTCAGAAAAGGTGTTACTCGGATGCCATGCCACTGCACTTACGCGGTCTTCGTGTCCGCGGAATACCTTCACTTCAGCAGCGTTATTGGCATCCCAAACCTTCACGAGGCTACTCCACGAGCCTGTAGCCACATGCGCTCCATCAGCTGAATACCGAACGCTAGCGAGCGGTCGGACATCGCCGTTTTGACTGGCAATGTTGGCCATTCTGAGCGCTGTGGCGTAGAGCTCCGCGGCATGGTGATCCATTGTCCGCGCCCGCTCTTCCGCACTCATCTGCTTCTCCTGTCGCTCTCGCTTCAGCCGCGCGCCCACAACGCTCGTCGTGTGAGCAAAAACCGCAGCACGCGCAGTCTTGAGCCCGTCATTTTTAATGGGAACGTAGAACAATTGGTCCTCCTGCGGCTTCGACGCTTGACCTGCCGCGCCCTCATCCCCTGCTGCAGTCCCCTCCGCCGGTGCACCAGCACCGCCATCCTGCTTCTGGATATCCGCCAGCACCTGATGCACAAAGCCCGTCTCCTCTGCTTCCAGCTCCAGCCGCGACAGGATCTCGCGCAGTCGCTCGCGGCGGTCCGCCGGCCGCTCTCCGAACAGCGTGATGGGCTCGCCAAGCTGCCGTAGCCGCCGAATCACTTCCTCCACGCTGGTGGGCACTGCGATGTTGCGCGCGCGCTTCTCCGCTTCGATGCGGCGCAGCAGCTGCGCGTGCTTCTCCTGGGCGGCGCGACTGCTCTCCGACAGCTGCAGCACCTCCGTCTCCACGTTGTCCGAAACGTTCACGTTGCCCGCGCGGATGGCCGCCTCCAGGTTGCTGGCCATGCGCCCGCCGCCGCTAGTGCCGCGCACACTGCTGGGCACCATGTCGCCGGCGCTGGCGTCGATGGCGCCGAAGTAGATGCCCTTGCGCTCGCCCATGGCCGCGATAGTATCCTCTGCTTTTGCGTTTTGTATGAAGTGGTGGATCTCGTTAAGTGCGCTTTTAAACCGTACTTAACCCAGTGAAATTTATCCTACGAAAAAGGATCAAATCCTTTGTTGATGTGGTACACACATGCCGTTTTATCCTAGCGAGGCCGCCGTAGGATAAAAAATGACTTGGCGTTTGTATCGGAGGCGTCTCCCATCTTATCGGTCGTGTCGCATTTGACAAAGCCACCGTTGGAAGCATAAAATTGTAGAGGTATTCAGACCAATACTCAGCTCAAGTCTAAATGCGATTTTTCCTAGCGGATAGAATAAATCTGGATTTTTGATAAGCTGTTAGAGACACTTTTCATGCGGCAATTTCGCAATGATGGACAATGAGAGACACTACTATCTTGTAGAGGAAGGAAAAGGCTTTGTGTGTGTGGCTTCAGATACTCGTATTTCCCAGCAGTCGTTTCTGTATAAAGCGCTAAACTTTTGATCCTTTCTTTTATCCTACGGCCAGGCTCACTGGGGTTAAGGTATGAGTAAATTCACACGTCAACAGATCGCAGGCGCACTTGAAGTGAATCGCGAAGACCCGCATGACGAGCCAGGCGCACATGGCGGCGGCTCTGACGCCTGCAGCGACGCAACCGGCGTTCTGTGGAGACGACAGGTGGGTGGCCAGGCACCTAAAGGATCGAGATGCCGAGCGCGTGCGGCGTAACAGCCCCGACGGCGGCTTCACCGCTGTGGAGACCGTACACTTCGACCGCGCCGAGTTCACCAAGCAGATTCAGGTGCGTGGACGGATCTACAGTGATATGTAGTTTGGATCAATGATAGTGCAGTTAGAGCTCATATATGCGCGGTGTTTTTATGACGTCAGGAGTTCCTGGACGCGGACGTGAGCGACGGCTTCGTGATCGGGCTCAAGCGTCGCAGAGAGTTCGCGTTGCAACTGTGCGCCGACTACAGGAAGTTCACGGAGGCGCAAAGGCTGGAGCTCGTGCTAGCGCTGGCGGTGGACCTGGGAGTACGAGACCTGGCCCTGATGATGAAGACGCTGCCCTCCATCAAGCGTTCTGGTCTGGTGCTGAATGTGGCTGCCGCTGCGTTGGGTTTCAGTCGCAAGAACGACCCCAATATCTCCAAAAGTGTTAAGCGGGGGCTTGTGCCGCTTGCGGAACAGTTTTTCCTTCTTGTCGGAACCATTCAACCTGGGCCGTTGTTTTTGCTCAACTTACGAGTGGATTTGGGCATTTTGATCGAACGTCACCGGGAGAAGCTACCCAAGTCAAGCGTGGAGGCTCTGGAGCTGTTAGATTTGATCATGCGCGACTTGTTCGCCACTCAGGGCAGCATGCGCTTCCGACGAATCGACTTGGCTTCAGAAGACTTGGCTGCATTTGTGCTCAAGAATGAGCGTGTGCACCAGATTCGAGGCTGGGCGGACCTGCAGCGGCGTCTAACGGGTCAACAGCGCTACTGCTTCGGCCTGTTCCATATGCACATGCCGCATGCCCCGCTGGTGTTCGTGCAAGTGGTTGTGACGGATCACCTCTGCAACAATATCACTCCTATCCTGGAGGAAGAGACACCGGTTGTGAAGAAGCCGTCGCACGTTATCTTCTATTCCGTGTCGACAGCAAACTCTGGTCTTCGAGGCTTAAACATCGCAAGCCACTTACTGTTCCTCACGATTCAGCGCATGACCAGCATGTTCCCTCAGTGTACAACAGCGGCTACGCTGTCACCAGTGCCAGGTTTTGCCCGATGGTTCAAGGCAGCTCTTGCTAATGGTGACCAGCAGTCGCAAGCCACCACGGACGCAAAGAATGTGCTGAAAAAGAAGCAGCACAGCGAGTTGCGTTTGGAGCCGCCAGAACGAAGTTTCTTCACCACGGAGCAAGCTCAGCGCCTCACAATGAAGTATGGTGTGAACCAGTTAGTGTTACACAAATGGCTGCTCAAAAAGATCAGCGATCCCGAGTGGCACAAGGACATCGAGCTGGTTGAAAACATTCGTGACGTCATGACAGCCGCTTGCGCCCGATACATCCTCTTTGCTCGGAAGCAAGATAAAATCCTGGATCCTGTGGCAAACTTTCACCTCCAAAACGGCGCCCAAGTTGAGCAAATCAATTTCATGGCTGATACGACGCCATCAGCGCTGGCATCGGCGCTTGGAATGATGATCAACTACCGCTATAGTATGCCTTCAATCGATGTCACATCGCTCTCGTACAAGCGGCAATCCTTGGCGGCGGTATCTCCTGCAGCAGCTCGGCTTGTTTGGCTGACAGAAAGCGTCATTCTGGATGGTAATAGCAACCTATGCGGTGGTTTTGTTCGCTAGAGCGAGCTGTCTAACAATGTGTCTTTGTATTTACTGCAGAAATCGAGCGGTTGAAAGATGAGCGTAACACGCCGCTATTTGCCAAGGTTTTCCGCGCTGGTGAAGTGATTAGCGCACGTGGATCTCTACCCACAGCCATTTATTTCATTGCGTACGTTGTCCTGCTTGTCACTACACTACTTTGAGCACGAACTAACATCTCTTCTGCTGTTGCCAAAGATCTGGCAGGGTTCGTGTGCAATCGGCGCACCCATACAACTTGAGCGAAGGTCAAACATTTGGTGAGCGCGAGTCGCTGAACGATGAGCCAGTGGCGTTCACCGTCCGCGCTGAGACCGTGACGCACTTGCTGCTGCTGCCGTACAATGATGTGAAGGCTCTTCAGCGTGAATCAAGCGCGCTGCGCGACTACGTCGGTAGTGATCCGCGTGTGTGGCAACAGCAGCTCTACATGTCATTCCACGGTAGTAAGTTGTAAGGCTTGGCAACAACCGAAAGAGGAGACGCTGAAAACGTTAAGGTGAATGGAAAACACTATACTACATACAAGCCTCGGGAACGGGAGCGAGATATGGCCGGTTACGGATTATTGCGCGCCCTACGCGCATCAGCTCTACTTTTCAGCCTTGGCGGGCAGGTCTTCCAGACGCAGCGTGCCCTCCTTCAGCATGGCAATCTCGGCGCGCGTCAGGAAACGGCCACCGGGTCCACGCGGACGCCGCATTGCGTGCTTGTGTCGCGACTGGTGCAGGTACGCCTTGCGCTGGCGAAGGTTTCCCAGTTTGGCCTCGAGCTTGGCGCGCTGCTGCCGCCGCACCATGATGCGGTGGTACTGCTTGGCGTTCACGTAGACGGGTTCCTCCTCGACGGCGTCCGCCACCGCGGGGGTCGACGCTCCCTGAGTCGTCAGAGCATTTAACAAGGGCGAGTTCAGCTGTAACCCACCATCAACCAACGGAGCAATAAGGCAAGCAAGCGAGCATCACCAAGCCGATCCATTAGTGTGCCGAGACACAGCAACCGCCAAGACGATCTGCACGTACCAGGAACTGTGGCATCATCATCATTTGGCTGTTGTACAACTGGCGGAGCTGCTCGTTGTTCGGCTGCTGCTGTTGCTGTCAGTCAAAAACGCACACGGACGTTAGTGTTGCGCCATATTTCTCTGCGCAGCATGACGATGGGGGCACGTACAAGTTGCTGGAGGAACTGGAGCTGCTGGTTCTGGTACAGCGCAATCTGCGCGGCCTGCGCCTCCGTCAACGCCTGGGCCTGCTGCTGCGTCTGCTGCTGCTCGGACTCGGGCAGCTCCTGCACGTGCGTCGGCGTCTGCAGCTCGACGGACTCCATTGTTGCTGTATCTCTGCGCGCACACGCACACAGGTGAGCCATATACACGCACACACGTCGCAGGCATCTTGAAGTGCTTCTGACGCACCTGCAGCTGGGGAATCGGCGAATGAGCGTTCTTGGAGGGAACTCCTTACGCAATGATTGGACGGGCGCGCTGGCTCCAATGAGAATCGTCGGTGTGCACCACACCAATACCTGCTCATTTTCTATATCCTGACATAGCCGTCCTCTCAATTTTAGACCTTGATAATCTTCGATCGTGATACTCTTATACCCCGTATATTTCGATACATGTAGCGATATCGCGTACTGAAAACCCACTTCTAATTCGTCAAAACTCCTCCATCTTTTCGTCCAATGCGCTGCGTGCGCAACCCTGCGGGCCGCCACGTAGATCGGCCCCCTCCTCATTCAAGCAGCTCAAGGGAAGGAAGATCCTCGTCGGTGCCCCCTGCGCCGCGCTCTCTCTTCATCTCCTGCGGCCATGCTGACCAAGTTCGAGTCCAAGAGCAACCGCGTGAAGGGGCTGGCGTTCCACGTGAGCCGGCCCTGGATCCTCACGTCTCTGCACAACGGCGTGATCCAGCTATGGGACTACCGCATGGGCACGCTGCTGGACCGCTTCGACGAGCACGACGGACCCGTGCGCGGCGTGGACTTCCACCGCACGCAGCCGCTGTTCGTGTCGGGCGGTGACGACTACAAGCTCAAGGTGTGGGACTACAAGCTGCGCCGCTGCCTGTTCACGCTGCTGGGCCACCTGGACTACATCCGCACGGTGCAGTTCCACCACGAGTACCCGTGGATCCTCAGCTGCAGTGACGACCAGACCATCCGCATCTGGAACTGGCAGTCGCGCTCCTGCGTGTCAATTCTCACGGGCCACAACCACTACGTCATGTGCGCGCAGTTCCACCCCAAGGACGACCTCATCGTGTCCGCGTCGCTGGATCAGACGGTCAGGGTCTGGGACACCACGGGCCTTCGCAAGAAGACGGTGCGCGGCGCCCCCACGGCCATGGACGACATGGTCGGCCCCCCGGCGTCGCGCTCCAACAACCACGACATCTTCGGTGCGAGCGACGCCATCGTCAAGTACGTGCTGGAAGGCCACGACCGCGGCGTCAACTGGGCCAGCTTCCACCCGACGCTGCCGCTGATTGTCTCCGGCGCCGATGACCGCCAGGTGAAGCTCTGGCGCATGAATGAGACCAAGGCCTGGGAGGTGGACACCATGCGCGGACACACCAACAACATCTCGTGCGTGCTCTTCCACCCGCGTCACGAGCTCATCATTTCCAACAGTGAGGACCGCTCGATCCGTGTGTGGGACATCTCCAAGCGCATGGGACTGCAGACCTTCCGTCGCGAGAACGACCGCTTCTGGATGCTGGCGGCTCACCCCACGCAGAACCTGCTGGCTGCCGGCCACGACTCCGGTATGATTGTCTTCAAGCTGGAGCGTGAGCGTCCGGCCATGGACATCCACGAGGGCCGCGCCTACTACGCCAAGGAGCGCTATGTGCGCATGTACTCGTTCGATGACGGCAGCGACGTCCCCGTGGCTGCTGTCCGCCGCACGGGCACTGCCGGTACGGGCATGGGAAACTTCCCTCGCCACCTCAACTACAACCCGTACGAGCAGAACTCGGGCACCAACAGCGTGCTGATGACGAGCGACGCCGAGGGTGGCTCGTACGAGTTGGTGACGTTCTCACAGGGCTCAGGCGGCGACACTTCGGAGTCCAGCCGTGGACCTGGTCTCTTTGCCGTGTTCGTGGCTCGCAACCGCTTCGCTGTCCTGGACAAGTCGCGCCACATCGTGATCAAGAACTTCCAGAACGAAGTCACCAAGAAGATCACGCCGCCCAATGGTACGGCGGACGGCCTGTTCTTCGGCGGTGTCGTGGGCCGCGTGCTGCTTCACATCGACGACAAGATGGTGCTTTACGAAACGCAGAGCCGCCGCGTGCTGGCTGATGTCCAGGCCCCGCGCGTGAAGTACGTGGTATGGAGCCCCAACTATGAGTACGTTGCGCTGATGAGCAAGCACTCGATTGTGCTGGCCGACAAGCAGCTCAACCACCTGTCGACCATCACCGAGTCGGTGCGCATCAAGAGCGGTATCTGGGCGAACGCTCCGGCCGAGATCTTCGTGTACACGACGCTGAACCACATTAAGTACTCGCTTACGAACGGCGACGCTGGTATTATCCGTACTCTGGACGTGCCTGTGTACCTCACTCACCTGGAGGGCTCTAAGCTCTACTGCCTCGACCGTGAGGCCAAGATGCGCACTATGGCTGTGGACCTGACGGAGTGCGAGTTCAAGATCGCGCTGAACAAGAAGAACTACACGGAAGTGATGCGTATGGTTCGTCACTCGAGACTCTGTGGCCAGGCTATTATCTCGTACCTGACCAAGAAGGGCTACCCGGAGGTTGCGTTGCACTTTGTCAACGACGAGAAGACTCGCTTCAAGCTGGCCATTTCGTGCGGTAACCTGGAGGTGGCTCTGAACTCGGCGTACGAGCTGGATGACAGCAAGTGTTGGTACCAGCTCGGCGTGGAGGCCCTTCGTCAGGGCAACATCCAGGTTGTGGAAATGGCCTACCAGCGCACGAAGAACTTCGAGCGTCTCAGCTTCCTCTACCTGGTGACGGGCAACCGCGACAAGCTCAAGAAGATGCTCAAGATCGCCGAAGTGCGCAATGACATCATGGCTCGCTTCCACAACGCGCTTTACCTTGGCGATGTCGAGGTCCGCGTGATGACCCTGGAGGCTGCGGGTCAGTTTGGTCTGGCACTGCTCACGGCTGCCACTCACGGTCTCGGTGAACACGTGGAGCGTCTGCGTGCCGTGATGCAGGAAACGAACCCGGACTTTGATGTTAACGCTTTCCTGTCGCGCGAGATGCTGCCGAACCCTACGCTGCTGTCTCCGCCGCCTTGCGTGAGCCGCCTCGAGAACGAGAACTGGGCTCTCGTCGAGATCAACGAGCCGACGATCCAGGACCACGCCATTGCCGCTGAGAAGCGTGAAGCCGAGCGTAGTCTGCAGCCGCAACAGCAGGACGCTGGTCGTCGTTCGATGGAAGAGCGCCCGGCGCGCAAATCGTCGATGGATTTGGCGCTGGACGCCGCTGGAGACGCCTGGGGTATGGATGGCGACCTCGACCTGGATGATTCGCTTACAATCGATGACCCGTCGCTGGGAATGGACTCGGCCGCTCTGGAGAACGACTTCGCTGGTCTCAGCACCGATGCTGGGTTCGTTGCTGCTCCTACGGCTGGCACGAGCCTTGCTGTGCAGTGGGTTCGCAACTCGTCCCTTGCTGCTGACCACGTGGCCGCCGGCTCGTTCCAGACTGCTATGCAGTTGCTGCACCGCCAGATCGGCGTCATCAACTTCGAGCCGCTCAAGCCCGTGTTCATGCAGGTGTTCTCGGGTGGTGCGGCTTCGTTGCCCACGCAGGGCAACTGCCCGCCCCTGCGCGCATGGCTGCAGCGCAATGACGCGAGTCAGCCTGCCGTGGCCGTGTCGTTCGGAGCTCTTGTGGAGGAGCTGAAGCACGCGTACCGTTCTTTCACTGGCGCCAAGTTCGACGACGTGAAGACGCACTGCGAGTCGATCCTGCACGCGATCCCGTTCCTAGCTGTGGACTCGAAGGAGGAGGCCGAGAAGGTGAAGGGCTTGCTGACGGTCTGCCGCGAGTACCTGGTGGCTTGCCGCATCCGTACCGAGGTGGCTTCCGTGCCGCTGGAGGGCAACCCGAAGCGCAACATCGAGCTGAGCGCGTACTTCACGCACTGCGAGCTGCAGCTGCCGCACCTGGTGCTCACGCTCAAGATCGCCATGACGAACGCGTTCAAGGCTGGCAACTTCATCACGGCGGCGTCGTTCTGCCGGCGGTTGTTGGAGATCCCGGAGGTGTCGCAGCACCCGCGCCACGAGAAGCTGCGTCTGACCGCCCGCAAGGTGCTGCAGAAGGCCGAAAAGGAGGCCCGCAACGAGCACGCCGTGGACTACCAGGACTCGAAGCCCTTCGTGCTGGACACGCGCAACTTCACGCCGATCTACCTGGGCGAGCCGGATGTGCGCTGTCCGTACTGCGCCGCCGCGTACCACCCGGAGTGCAAGGGCACGCTGTGCGATGTTTGCGGAATCTCGAAGGTCGGCGAGGAGACCATCGGCCTGGTCGTCACTGCGGCTCAGTAAGTTAGGAGGACAAGTATCGGATACCGGGCAGGTAGACCTTGTGTTGCAGCTGCAGTTGTCCCTAAAACAATGCGTGGCCCTATTTTATTATCCAGTGGGTCTCAATTTCGTCCAATCTTGATCCTCCGTTGAAGTTTTCGGCCACTCCCTGCCGTGCGAATTTGAATTCAAATCTTAGCGCGCAAATCTTTGTCCGCGGCCGTTGGTCAGAATTCAAACCGCCCAGTGTACCATGCGCCGGCACTTCGCGCAGTTCGACGACGAGCTCCAGGACAGCGACCAGACCATCGCGACGCCCGCGCGGCATCTGCGGCCCCACGCGCGTCTCCCCACGCTCGCGGACGCCAGCGATAGCAGCAGCAATGGACGCGCGCGTCCTACGCGCCGTCGGTTCCCGGCCTCCGCCTTCTTCTCGGACACCACCGACGACGATATGTCGAGGCCCATGGCAAGGACCTCGGGCCGCTCGCAGCTCTCCATGAGCGCGTGCAGTCGCTCCAACCAGCCGCAGACCAGCAGAGCGCCGTTGCACATGAGCGCGGGCCCTAGGGAAGGCAGGCGACGCAGTGAGAGAGCGGCGCAGACCCCGAGACTCCATGTGGACGCCATCCAGTTCCCTGCGACGCGGTCGGTGTTGTGGTAAGTATCTGTGTTGAGTATGCGGAAGCTGGAGATGGAGTTTAACGCTGTGTTTTGTGTTTATTTGCTGCAGGGATCGACGTCAACTGTCTGCGGAGCCGATCGGAGTGTCATTGGGCCAGGTGTTGCCGCAGTTTATTGTGACGGCGGAGGCATTGAAGGAGGTTTACAGATTGTTTGGCGAGAAAAGTGGTGCGCGCGCAAATGGAGCTGCGTTGTGTTATTTGTACGGGGATGCGACGACGCCGAGGGTGAAAAAGGTTGTGCTGCAGGGGGTGAAGATGAAGAAGGAAGATGCACGCGCTGCTGGAGCTTGGTGCATCCCGGTGCATTCTATTGCAGATGGGGGTAACCATGGACTTTCACCGGAAAGCTACGCTGCTACGATTGCTGCGGTGCAGAGCGGCTACCGTGATGAATACACCGACAATGTGGCAGCAAAACTCCAGCCCAAACTGTTGGTGTTTCGGTCATCGCCGCATGAGGCGCAATTGGATTTCCAGCTTGAATGCGCTGCGTCGCCCGTGTTGTTCAAGTTCTCACTGGTCCGAAATTTGCCGTTACAGATGACACCGCTGGCGGCAAGTCTAGCTCGACGCGAGTTTAGCACTCGCTCGGGCAACCTCCGATCCGGTTATCTCACCCTGGATCGCACTCGTAAGGCGGTGCCACTGTTGAAAGTCGACCCTCTCGTTCTGCAGCAACCGCTTGTTGGTGTTTGGGTGTACGGAGTTCAGATTGACGATGCTTGGGATGAGGAAACAGCGCGGCGGCAACTCGCGGATCCGTTCCTGTATTTCGCGTGCGTTGGGTACCTCATGTCTGAGGCAGTTAAAGAGCGTGTGGGACCAGCAAAGAACACGTTCTTGGTGGCACTGTACCCTGCCGGCGATCCTGAAGACAGTGACGCCGTTGGTTCTTTGCCTCGCTTTTTTGAGTGCAGCTACTCGGAGTTTTTGACACCGCCTGCACGACCACTTCCAATGGAATTATACTCTCACCGACGATCTTGCTTGGTCGGTGTATCGAAATTCTCAAGTGATGTCGAGCTTACTCTGTCGTCTGCGCCGACAAGCGAGTGGGAAGCGGCTCGACGCCAAGCTAAAATTCCCACTGCACCGCGTTTGACGGATGCCCAGAACTCTGAGTCAAGCGAGGCTAAAACGACGATTCCGGATAATAATGCAGGAGAGCGATCGTGTACACCACGAACGATGGCATCGTACAGTGACAAGGGAGAAGAGGAAGACATGGCGAGTGGGTGGACGGTCACAGGCGACGTCATCCAAAAGGATATCAACCCAGTTCTAAACGTTTCCAGTAGAGCATCGGCTCAAACTGACGAGGAAAAGGATAAACTTCCGTCATCCATCAATGCTGATCGCATAGAGGTTGAAGAGAAGTCTAGAAACGCACCCAGCGAAGCTGATCTCCATGATGCGACGTGTGGGCACGCTGGAGAAGAATCGTCGCGTCTATCATCCCTAAACGATACAGAAGGCATTGCACGGCGTCGCCAGCGTGGTTGGTCAGATAAAAATGACAGTAGCTACCGAAGTTGCTGCAAAACCCAACAGCTACTTACAATTCAGCACCAACAAATCCTCGAGAATCAACAGAGGCAATTGCATGAAATGCAGGAGCAAATTGCTCAACTGCGCCGCCTTCTCGACGAAGCAAGGGGCAACAACAGCAAGGAAGTGGTCCATCGTGTTCCCAGCGAGGCAGGATATGATTCAGACGCTAGCAGCTCGAGCATCGGAGCGGTGGCTGACGTCTCTAACGTCTCAAGCACATTCAGCAGGCATGGGAATGGCCAACGTAACTCGCAGTCGTCTCTTGCCTCGGTACCGCAGCGAAATGGCGATGAATCTTTCTCGGACAAGTCCTCTATTCGTGTGCACCAAGAAAACCAGAACAAAAACGAAGACAAAGACGAAGACGAGGACAACGATGAGGACGCCTCGTTGAGCTCACTGGATTTGTCGTCAATTAGCAGTGGCTCCGTTGACGCCGATTTGTCATCTCTATCGTCGTCTCTTGTTGGTGAACGGCTGAAGCAGCTCGATCCATCCTCTAGCATCAGCCAGTTGCAAGCACGTGGCGAATGCACGAACCCTCAAGCTGAAGTATTAGAACAGTCAAAGGTATCGACTGGCAGCATTCAACCAACTACCCAAGGTGAAAATTGCGCTGATACAGAGGCATCCAATGAGCTTGTCGAGGGTGGTGAGGTTGAGGAGAATCCCGTAGTGCAAGATTTGGTCATCGATGAATTGAGTGGTTCTATGAGCGGGAAGGCAACCAGAGATGGCAGCAAATCAAGCGTGGCGTCTGCCAGTAGCCGCGACGATGATGAAGATCGCGATGCCGATGTCAACAGCGACAATCCCTCTCTGACTGAACGGTTGTTGCCACCTGATGCTTACCTTCGCAAGGTTGGAGGAGGCTTCGTTGACCACCACGGTGGCTGCTTCACGACCCCACCATTAGACTTCCACAATTTCTGTGTACCTCGCATCAAGTTTTCGAGCGAGACACCTGAGTGCTCGATGTCCGACTCAGAAGACGAGGAGATTCGCCTCATCGAGCAGAAGTACAAGAGGTTGATGGCGGCATGAACAACCTACTCATTCACCTGCCCAGTAGGTATCCGTAGTATAGTTTCGTTCGTTTGTTCGGCAGGTACACTAAGATTAAGCGTTTACTACATCATAAGCAACTCACTGCTCCGATCTCCAGGAGGCGAAAGCTGCCGTAAATGCTACGGCACCGGGACAAGCAGTTCGCTGATTGTTTGCTTGACTTCAGACCCCAACGATGCTCCCGGGCTCTTCACATACACAAGGTAATCGGCGGGGAGCATGAACACATCAGGTGGTTGGCCGTTGGACGCTGCTGACTGCACCACAAACCGGAAGCGGTTCAAATTGTAGACGCCCGGCGCCATGAAGCATGCCTTCAAGTTGATCGCGACCCGGCTGTTTGGCGCAAAGCGCGTCACCTTCTTCTTGGTGACTCCCGTCCAGAAGAAGCGCGGAGGCGCACCGTGAAGTGGAGAAGCCCCAGAGTACGAAATCGAGTGCAGCTTGGTCAATGCGGCAGTACTGGGCAGTGAAGCTTGAGCTTCTTCTGGATGCAACATCTCCACAGTAACATCGAGCGGCGCTGAGCTAGGCGCCGAGTCATTGCATACCTGCATCATGATGTCTAGCTCGGCGATGTTGAGCCCTGACGTAGATCCAGGGTACGTGGAACCTTGCAGCTCAACCGAGTCGTCGTAGCTGAGGGTCACAGTTAACGGGCACGAATTCTCTTGAGCAGGTGGGCGGATTTTGACTGATGTCAAGTTAGTCTGACCGATAGCCCGATGAGGAGCTACCCCAGCAACCTTCTCGCTGTATGACGAGCTACAGTCGGTAGACCACACTAGCACCAGATGTCCATCCGTGTCCGAATGGGATAGCAAAGCATCTTTCGACGTCGGTTGTGGTTCCTGTTGGGGTTTATGGTCATTAACATCTTCGCCAGCAGCATTTTTCAGCGCCTTGTTCTCACGTCTCACACTTTGAATTGTACGGAAGCCACCACCGCGCTTTCCTTCGCTACCATCACCAGCTCCAGCGCCCCCTACGCGAACGAGCTCCGTTGCATTTTCGAGGCACAGAAACTGCTCGACAGGCAAAGTCGCGGATAACTCTGCAGTGCATTGCTCTGAGTTAAGCGGCAGCTTGCACATATCAGTTGTCTCTGAATCGAGTTGACGAACCACGCGGAAGTAGCTGGTGCTCGCCTCGAAAAACCCAAGATGCAGTGAATCTCGCACATTCAAGGCATTCTGTACCGACGGCCTTGGTAGTTTCTCAACTGCCCACGAATTGCTTACGCACAGAAGTTCCTCTAAACGGACTACGTCAGCCTGTGGTCCAGTCATCTCGTGGTGGTCGCCACGTTGGTTTGAAACGGTAATACCGAGAATGTATTCACCACTGGTGCTGAAGCTTGGCTCGATGGAGTACGACACGTCGACGCACGGCAGCAAATCCAGATCCAGCCGTATTTTAACTGTGCGCGAAAGAGACTTGGTATGAGTTTCTCCTTCTGTCTGCGACGACTTGTACTTGAATAAGAGGGCCGAATGACGTCGTCCAGGAACTGATCCTCGTGCCCAGACTGTCAGTTCTTTGCTTTCTCCCGGAGCGAGAACCACGTCACTCAAATCCACAACGTGACCACTCGCTCCAATGTACCCGCATAGCTCTCCTGCACTGTCCGTTCCCGATGCGCACAGCAACAAATCTGTACAACAAATCTGGAGGCCAGCAAGCGCTGCGGTTCCTGAGTTGGCCAGCGAAATCTTCAGCTTGATAAGCTCACCAACATAGGCCTCAGCTGGAACACCTTCGACTTTAACACCAAGCCACGGCATAGATTCAACGACATTGGCGATTAAACTCATGTTCGGCGCACGAGCTCTAGCTTCTCGGTGTGCTCTTGTATCTTGCAGTAGAGGACCAGGAATATCAAATGCGTGTTCACCCTGGACGTCTCCGCCGCATATCGACCAGCGGACGCCCGTCAAACTTAGTTTCCCTCGAATCTTTGGGCAGACTGCAAGACGGACCCGCTCCTCGCTGCATGGCAATAGCTGAAGGTTCACACTGTCAATAACAATTCGCTGATCGCCAGAATCTCGGTTCTCTGGCACATCAAATGTCTCCATGTCGTCCCCCACGATTTCAAACTTCCCGAACAAATGGATATCTTCAACATCAACAGCACACGAGAGTGCGTTCTTCATCACAAACTCAACATAGATCTGTTCCCCCAAAACGTAGTTTTCGGGTTTTTGGATCGCAGCGTTCTTCTTGTTGCGATATCCGGCATACAGGTGCGAAGGCGCAAACCAACTTTTTGCTTCGTCCGCTCCAGCCGACGTAACGTACTGATGCAGACGATTCTGCTTGTCAATATGCTCACCCAGTGCTTGCCACGTCTCCTCTTCCGAGTGATTGCCGTCAATAGAACGGTCAATGCCAAACGCATTGGTCGACGCGAACACAACTGTTGACTTGTCATCCAGCTCAGGCATGCACAAGTCTCTCACCAGAAGTTTCTTAGCGCTACTATCTTCGTTTTTGATCAAAACGGGTCCACCCCGAGAAAATGAGGACGGGGATGCATCAGCGCAATCCGTTGCGAGGAAATCCTTGACCATCAGACCAAAATCGTACAGCATCGCCTCTTGTTGACTTGCCGAGTTGCGGCCAGTGCCGATGAGCTTGAGAAAGAGGTTAATAGAGGCCATGCGATCATCCAGCTTATTGGCTTGTTGTGCCAGCATAAAGTTGATGTGATCTTCGACGAGAAACCAGCCGCTGCAGTCATAGATAGCTCGTGCCAAAGAGTAGCACCTGGCAGAGTGCTGCTCATGTCCAAGCGAATCGTACACGTGCCCAGCCATCACCATTCGGAAACCGTACTTGCGGAATTTTGGCTGTCGTGCTCGAAGGTCACAGAGAGCTGCACGCTCCATGAGAACTGCGGCACAGATGCCCTGTTCCATGGTTGATCCCCGAATCAGAGCAGCAGACGCGTTATCCATGTAGTCTGTGAACAAACCAGACTTACTCAAGGCGTGGTAGATCTCACCTGCGATAACCGCAGTGCGGATAGCCAGTCTCTGAGTCAACGCAGACGGCGCCTTGGCGTAGATAGCATTTGCCGAGTCCAGAACATTCGTCATTTGCATAGGCGACCCCTTTGTCAGAAGCAAGCAGATCGCAATCATCTCGTTGACGTTTGCGCAGTGGAACACCGACTTGTCCGACTTGAAGTCGTCACGAACCAACCGATACATTTGCAGCGCGAGCTCGTAGTCTCTCACCAGGAACGCCGTGTCCGCCAGCAGACGCGTCTGCGACTCAATCGAGTCGCATTTGTACGTAACCCCTCCCGAAGCAGCAGCATTTGACGGACGCAAGTCCTTCGGCTTGCGCAGCCACGACTTGAACACATTCTTCACGCCCTTCTTCATCGCCGACACCACCTCGTTCAGCTGGAAAATCCGCCCCTCAAGCGAGGACAGCATGAACCGCAGTCCGAAATCCCGAACGAACGCCTTGATCTGTGCCACATCATCTCTGGACAACAAGGTGCCCACTCCATCACTCACCTGCGGGAACGTCTCCATTTCATGCGGGAACAGGGGCGGTCTCACGTACGGGTTCTCCGTCCACAGCGTCGCGAATTGCGAGGGCGGGGGGGCTTCCTCCACGGGCAACGAATTGATCCTCAGCACCGCTCCATTTACCGTGGTAATGTTCATACTGCGCAAGATCGCGTCCGGGTCGATAGACGTGCCCTCCGTCTCCAGCACATCGTGCACCACCACGTAGAACTTGGGCACGAGCATGGCATCGTACAGTCCTTGCTGGAACGGCGCCGGGAGGTTCTTGGGCGCCGTGAGTTCCTCGAAGCTGTGGCGCGGGTTCGGGTCCGTGGAGCTCACGACCACCAGCATGGCCACTGGATGGCACAGCAGACTGTACTCTTCACAGCGGAACGTGTCCATGAGCGTGTGCTTGAAGGAGCGGTACCAGGGCATGGGGTCGTTACTGCCTTCCGCGTCGGCGTCAGCCCCAACAACGCGGAGGTACGTGGGGACGTCATCGACGCTGGTGACGCGCGGGATGTCCAGCTCCACTGCGGACGCGGCGTTGTGCGGCGGCGGGTAGCGCTTGATGCTGGCGTTGAGCTGCTCGGTGCCTTCGTTGAGCCCCAGCGAGTGGAACTGGCTGGCCGAGAGGAAGCGGAAGTTGAAGCGCGCGAGCTGGATCGGGTGCGTCACGGAGCGCAGCGGCGTGTCGGCGTCCTCCAGGCGCGCGAAGCCGTTCAGCAGGTCGGAGATGGACAGGTTGTTCTTCTGCGCGATGCGCTCCGCCTCGGACGTGGAGCACGTGAGCACCACAGGCGCGAACGTGTCCTGCACCCAGCTCTCCATGGACTCCATGGCCCGGCGAGCAGCGGAAGTTAAGGCGCGCGAGCTGGATCGGGGGCGGTCCTCCAGGCGCCGAAGTCAGGAATTGTGAATTGACGCAGATTTGGGGTACCTTCTGACACAAATCACGCATACTTGGGAGTACACAAAACACAATTGTACGCAGATTTGGGTGCACCTTTTTTACGCAAAACACAATTCACGGACCGGTACCGGTATTTGCAATATGGACATGAACATCGAGCGGAATGAGGCAGCGGAAGTGCCCGAGAGCGCAGGTCAGAGCGGCGACAACAGCGAAGAATTGACTCCTTCTGCTGGCGCTGACTATGGCAACAACGACAAGAAGCGGAAGTCATGCGCTGTGATTGGCTGTAAGAGCTTAGTGCGGTCACGCGGGCTGTGCAAGGCTCATGGGGGCGGGACGCGCTGTCAGGTGGAGGGCTGCATGCGAGGTGCCCAAAGCGCGGATATCTATCTCTGCATCGCGCACGGCGGAGGAACGCGCTGCAGTGTCTCAAACTGCAGCAGCGCGGCTCAATCGCGGGGGCTATGCAAGAAGCACGGGGGCGGCAGCCGATGCAACTTCGAGGGATGCACCAAGGGCTCACAGGGCAACGGGTTCTGCAGGAACCACGGCGGAGGATACAAGTGCAAGCACCCGGGTGGCTGCATGAAGTGGGCACAAGCGCACGGTTTGTGCGCAAGGCACGGCGGGTGGCAGCGTATCGAGAGCAGAAGTGAGGAGCGCCAGCCAGCGAGCAGTTCAGGCACACCGAGCGGCGACGCAACCGAGTATGCCAGCAGTACTTCCGCGGCCCCCGTGAGCGCTGCCAGGCAGAGTATAGCGGCGCCACCAGCCACTTCTCCAGGGCTGTGCCAGGTTGCTGGGCGTGCCGGTGCCGTTGAGAAAAGAGGTGTTTGCCGATTCCACAGCGCCAGAGCGCGCTGCAACAGCCTCATTGGGTGTCGAAACATGGTGCACGCAAACGGATCGTGTCTGATACACTGCAACACGCAAGCGGCAAGCACTAGCAGCAACTCTGGGCTTCCTCACGCACACGGCACTGGTTTCATACCCTCGCAGCCAGTAGCCAACAGCCAAGCCACGCCATCACCCGCATCAACGAGCCGGACCACAGCCCGCCAACAAGAACTCCGGGCGAGAGAATACTGCGACGCGGTCGTATGGGCTCGCTCCGCCGAGTTGCTCTCCATCCTCGGCAGTGACGTCCCGCCTTCGATCGAGACATCGGCTCGCAGACAGCAGCGTGTCGCCGAGCAGTACTGCAACGAGGCCCTTGTCGCGAGTGCCATCCGCTTCATCCACGCGAATTCTTCGTCTCGATCCTCAGCGCCGATAGTGTCCGCGCTCATTGAAAGAGGAATGGCGCGTCCAGGAGTGCAAGACCTGCGGCTGTTGTAACGCGACCTGCGGACCGGGGCGGAGGCGTGGGCAACGGACAAGTGCCCCGTAGCCGCAAGGGCAGACTAACACCAGAAGTGCAGCTTTCCGCTCAATTACTTGTAGTTGCCGTTGAAGCTCGCATCCAATCAGCTCTGCTTACGCTAATGCGCGTGCCTGACTGGCACAAAAGTGAGGTGGCAGACTGCGATTGGGCCTGCAATCCCATTGAGGCAGCACTCAGAGCGACTGCACGCCTTCACTGCAAGCTCCTGGCACCTAGAAGCTTCGAGCGCGGCGAGCTCACGGCAATCTGATTACGCGGTGAGGGAACTGATATCCTGCATACGGCATGCGTTAGGGTAGGCCCAACCCAGCGGGCCAATCAGCGTGCGCGGAAGCGTTTTGGGTGACAAACCCGTCGAAAGAAACGAAACAGAAGAAGCGGCCACAAGCAGCTCCACGCCTCGAGCAGCAGAGCGACATCTAGATCGGACGCACCTCCTCCTCCTCCTGCTCACAGAGCACCGACCCTAGCAAGCAAGCGAGCACCATGACGGCCCACGTGGACACGAACAAGAACGTCAACTGGATGGACTCGCGCGGCTTCTGGACCTTCTACATCATGCTGCTGGCCTCGCTGTACATGGCGATGCCCATTATCTTCCCCACACACGGTGACGCCCTCACGGCGGTCAACGTCATCCACGGCGTGGTACGTCTGCTTGTATCTCGCAGTCTGTAGGGTAGGGTACGCGCCCCACGGGGGGGGTAGAGTGCTCTGCATCACACTGTTCTTGACGGGGCTGTTCTGTACTGATATGATTGCTACTGCTGCAGGTCTCGTTCGGCATCATGCACTGGGTCAAGGGCTCGCCCGATGACAACTCGATGGGCGACTACCGCGAGCTCACGTTCTACGAGCAGATCGACCAGGGCCACCCGTGGACCAACACGAAGAAGTTCCTCATGATGATCCCGACGTTCCTCTTCCTGGCCGCGTCGGTCGCCACGGACTACGACACGCGCCACCTGCTCATCAACTTCCCCATCTGGGCGACGCTCATCCTGGCCAAACTGCCGGAACTCGACCGCGTGCGGATCTTCGGCATCAACTCCACGGTCGGCATTGACGACCACAAGAAGAACTAAGTAAGCGAGGGTGTCTCACGACCAGGCTGTACGTCAAGAGCGCAGCGCGAGCCGCGCTCTCGTGCGTCGAGGCGGTGCCACGTCAGCAGCGGCGACCTCCATCTTTTGTGAGTCTACACTACGGACAGCGTGATCGATTAGCTGGAGAGCACAAGGCGAGAGTGGACTGGGCTCCTTCCTGCCTTCTTGAAGTTTGATTTGCTACGTGTACCTTGCTGCGTTGCTGCATGCCCCCATGCAGTGAACCATTGAACAAGATTGCCATGATCTCACTTTCGACGTTGTCTTAGTATGCGTAACGTGGCATTTCGTGCCTTGCTGTGATTAAGCGTTGCAGAAAACAGAAAGCAAAAGCTTTGCCCTATCCAAAAACCACACAGCTCACATTACATCTACCGTCGCACCTCTGCCGACGCGCAGCGATAGCTTCTTTTTCTTCCTGCTTTTCTGTCGGTAACTCTTTCCACCCTTTGCCTTTCTCCCTCTCCACCCACTCGTCCATCTGCCAGGAAGTGAACTGCGGTCGAAACTAAGGATCTTCGGTTGGTCACGATGAATGGAGATCGCATTGACGTTAAAAGCTGCAGGATCCAATAGTCAGAAGTTAGCTGTGAGGGCTCTAGCAGCATCCGCTCTTCGACTTGGACGCCTGAGGCGGGGTGATAGGGAACGCCTCGCGCTCGGGCTGAGGCGGGTTCTTCGGCAGCCGCTTGGCAATGGCAACGAATAGGTCCTTCACGTTCACAGCAGTCTTCGCAGACGTCTCCATGTGCAGGATGTCGTTGTCCTCGGCGTACTGGTGCGCCTCCTCGAACTCCACCTTGCGACGGGCCTCGAGATCGGCCTTGTTACCGGCAAGAGCGATGACCACATTGGGGTCTCCACGGCGCTGCAGTTCCTTGACCCAAGACTTGGCGCCCGTGAACGAGTCCTACGTGATAGCACAATCGACAACCATCAGCAAGACCATGCGACAATTGCCCGAGGACCACCAGTTCGCACCTTGTTGGTCACGTCGTACACGACGATAGCTGCCGCCGCACCACGGTAGTACATTGGCGCCAAACTGCGGTATCGCTCTGCACACATGGAGTAACGTAACATCAAAAGTAAGTCAATGTACCCACACCACCTTCATTAGCTTGCCGCATCAGCAGCAGAATTTAAACACTTGCCTTGTCCTGCGGTATCCCAGATCTCAAACTTGACCGTCAACCCGTCCTCGAGACCGACCGTCTGTGTAAGAAAAGCAGCTACAAGTAGAAAGAAAATCACCAACCGCCGCAGAAGCACAAGAACAACAGACACGGTTAGGACCATCCTCACACTCCCACGATAGCGCATACAAATCCTCCATGCCGCGTCCAGCGCAGGACAGGATCCCGCGTCTAGGTAATAACGAGAGAGAGAAAGAGAGAGGCCTACCTCCAATGGTGGGCTCCTGGAACTCGAAGAACTCGTCGCGCACGAACCGCACGACGAGACAAGACTTGCCCACGGCCGTGTCGCCCAGCAGCACCAGCTTGAAATGGCACGTCTTTCCCTGCGACATCCTGGTGACTTTTTCTTCTTCTTCTCCTTAGTTAAAGTGCTTCTTTGTCTCGGCTGACTCGAAGAACGCTCGAGATCCTCCTGGCTTTCTTCGCTCGCTGATTCGCGCGACTCGTCGACGGTTGCTGGATGCCTCGCTGTGGCGTGTGCTGCGTCCTGCCGTCTCTGCGGCTGGCTGGGGCGTGGCTTGGGTGGCGCGGGTACCGAATGGGAGACTGGAAGTCGCTCGCCTCCTGCTGCCTTCTCGCTTTGTTTCTTTTTCTCGCCTACGCGGTACTGACAGCGTATTTGTATGGGATCCCCCACCCCGCCCAGCTGAGATGGGAGACCTGCCACATCTTATAAGCACACTGGATTTCAGAGGCACACTGGGTACCGGCTGGAGTGGTACACAATATAACGTGGCACTTGACTGCCTCGCCCAGCTCTTCGATGGCATGGGCCCATCGTGGCATTTTAGTATCTGGACAACTATGCGTTGCATGTTTAATAGTTACCCCTAATAGTATCCCATAAAGCTACTACCTACCTACCTACCTACCTATCTGCAAAGCTTGCTTGCCGTTACTCCTCGCTTTTCATCTCACACTCGGCCGGAAGGTACGAGAGCAGCCTGTCGGGCACCATCTGCTTGAGATCGTTGTACGGCGCCTTGTGCAGATTCAGCTTCTGCAGGATGTCGGCATCGTCGTGGATCTCGAACGGCGCGCTGAAGTTGAAGAAGATGTCCTGGCGATCTTCCGACATCTCGCACTGGATCACCGTGTCCTTACTTGTGTTCACCGCGATGAATGGCAGAAACACCCGCCCTTCGTCGCGTACAATCGTGGCGGCTGTGGGGTTCTCACTCTCCTTGCGCTTTCGCTCGGCGTTTCGCTTCAATAGGTTCTTCATGGCAACTTGCTGCACCAGGAGATCCTGCAGATGCTGCTTTTTCTGCTCCACGCTCTTCATACGCTCGTTTCGCTCCGCCTGACACAGGATACAGAGTACGTAAGCACGCTTTTACCACTGCAAAGGATTGTAGCAACACTGGTAAACAAACCAGTAGCATTTCCGTGTCATGCTGCATATTTGAAGGCAGCCCTTTCCATCGGATCTCCTTGCGCTCTTTTGAGATGATGTCCATGGCCATCAACACATTTAATGCGTCGTATACTCGCCGGCGAATGTTCTTCTCATCGTAGACCTAAATAATCACACTCAACAATGAGCCTTTGCAACATGCCGTTTGTCCTCAAGCGCCAGCTTACCGCATCATTTGGTCGCATCGTGACGAACTCGCGCACAAGTTCATCAGCCACTTCATTGTAGGACGTGACGTGTTTTTCCTCTACCTTTTGGCAGACTTTCATACTGAAATGGCGCAAGCCTTTGTTGATCTTCAGATATTTCCTCTTCTTCCCTGGCGAACTGTAAGCACAATACATACCGACATCGAAAGCATACAGCCGATCAGTGCTTAGTTCAATCAGTAAGAAAAATATAACGGGCAGGGCATCCACGTACGGGCTAGTGAACGACGGGCTCGGGAGCGGCGTCGGGATCGACGCCGGCTTCTTTCCGGCCCCAGATTTGACAGGGGTACTTGCAGCTGAAGCAGGAGTCGCCAATTGCTGCGACTCCACAAGAGAGCCATTTCGCAAAAGCCCTGCTTCTGTGGCCATCTTCTCCAGTCCCTGCGTCTTCATCATGTTCACGAAGTCGTCATGCAGACTAGTGGGCGTGATCGACGCGCTGGCTGCATCAAGACCAAAGGGCGTGGCCTCCACCTTGATCTCTAGATTTTAGCGCACATAGCAAACAAAATAGCAGTGTTAAGCGCACAATAACTAGCTTCAAAATAGCTTAACTACAAGCAGCAAACCCACCTGGTGGAATGTCATTCTTCTCCTCCAGGTCCACCTCCGTCAGCTTCTTGAGCTCTCGACGCGTCGCCCGCTTCGTGGTTCCATTACTCGCAGCTCCTACTCGCTTCTTCCCTGCTACTTTTGCCGGAGCCTTCGCATTGGTTGTTCTCCGAGCCGGAGACTGCAAGCCGTCCGGTAGTGGCGCTCCTTCCGCAGACATGAGCCCGGTGTTAGCTTGGTTGATCGCTTGCGTTCTCGGCTTAGGATACAGAGGCTTTGCGGCTTCTTTTTACACCATACGATAAACAAGCATAGTGTTAACACGTTGCAGTTCTCCAGGGAGCAGCGGCTGCGGTGTCCTAGTCACGGAAGGATACACGGCAACACTCACGGGCCGCGCGACGTTCTGCTGGGGGAATCAATTGTATCGGCATCAATGAAGACGGTAATGGGACCTTACCATTGGTTGAAATATGGTGGCCCCACAACGCTTTCATTGGTTGATATTCAGTGCAGCTTGTTACAGCCGACAAATAGGCCGGAGAGCGACAGGATGCCCCGCGACGACGACTTCTACGTTCGCTACTAGTGCGTACAGGCGGTGAATGTACGCAGGAGGCTACTGGTGTGGTGGTAGCTGACGTTCTTGTTGCTGTGATGTCTGCTTTGTGCCTTGCAGCGTTGGCCACCGCGGCAAGTTCGGTCATGAGTTCATGGAGTTCGAGTTCCGCGCGGACGGGAAGCTCCGTTACGCCAACAACTCCAACTACAAGAAGGACTCGATGATCCGGAAAGAAGGTGGGCTGGCACTTGTGTTGATCAAATAATGTGGTGATGGCGGAGCTATGTAGACAATTGCTAACGTGGTGCTGGGGCTCTTTTGTTTCAAAAGTGACGGTGTCCCAGTCGGTCATCGACGAGGTCAAGCGGATCATTAGCGATAGCGAAATCACAAAGTACGTGGCGGGACCATCCTTCTAGTTGCTGGAATAGCATGCAATAATGCTGATGTGGGAACGTGCTGCTGTGCCTCAACAGAGAAGATGACAAGGAGTGGCCGGAACCAGACCGTGTCGGACGGCAGGAACTGGAGGTCGTGTTGGGTGACGACCACATCTCGTTTACGGTATGCCTTGGCAAGTTGATATCGCGCGATTATATGTGTGCCAATAGGCTGACGTTTGTACATGTTTTCATTTGCAGTGCGCGAAGATCGGCTCGCTGCTGGACGTGCAGGACAGCAAGGACCCGGAGGGTCTGCGTGTGCTGTACTACCTGGTGCAGGATCTCAAGTGTTTGGTGTTCTCGCTCATCACACTGCACTTCAAGGTAGGTCTTACCGTATTGTTTCAGCCATATGAGCAAAGTCTCTTGCAGTTGGTATCTCACAACGCCTATCTCTGCCTGCCTGCCTGTTCAGATCAAACCCATTCCGTAGGATGATCATGCTGGTCAGACTGGCGATTTCGAGTGGTCAACAGGGAGCAGCTTAATGCTGCTAGCTCGAGAAACGCACCAATATACACAACCATTTTTGTGTTCTTGTAGGTGATCATTTTCGCGACATTCGGGAGTTCATAATATCACTTCAGCAGCAGGTTTAAATGATTTCACCGTAGGCAGCAGCCCCTGCCATAGGGAGGCTACTCTGAGCTGTTAGAGATAAATACCAACTTGGGCACCCGCTGTCGTTGAGTGTCGTAGGCCTTGGCGACGACTATGGGAGTCGCCTCCCTACACCATGCTCGGTGCTGTACTTTCTTGGCGGCATGGAAGCGCACATCCAGGAATTCGTTGGCCGTCTCCATCTCCGTCTCGGCCACGTGCACGCACTTCACGTTGCTGCTCTTGGTGATGGCTCGCACGGCCGCGTCGAATGATCGGGCGGGGACCAGCACCACGGCGGCGACACCACGGCATCTTTGCTTTCTTAAATGACAATCATGACTTCACAAGGGCAACGTAACTTCAAAACCACGAAGGCCTTCAGTAACCTGGTGTGCAGCTACACGTAGTCTAAGACGCACCACTGGATACGCTACTGCGATCTATGCCAAAATCGCTATTCCTCGACCCTTGGCTACCAATTCAACTCATCCCTAGAGTTTTGCGCGGCTTACAATGAAGGAGCTAGGTTAGTATCGTCAAGTGAGATGGCTAGCTTCATCGTTGGTCTTGGCCCAAGACTCTTGGAGAGAAAGTGCTTGCACTTTCAAGGCAACGTGTTTCCGTGCTTTCACCGCTAGTTCGTGGATCGCGTCAACTTGAGCTCTGTCTAGTAGGTTCTTGGTCGCTTGCGCCAATCTTCCAGAATGCAAATGAGGAGTTGAATTAGTCTCGTCAAGCAAGGTGTCCGTGGTCAATTCCATCGGCACCACTTCAGGTTAGATTCAATTGTTATTTGACTTGCTGCGTTTGTTGTCTTCAGCGTCTACGGTGGCAAAAGAGAAAACTGTTTATCCGCGTCTCGTGCGCGCTACGAAGAATTATTTCTGTGATGGGGGAGCCCTCGTCACCTGGGTCCTGCGTCTTGCAATGGTGCACCCGAAGTCTCTCGTCCGCGCAGTTCAGTGTGCGAGGGTTCTCGACGGACTGTGGTCAATTACGGTGCGCGACGCTCTCTCGCGCGGAGCGTGGCGTTCTTCATGTCCGGCCCGCGACCACGTCGGCGTAGCTGCGCGCCTTGGAGCCTGGCTCCGAGTGCCGCTCCTGTGCGAGGAAGACCCAGCCTTCCACGTCGGCCTCGCGCGTGAAGGCCGTCTCCTGGGACACCTGCTCGCCGGGCTTGTCGGCGGCCTTGCCCTCCTTGGCGCCGGGGGCGAAGAATCGGTGCAGCAGCGAGTCCAGCATCGTTGTTCTCAGGTGGAGAGTCGTGGTCGTTGCCTGGTTGTCTTTGCTTCTTGTTTGCTGGTTGTTGCCTTTTGTGATGTGGAGCCGAATCTGGAATCTGCAGCGGGAACTTCAAAGTGCGAACGAAAGAATCTGCGAAAAAATGCTCTTCCGTGCCATAGTGAAACCAAGTGGCCAGCAGTTCAAATTGAAGCGCCGATGCAACCGCAAACCGTGCTGCTGAAGTTGAATAGTTTTGCGATTTGACCCTGCCGTAAGCACGACGTTTTACGGCCGAACTGCGTGTTGTTGAGGAGAGCCGACGTATGGTTGCAGCTACCCTAGCAGGCAGAGATTAGGCTCCAGCTGGCGCGAAGAAGAAGAAAGCTAAGCTGATGCATGTCTTAGCTTCCGTTGCTGTTGTTATTATCCTGGTGGTTCTAGAAGGCTGAACCACTGCAATGCCGACTTGTGAACTTGCGGCATTGAGCGAGAACCTTTCCTGAGGAAGGCCAAACTTTCTGCAACTGCAACTTGCCTTTGTAGCAATCTTTCCACGTCAATACATGTGCCGTACACTATATTCGTGTAGAATTTATGTACACTGGTCCTCCCGCCACTTTTCGCCCAACTCGCCCAGGAGCTATGACGGCGGAGACCTCGTCGGCACCCGCCGATGAAATCGTTGGTGCCAGCGGAAGCTCGAGCCAGAACACGGACGAGTCGGCGCAAGGCAACGAGGCCAATGAGGCGAAGAAAGAGGAGGATGCCGAGAGGCCGCCAGCACCCGGGGGTTCGCCTGAAACTGCGGAGTCTGAGCAGCAAGGAGAGGGTTACGGGGAGATGAAGGAGCCAGAGACGGAATCTAAGAAGGAAGATGCAGCACCCACTGAGAAGCAGGAGAGCGGCGATGTGGAGATGGCTGATGAGAAGGATGCCCCTCCAGCCGAAGAGGTGAAGACGCAGTCGTCCGACGTGGAGATGAAGGCGCAAGAGAACGAAGCGAAGAATGAGGATGACGAGTCTGCAGTCAATGGCGAGGCTGAGGCTAAGGAGGGTGCTGCGGCAGACGCAAAAGCTACAGAAGCTGATGTGGAGATGAAGGAGAGCACCGCGGAGGAGTCTAAGAGCGAGAGCAATGCTGAGGAGGCAAGAGAAGCTGCTGCAAAAGAGACCAATGAAAACTCCGAAGATGCTAAGGCGGGCTCGGATGCGACAGCTTCTGGTTCGCCTAAGAAAGTCTCGGAAGCGCCGGTCACCCCTGTAAAGCTAGTCTCATCTCCAGCTAAAACTTCTGCTAACGGTGATGCGGCTACGAAAAGTGATGACCCCAAGACTGTCGACGCAAAGCAAGTGGGAGCTGATGCAAAGGACGAATCGACCAGCCCCAAGCGTAAGGAGCCGGAGAAAAATGCTACTTCTGCTGCTGAATCCTCTAACGGAGTCGACGGAGTTGCGGCACCGTCGGAACCTGCTGCAAAGAAGCAAAAGGTGGATGCGCCTGATGCGAAGGCCTCTGAATCTGCTACTGCGGATGGAACTGCGGCATCCGTGATGCTCTCCCGTGACGACATGGCCAAGATGGAGGAGGATAGCGGCCGACTGAAGTTCGATGTCATCACGAACGACGGCACAGATGAGCACATGATCCAGCTCACCACTTTGAAGAACATTTTCGCAAAGCAACTTCCCAAGATGCCCAAGGAATACATTGTTCGGTTGGTTTTCGACAAAAACCACCGATCGATGCTCATCCTCAAGAACGGCACCCATGTGATTGGAGGCATTTGCTACCGTCCCTTTGAGAAGAATCACTTCGCAGAGATTGCATTCTGTGCCATTAACGCTTCGGACCAGGTGAAAGGATACGGTACGCGGTTGATGAATCACCTCAAGGAGTATGTCAAGACCAAGAACATCACGCACTTCCTCACGTATGCCGACAACTACGCTATTGGGTACTTCAAGAAGCAAGGCTTCACCAAAAGTGTATCGATGGCTCGGCCTAACTGGTACGGCTACATCAAGGACTACGACGGTGGAACTCTGATGGAGTGCACCATTCACACCCAGATCAACTATTTAAGGATCACGTCGATGATTCACATGCAGCGCGAGGTATATCGTCATCAGTGCTGTATGTAACTTGAAAGCTGGCAGTGCGCTGACGCGGGGTTCTGACTGTATGCGCAGGCTATTCAAAAGAAGATCAAAGAACGCTCGCGATCTCAGAATGTGTATCCGGGCCTAACAAAGTTCGCGGAGGGCAGGCTGATGGATATCTACATGGTCCCCGGCGTCAGTAAGTGTTTGTTCCACGCGTGTTGCTGTTGCTCTCTATGTTCTGCAAACAGTTTCGCTGACAGCATCGCTTTTCTTGCTTACAGAGGAAGCTGGCTGGTCTCAGGCAACGATTCGCAACAACCGTATCGGGTGCGTGGTCTTTCTTGCTCTCCCTTCGGTGGGCGTATACAGTTTTTCTGATACTCTTGCTTTATTTTCGTTTGTATAGAACCCGCGATCAAGGTAGTCTGAAGTCGCAGCTCTCCCAGTTGTTGAAGGCCGTGTCGAGCCATCGCAGCGCGTGGCCGTTCCACGAGCCCGTGGACACTTCCGTCGTGGTCGACTACCTAGACCACATTAAGGAGCCTATAGACCTGCAGCTCATCAGCAAGCGCATCGACAGCGGCGCCTACATCTCCAAAGCTGCGTTCAAGGCGGACCTTGACAAGATGTGCGACAACTGCACGACGTACAACACGCCCGACACCAACTACTACAAGTACGTCCCCCCCGCGCTGCCCCCATGTTGTTACGAAACCTTACGCTCATTCTACTCTTCCTTTCCAGGGCCGCCGTGGATCTGCGCGAGTTCATCCAGTCTCGAATTCAGATCAGAGATCACAAGTAGGCGCTCTACAGTGGAAGGACTGTATAGCCCTGCTCTTCTGTAAGTCGAATGAACAAGATCTTAGCCCTGCCTCTTGTCAGGAGAGTAAATTTAGAACTTCTAAATCTGTATCTCTTCTGAAATTATTCTCTGAAAAATCAAGTTAACGTTAGCGTAAAATTAACAAAAGCTCGGTGAGCTCAGTATCCAAAGTGGATAAAATCGACACCATGGCAAAGCGCGGCGACGCCGGCGCCGACGCAGCGGCCGTGAACCTGGACGACATCGACTTCGACGAGCTGGACGACTACCTGGAGCTCTTCCAGCAGGACGGCGTGATCAAGGAGGCGCTGTCCAAGGGCGTGGATCTGCGCGAGTACGCGCAGCAGATCGAGCAGGAGCTGCGCGAGGCCGAGGCGGCGTCCGTAGCTCAGTACGTCGTGAAGTCCGCCGACATCGTGGAGCTGCACGACGAGGTGCAGGACTGCGACAACCTGCTGGCCAAGATGCAGGAGATGCTGCTGGGCTTCCAGGCCGACCTGGGCGGCATCAGCGACGAGATCCGCCACCTGCAGGACGAGTCCATCGGCATGAACGTCAAGCTCAAGAACCGCCGGGAGACAGAGGAGAAGCTGCAGACGTACCTGGACCAGGTGGCGGTGGCTCCGTCCCTAGTGAAGACCATTGACGAGGGGGAAGTCAATGAAGCCTACCTCCACGCTCTCGTGACGCTCAACGGGAAGCTCCGCTACGCTGCGTTGAGCGACCCGGACCCGTCGGGCTCCAGCTTCGACCTGGTGCCGTCGCAGACTGCGGCGTTCTCAGATGTGGAAGCTCAGCTGAAGAAGCTGAAGGCTCGAGCGATTGCAAGGATCAGAGAGTTCCTGCTGGCCAAGATGAACGAGGTGAAGAAGCCCAAGACCAACGTGCAGATGGTGCAGCAGAACACGCTGCTGCCTATGAAGTACCTCGTGACGTTTTTGGCGGATAACGCGCCGGAAGTGGAGGAGGAGTTCCGTGAAGTGTACGCGGAGGCGATGAGCAAGACGCTGGTGAATGTGTTCCGATCGTACCACACTGGGCTGATGAAGTTTCACGAGGAGGTGGCTGCTCGCACGGATGTTATTGTGGTGGATGAGCAGTCGCTCAAGGGGATCTTCAGCTCTCGCGTGAACTTGAGCAAGCGCAATGACACCTTCTCTGTCACGGAGCGCGAGAAGATTTTGGAGACTGCATCAACCCCGCCTCTGATTTTGCATGTGGCGCAGCAGGAAGGGTTGAAGCTGCCCTACGAGGCTGTTTTCCGCAACGTACAGCAACATTTGATGGACTCGGCGACGTCGGAGTATCTCTTTTTGATCGAGTTTTTCAAGCCCAGCAACCAACAAGAAAATGTGTTCCGCAGCCGGGACCTTTTTCTCCGTGTTTTTGCCAAGACGCTGTCTCTGTGCCTCGAGAACATGGAGAACTACCTCTTTACGTGCTACGACGCTATCGGACTGCTTCTCATGATCCGGCTAACGTACGCTCAGAGATTGGTGATGGAAAAGCGCCGCATCCCGTGCCTGGACGCTTATTTCGATCGCGTGGCGCTGCTGTTGTGGCCGCGGTTCAAGGCCGTCTTCGACCTCAATCTGATGAGTGTTAAAAATGCGAAGGTGAAGAAGCTGGGGCCCATCGACCTCCACCCCCACTTTGTGATTCGACGGTACGCGGAGTTCGCTTCATCCATTCTCAGCTTGAGCCTCTACACGCAACAAAACCAGTCTTCCAAGTCTGGCAGTGATGACTCGGCTATCTCGAGCGCCCAGATGCATGAAAATGGCGCGGGTGATATGGTCCTCAGTAATTTGTGTGCCATGCGCGACGAGATCCTTAGCTTGCTGACGCGACTGTCCGAACAACACTCGAATGCGAAAGACAAGTGCGTATTCCTCATTAACAACTACGACCTTGTGCTCACACATTTCGAGGAGCGACGAGTGATTTCCGACGAGACGTCAAAGTTTGAAGAGCTCCTTGCTGGGCAGCGTGAAAAGTTTGTGGAGGAAGAGCTCATGACGTACTACGCGAAGCTCATCCAGTTCGTTCGCCAGCACGAACAAGTTACATTAGGTAAAGGAGCGAGTGGGGCAGCTACCGCGGGAAGCCAGCAAGTGGATACGGCGCAGATCGAAAAGATCGTGCGTGAGTTTGCCGCAACGTGGAAAGCTGGAATCGAGAAGATGAACGGAAACGTCATGACATTCTTCGCTAACTTCCGCAACGGCATGGAGATCCTGAAACAAGTGCTGACGCAGTTGCTGCTCTACTACACGCGATTCGTGGAGACGGTCAAGCGGAGCTACCAACGGCCGCCCCCGTTTAACTCGGAAATTGTTACAACGCAGGAGATCTTGTACGAGATCAAGAAGTATAGCCGATCGTTTTAGCTTGTGAGAGCACCGCAGTGGGATAAGAAGAATGTTGTTGGTATTCAGTTTTTAGCTGCGCGAGTAATATGTAATGATGCAAGGCTTGAGCCCAACGCGATCTCTATCTCCCCTGCAATGTGCATAAGGGAATCGCGTAGAAGACTCGAGCGTAGCGCTTACATGCACTTGTTTGTCTAAAGGTCGATCATAATTGGCGTCGGGTCGATGTTGTAACCCAGCACCAGCACGATGAGGCCGTAGCCCAGGGTGACAATCAACGCCATTGAAATCAGCGAGAAAGTAACACCCACGCGCAAGAAGTCCTTCACCTCCAGGTATGGCTGGCCGTGATCATCCAGCACCAACAGGGAATTGATGTTGGGGAAGGACGAGAACGGAAGAGCCATTGCTGTAGACATGAAATCGCGTTGTCAGTAAATGACGCCAATGAATAACCAAATCAGTCAAAGTTCTTACCAGCAGAGATTGCGAGCGCGCAGCAGATTACGGGAATGTGAGGGTGCCCGATCTGAATTGCCATCTGCACGATTATCGGCAGCAGAATGATCGAAGCGACAGTGTGCGAAACGAACGTCGTCAGGCAAATCACAAGGCAGCAGAGGGAGACAGTGACCATCCACACGTTTCCGGACGGCAGCGCATGGATGACAGACTGGCTCAGCGTGTTGAGAAGACCTGATCGTTGTACGGCCTGCAGAAAACAAGCAATATCTTTTAGGTTAGTACTAATACCAGACCATTATCACACCGTGATAAATCAACTTACGTCTCCCAAAACGTTACCACCGCCAATCAGGAAAAGAATGTGCCATGAGAATGAATTGAAATCGAACTGGCTAAGCATGCCGGTGCCGAACATGATAAACTGCAAATACAAATAACCACCAGATATGAGTCAAGAGTTCGCTCACAGATTCGAAGTCATCGTTGTACGTACCATGAACATCATCGAAATGATACCAAGGTCGCCAAAAGTAGCACTTGTCACCGAGAAGGATGCCCACAAGAAGATTGTCAGGAGCGTCATTGAAACAACGACGACGTGGAGACTGCTGATCTTTTGCTTCTGGTCGTAGACAATTTGAGGAATGTAGGTAGCATCTTGAGGGTCCATCACCCACAGCAAGAACAGCCAACACTGTCGGGCACAACAGAAGCGAGAAAATTAGCGAAGGTGGCACCAACTAGTGTATGGATGCAGAGTCTTACCAACACAGTGCCGGCTGTGCAGAATGGAACAGCCATCGTCATCCACTGACCAAACGTAACCGTGTAGCCAGCCTTCTCCAAAAAGGATACGGCAAGTGTGTTTTGCAGGGAAGAAATTGGGGTCATCATTCCTCCCAGGTTGCATGCAAAGGCCAATCCGATGAGAAGTGTCTTGACATAGGTGCTATCCGTGGGGAAATCCCGGATGATTGGGAGTAGGACCTTGAAAGTTAAAAGAAGTGTGAGCATGCAATTAGGATACAACATAAATCATCATACAAGTAGTAGATCTTGGAGGTGGAGTACTTACCGACACGCACAGCACAGGAGCCGTGTGGTTGCTGATCCACATGGACAGGAAAAGTCCCATGAGCATGATTGCCAGCAGGAAAAGGTTCGGGCTCTTCTTGAAACGACGCTGTAAGAATGCTGCAATGTACAGCTCGATCTGGCACTTTGCGAAAGCCGCCGAGATAGAATAACTGGAACATCACTCGTAAAGAAAAGTACGTTAGTAAATAGATCGGAAGAGTTTTCATGAATACCTCTACAACATACCCGCCCATAATCAAAATGGTGGTGTGGTTGACCAGCATGGACATCACTTCCTTGGCGGATTGCTCTGTAGCAACAAAACAACATTATTAATCGCACATCAAATTTGCGTAGGTGAACACCCGAGGATGCATTAAATACGTACTGGCAGTGAGCAGGGTGTCAGGATGAGCCTTGTCATTTAGAATGTGCAAGAACACCACAAGGGGCGGAACAAGCAGTGCCGTTGCAAAGTATGGAAGTGCTTCCGTCACCCACAATGTTGTGATGAACACCAGCATTGCCAGGCATCGCTGTTGCACATCTTCACCTGTATCGTTGCAAAATATGCGAATTAAGACAAATTTCATGATTCATGAACGCTTTCTAAAACATCAGCCTTACCTTCGGGGGTGATACGAACAAGCAGCAGGAGCACGAAGAGCGCGACTGAGATGCAGAAAGGGACCGGTTTCACCTGAACAATAAATAATCAGCAAAATTAGGGGCACCCAGATTCAGTATAACAGGCCCAACGTATCGATGATCATCTCGAGCAACTCACTTTACGGAACAGCGAGTTCTGGTCGCCCTGCATCCGCTGCATGCGGCGCTCCATATTGCCGGCCTCGAGTTTGTCTCTGCCAACAGGTGTCATCCCGCAACGTCAATACCACCTCACCCCAAACAAAATAAACAGCGCTCCTCCATACTTCGATGTGAGTCCAAACACGCGGTCCAGCAGTTCGTCAATGTCAGTGGACGCGTAGAAGCGCTCATTTGCCAGCCGCTCCATGAACGCAGCTTGCGTGTGCGCCTTGATTGTCTTGTCAAACTGCAATCACCAACACAGGAACCACTCAGCGCCTAAGTTCTCACTAATGCCCACCGCCCCTCCGTCATTGTCGCACCTTCTTGACAATCTTGCGGAAGCCCGAGTGGTTGATCTGCACGAACGTGCGCAGGTCCACCAGCGTGTCGTAGATCTCCTGCAGCGCCGCAAACCCGTGGTCCGCTACCAGTTTAACCAACAGAGCGCTAACGTCAGGTCCCACTCCGTTTCCTCAAATCCTACCAAATAGCTCCTGCAGTTCTGTACGCACCCTGCGAGTGCGTGCGGGAGCGCGTGTGCACGTGGCCCGTGGGTGTTATCTCGTCCTCGAGCATGGCCTCGAACTCGCCCACGGAGCGTGTGAGCGTGACGATCTTGCCCACGTAAAAGTCGTTGACGATCTTGAGGTTGGCGTCCAGCACCTCCCAGAACTGGTCCTTGGCGTCCTGCACCTCGTCCACCACGGCCTTGAGCAGTGGATGCGTCTCGTCCACGACCACGTGTACCTGCACGTCGCCACCACCACCGGCGGCGGCGGCGTTGTGCTCCATCTTCTGCTGCAGCTTCTTCTGCTTGTTCTGCTGCTTCTCCACCTCGAAGGCCACGCGCTTGATCAGCCGCTTGAGCCGCTTGTACTGCACGTAGTTGTCGCGCCACTCGGGGTTGGCCGAGATCTCGAGCTGCTTGCCGAACTTCATGGCGTGCGTCTAACGAGACTTTGACTCAGTCACTTGGGGGGTGGCGGGAGGTTTACCAAGTGAGATGAAGGTACCTATGTATTGAAGCAATTTAACGGGTATGTGCGCCACCTCATTTATGCGACAGGTGTCCAGCCACCTTCGCGCCACCTTCCTCGCGTCCCACAAACTTTACGGTGCTGTCGCCGCAGAGCAGGGCAGGAGCAGCCATGGCGTTCCGGCGCGAGGTGCAGCCGCTGGACAAGATGGTGCTCAAGTTCATCTCCAAGGCCCCGCGCCAGCTGGACGTCATCCTCAACGAGCAGACGCTGGAGCGCGCGCACCGCATCGGCAAGCCTGCCAAGTCGCGCACGCACAAGGCCAAGCAGGAGGTCATCCGCGCGCTGCTGCGCGGCGGCCGCCTGGGCGACGACACGCTGCCCGCCAGCTTCTTCCACGCGTCCATGACGCGCATCGAGATCATCGGCGCCAAGATCTCCACCAAGTTCGTGGAGATGGTGCGGCGACTGCGACCCATTGAGAGGATAGAGATAAAACCATCGGAGGACTGATGTGTGTCATTCGTTGACTGTTGGGTGCTGCAGCTGTCCAAGATCTGTCCGAAGCTGCACTCGGTGGACTTCTCGGGCTGCTTCCGGCTGACGGACGACGCCATTGAGGTGCTGCTGACGAACTGTCCAGGTTGGTGTGGCCGCTTTTGAGGTGTTGGAGATGAAGTTGTGGGTGTTTACGTGTTGGCGGTTCTGTTCGTGGAGCAGACATTAAGGAGCTGGACATTGAGAACTGCCGCAAACTGACGGACGTGACGCTGGATCATTTGCGCAAGCTGGCACCGAAGCTGCAGGTTTGGATCTGCTGCATTTATGCTGTAGCGGTCCTTTGGTGGAAAAATGTGGTAACGGAAGTGTTGTTTTGTTGGTTGTCTGTCTGGTGCTGTAGAGCATTGACGTCGGCGGGAACTTCAACATGACCATCCCTGGCATCACGAAGCTCATTGAAAAGCACCCGAACCATTCCAAGTTCGCGCGGGTGCACATCTCGGGCCATCCTGTGACGGACCAGTGCGTTCTCAAAGTCCAGATTTATAGATGCAGCGTGGCGCTTACGTACTTTCATTATTGTAGGACAATCAAGACTATCATGGCTAAGTGCAGGAAGCTGCACAGTCTGAGTGTCGGCTATTGCTCCATCACGGACGAGGCATTAATCGCGCTGCTCAAGAAGCGCGAATCCGTATCCCGCTTGTGCCTGCACTGGAATATCGCGATTACGTGAGTTTTATGTTATCGCAGCAAGCGTTATTCCGTATCATTTCGTCATCTAAATTTTGATGTGGTTATCTGTGCTTTGAGATGTAGCGATAACTTGCTGCGCTTCCTTGGATCAGAAGCCCGGAACCTCCAGGAACTCAACCTGTGTGGCGTCAAAAGCGTTTCGGCTGACGTAAGTTTTCATTGAGCTGGCCATAATACGATGCAAATGACTGATCTTTGCTGTTTCTGTTTCTTTGCTGCATGCTTAGGCGATTGTCGCGGCGATTCATGCGAAGATGGGAGCGAGGAACGAGCTGCTCGACCCTGCGGTGCCGCAGCCATCGCCTGACGAGAACCCTGAGCCAGAGCGTAAGCGACTCAAGAAGATCGACTTCCGCTATACGACGTAAGTACTGTAGACTGCTGATACGCTGCTGCGCATAATGCTAACCCTTCATGCTACTAGGGTCACGAAGGAAGCGGCTGCAGCAGTGAAGGAGAGGTATCCTGAGCTCCAAGTCACGTTCTAGGCAATACACGTTTGTTGTCAATCCTATGCTTTATTTGTTCCTTTACGTTCAACATGTAACATGAAGCACACGCGCCCTTACTCCATGCCATCGTCGTCAACTTCGTCACCAGCGTAATAAATATCGTGTCCTGCAGCCTGTTCGTCGCCATCGAGGCTAGTGCACAGAGTAATAGCCAGAAGTAGCTTCTCTCGCATGATTTCCTCGCTCGAATACACAGGCAGTTCGATGTTGAAGAAGCACGTGTCCGCCTTGGGTAGAAGCGCATCTTGGTTCACTCCATCATCTTGAGGCGGAGCCTTGATCAGTAAGCGCGTGTGCGTGCGATCGAACTCAGCGTCGTCCGCGGGCAAGGTGTCCTGCCCCCAAGCAAAGTTGATGAAGCGACGCTTGTTCTCCTCGCTGAAGCTGGATAGCACCTTCCAGAACGTCTCAAGGTGCGGGAATTGCTCGGGGCTCATGCCAGACGAGTAGCGAGTGTGCCTCTTGAGCAGTTTGACATCGATTTCGAGGCTGCCACTCACCCATTGCTGCAGCTCAGACCAAACGCACAGCTGCAGCGACTGCACCGGTACGATCTTGCCGAGGCCGCGCAGCATTGCATCCACCTGAGGCTTGCATTCCTGCAGTCGAGTCGCTTTTACTAGCCGGATATATTCCTTCGCATTTGCCTTTGTAACCGGAAGATGTTGTCCTCCCTCCTTGAGCTCCACAATTGTGCCATCGCTGAGTGTCGTGGTGAATGAATCAAAGAGCACCTCGTCGGGACCTTCACTCGGGGTGGAAGCTAGCTCCTCGAGGAACTTGAGGCTCTCGCACAACGAGTGGTCCACACTTTCGAGATCCGCCAGGACGAGGTTCTGTTTCACCAGCATTTTCCATACGAGAGGCGCCAAGCGAAGGTTGAGTCGTACACCCGTTCGTAAGCAGCAACCCATCAGAATTCCGACAAACTCAAACATTTGCAGCAACTCCTTTGATGTGCTGCTTGGTTTTGGCATGAAGCGCTCCCGGAACTCGCCGGCCTTCATCACATTATTTTGCGTCGGAATGAATAGCGGGTTCCCGCTGGCGAGTAGCTCATTTGAAATGTCATTGAAGAGCTGCCGGTACGGCCCTCCTTCGCCCACCACGTTTTCGCCGGCGAAGATCACAATAAACGATACAAAAGGATCGCTTGCACCTGTAGGCCGCTTTGCTCGCAACAAGGAAGGCGGTATCGCGCTGAGCTGTTTCATCGTGGACGCGAACAGTGACCGCTTGGGATCACGCAGCGTCAACGACGGAGGCGAGGCGTCCGTACCGCTGTAACTAATTCCACCACGTTTACCAGCGATCTTTCTCCGGTCAATCGTTACCATGGGGCGCTTAGCATTGTTATCAATAAACGCCGAGTGCGCCAATGTGATGTTATCTTGTGTTTGCGCGAAGAATCGAATCTTGACTCCAGGGAAAATCAGCTGCCGTATCGACACAATGCGACTACGTAACGAACTTGGGTCACTCCATAAACGAAGGTTTACAAGAGGCAACGCTCCCACCAACAGTTTGTTGAGTGACTGCAGCACTGAGAACCGTAGTCGCAAGTCTCGAGTTTCAAGCGACGCTAGCAATGAGTACTCACGAGCATGTTTTGCGCTCAAATGACTTGGGCACAGATCCGTCAGCATAAGCACACCCATTCTCCCGCTGAGCTCCCGGGTCACTGCAATTAGTTGACAATCCATCTGATGTGACCACTTCGCTTGTGCTGCCATTGCGTCATCCTTGGACCCATAGTGACTCAGCTCAAATTGAAGATCATAACCAGATGATCGCATCCACTTGTACACTGCGAGAGGCTTTTCGACGATCTTCGCTAAGGCATCAGCCGAGATTAACTCGCTCGCTCGCTCCTCACTAGACATTGCATCCCATCCACGTCCCTTCTTCATACCAACAAGCGCAGCGAATGCGTCTATTGCCAGTTTGCTATCCGTTGATGAACAGTACTGAGATGCTTCTCGTGTAAGCGCACTGTGAAGCTCGACAGACACACCGGTTACAGTGCCGTTGCCTAGTACTGTTTTCTGAAGCAATCTGTGGCGTAGGAACCCGGTAACTTGTACAGGAACCTCACCAGTACTATCCGCTACGCGTACCATGTCCACAAGCCGAGCAGCATTCAGCTTGTATTGCGTACTTCCATCAGGGTCTGCACCACTTGGGCCTCCATCACTATTCGTACCATCGTCTCCAGTGTCGTTCCCGCCGCCGGAAGGGGGTACTAGATCTGCGCTCCGTTCCATCGTGCACGCGTCACAGTTCGTGTCTGTCCAACTGTTTACAAAGGTACAAGTAGTGCATGCCCAACCAACTGCGGCAGCATCACCAGATCCAGCTGACGCGTGTGGTGTCGCTGGGGGCTGTGACTGCGCCTGCACTTCTCTAGCCAGACTTGCGAGTTCAGGGGGTATGGGAGAACCGCATGCAGCACACTCCACGTCGGACAGGGCATTTTCAAGCGTACATACACTACAAGCCCAAGCGTCACTGCTTGGGTCTGCGCCATCACCAGAACAGACACTTCCGTCGCTTGAATTACTGCTTGAGGTATCAGGGGGTCGGCACACAGCGTCAATCTTCGCTAGTAGTTCAGTATCTTCAGTTGTCGGAATTCCGCCCTCGAACTCGAATGTTTCCTTCGGAATCCGAGCTAGCAAGTTTGCGATAACATCCGATCGACCAACGTCCACCATCGCATAACCAAGAGTTTGTCCCTCCTGATCAGTTGGCATATAGAGAATATTGGATACAATACCAAACCGGGTGACTGTTGCGGCCGAATACACGTTTTGGTCATCCGCTTCTCCACACTCCTCCAAAGCCAGGTGCACAAGGAACCGTGACACGGTTGCCTCCAAGTCCGCAACATTCGATGTACGGGGCAAGTTCTGCAAAAAGATTATCCTTTCGCCGAACAAGTCGTGAGACGACAGCGTACTATGCGCTGCCTCGACTTCTCGAATAGGTGCACGACCACAGTAAATTCGCTTGAAAGCGTCAGGAGTAGCAATCTCTCGCTTTCCTTGTGTCAACACTCTTGTAAACACCGCCATTCGCACGTACTCTTTCCACCATGTGCCTCCAAGTATTGATGACGAGCCACCCTTCAGCGAGGACACTTCTTCAACCAAGGAAATTAACTCAGCGAGCTGCTGCGTAAAGAGAGAATAAAGTCCCTTTTGAGTGGTCCGCTCGTTATCATACACGAACGTTAGCTCTTTCACCAGGCTCGAGAGTTTCGCAATGGGGACAGCGTGCATAGCCCCCTTGCCTAACGCAAAGTTGATCAGCTTTGTGGTGATCTGATAAACAGCGGTCTTCGCATTTGACGGGAGGCAACCCGTAGTCGCTATGAGGTACTCGACCAGCGCATTCAATGCAGTTGTCAATACGGTCTCCACTTCGTAATGAGAAAGCTGTACTGACAGCAACTTCTGGTAAATCTCCTCACATAACCAAAGCGCCAGTCCAAAATCGGCCGTGAAAGCATCAACACGAAACTTGTACCGAGCGTACGTTCCCTGGGACATCCGTACATAACATTTATCGCCTGGGACGACGAGTGGTGGTAGATAGCTAAGTCCACGCTTATCCCCGAAGTACCCGAACAAGCGATCTGTGCACCTCTCGTCACGGAAGAACTCCAGGCTGCTGCCTGCTGGCAGATCCATCAGCACGGGATGAACCGCGAAAGATAGCACTAAGCAGGTTGCGTCGGGCACGTGGATGAGAACCGATGGTTGCGGTGGGCTATCACTGGTCACCATAAAGGATCTGCTTCGCAAAAAAGCACTGGACAAGTCCAAACTAGCTTTTAGCTCAGCTAGTAGCGCCTCCATCAGCAAGTATCGGTACTTCCGTGTGGAAAGTGCAGGAATAACTTCGGGTTGTTGCAGCTTGGGTTGTGAAGATTTTAAGGAGGTGTTCGAACCTGCCGCTGACGTCGACGTGGCCGAAGCAGCAACAGAGGAGGCACCACCGTATGTTGCTGCAGCTAGTTTACCAGTAAGGGCTCCATGCTTCCCACGCTTCTTGTGCTTTTTCGCCGGCTTTGTTACCATAACGCTGGCGTTCTCATCGTAAGATGTTGATCGATCCATGACTGGGGGCAGAGGACTGGCAGCAGCATGCTCAAACTGTTTGTTTAATACTGCCTGCAACACCGTGATTAATGCCGTCCTTGAAGACACTTTCGGTCGTAAATAAAGGTTGCTGCTGGTGCTGCTGTCAGTCGAGCCACCAATTGCCGATTCGAAAACTGTTCCCATCTCGAAAGACAGCACCTTTTCAGGGCATCCAAGATCAGCTGCTGCAGCTAGTTTGAGCAAGTCAGCCAGATTATAGTGACTGTCCAGGTTCTTGGGGAGCGGTGCAGCTAGCTGCATTGCCTTGGGTGTTTGAGAATGAGCTGCTGGCGACGAGGATGGCAACGGAAAAGGCGACGAGCTTGTTCGAACCAGACTTGCTTTTCTTGTCTCGATCGATAGTTTCATGGCATGTTCAGGAGCAACTTGCAGTAAATCAAATACGCTCTTCCGTGCTAAGCTGTAGATGAGTTGTTGGTCCATCACCTTAAGCCTCACCCTGCTCGCCTCGAAGTCTGTGACTGATTGCTCCGAGACTGACGTAACCGACGATTTCGAACGCAGACTGTCAACATTATACCACCAGTACTCACTAGCTGACGTCACAGGGTTCACCAGCTGAAGCAGCACCATGCCAGACGGGTTGACAACTCGAACAACACCAGAGTGACCTAAAGTCCACAGCATACCTCGCGACCAGCCCGCAACATCTACATTTTCAGAAGCAATTACATATCGACCGCCAACTTCCACATCATCAATTTGCAGCGCGGACCAATCTGTGTCTGGATTTGGGTAATGGCAGCCGGATGGTACATGGCCGTCGCAGAGTGTGAACGCAATTTTCAGTGCAGCGGCTGCGTTGCCTTCCCGTAACGGTTCTCGTAGCTGAGCGAAGAAGTAGTCCATTTCGTAACTCTTGAAAGATCCCGACACGTACGTCTCAATCGCTGGTATCACATTTTTCTCCCAGTACTCCAGCATTTTGTTTCGCCCCGAATGTTGCGGCAAATCTGTGCGGGATGAAAACGCGTAAAGATTGTAGAAATACTCCGATGGGTCAGGCAACGACATCGGTCCATCACTGCTGGTTCCCGAAGAAGAGGATAACTCGTTAAGGGCGGTCATTGGTGGTCGAAGAACAGAAGTTTTCTCGTCGCAAGCCGAAAAGGAGCTTGATGAAATCGGTCGCGTTGCGAGTGAGAAATGCATTTCTCGTGAGCGGAGCCACTCCATTTGCCATAGCCTGGCACGCATGACTGCGATGTCTTCCACCTTTAAGTCTCGCACACACAACTGCGCAAGCTGGAAAAGAATCGCGGGACAATTGCCATTTGTCTGTTGCACAAAACAACAAAGAATAACATTAGTCAGCGTTTAAGTCAAATGCTGCGTAGAGTGCATAGACAACTTACAGAGATCACCTGGTTATCGAACAGCGATGGCCAAGCGGGAGCCATGCAAGCAAAAGCTTGAATAAGAGCGCATGCCAACTCCCAACGCAGTAGAGATGCAGCTGAGGAAGCATCGTCTTCTTCCGAATCGGCATCCGCCCCTTCCGTTGTCCACACGTAAATTTGTTTTACCACCGAGCAAAACGAAACCACAAGCGGTTCAAGCGCTTGAATAGCGTCTTCGTCAAGAGAGATTCCGCTAACAGCTCGAACCTCTGAGGTTGTATGCTGGTAGAAGATAATATCATCATCGCTCTCAGATTCCCCATTTCTGGTTCCTTCGGCAGAATCCATAGTTGCAATTATAATGTCGTCGTTGCCGAAAGCGTACGAATAAATCACCCCAGTATGTCCACTTCTAGCTTTGTCGGCAGCATACCCCAACAATGAAACAACTCCGCCAACACGTAAAGGTTCGCGGAACCCACCAAGAACCTGGGTTGCGCCTACAGTCAAGAAGTACGCTTCACTTGGAAAGGGAGCCGAATCAGCGACTACCGCAAGCTGGCGAGGAGCATCTTCTAGAATTTCGGTGAGTATTTTCAAAGTGCTGCTACGCCATTTCGGCATTGTTGGTCGATTGGACGACATTAAACGTAGCAAAGTGACCATCTCCGAAGCCAACGCTCGCTTGTCTTCGATTTGTTCGCCGTTCTGCCGTTCCATCAAGTTGACTTGAGCCGCCCTCCTATTAAAGGCGTTGACGACATCTCGGCTAGTTCTTCTGGCTGGACCTTTCTCAGCTGACAAGGTCGAACGGCGAGAGAGTCTCGAAGAACCAGGCTCAAACGAGAACTGAACTCGATTTTCCCAATCATGTGAATAATCAACATTCACAACATCGTTTGCGTGAGCCACTGTCACCAAGAGCCCGAGCTGCGCGAGAGCATCAGCAGTATCGCAACACTTGCTTCGACTGCCAGAACAATAGACAGCGTAACCTTGGGAGTCGAGAAGTACACGAAGCAAGTTTCCCTTCCAAGGTTTAGATCCAACCAATGCCGTCTCGGGAACAACACTTCCTCCCTTGGAGCGTGGTTGTAGCAGGTCACCACTGCCAGGTGTATCCGTTAGACGGACAAACGGATGCTCCAAGTTGTGGGTCTGATTCATGTAGCAGGTCATGCATAGGTCATAATTCGGACATGTGAAGCACTTGAATCGGAAGCCACGCAAGGGACTTTGGTTGCAACCGTCGCACCGCACGCTCGGGTGCTTCATGGTAGCCTGCGCGGCCGTGCATTCAGCCACTGCTTCAGTCACCGCTTTCTCCACGGCATCCTCGCCATCACTCACTCCGATCGGAATTTTTAACGAGCTGATATCAGGCTCCCCCACAGTGTTGACAGCGTCGACAAGTTTTTCGAGCGCTAACTCGCTTCGGAAAATGACAACGCAATACTCAGCACGCTCATCAGGTGTATCGTTTGTCACGGCCGAAACTGCTTTTGTGTCACCAACATTCGGAATGGGGGACATCATCTCTCCTACTCGTTTCAGTAGAATTTCTTGAATATCCGAGCCAAGAACAATTCTGTGTCCAGCTTTGCACTTGGCAGCCATACTAAGCTCAAACATCGCATCGCCCCACGTCTCCAGCGTGTAGCGAAGGAGTCTTGTGCCTGCCACACTTAAGTTCGACACTGCAGAAGCACTCGTCATGAGATCAATTGCGTTTTGAATCCACCATCCGAACGCTTCTGGCAACTCGTAGACATCAGCAGCCTTGCTTGCCACCGTGCACATAAGACGATAAATAGCTTCATCCGGTGATTGCGTGATATCGTGTCGCTCACTAGCATTTGATGCTAACGATCCTTGCACCTTACGCTTGAGTGCAAAATGCTTGTATAGGCTGCAGAGCTCATTAAACACTTTCTCCAGCGGCTGTTTCCATGACGTATCCGAGCTCCCCGTAGCAGCTTTGTAAGCAAAAACCTCTTCGGCAAACAAGCGTAGCAAAATCCACGCAATATGGTGCACTTGCCCTTGTACTTCGCGTAGATTCGGAAACCGGGTGGTATGTGCACCGTCTCCTACTGCAGGGTTAAGATCCGCAGAGCACGCGCCATCCAAAACCATTATCAATTTCGAAACTTTCTCCAAGCCAAACACGCGTCCCGAAATACTGTCCAAGGAATGTGCACAGTTCCAAACATCCGCCAAAGCCACAGCTCGGAAAGCAGGAAGCTCGTTATCTGACTCCGACGCTTTTGCAATTGCCTTTGCATACCCGTTAAGTCTGTGCATACGCATACATATATAGAGTTAATACAAGTACTTACAAGGAATCGTAAAATACTACCAACAATACTTACGCAGTTTCCGTTTTTACGAGAAGGTCAGGGTCAGCCAAGGCACATCCAGAGAATATGCCATCGTCTTGAATGAGGTTGCTCGAAGGAACAGCGTGCAGGACGCGCCCGACAAAGAATTGAGTCATGTCTTCGCTGCCTAGCTCCTGGATTACCTCCTTGCAGAATACAACACCAGCCAATCGAGACTCCAACCGACTCGAGTGAGCCATCGAGCATTCTTCTAGGGAAGATACAGGTACTGTGCTGCACAAAAACTTGCCTACATCGGACAAGCATTCCGATATTCCCGTATGGTGTGGTTCCGAGACTGAATCCGAGTTGGTACTCCCACACATTACACATTTCTCCCACCTCCTCAGCAAGAATAGCGTTCTGGTCGAGACAGTTTGTGCTACTGCTTCGTGCGCGCTTAATGCCTTCTCACAGGTCGTAACATGTTGTTCTTCTTGTACTGCCACTTCCGCCGCAAGAAGATCATGAATCAACTTGATACAGCCCACCATATCGTTTTTCTTGAAGGTGACACCCTTGAGCTGGCATAGCTCCGATAGCCTATCCAAATTGTCTGCGTACCGCTCCATCAATTCATCCAAGCTGACTTTATCCATGCACAGGTAGTGCCATTCATTGACGAGCTGTACTTGCCGCAGCATCCACCGCTCCAACTTCCCCAGTTCAATTCCAATCCGACCGAAAAGTGCTTTTTTGCTATCTTCGGGCAGAGCTGTTTGGTTTTGCACGCTGTCCAACCACGCATGCAGTTGCCGATAGTTTGAGCGGACGAGTAGAGCTGCAGCAGCTTGCTGCAGCGATTCAGTCCACCGAGCTGTTACATACTGAGGCGGTAAAGTGCGAAGCCGCACATATTTGGAAAGCGTCAAGAAGAATGGCTCGCTTTCCGGCGTCCGGTTGGCGATTTTATCGATGAATTTCCATTTGCCAGACTTCAGAGTTCTGCAAGTAGAAGCTGTCAAGTTGAATAACTGGTGCTGCATTGACCACGGCTGGCATGATTTCTCAACACTTTGAAGAGGAAGGCCACGCAAAAGTTTGTCTCCAATCACACTGCAGGCATTTGCTACAGCACACCCGAGCTCAGGGATCCACGATGTACGTGGGTTATCATACAGCCCACGTACTGTGCATTTAAGACCCCATCGCTGTTTATCCCCGGTCCCACTACGACCTTGAGTAGTAGCGCACAACATGACCGTCGCAGTATCGCCTACTATCGTAAGACCACCAGCGGGCCAGTTTCCACGTGAGTATGAGCCATAGAAGCACCCACCATCTTCGCCAAAACCAACGTCCCCGTAAGATAGACGATCTACTTGATACCAAGCTAACCCAGACGTAATGAAAACGATGTCGGCTTCACCGGATGTTCGGCAGCGCGAGTCGAACTCAAAGTGCAGAACACTCGCACCTGGAATGTGTACTACACGACGAAACACTGGCTGCGTATGGTTGTATGGATGGGGCGTTTCCACTACTTGGTATCCTCCAAAAATGGCTGCATCACTACGTGCCACCTTTGGTTGCCATGCCTCAGACTTGTTCTCATCCGAGCAAACCAGAGTATCCAGCGTCTTCATCAAGGTAACCAAGCAATCGCGAAACCCGTCCGAAAAGTGGTCAGGAAAGTTCGGGATGAAGGCGATAATCATCGGTAAAATCGTTCCAACAACTGACAATCGTAAATTCCAGCAACTTGAGCCCTCGTGACAATGCAGAATGTCCAGTGAACTGTCGAAACATGCCTTTGTGAAGCACTCGAATGTTGCAATTGATTCTAAGACTTGTTGCCCCGCCTCCTTGAGTGAAGTTGTTGGCGTTAGCTCAAGGGTGGCAGCAAGTACTCGAGCGCTGCAATAATTCATAACGGAGTGCAAAGCTTTGCTGACCGGGGTCATGAATGGTAACCCGTCGTCGTCAACAATCCACTTTTCTCGCTGCGCAATTCTACACTCGAGCTTGGACAATTCAAACAGTACCCCCACAAATCTTGAAAACTCGGTGTCCTCTGTTGGCACAAAATCGGCAATCGCAATGCGACCATCGTCCATAGGACTGTAGAGAAGCCTTCTCAGTAGATCCACTTCGCAATCACGCTTAGTTCGCATTACTAAGGTATCGTGTGGCTGTAACAAGATCGCAAAAAACGACTCTGGTAACTGCGGCGGCTTTAGAGAAGTGTGGGGAACCTTTTCTTGCAATGCAGAGCCGATAATGCCCTCGCATGTGGACATGAAAAAATCGGGCCGGTTGTTCAGACAGAAAAGGCTCTTGCGAAGCCCCCAAACCAGCAGGAAATGCGCGGACTTCACAACTTCAGACCGTTCGTGGTGCGACACCGTATCCGTGGACAGATATGTCGAGGTTTGATCGCCGAAGAGCTGGCCTGCGACGTTTCTTAATGAGTGCTCGGTATCTTTGAACAGTTTCTGCGTGGTTTCACCTCCTTGATCGATCTTCACCGTTACACCCGCAAAGTCAAACTCTTGCACAGCCTCCGTCAAAATACATAGCAGATCAGCTATCAGTCGGTTGATACCAACAGGTGCTTTAACCATTGGGGGCCCACCGCTTTCATCACGGTGCCCTTCCTGAGCTGAAAGCTGTTTGCAGTAATAATTGAACGCCTGGATGATTTGAAGGAAACCACTGTCCTCAAAATCGACACAAAACGGAATAATGTGGCCCGGTCGATCCTCTACATGAAGCCTGTCCAACTCGCTCAATCGTGCTCGAATATTCTTCATTCGACGATTTCTTGATTTCGTACCCGATTCAGTGTCCTTGGGCTCGCTCCTTCGGCCATCAGATTGTTTATCAGTTCCAACTGTTTCGCGACCTGTACGGAACAAGATGTCCTGCAGCCCCGCGCGTGGGTGCTTGTACGCTGGAAGAGCTGCACGTTTTCGCGTGAGCTGAGCTATTTGCGCGATAATCACTTTTCCACTATCTGCCAGCGTGTCGCATTGGGTCTCTGCGCACTTTAAGCGTTCGCCTTGCTGGACATGATCCACGTACTCCTCCAAACAGTTTAAATAACCTGAGAACACGAGGATTCGTTTCCGTGTCGTATCCACGCACGTTGGCGATCCAGCAGGAATTCCCTTGAGTAGAATAGGCTTATCTCCAAGCGACGCACCACTCTCCAGTGAGAAAAACCAGGACGCATCGCACGAATTTGCCGCGCTTTTCGTTTTGTCACTGTGTTCCTCTCCGACAGTATACAACCCGGGAGGTGAAACCACGCAGAGCTGTCCGCGTGTAGCGTACCATGTACCGGCGATTAGTAACACTGGGTCGAGGGCCCCTGATTTCGGCGCTGCGGCAAGCACTACACTTGAAACAGTGGGGATGACCATAGGCTCTCGCAGATACGCACCACACGTATGCAGCCACGTAGATGCTTCGTTGAGCTGAAAACCGTTTCTTCTGAGGGCTACCTGGCATTCCTTGTGGGTGTACAGCCCGCGCCAAAATGTAGCAAGATCATTGACCATTTCTTCCTCCGTCTGTTTCGCTTGCTTTTCTTTCTCTTTCTTCTTTTTCTTCAGTGAAGCCTCCCTTTCACTTTCCTCAAATAATGAGGTATCGACGGAGGAGAAAGGGTCTGTACTCTCAGTTGACATCGAAGTCGTGAGACGAGATTCTGTTGCATCTCCCACAGCAGGTTCAGCATCAGATCCAGGAGCCACACTATCTGAGGTAGTTTCCGCGCTGGTGGAAGTACCGTCCTCAGCATGAGCGGCTTCCGAAGTTGGAATACTGACTGGTTTGTCGATCACCGTGGCAAACAAACACGATTCACACAAATCGAAGTCACACCCAGCGGTGCACCGGTAGCGTTTCGGTGAGTTGTCCCCAAAGCAGTTAGACATACCTCCGTCGCACATCCAAGACGTCTTGGAAGTACACAACGTAACGGTATGGGAGTGAAGTGCAGAAAGAGTCTCCACGCCACTCTGGCTATCCGCTTCTCCGTTACCTCCACTAGAACCTTGTTTCCGCTGATCCCCCGACGGCGTTAGATCCAAGAAGAGGTCGATATCGGGCTCTTCCAGATTCATGATGGACGTAATCGCATCAACCTTGTGTCGGTATAGCACGAACTGGTGGCGAGGTAGTGGTTCGGGCTCGTTCTCACGAACAACTTCCTTGGATACCCTCCCTTTGTTAGTTTGTCGGGAACTGGTATCATTGGGAAGTGGCTTCCGCTCAAGAGCTTGGCCATCCTTTTCAACCACTATATACAAGTCGTAGCATCCTTCGGCTCCCCAGCGATAAGTATTGACGCGCTGATTCTTGTCCCATCGCACTGTTACTCCACTGCCTTTTACACCTCCCCACGTGCTAATACGCTCGACCGTGCCGGGACTACCCTTTTCGCCATCTTGATTAGACCACTTCCAGTCAGGCCCACGAACGACGCGATCTCCCACTTGAATGGTGGCGACGTCAGGCGATGGAGGTGGGGTTATCGGATCGTTATCGCTTTTTCCGAGTACGGCGCTCACAATTTCACTCACTGGAGTTGACTTTCTCGACTTGTGCGTGCGGCTTCGATGCTTGCGACTGCCACTTGATTTGCTTGACGAAGGCTTTTTGTAGGTATCGATGCAGCGAATTGTGAAGAGGTCAACACCATCCGTAACCATGGCATAGACGCTACTTTCGGTTGTACCTTTTCCGATCAGAGAACGGTTTGGAGCCAAAACGAGTTCCTGCACATTTTGCAGGTCAGTAGTTCGGATGCGATCCACCCGGTGGCCAGGCATAACAATTGTGCGGCAGTAGAGCGAATCACCAATGCAACATAGCCACGATCGCTCCGCATCGCGGCTGCGGACATACTCCTTGTTGTGCGCGTACACGAAATCGCGCACAGTTGTTCCATTTCCGGTACCAATCTTGAAAAGTCCCGACCGCCCGTAGATATACAAGTACAACCCATCTGTCGCAATAGCATCGCTTGTAGAAGGTTGGTAGGAGCAAACCTTCCACTGGGCGGCTAAATCTCGAGGATACGTAGCCGCAAGAGTAGGCTCTGCAATGTGCTTTGCCAACCGCGAGCAATACAAATCCAAAAGCGAGCGCATCTCAGGACGAATCGATGTTTCTTCATCTGAAAACTTGTCGCCGATGTAGGTAGTTTGCCCCATCTGGACAAAGAGCAACGCCGCTCTGCTCAAAAGCGTAAATGATTGTAACTGGATGCCCATCCCAAGCAACCCAAGCAGCCCAGCAAAGGCAGACTCCGATATTTCTGACGCCGTCTCCGATCTCTGCTCATTTTCTGAGAGTTCCAGCAACTCTGTGACCTCAGCAGCAAACGTGTTGACGTCGATGGGCTCATATACTAAACTTGTTTCAGGCAGCTCGGCAAGGCGAGTCAAAAACTCGATAGCGGCATCAGTGTCGTGATGCCATTGAAGTGGACTTCTGTAAGGCAGGTGCGGCCACTTCCTCGGGAATAACTTCGGTACAGTCGTCTCCACCGCGCCCTCCTTCTGAGACGCAAAAAGAAGTGATTGCTTCGTGGAGATCTTAACTTTACCACCTGGTCCGTCGCCAGCACCATCAGCTGCAGAAATGTCCACTTTAGCCGTTGCCAGCAATTCATACCCCGGTCCGTTCTCCAGTGCCCGCAAGTAGCACACCCGCATAAACTCACTTTGCTTGCGGTACCGGTACGCATTCGCGCAGTGTATGCGACGTGTGAATGCTGCAATGGCGCGTCTCGCCTTACGATACTGCCTTTGTTGCCTTGTGGACAGCTTCGACGTCTGCGTCCAATCAGCTTCTTCTCCATCTCCTACGGGCCTCGGTGGCGGCGCGTACAGATCCCGGAACGGCTCGAAAATCTGCTCAAACGTAGCAGGTCCAACACCGGGCACTTTCGTTCCCGCCGTAGCTGCAGCGGATGCATTCTGAGCCTCTGCATCTCCCTCCGTGGTGGAATCCTTCCTCTCTCGAGCCTTGACCTTCTCCTCCTCCTCTTCTTCAAGCTCGAAGTCGTCCAGTGAGTCATAATCTTCGTCGCTGTCGCTGAGGCCGTCTTCCTGGAGACTCTCGAGCTCCGAGGCGATGCTGCCATTGAGCAGCTGGCTTAGTCTGCGCGACGTGCGCCTGGAGACGACGCTGCTGGCTCGGCGTCGACGTCTGGCGCGGCGCAGGCGACTGGTCTCGCTGCTGTCGCTGTCGCTGCTGCTGCTGCTCGCGTCGTCGGTGCGGATCTCGTTGGTGCCCAGTACCACGTCCTCGTTGAAGAAGTGGAAGGTCTCCTCCGTCTCCACGAAGCGTCTGGGCGGCATGGATCCAAACAGCGAGCGAGCCAAAGAGAGCGATAGAGCTTCTTTCCTTTTGCCTTCCTTCCTTTCTTTGTTTCTGCTTTTGGGGGGGGGGCGTTTCGTATTCAGTCCCCGCGCCAGGAGAGGGAGGCGGTCGGAGCGTTTGACGACGACTCTCTCCTGTCCTGCAGCGCAGCGCAGAGATAAGGAAGAGGGCGGTGGGTACACTTCCTCCCTCTACGTCGCGAGCTTTTGCGGTTCTGCCAGAAGCTTTTCTTTTGTGTAAGATTATCAGTCTACCATTTGTGTGTACCACATGTATGTGTATGTACCACACATCAATGTTACTTCATGCGCACAGGCATCACCAAGTTTCGAGATGGACCCGCCTCCTCCGCCGCCGCCTTCCTCCTCCCCTTCCTCGGCGGCTCCGCCCCCACCGCCGCCCCCGGGGCCTCCTCCCGCTCCCTCGGCGACCAGCACGCCACCCAGTTCGTCCAAGTCGCACGCGGCGTCGCCGTCCTCCACGCCCCCGCCCAGCAATACCAGCAGCAGTAGCAGTAGCAGCAACAATGCGGCGCCGACACCGCACTCCAAGCTGCTGAACCACCTGCCGCTGGACGCCCCCGACGAGCTGGACCGCAAGTGGTACGCGCACTTCTACCACATGCAGAAGACCATCCAGGGCAAGGACGAGGCCGCCGCGCTCGCCGTGCTCAAGCAGCAGCCGGCCGAGGGCGTCGCGCCGCTGCCGTTCCAGCCGGACATCGCGCTGCTCTACGCCGTGGTGACGGAGCCCACGCTGGCCAAGCAGTACCTCCGGTATCTGACGGCTGTGGCCGCCACGGACAGCTACAAGAACTGCATGGGCTGGCTGCAGAAGCTCATCGATCTCAAGTTCGTCAAGCTGCTGGTCGGGTGCCGCAGTCAGTTACTGTGGCTTGTGAGGGAGCTGGTGCATCTCAATGCGCCGGGGGTGGACAAGGTGATTGTCTGCTTGATGAGGTACCTGACCGGAGGAGATCCGAGTCGGACGACGGTCTGGCTGGCGTCGTCGATCATCCGGATATTGATCGAGCACGAGGCTTGGCTGCTGTCGTGCTCGAGTTTGATCCCTTTCGTGTTCCATACGTTCGCGAGAATCTCGTTGGATCATACAGCCTCGCAACATGCAAACTTGTTGAAGCAGGAGGTGGAGCTGTGCACTACGCTGTGGAACCGTCGGCAGGCGGATGTGGCTCAGCTTGGACGGGAAATTGTGCGCGTGCTCAGTGATGCCAAGGATGTAAGTACCCCCCTGTATTTTGTGTATTTTTCCCCTTTGCATCGTATTAATGAGTGAGTTTGGTCATGCTGGAATGCAGATCCCCGGAATGAACGCACTCTGGAAGCAATTGCGGAACGTTCGTGATACTGCAGAACCGGACAAGGACGTTACGGTGTACTCTGTTGCACAATTGATGGCTATTCCGACCCCTCCAAGATATCTCGCCTATCGTTTGAACCCCAAAATGGAGGAGTATCTTCTCTTTATGATGGTACGTGCAATCAATCATCATTGCGGATGGCAAGTAGATTTTATGATCGCTAATTTGCTGGACTACCCGTTTTTCTGTATAGGAACGCGTTCAAGCTGGATCCGTGACGCGCTACCAAAAGTGGTTTTCGTCTCAATTTTTGAGCAGTCCTGGATCGGATGCTCTAGTCCCCGACCTTGTGCGCTACATCTGTGCCGTGTATCATCCTTCAAATCAAGTTCTGAGCTCCAAGGTGACACCACGCTACCACATTCTTGGGTGGCTCTACCTTCTCTGGTACGTCAGTCTTTCCCTTTATGTCCTCTCGGTATCATGTTAGCTGACATATGTCCGGGCATTTTATTTGAACAGCCACGGCAGTAAGACGCCAAGCGTGTTGGCCCGAGTACAGCTTGCCATGTTCTTCGACTATTTGTACTTCAAGCCATCGGACAACATTATGGCAGTGGAACCGGCGATTTTGTTGATGGTGCGTAATGGAAGGTGTGCATATTCCGGATGATGGATGGCGATATTGACTGAAGTTGCGTGGTGTTATGGTTTGCCAGGTGAAATCACTGAAGAGTCATCCGATGGTGACGCTCGCCATGATTCAATTCCTTGTCTTTGCTGTTGAAAAGTTTGCAGCATCAGCTATTAACCGGAAGCTGATGCAGAAGGGCGTGTCGACAGCGTTCGCGATGATTTTGAAGCTCGGTGTTGTGCCGTCAATCCTTCCACTTCAGACGTTCCCCATGCTGCAGTCGAGTGCCCCAGAATTGCAATCAGAGCTTCACCGAATCTTTCCGGAGCATTTCCCCTCTGCAGAGAACGCCAACAAGGCTCAAGCGCAAGCGTCCCACCCAAGTCCTCTTTCAAGTTCTGGCGGCAGCCCTGCCAGGTCTCCGGGTCCAAGCTCATCGCCTGCCAGACAGTCTCCAATCAGGCAATCGCCCGTCCATCAGTCTCCTGTTCGGTCGCCGGTTCGACAGTCGCCGGTGCGCAGCAGCCCAATTGGAGCAGGAAGCCCGGTCACGTCGCCGCTACGCTCGCAAAGTCCTACACATTCCGACTCCAGCATGAGTGGTGTCGGGGCGCCGTCCGACACGAACTCTCTCGGCGCGTTATCATTTTTGCCTGACAATCAGCAACCGGTACATGGTACAGCAGAGATGCCTGCGCCAAACGACACGCCTGCTGCTACACCAACACCCGCCATCTCGAAGCAGCCGCTGGTTGACATCCCGGAAACCTTGATTGCTCTGGGAGGTGACGACATCAAGCACTTCCAACAAACGATGCCTGACCCATGTTCACGCCCAACTGAAAGTTTTTTGGAGTGCTTGAACGACATTTTAATTTCTTGGATTCGGCAGGATAATGCCGTCGAAATCGCCGCTCCACTGGGCTCGTTCCTGCATTCCTCGCTGGAAAGGATAATCGTGTCGTCTCGAATTGCTCTGAGTGACTCCCCCAAGGCTACGTCTGCTGGCGTGTTTGATTCAATGCTGGACCAAGTTCTCAGCGAATCCCCGGAACTCTTCGTTCCATTTTTGAAGGCGATGTACGCACGAGATGTCACGATTTCCTACCGCCTCCTTGCCTTTTGCTGTTCGAGAAGTGGTACGAAGAGCCCCGATGCTGCTCTGAAGCCATATTCTGCATTCGTCGAGTCAATTGGTGGCAATTTGGCGCAAAACATAATGAAGGACTTGAACCTGAGCCAGCAGATCGATGATGCTCGAGTTCAAGCATGCGCTCTATTGGGGAAGACGGTGCCTGCAAGTGTGTCGAAGGACGAAATGGATGCCGTGAGTGCTACGACACTTTTTGTATGCCCTTACTTGTTTGCAAACATGGAGCACCCGTTCCTGTCCAAGCTCCTGGGTCGCAGCGAAGCGCTTGTCCAGCTGCTTCTTGGACTGGTCACTCCCGCTATGCTCAACGCCCTGTGCACTCGTGTCGTTATGCGTGAGTTTGCCATTTTCAAGAACCGTCTAGCAAACATCGTGCTTTCGTCGCTGCAGTGGACATCGTGGGAGCAATACGGTATGTGGGATCTGGTGGTGGCGGAGCTTCAGTCAGGGCGATCTGCTGTAGCCGAGAAGGATATGATGGCAGCGGCACGCAAGGTGCTCGCCTGTGTCAACCCGAAGGAGAGCCCAGAGACGATGACAGGGCTGCTCAAGTGTCTAATCCACTTCAGCCCCGACATGACCGTGCTACGGAGCGTGTTCAAGCTCCCCGACACGTACGACGACTTCCCGTTTGCAGTATTAGCGTGCTGGATGAACAAGTTCCCGGACGTGGTCACAGGCCACGTCCGCAGCTCTCTGGAAAGCGCGGGCGACAGCGACCTCTCCAAGGACAAGACGCTGTCCGAGCTGGTACGAAAGTTGGACCGCCTGCAAGAGCTGCAAAGCCGTCGCACCCCCAAGACTGGAGAGCTCGCTGTGCTCAAGGACCAAACTATCACCTCGGCCTTGAAGAAGCTGCTGCAACGATCCGACGCCTCATCTGCCGCCAGCGACTTTTACGCATTGCGAGCAGTGTTATTCAATGAGGAGCCTCCGCACAAGAAGCAGCGCCTCGCAGGAGACAGCAACTAATGCCTTAGGCAGTGCAAACACATGGGTAAATATCTTCTGAACGTTACGTTGCAGTCGCCTGTTTTTTCAACTTCGACTTGACCTCCCTGCCACGTCAGTCGCGCCCATGCTACACAAAAAGCGTACTTAGCACAGTAAAGTTCGAGTACTGGTACTAATTCTTTAGACTGCCCGAATATACTGCTTTAACACTATTAGATGACTAAATTAAGATAGAAAACAGCCAATCAGAGAAGCCAATCGGGCTCTCATGGCTTCATTGTAATTTACTGATTGATGCGGCCTTGGCTACATGTACTTACCCAGTTAAGTTCTAAAACTCTCCCACAATCGGCCACACTACCGAGAAGGACAGCGAAGAGGAGGAGGGCGCGCGCGTACGTCAATCGAGCCGAGGCAGCCATGGGGATCGCCATGTCCAAGGTATTCGCGGCGCTGTTCGGCAGCAAAGAGGTGCGCATCCTCATCCTGGGGCTCGACAACGCCGGCAAGACCACAATTCTCTGTACGTACGAGAGGAGGGGAGCGCTACAACCCGAGGAATTGCTCTACCATTGCTAATAATTAACGGGGCGTGTGCAGACCGCCTGCAGGCCGACGAGATTGAGCAGACGGTGCCCACGATCGGCTTCAACATGGAGACGCTGCAGTACAAGAACATCAAGTTCCAGGTCTGGGACCTGGGCGGCCAGACGAGCATCCGGCCCTACTGGCGATGCTACTACCCCAACACGGACGCCATCATCTACGTCGTGGACTCGGCCGACGTCGACCGTCTCAATATTGCAAAGCAGGAGCTGCACGCCATGCTCGAGGTGGGTGGAGGTTGAGTTTTGAGAGGACTCTGGATTGCTCTTGACTCAAGTCTCTGGTGGTGCAATTGACAGGAGGAAGAGTTGAAGGACTCGATCCTGCTCGTGTTCGCCAATAAGCAGGACCAGAAGGGGGCACTGAACGCTGCTCAGGTGCGTTATGTGCTATTTTCTGGGACGTAATTGATGGCATTTGCTGATGGTGTTCGATCTGTCGCCGTAGATTTCGGAGGCAATGGGGCTCTCAGATATCCGCAACCGGCAGTGGTCTATTAAGGAGACCACCGCAACACAAGGATCCGGTCTTTTCGAAGGCTTCGACTGGTGAGATTGCGTTGCTTTGAAGTGATGGTGTCGAATTGATGGCATTGTTATCTAACGTGATGGTTGTTGATAGGATCGTAACGTGCATAAAGGGCGAGTAGGCGTGTCATTCTTGAAGGCACGTACTGCACTCAAATGCGTTGCCAAGGCATCTCAAGAGATGAGCAAACACCAAGTGCAAGTCTGTTTGTCTGGGTCTTCGGTGCAAGCTTGTCCACCCAGCACATTTGAGGTGCAGATCGTCGCATGATCGGTCGTTAGCTATAGAAGGGGAAGAGAAGAAACGTGGATTTCGTGGAGGTGAAGAGAGCAGCCGGGTAGCGAGGAAAGTTAGTATGCTGGCTTGGACAGATCGTCGGGCGCCAGCAGGATATGGATCGAGGTGAGGAATTTTGCATGAAAATACACTGGTGTACACACCGACCGTTTGTAGTTTTTGGCTGTAGACGTCTCTTGAGAGCAGGGTGGCGACTGTTTGTGCGCTCAGTGTACTCGACTTCGGGGCATGACGATGAACAGTGGCGGGGGAGATGCCGTCTGGTACGGCCCACCGGAGAGTTGGCCGACTGAGCACTGCCGCGTGCTGTACGCCATCAGCAGGTACGCGCAACAGGCTCGCAATGTTCAATCGAAGGAGACGTGGATCCGCCAAGTGGCTCTGCTTGTGCTGCTCTATGAGGGCATCAATGCTGGAATCCTGCCTTTCGACTACTCGCCTAGTCTCATGTGGCTCACGTACAAGAAACACACCGACCGCCGGTGGCTGCGGATCTCTCAAGAGGCCAAGTCCGTGATCGATGATCTCTGGGAAGCCAAGCTCGTGAATGGAATCAAACTTTCGTCGGTCGACTACCAGCCGGTTACTGCGTACCAAGCCTCGTTTCGTGGATTATCGATCGTGGAGCAGATGCCGGAGCAGCTAAAGCGGGAGACCAACGAGTTCCTTTACGCTCCTGTTCGAACATCCCGGACCGATGCAGGAGCCGAAGACATCCCAAAGCCGCCACAATTGCTCTACGTACGCTACGACGGCTCGGATTTCCATCTCGTGACGAGGGACCAGTCTTACACTCGAGTGAGCACCGTCACTGAGTGTGAGGACGTGTCATACGTATCGTCGCCTTACATTCCGTCGTGCCTTCGCTCCAGCACCAGTTACCTCGTTGATCCTACAAGTAACAAGCTGCGAGCGACTGAGTCTGCGCGCGGCTACAACATGATGACTAAAGAGGCAAAGCAGAGCATCGTACTCTCACAGGTCCACGCGCTTGTTGGCGAGTGGCTGCCGTTTGGTGCCAACCAGATATCGGCTCTCAATGAGCGTCTTGGAGCCATGGAGCGGTGCCAAGGAGGCCTCTTCAGCTCTAAACTCGATCTCCAGCCCACGGAGACGCACTTCGAAGTGACCCCGGGGCTCACGCAGGTCAAGATTCTGGACTTCGACGCCATTCGCTTTATCAACTTTGAGGCTGAGATCAACTTTCCGGAGAGTGACGGCGTTATCCAAGTCGAGAACTTCGGAATGCACTTGCACGTGAGTGGGGCGGTGCTGTACGGCGTCAAGATTGATGCCATTATGAACCACACAGAGCGTTCGATCCCGCTGGACTTGCTGGCACGACTTCTAGTTGACGTTCACCAAGACAGTTCGGGTATCATCAAGGACTTGCTTTCGCGCTACCAGCTCAGTGTGCTGGACATGCTCTTCATGGGCAAAGCGGATCAGCGGAACAAGTATAATCTCATTACGGCTGCGGGGATCGAACCCAAGTTGCCAGCCTGCAAGTACTTAGACAAGGGTGAGCGCGAGAATGAGCTGAAGCAGGTCCTGGGCGAAATCTACGCCTGCTACGACATTACGCGGGATGACGTGCTATTCCTCGGACGTGACGGATGTCTTCTCAGTGGTCCAGGAGCAGAGCGCTACGAATCGTTGCTGACCACGTTCATGGGACTTAACAGCCGCGAAATCTTCATCCGGAATTTTTTTGTGCGCACCTTCGTGCTGAACGACATGCTGACAAGCCTTCGCAAGTCCATTCGCAACTACCGCAAGCTTGGTGAGCACACGCTGAAAACTGTGAAGAAGTCTCTGAGTGATGCTGCACGGCACATGATCCTGCTTATTGAGTGCCTGCAGTACCTTCTGGAGTCCGTGGAGGCTCTCGAGTTGCCTCCTGTACCCGTCGATATCGCCGGCTCGAAGATTTACAAGTGCTTGCAACTACTGGAGCGCAAGAACAGCGTGATCGTGCGATGCAAAGATTCCATCAAGCTCATTGAGCGCCTTCGAACTCAACTTGATACGCTGATCACCAAGTTTGAGGGCATTTCGAGACTCCAGCTGACGTACGTCTCTCAAGGATTCGACATCAACATCCGGCGGCTGACAGAGTCGCTTCGTGTTCGCGATGAACTTGAACGCAATCTGGAAATCATCCGCATGATCTTCGCCGGTAATCTCTCTTTTGAAGTGATCGATCGACTAAGCGGCGGTACGTTCAACGTACCGAATCCGACGTGGTTTATAGACTGGATCAAGAAGCCGATCATTGATGCGCCGCTCGCCTTTCTGGTGATCAACCTCGTTTGGTTCGCCATTGTTTGGATTGCGCTGCAGGCGTGGCTTGACCACCGCGTATTTGAGAATGGCGCGACGCTAGTGATTCGAGCTCACACAGACAAGCGCATCAACCTCACGCAATTACGTCGGATGCTCAAGAAGAGGAATGTTCGGTTCGGTGCGTTCGAGTACGAGGCGAGTGGTCGACCGGAGATGCAGAGCTACCGGTGGGAGGAGCCTGGCTTCCCGACCAAGGACTCGACAACGCACGTGCAGGTCGTGGTCGATGAGAAGCAGAAGCTGCTACGATCCATCCGCCTTCAGATCTCCTGTCCGCTGGACGAGTCGGTGCCGATTCACTCGCGTCGGCGCAGCGTGCGCAATATGCTGCGGCAGAACTCAGGCACAATTCGTCGGACGTCTCGTCGCCTGCATCCCGCTCCGTCTTCAGTCACAGTGGTGGAGAACAACATTCTCGAGCAGTTCTCGGTCATTTTGCGGACAGAAGGGGTCTACCAGGAGCGCCACGTCCCGCTCGCGCGCCTCGGCAGCCAGATCAATTTATTAGCGCTGGCCGGGGATTTCGCTGAGCACAACTATAACCAAGATGTCAGTCGCACTCGGCGTCGACGAGGAGCTGTAGATACAGCAGTGGTCTCCAAAGACGATTGAAATGCTGAAGTTGAAGTTTGGCATAACATCGTGTAGCCATTTCGGTGATTTTGCTACGTTACAAATCAGAATGGTACAGATCCAAATTTCATTCACCAAGCGGCATGGACCCTTAGCGAAAAGGCTTAGTAAAGACTACCCTGACAATGCATATTCTGTGGGGATAATACGTAGCAGAATTCAAGCGCGGCCTTTAGTGGTGAGGGTTGAAAAGCTTCAGCTTGAACTCATGCTTCGCTCTTTCGCATTGGAGATCGCTGCCATGCCACACTTGCATGCCATACTTGAACACGAAATTTCGAAGTTACCATCCAAGGACGGAGCTAGAGCGTTTAGGGGGGGGGGGGGTCTGCAATTGAGAATTGATATTGCGGCGTCGTCCGCAGTACAGCATTGCAAGAAAAAAAAAACATTGTACGGCGGATAGAGCAAGATACTTTTCCAAGCACAAGTTGTCACTTAAAACAGGCAACTTACCCCCCCCCCCCCCATTCTGGAACCACTAAAAACTTCCGACTCTACCGAGCGAATCGCAATTTAACCGCAAACATCACCTGTCGTGTGCTTCTTTGAAGGGGAGGCTATGGATCGCTTCAATATATTGAGAACTCGAGGAGTGAAATCGGTCCGAACAGGGCTCAAAATCTAAGGGGGCCATGGGTGATCAAAAATATGGGCCGTTGACAACAGATGATTTAGACATTCTAATTTTCAAGATTGGACCATTCTAAATTAGAATGATCCGTCCTGAATGTTTCAGCTTAGAAATTTAAATTATTTAGAAGAGCTAAGAGGTCTAAAATAGAACATACTGAATTTTGTAACATATACAATGGCTACCTATCAGTTATGCTGTTAAATACCATTCGTTCCTCTGGAAGTGCAAGACGACACGCAAGACGATAACAGCGACGCTTCGTCCACACCTTCGTCCCGCTCCATGGAGCTCCCTCGATTCGCCATGCGCCCTAGCGACCCTCACGGCGCTTCCATGGCCTCCTATCCATCGCCCGACGGCTCCTGGTGCCCGGAGTTCCATCCTACGCGCGCCGAGTTCGAGTCGTTCGCCACGTACATCCGCACAGTCGTCGAGCCTCAGTGCGCCAAAATCGGTATTTGCAAGGTAAAATCCAACGAATTCAATTGCTAAAAAGTTGGTGGAATGGTGATCAGTCATCGCCAATTACTTTCCGGTGCATTTATCATCTGATAACGGATTTTTGTCGTGCTGTGTGTCATTTCCTGCAGATAATTCCTCCGCGCGGATGGTTCAGTCGCTCGTACGACATCTCGCAGCTACAGTGCCAGGTATCAGCCCCCGTGAGTCAGCACGTGGCCGGCAGGAAGGGTATTTTCAATGTAGACCTCGTGGAGCGGAAGACGATGAGCCCCGCAGAGTTCCAGAGCATGGCAGAAGCGACCACGGACAAGGAACCCGAGGGTACGAAACAGTGAGGCTGTGTTTAGTGCCATCGAGGATACTATTAAATAATGTGTGTGTGGATGCAGATACGGATGATCCGATGGAAGTGGAGCGCCGGTTCTGGAAGGGGCTGAGAGGAACCATGGACCCTCCGGTATATGGAGCGGATATTGTGGTGCGTACTGAAATGCTTCTTGCTTGGTTGAAATGATTTCAATCATACTAAGCTCTGCACTGTTCGGTTGGACTTAGGCTTCGCTGTTTGGTGATGCTGATGCACTGTCGTGGAACCTAAATGACCTCAACACTATTCTGCGCAAAATCGACTTGCCAGGGGTGACGCAGTCTATGCTGTATTTCGGCATGTGGCGGGCGATGTTCGCGTTCCACACGGTAAGTGCACTACAATCGAGAGAACGTGCGGTTTCGTTGTCTCATGATATCGCTGCCTGTCGTTGACGTGTGAGTAGGAAGACATGGATCTCTACAGCATCAACTACGTGCACACAGGAAAACCCAAGTTTTGGTATGGCGTGCCCCCAGATGCTGGTGAGTCCCTGCATAACCGAAAGAATCGTGTGGCATCGAAATGGTATTGTTCACTAACAAGCGCTACCTTGATGCGCCCATGCAGCCCCTCAGCTTGAAAGAGCAGCGCAGTCGATGTTCCCAGAAAAACACCACACATGCAGCCAGGTAAAGGGACCTCGCTTGTTTGCCGAAAGAATTACGGTTCCAATAGCGTATCTTGAACTTTACAAATTTGATCAGTTCCTGCGGCACAAGACATCCCTCATTTCACCCGCTCGCCTTCGAGAGTTTGGTGTACCGTTCTATCGGGCGTATCAAAAGCCAGGAGAGTTCGTGATTACCTTTCCGGCGACATATCACCAGGGATTCAACCTCGGTAACGTTTGGTGGATATGAAGGGTTACATACTGATGGCAACACCTTACCTACTGTGTGTGTGTGGTCAAGGCTTCAATATTGCAGAGGCAGTCAATTTTGCCTCGCTGCTATGGATCCCGTATGGACTGAAAGCCAAGGTAAGCAAGAGTTTACCTGGACCTACTGTAGCAAAGTCATTTTACACATTCGTTAAAATGTTTGGTGGTTGATGTCAACGATAGGTCTGCAAGTGCCTTCCTGATAGCGTGCGGATTGACATGGACTCGTTCATGACGAAGCTATTTGAAGAACCTCAGTGCAGCCCTGAGCTCTTGGGCGAAGATCCCTGGGTCTTCAGCTGCAAGTGCCACAAGTACTGTAGCAGTCAGAACCCCGATGCCGAAGTGGAGGTACATTTACATGTGTGGCAGAGTGTAGAGCGCCTTGTAATAACGAGCAAACGCCGGTGTGTTCTGCAGGAGCAATGGTTTGAGTGCTCAAAGTGCAAGATTTGGGCCCACGTTCGCTGCATTCACCCCGACCTCGCCGGCAAAGCAGCCGAAGATCTCCCTCAGTCGTTGCTTTGCCACCGATGCATCGCTGAAGCCGCCGGTGTCAAACCTCGCAGTTTATCAAGCGGTGGACTTGGAAAAAGGAGCGGAACAGCATCAAAGAGCGGAGTGCGCAGCTGTCTAGGCAAGCGGAAGAAGGAAGCAGCAGTTTGTTCCAAGAAGAAGTCGGCGAAGGTACCAGTCTCCGCCGTCATGCTGTCACCACCGAAAAAAGCGAAGGCCACTAATCAATCGGGCGTCGGCACGCCCAAAAGCGCAACGAAGGACCGAGGTGCAGTTCGCAAGTATCTTACAGTCAAAGGCTCGACGATCCGGTTCGTGGACACCGAGGTTCGTTCGTCACCAAGGACGATTGCTAGTGGGTGGAAATATGCGAGGGTTACTGACGCAATGAACTGTTTGTGATGTTGCTGTGCAGGCGAAGGTTGCGGCCGTGGAGGGCAAGTACATTCGCGTTCATTACAAGGTAAGCAGCTTCAGCTGGCTCCAATCCTACAAATGTAGAACAGCGATCTCAACCATATTCTACCGGGTTTTTTTCACAGGGCGAGTCAGCAGACAACGACGAGTGGCTGCCGGTGAACTCCAAGGAGCTGCGACAGCGGATCGTAGCAGTGGAGCCGCCTGCGCCCAAGTCCAAGGACTCGAGCAGTATTTAGTTTAGATCGTTTGTCAAAAACAAACATGTTGAAGCTGTTCTACCAAATGGCACAATCTTACGATGATACACTCTACCTTGATTAAACTATTGCAATCAACTCCATTCATATCGAGCACGAAATGGTCCGCCCCGGGGGCAAAGATGTCTCGGTGGGCGAGTTCGACCCCGTCTCGGGGCTCACGCACATCACGCACCAGCGCGGGCGTTTGCTGTTCAACATGGGCGCGAGCACGAAAAAGCGGCAGCGGCGAGAGGCCCCACAGCCGCCAGCAGTCGCGGCCAAGGCGGCGCCCCCTCCTCCGACGTCGACAGGCGCCTTCACGGGGCTGTCGCTCTACCCGGAGGAGGCCAACTACCTGCTGCAGCGAGGGGCGCTAGCCATCATCTACCTGCTGTCACCGGGGGATGAAGACGCCAGGGAGCTGAGCGTGGCCGAGTTTACCGCTCTGCTGGCGAGGGACCCGCGCGTGTCGCTCGCCTCCATGCAGGTCTACGCATTCCTCAAGGACCAGAAGCTGCACCCGCGTCGGTGTCTCGAGCCAATTGCTGCTGCTGAAGCAGCTTCAAGCAGCGAGGACGGTCGCAGTGTGCCTCGACATTTCGTGGCGGGCGAGCCATGCGACGTCGCGTTCGATGTCTGGAAGACGGTGGCAGTCGATGTAGAGTCCCCTCCGTCCATTGACCAGGATACGAATGGAGAGCAAGCCACTGGTGCTGAGACTTCGGCTGTTACGGCTACGAAGACCAAGAAGCAGAAGCAGAGGAAGAAGCTGGTGCTGGTCTTCCGCGCGGTGGTGTGCCGCTTCGGAGACCCGGCGCCAGGTCCGCGCAGCCTTCGCCAGGCCATCGCGAGCAGCAACGCGCGCGGCTGCGACGAAGCTTCGACCGGTGCGGACTCGGGTTGCAGTGCGCTGCTGGCGTGCGTCCAAATTCCGGTCAAGCTGGCCGTGGTCCACCACGATCAGAGCGTGCTGCTCTTCGAGATCAGCAGCAGCAACCCAGCGGTACCCAACTAACTTCAACACGAGCAAGCGAAGCTTCGACTTGAGCGAGGGTGGAAAAATTGTTTTGACGCTGATATAACGTTAATAATAATATGGTAGACACTTCTCCATGGAGGGCGTCGGCTACGTGCAACTAAATCGACTGCAGCCTAGCGCCCGACGCAACAGGAAAGCTGGGTGGGGGGGATCTCAAAAAAAAAACTACGGACGGACGGACAAATGGGACGGCGCTCTACGAGGAAGCTGCAGCACTTGTGACCACCACGACGTCGCCCTTCCCATTTCATGCCTGCTCGTTCGGGGCGAAGTAGCTCGACAGGAATTTCTCCGGGTCCAGCACAAAGTCGTCGTCGTCGAGGCACAGCTCCGCGGCAAAGTTGTCGCCGCCCAGGGCAGCGGTGTCCAGCTCCGAGAAGGGCTCGGAGTCCGGGCTGGCAGCAGCCTCAACCTTGGTCTCGGTCGTGGCGGCAGGCTGCTCCGTGCTCGAGAACCACTCGAGTTCCTCCTCCGTGAGCTGCAGCAGGTCGTCGTTGTCGATAGACGACAGCGTCTGGTCCGCGCAGTCGAGCGAGTAGTCGGCCAGGGTCTTGTCCTCGGCGAAGTCGAGAATCATGGCTTCGGCGGCCGCGTCAGCAAAGTCGAGCGGCAGCTGGTGCGGGGGTTGCATGACGGCGTGGCTCTTGATGTTCCGACCGAACATGAAGCGCGCGTCCATGGGGTTGCCGAAGAAGACCTTATTGCCCGAGAGCGAAGACACCTTCTGCTTGGGGGACATGTGCGCAGCCAGGGGCTGCTCGCGCGCGAGACGCTTGGGGACGCTGGGCAGCACAGCGGCATCGCTGTCGGTCTCCGTGTCCATGTCGAGCATCGAGCACTTGCGCTTGCGCATGAGGTGCATCTTCTTCTTCTGCGAGGCGGGGCTGGTGGGGGTGGAGGGCGAGGGGGGCGCTGCGCCGGCCGCGATGACCGCGCGGTCCTGCGCTTCGCGCTCCTTGAGGCGCGCCTCCTCCTTCTCCAGCTTCTGGTAGTACTTCTGGGCGTGGGTGCGGATCTGCACGACAGTGCGCGTCTTGATGAGGGTCGCGATCTTCTTCCAGGCGCGGTAGGGGAAGGTCTCGAGGCCCTGCAGGAAGAGCTTGTGCTCGGCCTCGGTCCAGCGGCCGGTGTTGCCCTTGACGGGCTTGCTGCTGGAGCCGGCGGCGCGCGAGACGTCCTCGGTCTCATCGTCTTCGTCATCCGAGGCGTCGTCGCTGGAGGCGGACGAGGGGATGCACACGCGGTGGCTGGCGAAGGCGGGGCCTTGCTGGTGCGACTTACTACTGCTGGGCGAGGCCGAGGCGGCGGCCAGCTTGGCGGCGGGGTCGCGCGGGGACACGGTGGCGGCGAAGAGCGGCGCGTCGTTGCCCAGCGGGGTCATGGGCGCGTCGCCGCCGCAGAGGAAGGCGTCGTCCACGTGCTGGAGCGACAGAAGCTTGGGGTGCGATCGTGCGCTCTTGAGCACGGCGGCGGAGGCCATTGTGACGACGGTTGAAGAGGAGGGGGGGAAGGAGAGCCTTTTTCTTTTGTTCTAGAAGGCTGACGACGCGCGCTCGGGAGAGTGATGGTAGCAGCGCGCGAGCACACACAAAAGATACACGGACGACAAGACGGCAAACAGCGGCAACGATCGCCGACGAGGGGGAGAGCGAGCGGCAAGCAGCGGCGGGGCTGGGCGGCGGAGTAGTGGTGGGTATGGGGGGGGTGGAGCGCGCACTTGCACTCCTGCAGGCTTAAGCTCAAATGAGCAGTCGTGGGCAATCTTTCTTTTTTATGGCCGACTCACACTGCCGCCCTCTAGGCTCGGCAGCGGGCCAATCGCGGCGCGCTTGAAGCTTTCGGCCAATCGCCTGCGACGGAGCGTTCTTCTGGGTTTCGGCCGCGACCCGCGGGCCGAAGCCGGCATACAGAAGGCAAGTCCCACGTTCGCGGGGCCCGCCGGCCCATCGCCCATAGACAAGCGCTGTATTGCCGGCAATTCGGCCACAGTTACCCGTGCCAGCATAGACGACGCCGTTACCCGGTGACCGGCAGCGGCCACCCTCCGGCGATAAGGCAGACCCGCGGGCTGGTTGGCGGGCGACGTTGCCGCCGACAGCAGCCACTTGCAAGCGCAGCCTGGATAGCCCGCGCCAGCTGGGCCCCGCGTGGGTCGAGTTGGCGGCGCCGGATTTGGGCGTTGAAGTGATTCGCCGCGGCTCTGCTTCGCGCAGCGCCGGGACACGGGTTCGCAGAAAGTTCCGCTCCTGCAAAAACCTCGCGCCAGCGCCCGAAAAACCTCGGTGAGTAACGTTGCTGCGAATCAGCCGCGGCGCGCGCTGATTGGCAGAAATCGCCGCCCACTTCAACGGCCGCGTATCTTTTCAGGGAGCGCATCTCCGCCGGCGCCCCCGGCTGGCTGGCATCGTCCAGGCACTCTGCGTGCACCGTTCGCGGGCAATAAGGCCGCTGGCAATGGCGCTGGGGGGAAATGTGGCACAGTAGCGTGGAGACTAGCATTCGACTGGTGTACTGGCGGAAGCTGGAGGCGATACACACGTTGCAAGCAGCGCGCAATGGGGGACTGCGTCCGAGCTGACGCACTTCAACGTGGCGCCATTGCGGTCCTCCTCAGCGGGAGGTCGTTTTTGTTGCAGGGGTGCTGCTGAAGGGTCGCCATGCGTTCGAAGCAGGGCAAACGAGTGGTCCCCGTTGCTTGCAGGGGGACGCGCTCGAACCCACCTCGGGCAAGTCCATCATAGCAAAGTGAGCTCGAGCTCAGCTGTTAAGGTCTCCTCCTCGTGCCGGTGCGGGGAGTCTGCTGGTGCCGCCTTCAAGAGCGACCATGACACCGAGAGCCGCCATTGCAATGCGAGGCCTCAGCGACTGCAGGGGGAACCGCGCGCGCTGCGTCACGCACGGGGCTTTGCCGACGAGGGCGGACGATGCAGTGCATCATGCAGCTGAGCCCGCCGCCACGGACGGCCGCCATTGCGCTTGAGGGGACACTTGTGCTGGAAAAGATACTTTTCGTTACATGTGAGCGTTCGAAAGAAAATTCGGCGAACGAAACGACGTGCCACTGTCGGCTTGAACTCCGCCGCCGCGCGTGTCCGTTGGCCGCCATCAGAGCTCAGCAGCCTGCCTTGGGCTCGTCATGCCACGCAGCGCCGCCGCCGCTGCTTGTTCTGCGTGGCATGGCCATGGCTTCCCGCCTCTTCCTGCTGCCGCGCTCACTGCTCGGGCTGGATGTGGGCAATGTCCCAGGGACCGAGAATCTCGCTAAGCGGCACAAAAAGAACCCGAAAATAGAGGTCGTACGTCAGAGGGGGATGCGCATCACCGACGGGAAAAAAAAGACACGTACTTCTTGGACTCCTGCACGTGCATGAACCAGAGCGGGCACACGAACGCCAGGAAGAGCACGAAGGCGCCCGCCAGCGCGCTCAGCAGCGCCGAGAGCTGCCAGGTCAGCGCCGACGAGAGCGCGAAGAGCGCGACCGCCGTCATGAGGTGCAGCCGCTCCGAGTGCCGCTGCGTACCGGTATGCGTTCGTTCATGTAGACGAAAGCCGCAGAGTGAGACCACCACCACGCTACTGCATCCAACACCGGCAACACAGCAGCGACAGTATTACTTAGCCATGTACTACGCACCTTAACCTCGCGCTGGAAGATGGGGAACATGGCGAAGATCTCGATGGCCAGCAACACGAACGCAAACACGTGCTCGTTCGACTGCAACCGCGAGCCGAGCAGCACCGCCGTGAAGATGGCCGCGTTCAGCGAGATCGTGCCGCTGAACCTGCTCAAACACGCCATAAACGCAGCGAAACACGTCAGTCGTGGCCTAGTGGCTCCCACTCAACGCATAGCAGCGCCGCCCGGTGTACCGGCCGATGCCCGAGTTGACGTAGTTGTAGTCGTGCGTGATGAGGTGCAGCAGACCCAGGAACGTCGCCAGCGCCCAGATCGTGTCGTCCGCGTACGACCGCGTGAGCGTCCGCAGCACGGGCGACAGCAGCGACAGCGTCGCGCAGAACAAAAGGCAGGAGCTCAGCGTGTCCAGCGTGTCTGCAGTTCATACACACCAAGTTAGCAAAACGCAGCGTAGGTAGATATCGACAGCAGTGACTATTCTCACGCAGAGGCAGGCCGAGGTGAATGCGAAGCACCGCAAAGCCAGTCACCGCCAGGAACACGTCGATGCCGCCCAGCAGCGCGGCGGAGATGGCGTCTTGGCGCACGAACTCAAACACAGACTTGCCAAGTGCAGCAGAGAACAACAGTATCAATTATAACCGTCAAGTAGCCCGTCGATGCCAACGAGCTAAACCCTACGAAGAAGATCAAGACGGCGCAAATCTGCTGCGTGATGGCTGCGGCCGAGCGCACCATGCCCCCGTAATCGTGCTCCCGCACATTTGCTGCGGCAACAGAAGAAACACCATGAACACCATAGATGTGAGCGAAGTGCAGATCCAGGTCTAGTTGGTGCTGTTCGTGGCGGGTGACTGCGAGGCTCACCGTTCGTCCGCATCTGCTCCAGGAACGTGTCGGCCACGTAGTTGTCCTCATATGGCTGCGGCGCGTAGAGGATCTTCTTCCACTTGGGCTGCTCATACACGCAACAACAGGAGTGAGCGTCCAGGCACGCCTACGGCCGCCTACGGGCAGTGCTGAGCGTCGGCACCTTTGTCGCCGCCGTCGATGCTGCTGCCATGTTGTGCGTGCGTCACTGTATGAATCCCATTGGTCGAAAATCTGGTTTGGCGTCGAGCTGCGAGCTTCAAGCTCAAGCTCGGAGCTTCGCCGTGATCGTCGATCATTGATCATTGCGTCGCCTTTATCCTGTGTCCAGGCCCGCTGAAACGAGGCTCCATTGAGTATACGTGGAGGGTGTGTCGAGGGCTGCCGTTGAAACGCTATGCGAGCTTGGAAACGGGCAGATAAAATGCTACTTACACACGCTTGCGTCGAGTGTGGAGCGGAAACCTCCACGCAGTTGGGTTTCTAGCAAAGATCGCAATCTCATCGTCGATCCTACTATTTTGTACTACATGGTGGGGAGCGGTGGACGACGAAGGCCTCTTCACCTGCAGCCTCGTTAGCCAGCACATAAGTTGTGGGGTAACCCCACTGGGGTTTATGGCACTACGCCCTCAGCGCGAGCACAGGTACAGTATCCTCGGTGCTGCAAGTTCAAGGACTGAGCAGCGAAAACCTTGTTTCCCCGTAATGAACGATGCTTCGGTAGACTGTAGTGTTCAACCAGACTGCTTTCTCTGACTTAGTTGTCCAACCAAAAGATGTACACGCTCGTTTCAGTCACCTTTGTCGAGAGTTCGTTGGTGCTTAGCATTGAGAGCTAGCACCAAGACGTTCCATGCCTTAGCCTTGATGCCTTTGTCGGTCGCAAGGGATCGGTTGTTTCTTGCGTCCAGGTACTTGTCCAGCAGGTCAAACTCTTCCATCTCGTTCCAGGATGCTCTCACAGTTCCTCCACCACTTGGAACGTCCCTAGAGTTGCCGGCATCAGCGCCAGCGGCGGCATTGGTAGCGTCAGCACTACGGACAGCGTCGGCGTTGGCCATGGTATGAGGCGTTCTTCTTGTCGTCTTCGCTGCTTGTCGCGGAATGCGGAAATGAAGCGAAGAAGCACTAAAGATCCTATGTCACTAATGAGAGGGGAAACAACTCGTTTTACTGGTCAAATATGGGTTCAAAGCTCCACTTTAGTGACATGCTGAAGGCACCGACGAAATCGCGCGGCAAATTCACCCTCCGGCCCGTGTTCGTTGCCGTGCTAATGACTCGAAATGCAATTTTAGACCTAAGAGCGTGTTCGCTACGCAGCTGGAGATGGATATCTGCAGGGAGTTGGTGCATCTCCATCTCCAGCTTGTTCGCTACAACAGAGCGCATCTAGGTAAAATTAGCCAATCACAGTGCAACTGCAACGACTCGCTCTCCTTCTCCTTACTTTGCTGTTTCTTCGTCGGCCGGGAACACTGCCCGAGACACCGGACTCGTGGCAAGACCAAGCTGCCGATGACGCTCCGAGAGCTGCGCCTCCGTTTCCGTCAGCCAGTGGCGACCACCACACCAGGATAGCCATGACGCGCAGCGAAACCTGACTCGATCGCATCCCAGTCCTCTCTCCTGCGTGGAAACGAAATGACAGCCGCCGCCATTGCTCGTAAGACGCGCACCACCTCGGTCGTAATCTCCATTACGTAGCTCCGTGACATACCCATAGCACCACCGACCTCTCGGTACCCACCAGTTGAGCCTAAAAAGTAAAGCGCGGCTGCAACTTTCTTCTCAAAGCTATGCTGCCGTACTTTGGCAGCAGCAAACAGAACACCTTGATCTCGTAGTAAACTAGCAATCCGTAGGAAAGTCGGCTTGGTGCAGCGAAGATTGTCTTCAAACCAACTTGCATACGCGGCTGACTGTAGCATGGGCTCAAAGTGCAGTGAGGTCACGGTACGAATCTGTTCCTTAGGGCCTCGCGGCGCATCGTCGGATTCTCAACCAGTACAGCTTCCTCTTCGTCCATTGTCTGTGCGGCTAAACTGCCTCAATCTCCAGCTACTTTCTCCTTCTCCACCTCTGGGAGCTGGAGAAGGAGACGGGGTAATTCTCCAGTTGTCACGTTGTGAACTAAACTATTTTGACCAATCAAAAGACAAGAAATAGAGTTGATGAGAGGCCATCTATATCTCCAGCTACTTAGCGAACACGCTCTAAAGTGTCATTATCTTGCCGCGTCGAACACGGCCTTAGATACTCTGAGTAGCCACTCGGCAAGTTAATATAGGGCGGGGACCGGCCCCCTTTTTAGTCACCCTAAAAGTAGCGGGTTCCTAAAATGACGGCCATTCCACCTCCGTCAAATATTAGAAACCCATGGATCACTCGATCCAACAGGCAGCCCTACTTGTCAGGTAGGGCGTTAGTTTCCTTACTCATTGAGTTTAAGCCAAATTGAGCGAAGCGAAACTGACATTTACGCTATATCCTACGCCGAACCATACGCACAAACGCTTCAGTAGCGGGTTGACGTTCCGGCGGGAAGAGCGGTACATGTAGAGTCGTTCTACATTGGGTAGTACAAAATACCGAGCAAATTGAAGTTGAAGTAGATGAGTCATCATTGACAAACATTTTGTTTGACACTTCCGCGGCGCAGCAGGGACTGCTGATCTTCGCAGCCAGGTCGTCGTCCATGCTTGATGGCGAAGAAGTGCGCCACCAGCAGCTACTGCTCCATCTTCTGCACCATGGAGCTCCTTGCCGTTGGTGCGCAGATCCTTGGGGGGGTTCAGCTATATCGTCGCGATACTCCAGCAAGGAAGGACAAGCGGGTTACCTGGGTGGCTGGTTAGACGCACGCATTAGTGTGAGAGGGTTCAGGTAGCGAGCTCACAATCGATTTCGCTGGCGCGGGAGCCGATGGACAACAAGCAACAAGATGACACCAATGAGCCCGGGCCCCGCAATAGGGGCCCCATGTGCGTGAGTGTCGAGTCTCTGGTGAATGAGCAACCTGGCGGCGCCGCGTCCCCGCCGGACGAGCGACCTGCCGGCGGCGAGCCTCCGCTAGACAAGCAGCCTGACGTCGTCGACAGCAACGCCGACACCGGCATGGACGCCTTCAGCGCCAGAGCACAGTACCGGGTCCAGACCTCCGACGAGGTGTTCAGCGATGTTCACAACGCCATTGGTGTTGACGATGAGATGAAGCAACCCGAGGAAGAGAAGGAGGCAGGGAACGGGTCCTTGGAGAAGACTATGGGGGCTGCTGTGCAAGCGGAGCTCGATAAAATAAGGGCCGAAACTCCCGAGGAAGCTGGCGAGCGCATCGCCAATGCAATCGTCTTTGGCGAGTTGTACATTAATGGCGACAAGAACAGCCTTATCGCTGCAGGAATACCTGATCGAGCTCATGAGGGCGGCAGAGATCTTACTGCCTTTGATGAACTGCAGTTTTACACTGGACGACGATACTTGGGAAAAGAACAAGCTCACGGTAACAGCCCATGTCTTCGACTCGATGCAATGCTGGAATTCAAAGAGGAAGTGCGGTAGCTGATCATAGGGTGCTGCAGGTGCTAGCTGACGAGTACCCCGAAGCTGTAATCGAGGTGTTACAATATATGCGGCGGAGGAAATACACGACTGGCCTTGATGTGGAGCAGCAGTTCTTCGACATATGTGTTGGCGTGGACGCACTTCGTGCCGAGTTAGCTGACATGAAGAACGAGTTAGCTGACGTGAAGATGGAACTTCGATCCCTCAAGGCGTCAGTGGAGACCGAACTGCAGTCCGTCAGGGCGTCAGTGCAGTCCCTCAAGGCATCAGTGGAATCACTAATTGCTGCTCAAGCCGCCGCTGCTGAGATGATAAGCCGGGATAATGCACGCCTACGAGAGGAGATCGCTCGGTTGACGCGGGCGGCAGCATTAATACTGGGAACACCCCAAGAATGAGGGGGTGGGCAGCCGCAATGGATTAATTGCGTGACCGTAACGCGTAACTCGGTCTGGCTTGTTGACCCAGCAACTTCAAGGACAGCTTTCAGTTTCCGGCAGCAAGTCGAGGCGCCGGAGCCAGTGAACTGGGGCAGGTTGTACACATCGCCACCCACAGCTCCAGCTTCAGAAAGTTCGCACCTGTCACGGCAATGAGCATCAGTGCGAGCACCAGCGTTTTACACCACAGGTTCCCAGCCAAGTCGAAGACGACCTAGTGAATATAGTACTCAATGGTGTGCTCCGCAGACATAACGTTACCATGCTTGGGTCAAACAAACTGAAGTTGAAGTGGATGAGTCATCGTTGACAAACACCTTAGATCGACAGCCGCACTCACGCTCAGTAGCTCATCTTCTGCGGGGCCGAGCACCACGGGCAGTTGCCGAACTGCTTGACCCACTTGTTCCACGTCTCGCGGTCGGCGATGACCTTGCACGTGGCGCAGTGGACCGTCGTCTTGGCGGCCACGGGAAAGCCCGTGATGATGCACGATTCCGACGCCGTCTTGCATTCGGGGCACTGCAGCGCCGCCTCGTAGATGCTGGCTTTGCAGTTCAGGCACGCGCGCTCGGGCAGCTTCTCGGCCACCTGCTGGTCCATCGAGATCGTCAGCACCCAGTCGCGGATCTCCTCGCGCGCGCTCTCTTCGGCGACGAAGTGCGTCTCGGGCAGCGCAAAGTCCAGAGGCGACGGGATGTCGGTGCCGATGAAGTCGGTGTTGTCCAGGTTGCTGGCGTCGCCGTCGTCGATGGCCTCGCACAGATCGAGATAGCGGTTAAAGTACACGAAGGCGGCGCTGAGCCACTTCTTCTTCCGCGCGGCGGCCCCAGCCAGATAAAACATCTTATCGGCGGGCAGGACGGCTACGAACCGCAGCAGGGACATACTGATCTTCGCAACCAGGTCGTCTAGTCCTACGTTCGCTGCTTGGTGCTTGATAGCGAAGAAGTGCGCCACCAGTAGCCACTGCTCCATCTTCTGCACTCTGGAGCTCGGGAACTCCTTGCCGTTGCCACGCAGATCCTTCACGAGCTTGCGTAGGCACTTGACCAGTTCTGGCAGTGCTGCCTGGTGCTCAGGGTTCTCCTCGATCCCGTGACCGCATCCGAGTGTCTTTTGCACCAGTCGCTCTGTCATGTCCAGGGCGTCCGAGTCGAGCGGAATGCCATAGTCGGCAATGGTCTTGATGGCGGTGCCCATCTCGTCGTGCTCACACAGGCGCGAGCAGCGCAGGACCAAGTACTTGGCCAGCGATCCGGGCCCGTGCTTAGCGGCTGAAGACAGAACTTTGTCCCATTCACCGCGCTGCATCCACGCGTCTAGTGCGCTTGCTCCGCGTCCAGAGTCGTCGCCTTCACCTCCAGCACTGAGCTTCGACTCCTTCTTCTCGGAGGCATACTGCACCTTGGCATCAGCCGAAGGAGTGTACGAGCTGCCTGCCATTTTCGCCTCTGCTGGTTGGTGAGCAGCAGACCCGAAGGCACTCGCTTGCTGTGCTCGCTCAAGTCGAGGCAGCAACTCAGGTGCATGCTGCTCGCAAAGCTTTTGCGCTGCGACCCAGTTATTCACGCGCAGGTAGCAGTCGAGCGCTTCGTTCATCTTGTCGATCGACTGGAAATGCTCAGCCGCGGAATCGAAGCGAGACATGCCTAGTAGGCGTGACGCCACCTCCTCCACGATCGACTTGTATCGGCTCGGGTCGTGCTTGGCACACAACTCAATGGCCTTCGCCCACAGCTCTTCCAGCTCACCAAGGTCGCTGATCTGGTCCACGGAGATCGACAGATACGCGTCAATTGCCTGCACATACTGCTGAGAAGCCACCCACATCTCGCAAGCCTCCATAAGCTCCTCTTTCTTCTTCGGTCCACCAGAAAAGATAGCGCGCTGGTGAGCCATGTTCACCTCCATGAGCTTGTGAGGAAGGTGGCGCTTGGCAATTCGCACGGCATCAGCCCACATTGCTGCTTCCAAATACGCAGCAAGAGCAAGCTCGGGTTTGCCCGCGCTGAGGAAGAACCCTTCAGCACGTTGGTGTTCCTTGCGTTCAATCCAGAGTCGCGCTTGGGCAATGAAGACATCCGCCACAGACGCTGGGTCGGCACTCTCTGCGACGCGCATGGCATTTTGCCAGTCTTGTTGGTGCACGTACATGTCCAGAGCTTCACGAGGCTTACCTGCCTTGATAAACTCCTCTTCTGCCTCCTTGAATCGTTCTTCATCCTCCAAGAACAGCGCGTGCTTGAGGTGCACCTCCGGCAGCTTCTTGGTAGCACAATTGCGTGCAAGTTCAAAGGCATGTTCGAAGGCGCCACTCTCAATCGCATAGTCGATTGCCGGTTCAATGAGCCCAAGACGCGTTAGCAGTTTAGCGCCCTGTTCACCGCCCAGGTCCATTGCCCAAGCGTAAGCCACGCGCTTGGAAGCATTGATGCCGCCGTGAAACTTGGCAACACGGATGGCCTCATCCCACATGTCGTTGGACCGGTACATGTTGACTGCGGCCTGCCACTCGCCAGCCTCAGCAAAGTGGTGCTCAGCCTCCTTGTAGTTACCTTCGTGCTCAAGCTGCTGGGCCAGGTACAGGTTCGTATCCTTGAGTAGATCCTTGCGATACTTGGTCACAAGGCGAATCATTTGCTCGTAGTTCTTGTGGTTCTTGTACATGTTGATCGCTAGATCCGGCTCATTCACGGTCAGGAAGAGCTTCTCCGCCTCCTTGAGCTTGCCAGCACGCTCCATCCGGTGCGCCTGCTCCACGTAAAGCCGTTCGGTCTCGTACTTGTCCAAGTGGTTGAGTGCGACTTGGTACGCTGCGTCCCATTTGTTCGCACGAGTGTACATTTCGACAGCATCGCGAGCAGCGTCAGCTTTGATGAAGCAGCGTTCGGCCTGCTCGAGATTGCCTGCATCTTGGTAGTGGCGAGCGAGTCGCCGATAGTACGGCAGTGAGACGTCGTCCTCCAAATTCTCAACGAGCTGGCTGGCCTTAGCCCACTGCCGCGAGTTTAACGCGGCCTCAACGGCCTTCGTAGGTACGTTACCCTCGATGTAGTGGTTGATAGCCATGTCCATTTGCTTCTGGGATACAAGGTAGTCACCCCAGGCTTCCTCAAGACGCAGAACCTTGTCCGGGAAGTGCTTTCGCGAAAGCTCAACAGCCTTGCGGAAGGCGTTAGCCTTGATGAACGCAGCCAGCGCTCGGCTCTCCTGCTCCATCTTCTCAAACTGGTCGCCAGCCTTCTCGAACATGCCCGCCGAGTACAGCGCATCGGCCACGGTCTCCAGGAGTTGCTTGTGGTCACGACCAAGGTTTCGCTGATTTAACAACTGTGCAGCCTTTGCAGGTAGACCACCCTTCAGGTACAGACTCACTGCACTCGCGTAGTCGCCGTCCTTGACCTTGACTGCTGCAGCCTTTTCTTCCTGTCGAGACTCGACGAGGTAATCGTAGTAGCTCCTCTTCATCTGCTCACACTCCGCGTGGTTCTTTGCTTCAGCCACTCGAATGGCATCTTCCCACTTGTGCAAGTGCTGATACATCTCGATGGCCTCGTCCACTTGGCCCTGAGCTAGCAGCAAGTGCTCCGCGCTGCGGTAGTCATTCTTAAGTACAGCAAGCTTTGCCCGCACTTTCCAGTGAGCGAGCCCATTGAGGCGGTCCTTCTCCTGCCAGTCGAGCTTGTTGAGCTTGCGAAGGTATCGTGAACGCGCAACATCTCCTAGAGCAGCGGCGCAGCGCTCAGCGATGCGATGGTCATTCTGCGCCAACGCTTCCTGACTCAATTGACTCCACATCGCCTCGGTCTCAGGAGTGAGCTCTAGGGGCTCTAGGATGGACATCGCATTGACGAGTTGTCCATCGTCCACCGCAGCTCCAAATGCAATGAGTGACTCATCAAGCTGGTATGACGCAGTATTCATGCCTTCATCCACGATCACTTCGGTGCGTCCATTGCCACGCTCAATCTGCTCGACATCGCCCTTGATCTGGTAAATGGTGGCTTTATCAGGCGAGCGAATATTGTACCAGACAGACAGGTTATTACGATTCTGCGCGACGACCACGTCCGATTCAGGCACCCACTGCACGTAGTTGCAGTAGTTAAGCAGTGTGCTACGCTTCTGGGTGTCGAGATCGAAGAGGTGAAGCTGGCGTCGCTTATCACGGAACAGGAGCAAGTTTCCACGTGAGTTTAGCTCGAGCCAATCTACACGGGAGTCGTGGTTGACCGTCGAGGCAGCACGGGCATGAAGGTCGGTGATGCAGATCGTCTGCAGATCCAGCAAGTACGCAATTTTCTTGTTCTCCTGGGGTGGCATCGGGTCACCCCCATCTTGTGGCATTGGGAGCGGAGGCCGCTCGTTAATCCGCACACTAAGCAAGTGCGTGTTCAGGTGCTCCGTCCTCACGGACCCTAAGAGCTCATTCTGTCCATACTCGATGAGGGACAGCTCACCCGCTTGGTACACGATGCAGACGCTCTCGTTGTCCAGCATGTATTTCTCGGCTCCAGTCGACTGCCATTGCACCTCGCTAATGCGCGAAGTGTCGAGGTCTCCGACAATAAGCGTGTTTGTCGTATTACCGACCAAAAATCGATCTTGGAACACGTTAAGCTTCGTGATCTCACATCCGAACGCGGAACGCACCACGACGCGAGCCCCCGTAGCGAGTCGCTTGACGATCACCTGGCTTAGAGATACGTAGGTAAACTCGAATTTGCCTTTGTAGCGATAGCGACGAACGCAGGCATCATACAGATCCAACGCGCCACAGACGGAGCCCACAGCTAAACGACTCCCGTCATGTTTCCATGCGAGCGCAGTGACCGAGTAGAGGTTGGGAATACTCTTCGATCCCACAAGCTCCCAGGATTCCGTTTTGTGCTGGAAGTTAAACGTGTAGAACGAGTCAAAGTTGCCCACGACCACAGATTCGCCCGTCGGATTGAACACACTGCAGGTGAACTCACCGCACTTTTCATCCGCCGAGTAGTCAAACGTGCGAAGCTGAGCTCCGTCCTTGTCGTAGAACGACACGCGACGGTCATTGCCCGCAGCTACGATACTTTCTCCCCACGAAAGTGCATAAGGGACACAGGAGTGCACCACAAGCTTCGCGTGCGTCGGTCCTCCAGTGACATCGTCGAAGATGAAACGGTAAATAGCGCCGTCGTAGTGTGCCGAAAGGATTGCAGTTCCCTCGGGGTTGCTGCACACTCGGGACACGTACGACCCAGAAGCATACAGCGTAGCCGGCTTGTTACTGCGCAATTGCCCGATCTTCACCTTGCCATCGGCCAGACCGAAGACGATTTCGTTCGGGTGGGTGCTTGGCCACGTGAGCGCCGTTACGGAGCTGGGCTGAGCGAACTTGTTGCAGATGCTCTTCTTGTCTCCGAACTCGAGACCAATCTTGTAGACGAAGACGATGTTGTCGCTCTGGGCCACCGCGAGCTTGGTCGAGTCCGGCGAGAACTCAAGCGCACGAACGATGTAGTTCTTGTCGCCCTTGTCCGCCGGCTTGGTCGAGAACTTGTCCTTGCGCTCCCCAGTCTGCGCGTCGAACAGGTGCACAACACGGTCCACGGTAACGACAGCGAGTCGCCGGTTATTAGGCGAGAACGCGATGGCCGTGACCTTGCACATGCCCTCCGTCGCCTGCAGCAGCGACGTCAAGTGGCGCAGCTGCATCCTGTCTCCGTCCTCCTTCCTACCAGCACCTTGAATTCGATACTGGAGCTGCTCACGCCTCTTTGGTCATTGCGATCTTGAAGCGACGCATGTACCCATCTCCCAAATATGGCTACCTTCCTCGAATGAATGACATAAAACCTCGCTTTAGTGCTATATGCGTGTCAACCGCCTCAGTTTTTGACTGGACGCAGGCTCTGATGGACGTGGAGCTGGAGCAGGCGAAGCGCGAGGCCGCGCTGCACGCGCGCCGCCGAGAGGAGCTGGACACGCTCAAGCAGCAGCGCAAGGAGCGCGCCAAGAACTCGGTGACTGCCAGCTTCAGTGGCAAGCAGAAGAAGCAGCAGCTGCGGGCGCGCAAGCAGCGACTGGCTTCGCGCAGGGACGAGGAGGCGGCGCTGGACCTGCAGAGCGCGCAATACGAGGAGTTCTACGCGGATAAACCGGCGGCAATTGAGGAGGAGGAAGAGGATGACGAGGTGGAAGCTTTCCGCGCCGAGCCGGACTTTTTCGCTCGGAATAACGACCTGGACAACGATCTCAGCTCCCGTCTGAAGCTTACGGTGGCGCTAGGCAAGAACAACAAGGACGCGGTGGGCAAGGAGCTCTCGAGCTTCTTCGTGAAGGAGACCAAGGAGCAGATTCAGTTGAGACTCATGGAGGGGCAACGTCCGTTGAATCTGTACAAGAGAGAGACGCCGCTGCTGGCCACGGTGAGCGAACGCGACCCGATTCTGGACCACCCCAAGCGACCGAAGTGGACGTACAGTATGTCCAAGGAGAAGGGTGCGTGGAGATAGCAATATTGTAGAATTTGGTGAGTGTGTGCACTTGTTTCTGACCGGGTCGTATGTGTGATGACAGTGGACACCAATGAGAGTCTTATGTTCGACCAGTGGCTCACCAAGATTCACGACAAGTACGACAACGAGCACTTGAACCACTTCGAGCACAATCTGGAGGTCTGGCGTGAGCTGTGGCGAGTCACGGAGCGGGCCACGCACGTCGTGGTCGTGGCTGATGTGCGGAACCCCTTGCTGCACATCCCCGCGTCGGTGTATGACCTCGTTACGAAGGAGCTCAAGAAACCTATGGTTGTGGTGCTCAACAAGGTGGACTTGATCCCGACTTCTGTCGTCCAGCTCTGGAAGCGCTACTTGGCTACGCGGTTTCCTCTCGCTCATCAGGTCTGCTTCTCATCCCGCTCGAACGCTGTGCACGGCGACAACGATGTCAGCACTCGCCGCCGAGTCCTCAGGTAAAAAAAATCTTGGAGAAGTTTGCTGTAGTGATGTCAGACTAAAACTTTATGCGTCGTCGCTCGACTGTTCACCATTTACAGCAAGAAGTTGGAAGTCGGAGATGCATCTGCTATCAAGGGTGCAGTGGACATCCTCGTGGCTTGCGGTATCGATTCAGAGGAGGCTCAAAAGCTTGCCGAAGAGTTGAATGCGAGCTTGACGGAGCAAGAGAGCTTGCAGGCGCAGTTTGACGCGGTGCAAGAGAAGAAGAAGGCTGGAGGCAAGCGACGCAGCAAACGCAAACAGAAGAGCCGTGGTGGCCGAAATGGCGATGCTGGGGACGGTGCTGCCGTGGTTCACGAGTGCCAGCACTGCGGCTGTGATGACGCTGCCGTTGCTTGCATGTCGTGTGCGATTGGTGGACGGCCGAGCGCCGCCGACGCGAAGGTCAAGGACGAAGCGGACGCTATTGCTCGGGGTTACTTGTTGTGCGCCCGGTGCGAGCGCGAGGAACACGCTGAGCTTAAGGGCCATTTCCAGGTACGCCTGCAATCAGCATTGGCTGCCGAGTCCACAGACCCTGCTGTCCCCGGTAGCGCCGCAGCCATGGGACAGGCTAACACGCCTAAGGTTACGATTGGCCTCATTGGACATCCAAACGTGGGCAAGTCGAGTGTTCTGAATGCGCTGGCGGGCAAGAAGATCGTGAGTGTCTCGCACACTCCAGGACACACGAAGCGACTGCAGTCGATCATGATTTCTCCTGAAATCTGTATTTGCGATTGTCCTGGTCTCGTGTTCCCGTTTGCCGGCGTGCCTAAGTATCTCCAGGAGCTCAGCGGGCTGTACCCGTACTCACAGGTACAGTATATGCATTGTCGATTCTTCTTGGTTTATCCGTTGTTCATATCTCTAACTTAACTTCGTGTTCAGATTCGTGAACCATACTCGGCAGTGCGTTTCCTGGCCGAACATGTTGTGCTGGAGCAGATTCTGGACCTCAAGCCCCGCACACAGCTATTTGACGGTTTAGAGGAAGAACTCGTACGTTCATTTGGTATTGTGGAGCTTGCTTTTTCATGTTTTCTCATGCTTTCGTTCGTGGTCTATCTGCAGGAGTGGACACCTTGGACATTGTGTGAAGCGTACGCGGAGAAGCGCGGCTATCGCACGGATCGTCGTGGTAGACCCGATCACCAACGTGCTGGATCGGAGCTGGTTCGTGACACGGTTGATGGCATTCTGCCCCTCTTCTTCCTTCCGCCCGACTACACAGGCAAGGATATCACACCGTCCAGTATCGCCAAATACTGCAAGCAGGAGGAGGCATCAAAGACTGGTGCACACGAAGAGGGCGGCGTTGATGCTGACGATGAGGAGGAAGAGAGTTCTGATGAAGAGGAGGAGGAGGATTCCTCCGCGTCACAACCGGCAAAGGGCAAGTCAGCGCCTGTAAACGCATTCAGCTTGCTGGACTCAGACTCAAGCGACGAAGACAGCGACGAGGATTAAGCAGTCGTGGATTCCTCAAATCTGTCTTGTGCTCACGAAATAGACCCGTTCTGATCTCTAAGTTCTGTACATAGATACACACAGCATTCAACATGCACATCGTCGTCTATTCAGCTATTCTGACAAGCCTCGCTTGTGTTCTACCTCGAATCCACCTTGTCTGATACGATTACTTGGTGATATAGTACAGCTTAGCGCGCTCCACATCTTCCACAGGACACTCCTCAAGCTCCGCAGCCGCATTCGCCACATCTTCCGCAGGCAGCTTAACCTCCTCGAACTTGAGGCCCGAGTCGGTGATCTGCTTCTCCACCAGGTCGTGCGTCACATCCGCGCGAGGAATGTGGCACAGCACGAAAGCTCGGTCGGCATCATCCGGCGCAGTCAGCACCCGGGTCACAGTACTAAACAGCAGCGGCAACAGCTCGCTCTTGTAGAGCACGTCACCCGCCAGCACAATGTCAACATCAGTCAACGCACCCGGGAACTCTTCCAGCAGCGTCTGCGCCGACGGTTCGTCGCCCCAAAAGAGCGAGCGGGCAGTCACCACACCCTCCGCTTCGTTCACCTGCACGTTCTTGGCCAACAGCTCCACCACTTCTTCATCTCCGTCCGTGGCCAGACACTTGACCGCTCCAAGCTTAGCCGACACGATGCTGCAGATGCCAGTTCCGGCACCAAGCTCCAGCACACGCTTGCTCTGCACGAGCTCCGGGTGACGCCACAGATACTGCAACAAAGTCATCTCAAGTCAGGACACCATTGCAATACACAATACCAATAGATAGGGCCTCGTACCCGCGAGAGGAAGTGCGAGCCCGTCCAGAGGCGCGTGCCCGAGATCTCCTGCTCGTTGGCGTCCATTTCGGCCAGCATGAAGAGCGACGCGGCCACCGGCAGCTCCTCCATCTGGAACACCTGCACCTCCAGGTCGCCCACGACCACGCGCTTCGTCTCGTACTCCACGCAAGCTCGCCAGTCGGCCTCGTCCGACGACGAGGAGGCAGTGCGCTCGCGCGTAGTCGTCGCGTCCGTCATGACAGTCGAAAATGAGCTCTTCAGCCAATCAAGGGCACAAAATGTAGCCATGTCCGAATTGGGGGGTAAATACGGGACAAGTTGCAGTTTGTTGTTGCAGGAAGATGGCAACGCTTTTTGCGTGTTGTTGATTTACGTGTTACTAGTGTTACTGGCTTACTTGTCGCCATGTAGCATTAGGAAGAACTACCTACCAGCGCTCATATCGCTCGCCTTAGATCTGGCTAAGCCTAGGACTCGTCACTGTGGATCGCCTCGAGCAGCAAGTGCTCGAGCGCGAGGAAAAACTCGTTGGGCGGACGGCGGCTAAGCACGCCCAGCTCGATCTCGCCGCGCTGCTCGTCGAACTCGTTGGCCTTGAACGTGTAAGGAATGCCGGCACGGTCGCACGCGTTCTTGATGGCAACCTCCAAGCGCGAGGGCTCCTGGAAGCACCCGTCCCGCGTCATGAAGCTCCCCATCCAGAACAGCGTCTTGCCTTGTCCAGCCGCGAGCTTCAGGAACAGTGTGCAGATCTTGAGCGTGGTCACGCACTCCTCTCGAATGCCCAATGCACGCAATATCTTGGCGTCTCGCTCGGCGTCCATCGAGTTGATGTACTGCAAAGCCGCAGGCGAGAAGGCTTCGCGGCACTGCGGGTACTCGAGCCAGTCGAAACGCGCTTCAGACAGGTGGAACCAGCTTGGAAGAATGCAGCCGTGGTCGATGGGTACCATGGTGTACGGCTTCTTTTCGCCGATGAGAAGAATGTTGCCCGGGTGGCGATCCGTGTTGAATACGCGCACGTCGAGCAGCGCAATGCGGTGCACCTGCTCCACTGGGACAAACTCGCGCGCTTTCTCAAGGTCGAATGGCATACCGAAACTCTCCATGCTGCCAATGCTGCTGGCCATGAAGCGCTGCACAGCTCCTTGCTTGGCTCGACCGACGTTCGTCAACTTCAAGCGTGCCACCGCTGTCGGCGGCACTCCACTGAAGCCATTGCTGCGCGAATCGAGCACATACGCCACCTCTTCTCGAATAGCCCCTTCACCGGCAAACAAGCCTTCACGCACAAATTTCTCCTCCTCTGCAGGCTTGAAAAGCGCGAGCTTCTGACCGCTTGATCGAGATTGAACTGCATACACCCCGCCTTCTCCTTCACTCATGGGATCAGCGACACCATCGGCCGTGGAGCTCAACTCGGCCACGTCCCAAAGCATATTCCGTCGAATGCCACTTCCCGAGCTCAGACGCCGCAGTCGCAGCTTCGCAATAAAGCCGTCCTTGCCGTGCTGGGCCAGTTCTTGAACGTCAACATACACATCTTCAGCCGCGTTGTTGTTAGGGTGTCCGCCGCTAGGAGGCGGACTTGAGCGCTGCAGTCGGCTTTGCACCGAGTGACCGAGCAACTTGTACACTGCGATGTTCTTTTCGCCGAACTGGCAGCCCAGTTGCAGCTCCTGCGCCACGTCCTGCACCATGAGCTTCTCGTCGTCGCTGAAGTAGTCCGGAAAAAGCGTGATGTGAGCGTCTGCATTGACACAAAACTCGCGAAGTTCTTGGTAGAGCGAAGCGCGCAGGACGATGGACAGCGACGGCTCAGGCACCGACTGCAGAGCTTTCGACGGCGACGCGGCTGAGGTCGGGTGGATGACACTGGTCTTCGCAGCAGGTCGGAGGCCGGTAAGCGCGAGCTTCTTGACCGAGCTGCTGAGATCGTGGAGGTTGTTGTCCTCATCCGTGACCACTTTGCGTGGACTGCCTTCTTTCGGCAGCGTCTCACCCTGGGGTTGGTCGTTCTGCTGCTGCTGCTGCTGCTGTTGTTCTGCGCCTGAGCTGTTGTCGGTCACTAGAATCTCACTGCAGCTGACACTACCAGCGCACGCCTGCGTCTCGTGCTGGTTGCTACTGGCCCTGTTGGCCCTACGACTTCGCTCTAGCGCCGCCACGCGAGCGTTCTTCTTGAGGATCGCGGGACTGGAGGGCCAGAGCAGCGCCTGGCGCCACAGCGAGCGCGAGGGCTCGCGACCGGCCTCCCTCGGACTCATCTGCGCGCGGCTGACGAGGTGCAGCAGGTGCCGCGACAGCTTCTTGGGCGTCGGGCTCGAGTCTTCGCTGCGACGCGCTGAGATCCCCACCATGGGCGGGCCCTGTCCCCCAGTAGGCCTAGGCGCCTGCTCGCCCGGCAGCCAGAGCGTTCACACTGGGAGCGACTCCGAAACGGCTAAAAACGACGCAAAGCCTTGAAGGTAGCTCCTGCTAGCAGGCAGCTCAAGATCGCTCGCTCGCTCGCTTAGGGTCTGCGCGCCTCGCGTCTAGTTCGGAAGTGTCTCCAATGAGAGCGCGGACCTCTCTCTCTCCGCTGTACTGCAGTTTCTTGCAACACGCTAAAAATATATCGTCGGGCAGATCGGCCGCTTTGGTTTGGGCAAGCACGTTGAAGTTGCAGGTTACGTTGGACCAGTCGAAACCCCTGCGCCAATCGCCAGTAGCTGCTTGTGCTTGCTGGTTGCCTCGATTTAGCCTGCAGCTCAGCTCTGTGCAGGGCTCAGAGCAGTGAAGTGGTGACGCTTATGGCGGGCACCACATCGTCTCGTACGCTTGATGACCACCGTGACGAACGAGCGCACCGTAGACATCCCCGACATTGAACGCTTTGCTCTGCACAGCTGCCGACTGATTCTGTAGCGGCGCAGCACGCCGGCTTGTGGACACCACAGTGAGCTGGGCTCCACACGCCAGCAGCGGCACCTTCAGCGGCCGGAACGCGGCAAGACTTACCCCCAGCTACCTCCATCCACTGGCCTCCGGCCATAGCCGCCCTAACGGCTTGCACGCTGGCATCGCCTTTAGCCGTTCCCGGGCCAGAACCAAGTTGAAGTTGCCTCGCTTCCCACTGGCCGAAACTCGGACTCGATTTCGTCCAATCGCGCGAGTACACTCTATTTTCGAACGCGTCCGGTGTCTATAGACAGTCCCCCCTCGGAAGCGAACGGTGCCGAGAAGCGTGCAGTCGGTGGCCGCAATTGAGCCCGGCGGCGCCGACTCTCCCTCTTCGTTCCATCGCCACCGCCGCTCGACGTAGAGCGACCGCCACGGACGAGCGCGGCTTGCCACTGTCTGCGCGGCGCCCATACGCCACCGCCGCCGCTCTCACAAGTCGTAGAGAGATAGAGTCGGCTATCGCGCGTCGACACCCGCTCGCTCCGCGCCATGATGACCCCATCCAGCATCGCCGGCAGCTTCGGCGGCGCCATCAACATGACCGCCAGCAGCATCCCGCCCGCCTGGAACACGCAGCCGCCCGCGGGCCGCTCGGCCACCGTCACGCTGCAGCAGCTCAGCGGCTTCAGCATGCGCAACCTCAGCGTCCACGGCACCAGCGGCGGCTCGCTGCTCAACGTCTACTTCAAGCTAGGTAGGGTATTCTCCTGCTATATCGATGATACAATGCTCTATTTGTTGCTCACAAGGGGGTGACTATCGCAGTGGTGGACGGCCGCGTGGTGTACGAGAGCGAGGTGGCGCGCAACACGCTGAACCCCGTGTGGGTGCCCTTCCAGTCCGAGGACGACGACGAGGACGGCGGACTTGCGGGCGTCGAGACGCTGCTCAGCGGCGGCACCAGGTTCGACATCGTCGTGGTGCGCGTGCACGACCGGAAGACGGCCAAGCGGCCGCGCCGCAAGTCGCGCTCCATGAGCGACCGCCTGTCGTTCGGAGACGACGCGCCCATCAACAACTCGCGGTGCTTCGCCGACGCCAAAAACAGTTTCGACGAGGCCGATGACTCCGGGGCCAATGACGCCATGACGGACACCGAAACGCCGAGCCACGCGAGCAGCTCGAACGGGAGCGCGGCGAACGACGTGTTTGAAGAGGACATTCTGAGCCTCAGCTTCGGCGTGCGGGAGCTTGAGCCGCTGCCCGTAGCGCTGACGGACCTCTCGAACCTGCCGCTGAACACTTGTCTGTTTGAGTTTTCGGGCCACATTTACGTGCATCGCATGGTACTGGAGCTTCTGGCTGAAAGTGGGGTTATTGCGCCGAAACACTCGAGGAGGAAAGGCTCGGTCATCCCCCTCAAGGACTACAGCTTGCACGAAGGCGTGGACGCGCTGGAAAAGATTTTGACGACAAGACAAAAGATCGCGGAGTTGACGAAGACGAACGCCGAGATGAAGGAGCGGATCCGCAACAAACTGCTGCACTCGCAGCAACGCATCGCCAGAGAACAACAGCGGGCGGCACTGGAGGAGCGCGTTCGCCTCGCGCGAGCACAAGTAGCAGACGAACGACACACGCTGGAGCGGCTACGGAACGTTATGCAGGACGAGCGCAGAACATTTGAGACGGACATCCACATCCCGAAGGCGCTGCTGAGTACCATGCAGATGAGCGTGCGCTACAAGGAAGAGCGCCAGAATATCCTCGATCGCCGGTGCGAGGTCCTGCGAGCTGCCCACAAGATCCGATCTCGACAGGCCGTGCTCGTAAGGCAGCTCGGCACCGTGTACCCCATCGAGTACGTAGGTGCCGGAGAGTACAGCATCCGCGGCATTCGCATCGCCAACTCGGACCTCACAGGAGGCGGCAGGACCGACGAAGAGATGATCTCCACGGCTCTGGGCTATATTGCCCACCTGGTATTCATGCTGAGCAAGTATCTCCAGGTGAACCTCCGCTACCGCGTGGTGCCGTACTCGTCGCGGTCATTCCTCAAGGACGAGATCAACGACCCTCAAGGCGAGTACCCTCTGTACAAGAAGGGCGCCGATAAAGACCGCCACGAGAAAGCCATCCGCTTTCTTCGCAGGAACGTGCAGCAGGTACGAGTTTATAGCGTGGGAGATTAGCGGATGATGTGGTTCTGACGTTGTGGTTTGTATGCATGACGTTAGCTTCTGTTCTCACGTAGCTTGGACCCAACACAAGATTCACCCATTCTGGCCCAACTAAAGTCGCTCGCAGATTCGGAGAGCGCGTGGCTTGCAAATGATCGCACATTGAGCAACAACACGAGCAGTGTCAACGGCGCCGAGGCGAGCGCCATCGTGCCCAGATAGGCTATTTACAAGAAGAAAAGAGTGCTGAGCAGAGAAGAATGTCCAAACGCCGGGGGATCGGCAAATTGACCACTTGAAGAATAGTGGGCGTAATACTAGTTAGACGCTTTTTCCATTGCATTGCATGGTTTTGTCGTGCAGAGTCCGTAGCACGTGCTACTACTACAAGGCTTCCCACCCTCCCCCATTTACAGCTTCGAAGCAGCAGCATCTTTCGGGGAGTGCGTCTTGTACCAGTGACGCGCGATGTCCTCGCGTTTGCAGATCCAGACGTCTTGGAAGCTCTGCGCGTAGTCTAGGAAGCGGAGCAGAGCGGCGATACGTCCTGGATGGCCCACGACGCGGCAGTGCAGCCCGATAGACATCATCTTGGGCTGACCGGCGCGGCCCTCGGCGAGCAGCACATCGAAGGCGTCCTTCAGGTACGTGAAGAACTGGTCTCCGGAGTTGAAACCCTGCGCAGACACGAACTTCATGTCGTTGTTGTTGAGCGTGTAGGGGATCACAAGGTGCGGGCGGCCGAACTGCGTGTCCCAGTACGGCAGGTCGTCGTTGTAGGCGTCCGCGTCGTACAGGAAGCCTCCTTCCTCCACCACGAGGCGGCGCGTGTTGACGTTCGGCTTGCCCTGGTAGATGCCCACGGGGCGCTCGCCCAGCAGCTTCTCATGGATGGCCACCGTCTTGCGGATATGCTCGCGCTCGGTGGCCTCGTCCACGTTCTGGTAGTCGATCCAGCGGTATCCGTGGCTGGCGACCTCCCAGCCGGCGTCCTTCATGGCCCGCGCCGCCTCTGGGTTCTTTTCGAGCGCGAGGCCCACGGCGTAGACCGTGAGCGGCATCTGGCGCTCCGTGAAGGCGCGGTGCAGCCGCCAGAAGCCCGCGCGGCTGCCGTACTCGTACAGCGACTCCATGTTCATGTGGCGCTGCCCCACGTAGGGCGCGGCGCCCACGATGTCCGACAGCAGGTGCTCGGACGCGGCGTCGCCGTTCAGCACGCAGTTCTCGCCGCCCTCCTCGTAGTTGAGCACGAACTGCAGCGCCAGCTTCTTGCCGCCAGGCCACTTGGGGTCGAACCCGCGCGCGCCGTAGCCCACGAGGTCTCGCGTCACGCCCAGCTCCGCCATGGGGATGGAACTCGCTTGTGCTCTAGGCCGCCAATCGGCAAATGAATGCGAGAGTTGAAGTGGATGACGCACCGCGGAAGTAAAAAATCGTGAAGTAACAGTAACGTTAGAACCAAGATTTCACCATGAAATAAGGAAATGGCGGGCCAAGCGAAGCAGGACCCAGGAACGCCATCCCATAACGGTAGCGCAGCCGTCGACCTGATGCCCTCAAAATGACGAGGGCGGGCAGTTGGCTCCAAAAACAATCTGCGGCGCCATAGTTGGGGGCTATTGCTCGTCGCAAGTCAGCGGAGAATACATCGCCACGGGTATAGTAGCAGTTGAAACCAAGTGGGCGGGTATTCAGAGCAAGCAAGATGCCAACAAGATCGACCCGGAACTATTGGTATAGTTAATCAGATGTTGAAGCTGCAGTAGTCTACTGTCACTATCGTATCGTTACACAGAGCTCGGGACAACTAAAGCAGCATAGTTTGGTGGCTTTAGTGGAAATTGGTTAAGATTGTTGGGCACAACGCGGAAGAGATTGGATGTGGCGCGTGCAAGTCTTCTCGCCAAACTCCTCCTGTACAATAATCGTGTCGAAATGACCTGTTAGTGACAAGTTAGGCATGCTGGCAGAAGCTGAGGGATAAACCTTGCTCGACAGCATGTATCTTGTTACAAAATGACCTTTACCATTGTTAACCCCCTTTTGCTTTTGTATTCACGACTGTATATTACTAAGCGGAGGTTTCATTAACTCCTGAAGTAACGTTAACATTCGTACTTAATTGAATCTGGATCGCAAAAGGCGAGGGGGAGGCGAAAAGCGAGAAGCACCAAAAAGGATCGACACAGCCAAGTCGAAGCCGCAGCGCAGCAGCCAGAGCCATGCCCGGAGACGGATACGACCGCCACATCACCATCTTCTCGCCGGAAGGCCGGCTCTACCAGATCGGTGCGTGCTCAATCCGCCGTCTGCAGCGCTTTCCTCCCCGCCATCGGCCTCACTTATCTCTGGAACAATCGGATCTTTTGAGCAGAGTACGCCTTCCGCGCCGCCAAGGAGTCCACGCTCACGTCTGTGGCCGTGCGCGGCAAGGACAGCGCCGTCTTCGTCACCCAGAAGAAAGTGCAGGTGAAGAAGCAGCCTACAGCCCGCGGATCTAATAGTTCTGTGGCCACGAGGTCTGGATCTGACACTGTAGCTGTTTATTGCTGGTGCTGCTGCTGCTAGGACAAACTGATCGAGCCCGACTCGGTCACGAATGTGTTCCAGATCACGCCCGAGATCGGCTGCCTCATGACGGGACTCTACGGTGTGTTGCTGATGGAATGCTGCAGAAAATGCTGAAAATTCTGGACTAATTGCTTGTTTATTTATTGTGACAGCCGACTCGAAGGCGCAGGTGCAGCGTCTCCGCTACGAGGCGCACGAGTTCGAGAACAAGTTCGGCTACAAGATCCCGTGCCACGTGCTGGCCAAGCGCATCGCCGACGTGGCGCAGGTGTACACGCAGCACGCGTCCATGCGCGCGTTCGGCGTCGTCACGATGCTCATCAGCGTGGACGATGAGAAGGGCCCTCAGCTGTTCAAGATCGACCCGGCCGGCCACTTCTGGGGCTACAAGGCCACGTCGGCGGGCGTCAAGGAGCAGGAGGCACAGAACTACCTCGAGAAGAAGATCAAGGCCAACCCGGCCATGGACTACGAGACGACGCTGCACACGGCCATCACGTGCCTGCAGTCGGTGCTGTCGGCGGACTTCCGCCCCAACGAGATCGAGGTGGGCGTCGTGGTGCAGGGCCAGCGGTTCCGCAAACTGCCCGAGGACGAGATCGAGGCGCACTTGACTGCCATCAGCGAGCGCGACTAAACCCGACACGTTTGTTTGCCTTACTGCGTGGGATGTTACCCCAGGCTCAGAGAAGAAGAAGTAAACTCGAGGAATAAGTGCGATGCAGATGAACGGTAGCGTGTTGGCTCGTTCGTATTGGTTTCACCTTGTGCTGCGTGCCCAGATTCCGCTGCAATGGGCCTATCAAGCTACTGCGTCTGTGCAGGGGAGCTGTGGCTTGAAATTGGCAGGTGAGCAGAGGTGAGCATTTGTATCTCCAGGATTGTCTTTGGGACTCGTGGCATCGTTTCACAGAAATCGGTAACGGACGGCGCTACATGAAGCGGCGCCTCGTTTGGGATATTCATCCGTCCGCTCACTCACCAAGACTCGCTGCGCGAAGCCAAGCCGCCTCTTTGATCTGCATTCCTGTCAAGCACCATGGACGCAGCCAGCATGCCCGCGGCTCCGGCCAAGTCGATCATCCACTTCGTCACGGACAACTCTGGCTGGACGTTCAACCTCATTACAACGCACCTGCTGTGGTGGATCGTGGGCTTCCCGATCGCGCTGGACTACGGCTACTCAAGTAAAGCGTATGACGCCAAGGGAGCTCTTCCATCAGGACCCGAAGGCTCCGGTGCCTACGTTGTCACGCTCTTCGTCTGCGTACTCTGCACCGCTGTGTACATGGCTCGCTTAGTCTCCTACTTCGGGTGGTTGAACCCGCCTGCCCCCAAGGAGCACACCGAGTGATCGAGTTCTCTCAAGTCTTCCAGCCTGGACAGGATCACCTACCAGTAACGAAACGAACACTGAATGCCGAAAACCTGCTTTTATTTTAACGTTGCTAGGCAGCTCATTCATCTCAACTTGGCTCGCGTTTCCTCTTTTTCTCGCACTTTAGTATTCACAAAATCAAAGGGCCTCCACGACCCCGTAAGGCACAGCACGCGCGGCGATAGTACAGCTTTCACGCGTGGCTGACTGCGCGACTTGGCAGGTGGAGGCTTGTACATGTGCATATTGTTTCTTGCTTTTCTTCCCGACTCGCAACTTGGTCCGGCACTCCAGTTCGACGAGCATTAAGTAGTCGTGTGCCACTGCGTCGGGCTGATGAATTGACACGCAGAAAGCTGGTTCGTAGCACTCCTTATAGCAGCTTCCTCAGCTGACCCGGAGTGAACGTGCTTCGTCGAGATTCACGCGAAGGTGAGCTTCTGATGCTGTTGCGAGAGAGGTCCCCAGGGCCAAGCGACTGGCGCCTCGTCGACTTGATCTGGCGAACGGGAGCACCCAGCTCGCACTGGCTCACCTTCTGGGCGAAGCGCATGCTGCATAGCGACTCGTCCAGGGACATGTACGTCGGCGACAGGTTGGCCATCATGAGCGTCTTGCCGTCGCCAGACAGCGCGGGCTGCAGCGCGTACGTGAGCTTGCTGTTGCGGTACGGGACGTGAGGCGACTTCTTCGCCAGAGCCTGGAACACATCGGCTAGGGCGCTCAGACTCTTGTTGATGGCTTGAGCCTCCTTCAGTCGGTCTCCCGTGGCATTCGATCGGCTCAGCCGCTCACTACCGGCAAGATCCACAAGGCTCAGGCTTCCCTCGACCTCTGTGTTTTGTGCCTCGTTGAATCCCTGGATCTTCAGCGCGAAGATGCTGTGACTACGAGATGAGTGCGCGTTCATGTCCGTGCGGTCAACGGAACGGTTGCACGCTGCCAGGTTCACGATCTCATCCACCTGCTCAGCTGCCTGGTCGAAGTCGATGTAGACCTCGGTCAGACCCTCCACGTAGTTCCGGCCACGGCTGTCCGTGCGGATGTTGTGCTTGATATCCTTGCTGCTATCCATAGTCAGCAAGTCGCGGATGGTCTCGTTGTAAATCTCGTAGAACGTCACCATCAGCGAGAAGTTCCACCCCATGAGCGTCAGCTCTTGGCAGCAGTTGATAATGAGATCAATAGACCGCGGGATGATGCCGCGCATCTGTGCCTTGCCGCTTCCTTGCATCGTGTGCGTCTTACCGGAACCCGTTTGGCCGTACGCAAAGATGCAGACGTTGTAGCCGTCCATAGCCGATTGAATGAAGTCCGACACATCCTTGAATACGAACTCCTGCGAATCGGATTGTCCGTAGATCTTGTCGAATGCGAAAGTGTGCGGGTTGCCCACGTTGGTCGTGATGGTGGAGGCGAAGGTGTCAACCATAATGGCGGACTGTGGGTTCTCGGCCAACGCTTCCTCGCCGTCAGAGCGCAGGAATGGACGCAGTCTGACGTGCACTCGAATGTTGCCGCGCAGCTCTTGGATGGTGTTGTGCAGCTTGCGACGCATTGCTTCACCTTCAGCGATCTTCATCTCGAGCTCCGCAATGATATCTGCCTGCTCTGTAATTTCCTGACGCGCCGCGAGCAAGTCGTCAGTCAACTCCTGAATACGCTGGGTCGTTTCTTCATCATCTGCCCGCGATGGAGAGCCTGCGCTCTTACTGCTACCATATCCAGACCCGCCGATTGAACCACTGCTTCCACGCGCCTCACGTTGGTTGGTTGGCTCAGCTTTGCGCATCAGCCGGTTTTGGTCCTGCAGTAGCTTCATCTCACCGACCAGCGAGATATTCCGCTTCTCGTAGCGGGCCTGCATCTCCTCCATCTTAGCTTCGTGAGTCGTCTGCAGCGCCACCATTTGCGCGTAGAGCGCGGTGTTTTCGACAGTCAGCTGCTCCACGTTAACTTGGAACTGCTCACGGCGGTTCTTCTCGTCCTCAAACTTCGCCTCCATAGATGCCAATTTATCTTGCAGCAGGTTCTTCTCCGCCACCATAGACTTGGACTCGCGCACGCGATCGCCGTTTTCTGTTTTCAAGCTCGACGCCTTCGCCTTCATCATCTTGATTGTCTCGCTGAGACGGGTCACGTTCTTGTTGGCTTGCGTCAACTCTTCAGTCAGATTGCGGTTCTGCTTGGCCAAGTCCGTGGTCTTCTCCCAGAAGCTGTGAGCGTTGGCTGATCGCTCGTCGTCGTCGTCATCCAGTTGCTGCTTTAGGAACTCAAGCTCGGAGCGAGCGGCATCCAGATCCAACTCCAGTTGACGCTTCTGCATGTTCAGGTTCAGGTTCAGCTCCTGAATGGCCTTCAGCTCGTCATCCTTGCCGTGCAAAGTCTCGGTCACAAGACGCGAGCTGGAGAGCACCGACGCCGACGTGCGCTCACGCTCCTGGGCCAAAGCCTGCTCGTGCTCCGCCAATTGCTCCGCGAAGCGGGTTTTCCACTTGTCTTCAATCTTGTCCGTTGCCTTCTTCAAGATATTGCGCACGAATGCGGACAGCGGCGAGTCTTCCTGCATCGCCTGCTGGATCTCTTGGCGCTGGCGATCAGCTTCTTCACTCGACATTCTCGGGAAGATGTTCTGCGACGAAGTAGTTGACGCAGTCTCCGAGTCCGAGGTCGGATGGGGTGATCGAGACAAAGGGCCGTCACTGTGGAAGTCCTCGAGGTCGAGCTCTGGTAGTAATCCCTTGGAGTGATCGGTGTGCTTGCTCGGCTCCGAGTTCAATAATTGTGTCAGTCGTTCAATCTCCGCGGCGGATTCGTCGACGTACTCGTTCTGCTCCAATGTCCTCCTCTCAAACGCCTCGCAGCACCGCATCAGCCCTTCACTGTGAGAGCTCAGCCTCCTTAACCCAGCCTTGAGCAGCTTCACCTCCTCAAGACGAGCTTTCATATTGGCCGCGGTGGCCACTGAGCTCGTAGAATTCGTCGACACATACTCCAGCAGTTCCTGGACCCCTTTCTCCGCCATTTCATGGTCCTCCCTCAGAGCCATCACCGACTCCTCGTTCAACGTGAAGTCCTCTGGCAGTATCGACATGGACGGAGCTGACGCCGGCCACACCTTGGGGGCAGCGGACGTTGGCTTATGGCGCGCCGATGACGACGACGATGTAACAGAGCTGGCCCGAGTGCTCTTGCGCGTGGGCGTGGCTCCCAACCTGGACGAGCCCATCCTAGACGACGCCGCCGACACAAAGGACGCCGAGGTCGCGGACGACGAGATGGACGAGCACGACGACTGCGAGCCCAGACTGCTGCGTCGGTTCTCCTTGTTGCTCTCCACCAAGTCGTGCAGCGTCTTCCTCCTCTCCGCCGCCGCGCTAGCCGACGTCCTGCTGCGCGGCTTGGACAGCGACGACACGCTGTTGACACTGCTGGCGATGCTGCTCATGCTGCTGTTGCTGTTGGTCCGCTTGAGGCCGCCGCTGCTTCCGTCGGCAGCAGTGAAAGAAGACGCGCCGTGCATGCGCGCCTTGATGGACGCCGAGTACGCGCGGCGGGCCTCGAGCGCCGACTGGCGCTTGGGCGTCGAGTCCTCGGCCGCCCGCGGGCCGAAGTCGCTGCTCATGCCCACGCGCTGCACCTTCTTCTCCAGGGCGCGCGGCGTGGTCCTGGCGGCCATTCCGAGCCGTCCTCCGGTCGAGGAGAGGGTCGCGGCGCGCTGTTTGGTGGTGGGCGAGGCCGCGGACGTGGCAGACCTTCTCCCGGGCGTCTGGATGCGCGAGATCTTGCTGGGCGTGCGCAACTTGGAGCCTGGGATGCGGCCCGACGTGGAGATGACGAGGCGCGACGTGACGGACTCCGTCCCATCGATTGACTCGTTGTCGTCCGTCAACTCCTCGTCTCCAGTAGCAGCGGCGCTTGTCTCGTCGTGGGCGAGCAGCGCCTCAGTATCCAGCGCGGCGGTCACCGAGACGTCGAGCGGCCCCAGCGCCTCAATCGGCTCGCGCGCGTCGTCCTCCATGGCCACACAGGAGGATCCTCGCTCCCTGCTTGTGAAGTAGGCCGAGGGCTTGGTGCGGCGTTCTGCTGTTGCTGCGGCTTCCGTCCACGCGACTCGGCGGCAGCCGCTGCAAGCCAGCCGGCAGTAACACGCAGAAAAGAGGCGGCCCGGTCAAAGGGCTCAAGCAGCAGCAGAAGAGAAGAGAAGATAGAAAGAGAGAACGAGAAGAACGCAGCGCTTCCTCCCCTGCTTCAGCTCTTCCTTCCGCCTGTACACAAGTGACTGGGCTGGAGAACTGGTGACTGACTGCTGCAGTCGACCCATCCACACTTGGCCTGAGTATGAAGCGCCAATCAAACGCGTGGATTCCGCCAAGTTCAGAAAAGTCATGGTGCTTTTGTATGGCACTGTAGGACGAGCCCTGGGGACTCTTGGGTGAACCCAAAAAGTCGCGAGCTCGGGCTCCTGGGCTCTTGAGTTCAATAGGTTAAGTGAAAGGAGCCCTCCAGAACTGTGAGCCCTCGTTAAGGGCTCCCCCTCACCTGTGTTAAATATCTCGCTGATGATTGGCCGTCATTGAAGTATCTCCAGGTTCTAACCTGAAAAGGCATAGGAAAGAGGGCTTCTCCTTGAGGGGAAGGAAGGACGATCGGCGACGCTGGGGTGGCCTCGGAGCGGCTGTCCACATATGAGCGGTGCGAGATCTTCTAGTGTGGTGATCTTTGAGCTCGATCTTCTAGCGTGGCGCATCAATCACGCGAAGTTGCTCGCCTTAAGTCTAGGTAAAATTGGCCAATCAGATATTACTATGAAGAGCCCGTCATAGATTTGAAGCTAAATTTGGGGAGCCCTGGAGGGGAGCCAATGGGGAGCCCGAACCAGGGCTCCTTGATCTCGTACTTACCATGAGGGAGCCCGTTTTGTGCGACTTTTGGCTCTCGTATTTAGGGGGAGCCCACTTTTGAAGTTGACGAGCTCGGGCTCGTAGAAGGTGTGCTGTAGGCTGCTGTAGCGTCACCTCCGTGAGTACGTCGAGACTGAGGTGGAATGGAGGCAGGACTTATCTGCACGTTGTAGCGGATTTTTGGTGGCGTTGTGCGGCACGTGGAGCAACGAGCAGAAGAGATGCAAGCCGATAAGAAAATCACACGCACTTTGTTGCGGCTTTCATACCCTCGAGAGACCTATCGTATCATAGGCACTAAGCGTCCCGTTGCAAGCCGGCACGGTACGTAACTCGTTGTAAGCTGCAGGAGACTACAGGTCAGTGTCGCGAATGTACCGGTTGCCTTCCGACTCTTTGATCTCCGCTCTACCCCCAACAGACAAGCGAGTTAGACTCTGATCTCTGCCAGGCAAACATCCCCAGCCCCATATTGCGTACGCACCTGTATCTGCCCATGGTCATCACCGTGCGGTTGCCGCCTTTGTCCGGCTCCATTGGCGCTGCAGCCGCCGCCGCATGTTCCTGCTGGTTGTCGCTCTCGCTGGCTAGTGCAGCCGCCACGCCCTTGCCGAAGCGCCGACTCACGCCGAGCGCCAGCTTCTCGTCGATCACCCTGATGCATGCGTCACACACGCGGCAGTCTTCGTCCGCCAGCTTGTTCGGGGTGATCTCCTGCGCACAAGATCGCCACAGCAACGGTCAGCACAGTACGCAACGCAGCCAGCAGGCTCTCCTTCAGTCTAAGGACCCGCCTTGTAGATGAACTTGGTACGACTGCCGGAGCATCCGTCGCACACCACGGCCCCGCAGCGTCGGCAGTGGTGGCGGCGGATCCAGAAGCCGAACTCAGTGCGGCAGAGCATGCAGGTGTCCACGGAGACGTCCGGCACCCACTGCCCATCGCTCTACGCAGCACAGGACAGCAAATTAGCAACGGAGAAGAAGAGGAAGAGGTGGAGATGGAGACCACACCATGTGCTTGCGCCAGGAGCTCTCGAGCGGGTCCTTGGAGCGCGTCTTGAGCAGCGCCGGCACCTCCGACTTGGTCATGATCCCGCTGCAACTTTTCACAATGGATTTCAGGTTGAGATGTCTGTGTGTACCACACCGAATGGGAGATTTTGGGAAAATTGTATTATTATTTTTGAAAAAGAGCACTTCAACTTGCTAGGGATGGGTAGCAAAAAACCAATCCGATTCGATTGATTGGATCGAGACGGATCGCATTTAATCGGATTGGCTGATTTGTAGATCAATGCCGACTCGATCGGATTGGATCGGATCGAGTCGACAAAGCATCGACATAGCTGACGAAACACGGACTCATTGGTTGAAACTGGGATGATATTGCCCCTCGCAGATGTGATGCTTTCAATAGTCGATATCACAAAACAAAAACGAAGAGGCCTCCCGCTTCTCGCCACACCTGCGACTGGCCTCGCGAGCTGCGAGGCCGGCAACACCCAGAAGGGCGTTGAGGTGTTCAAATGCCCCAAGGCGACCAACATCTGCAAAGAACCCCGAGCCGATGCTGGACGGCATGTCGCTGTACGACGCGGCCTGCAGCTTCACCAACCGGAACGGCACGCCGCAGCCTATTCCGACCAACGCCAATGCCATCTTCTCTCACGGTCTCATCCACACAGGTTCGTGCGAGTTCTGACTCGGCGACAAGAAGTTGCTGTACGCGGACGATTGCTACAGCGAGTACAGCCACATGAACGTCAACGTCAAGACCGAGTCCTCCATCGACTACTTGTCGTGCGAGAACGGCGGTTGCAAGATGATGCGCGCTTCTACTCGATCGGCTGCCAGACGCTTGACGACACGAAGACCGTGTGGCAGACTTACAGTACGTTGGTTGCCACTTTGTGTATGTGGTGGTGTGTGTGTGAATAGCTGAGCTAACGGGTTTTTGTGTTGCTGAATGCGCTCTACTGGCGAGCCAGCCTTGCGCTGCGGATTGCGTCATTGCTGGTCAAGTGAAGCGTCACGCTTTAACGTGCCGCCTTCGAGCAGGTTCTGGACAAGCTTAACTACAACATGCAGCGTGAGAACCAGCGTCGCAGCTCGTGCAACAGTCGATTCTCGGTGGGCGTAGCAATGCGCGAGCGAGATCCGCTACCCGCCACAGCTCCGACGGCCAAGACGACCCTGTACAAGGTCCGTGCCAGGGGCACCGACGTCTCCGTCCGCGTGCCAATCACACGTCACGGCTCCACGAACCAGGCGCTTGCGCTCAAGTGCATGCTCAAGGCTCTGATCGTTGAGAACTACCTGCAGAAGAACGTCATCTACGAGAAGGGCATCATCGCCGAGTGCGACCGCCTGATTACCTTCAAGCTGCGCGAGATGTACCAGAAGCCAAGCAAGCAAGTGGAAAAGACACCTCAGCCATTGGCATTGTCCGCAGAGGAGACAGGTGGGTCGTGTAGGAGGATCTCGAGGAGCTGTAGGAATGTTTTGCTTCCAAAGTGCAGTTTTGTCAATCAATGGATAGCATTACGTTCTCGTTTCAGAAAAAAAAAGCTTGTAAAGTGGTTGAAAGTCTGCACAGAAGCGATTTGGCCTGTTGTTCGGGATTCTTGTGTTAAGCCTTTCGTAGGCGTGCTGGGCACGAATGACGCAGGCGTATGGAAGTTATGCCATCAGTTTTGGTATGTTGCAGAGGAAAATAGATGATGGCTTTTACATTGCGGAGAGTACGTTGATTGTGCGGAAGCCGGTAAAATTGGAAATGGAGGAATCAAGAATAATTGAAGACACTGGGCGCGTTCGAGTTGCAAGCAAACGCATTTGTGTACTCTCAGAGCACGCTACGATAACAATTTGCGACTCAGTGGACTCGGGACAACCTCGAGACTTGCATGTGCTTTGAATACTAGGTTCACGGTCTGGTCTAGCGCAAGACCTTGCCACTAATTGATTAACGACGCTAAAACCAGCCGACTCGAGTCGACAAGACATGAATTCGCTGATATTGCGAAGCAAATACGCTCATTTTCGTGAGCACAACCCGGCTTGAAGCTGCAAATTCCGTGGTCAAAAGTCCAACGCGAGAGTTTACGGTTCGAAATTATCGCATCACCACCACAACCAAACATAATCACCAGGAGATAGCCGTATAGTTCGCCAATAACCACAAAACAATACAAGATTTTCAAAATCTAATGCAGCTGATGCAGATACAGACAAACTGGAAGCCACAAAATACCAAGCACCAGCTACCCGGTTCTCTCTGTTGCTGGGAAATCCTACAGGTAATGATGACCACCACAAATTAATTGTATTTGCTCGCAAGAAATAGCTCGCAGTCTCAGCGAGGAACCACTACCTAATCGCCCCACTGCTCGTTTTCCGCGATTTTCCACTTTCAGCTTGTTGAGACGGCGACCCGCTCATATTCGCCCTGAAACACGGTGAGGGCACCATCACTTCGACATCACCGAAAGAATTGAGTTGTCGTGCTCTGCTGCGCACTTGACATTCAATACGGCGTCAATGCGCCGGTATCGATCAAGTCGTAGGACATGCGCAAGATTGTCATTTCTAGCGACGCAACCAACGAACAGTCGCTTAAAATTCGTCGCCATACCCTCCTGCGTCACTACATTTCGCACGAAACAACAGCCAGATAGGCTTTGAGTCCGACAACCGGATTTCGGTAGCGATATCTGCGTTGAAAACATTGTTAACCTGCCTGGATAAGCAGACATGTTTGACAACAGTGGCCCCGCCACTTTGATATCGCACACAATCGGGCACAGTTCCGCCTCGTTTCCCCTAGTCGTTGCCCCTCTTCAGTCGCAAAATTATCAGGCAACGCTCCGCCTCTGCGGAGACTCTCGAGCAGCGCTTCGCATCCCTGATTCAGACCCCATGGAGTGATAAATTGGAGCTGCGCTTCGCCTCGTTTCGATTGGAGATACACACCTTCGAACCACTTCAAATTGCGGCAGCACTTCGCCTCGTTGCATCGGGTGTTCAGGTGCTAAATTATCGGACAGCGTTTCACCTCGTTGCGATTGAGCAATTGGAGATAGCTCCTCCTTGTTTCGTTAGAGTGACCGCCTCACAGAAGTTGTGGTTGTTTGAGCAGCGCTTCGCCTCGTTTTCCAAGGCTTCGAGTGCGGTGTAACTTCACAGCGGCACGATTATCCGCTTGTCTCTGTGCGCCATGTGAGCGAGTGCATCATGCCACGCGATGTTGATACATGCTCTTCGAGCTCGTCCAAGGCGGCGAGCCAGACTTCGTTTGAGATGATTCTGCGCAAAAATGGTATCGTGTTCCTAGAGTGCAACGCGGTTGCTTTACAAAAGCTTACCACATATCAAGTTGCAGCAGAAGCGCTATGTACTCGTCATTAATGCAAAGAGCTCATCAAAGGCGAATTGGATCGAGAGCATTATGAACGATTGCGACTCTTACAGACTTAAAGCCACTGCGACCACCAACACACTAGCTCTCAGTCCAATTAATGTCTACTGGTTCAGCATGGACATCACCCGAGGTAAGGTTGAAGGCAAGAAAATGCTGCAGCTCCATGATCGCTGTAACAGCATCGTCAGCAAGTCGAGCTCGTCGAGGCGTAATCGTCGTTCCAGATGCAGCGAATGCTTCCTCGCTAGGCACCGAAGTAGCCATCACAGCCAAGTAATCGCGCGCCATCATCTGAATTCGAGGAAATGAGGCAGCTTCGTGCTCCATCCAGTTGCACACAGCTCGACTGCCTGTCTTCAGGTTCATGGACTTATCCTTGTGGTCAAGCCAGCGAGACAACTCACTTGAAAATGACTCACCACTGCTGTTTGCGTGCGACTCGTGCCCAATGTGCTCATCAATAAGGCTGTACAGCGCGTCCTCGTCTTCAGCTTCTTCTTTCTGCTGCTGGGTTTTCTCCGATTGTTTTCTACGCAGTTCATTTTGCTCATATGGGGCCCGATACACGCGTTTATACTCCGCTTCGACTAGTTTTTTCACTTGCTCGCCATTGACGTCAATCTTGACGAGGAACGACTTCGCACGAGGGCCGAGAACGGCAGCAATTTGAGCATCATCGGTTTTGACGAGCGGGATATACTCGTCAAGCTTCTTCTTGAACGCGCGAGCAAAATCCTTGGTGTACATCGAGAGAGCAGTCTCCGTCGTCTTCCCCGCATGCTTCAAGACGAGATGGAAGACAACCAACGCTACACCAAAGGTTGGGTAGTTCTTGCCAGACATGAGTGTAGTCGCGCCCTTGATCGGTCTCAGGAAAGCTATGAGCTCATTAAGATAGCCCCAAGTCGTGTCCGGGATAGACGATCGCCAGGGCCTATTGAAAGGCATTTGTTGCCTTCATGACGGCCACGAATCCGTCGCTGTAACTCACCAATCGCTAGCTTCAGCGAACGAGCTGAAGAAAGCATCGTTAAGGTGCTGTTCCACCGCGTCACAACGTCGAGCTCCGGTGATATAAAGGTCACATTGAGTGCCGCGCAGACATCAGTCAGCGCCTCAAGTAACGACGGCGACTCCGACAGTTTTTTCAGTATGTCACGGATGACACCAACACTGTCATCCATGATTGGGCATCGTTTAAGGCCTTCCTTGACAGCAAGTTGAAAAACGTAGGCCAGACATCGCACATGAACGACCTTGGCTTGGGATGCGGCAGCTTCCGTAGGCTCTGGAGTCGAGGTGGCACCCGAAGCCGTCCCTGCAAGCTGGTCGTAGCCCACAATCTCCTCCTCCAGTGTTTCGTTGATCTCATCAATCATTGTTCCGTTGTTGGCGGCGTTATCCGTAGTGATCGCCCATAGTTTTGCAAAAAGAGATCCGCTCATCGCTCGAATGGTATCGATCAGATGCTGTGCGATGCGGGGACCAGAATGGGGATACTCCACGCGCGTAAACCCGATCATAACCGACTTAATGACCCACTCGTCGTTGATTCAATGCATGGTCACAACCATGTAGCCTCGTTTTGCCGCTGGTGTCCATAAGTCCGTCGTGGCGGATACCCGGCAGATACCCGGCAGTTTTTAACATCTTGAAGAATGCTATGCCGCGACAGCTCCTTTTCGCACCTCCAGCGCGCCATTATCTTCTTTCGAACCGTCTTCCTTGTCGGAGGCACGTAGTCAGGGCGAAGTGTTCTGCAGAAGGAACGAAATTCCTTTTTCTCCACCAGACTCAGGGAAAGCGCGTTCGCTACCATCAAGGCCACCAGCTGCTTGTCAGCGGCCGCCTTGTCGAACGTGCGCTGCCGCACGTATCGCTTGAACCCAAACGCGAGCAAGTCCGTCTGGCGGGCGCCTCTCGTGTCCGCCGGAGACGCATCTTCGTCGCCTCCGTACTCTTCTCCGTGCTGCCGCTTCAGGTGTCGCCGAAACGTAGTATGAGCCACCGTGTTCCAGACCGGAGCTGAGTCGGTGGGACACAGCAGACAGGTGAAGGTCCCATCGCTGTTATCGCGAATGAAGGTCCAGATGCCGGAGCGTCGATTACCAGGAGCTCGCCTTGGTTCACTGGAGGATGAACTTGCACTTGAATTGTCTTGGGGCTCCATGGAATGAAGGTATGCGGAGAGGTGCGTTAGTGCGAGATGGCAAAGGCGAAACTGCGAGGAAGATTGCTGCGCATGCACTACTTCGCATTGCGAAGTTCGCAAGGTCCGGCAGGCCTAAGCCGATCTGATCCGATTGAATCGGCCGATTCGATCGACAACTTCAAGCAGACGCCCAACGTGTGCACACCTGATTGGACCAATTGCTTTACTGCGAATCCGCGACGAATCACCGCCCAGTAATGAGGTGCACTGGGATTCCGTACCGGGGCTCAAAAGGTAGCGGTGGCGCGTCCGTTGTGCTGATCGTAAAGTGCGTGAGCACCCGGTCACGCGCTGGAACGATTTCGCGCAGCTGTAGTGCGTGCCCAGCAGTAGCAGTAGCAGTAGCAACAGCAGTAGCGGCGGCGATGCGTGGGAGGCGCCTACCGAGTTTCAGTCGCGTAACGTGAGCTGGTGGAAGGCTGTCGAGGTGGTGTTGGCGCCGCGCACCGCCAAGTCGCAGATTCGGCTGTCGCTGAGCGGATTAAATGTGGTGGTCGAGTTGGTGGACAACAAGTAGAACTACGAGAACTGTGCCAATGATACCGATGTTGTCTCAGGTCCGCATGCGATTAAGTCTCAGGCCGATTTCAGCGCGAATCCAGCGCACGTCAAGTCCCTGTTATAGATAACACCAGCACTATCGTGAGCAGACTAAAGCCACACATGAACTTTTGCTGTGAAGCGTCGGTTGTACGGAAGTCTGTGGTATTTTATAGTTTCGGACATGATAAAATGTATAAGAGATTAGAGTGGAAACATGCTATTGGTCATTGCAGGGGTCACTTAAAAATTATTCATGTAGTGAATGCGATATGTAGAGAAGCATTTTCTGGAGGTATTACTGCTGTATTTTATATCTTGGTAGTCGGATTGGATCGACCGATCAATCGGATCTAACCCGAAATGAATCGAGAATCGGCACTGGCTAATCCGATCGGTCAGAAAGTACATCTCGATCAATCCGATTGGGTCGATTACCCACCCCTACAACTTGCTGTGCTGCAACTTGCTGCGATCGACACTGAGCGTGGAAGGCCTTGGCTTGCCTTCCTCTGTCTTACAGCTTCTGCTTCTTGTGGGCGTTTTCCACCTTCTCGAGCTGCGCGCCCGTCTGGAACTCGCGGTCACCGGCGTCGCCGAGACCGGGCAGGATGTAGCCATCCTGTCAAGACGCGAGCGGTCAGAAACGTGCGCGGCAGTCAAAAACATCTTGAAGCAACATCCTAGCTAGCTGCGCAACGCTACGCACCTCGGACAGGTCGTCATCGATTGCTGCCAGGAAGATCTCCACATCCGGGTTCTTGGCGCACACCTCCTGCAGACCCTGCTTCGACGCGATTGCGCTCACGATCTTGATCTTCTCTACGCCCCACGTCTTCAGGACGGCCAGCGTTGCGAGAATCGTACCAGCTGCGGATATGAACGCACGTCAAGTCATAGCAATTGAGTTGTGGGCTTGATTCACACACTAGCAAGTGACCTGTAAGGTCCTTTGCTCGTTTTCATGCACTCACCTGTGGCAATGACCGGCTCCAGGACGATGGCAACGTCGGCATTGCACTCCTTCGGCAGCTTGTTGTAGTACTGTACAGGCAGAAGCGACTGCTTGTTGCGGTACATACCTACAGAAGGTAAAAGCGATCGTTAGTGTTCCCCCTTTGCTTAATCCGCACAAACTACGAGAGTTGGCGATCCTACCGATGTGGTGAACAGTGGCGTTGGGCAAGACATCCAGCATCGGCTCCACCTACACCATGAAAGCAAGTCAACAATTAGCGAAAGGTAAAGGTGGTATTTGACCACCACATTGGATGGAATAGTGACCATACCATTCCAAGACCTGCGCGGAGGATCGGAACGAGCGCCACCGACGTGGACAGCTCCGCCCCTTGGTGCTCCCCCTTCGGCGTCTGACAACCCACACCAACGTTGCATATCTTATTCAGTAACTGCTCATCCTTCTGCACGAAGCCTTCCCCTTATCTCACCTTGATCTTCTTCGGGACGGTCTCCAGATCATCCGTCGCGTCATACCTGCACGTAGGCATCGACCAGCGCCGTTATTAATGGGTCTATGGTCTCTCTATCTTATTCATCCACAGAGCAGAGCAACGCACCCGAGGTAGAACGTGACCTCTCGCAGCAGGTGGCGGAAAACGCGGCTGTCGGTGCGCTCGTCGCGTAGCTTGGTGAGCTTGTGACGCAGCACCGGGTGCACCGCGCACCAGACCTTGCTCTCCTCCGCGAGCCCGTACTTCTTGTTGTCCACGCGCGTGTCCACCTTCATCTTCTTGCTGCCTCGGTCTGGGGATCACTTGTGCTCTTGAAGGCAAATCTGGTTCTGGCGCGGATCGCGAGCAGGCTTACACCGCGCCCTTTGAATGTATGCCGAATGGTACGGTGTACCGATGTGCTATAACCAATCAGATCACAGGGTGCAAGGGAACTACAATGACGTCGGGGTACGTGTAGCAAAGTGCATCTCTCTATCATGGCGCCCATGCGCTTACAAGCGGCAAATCTAACCAACCGCCCGCCTACCACTCGGTCTCGTGGAAGTCCTTGAGGAACTTGCCGAAGATGGTCTCGTCCGAGTTGTAGCCGACGAAAATCGGGTCCAGCACACGCGCGGCGGCGTCGATCTCGTCGATGGGCGTCTGGAAGTTGTGCGCCTGGGCGTGCGCGTGCGCCTTGACCAGCGGGTTCTCGTCGTTGATCCAGCTGAACGATTTACGAAACACATAAGCACTCAAGGTCAGTACAGATGCAGCACAGTATAGCAAGTGAATAGGACGGTAGATCTTACCCCGTGTCGACCGAGTTCATGTAGATGCGGCGCTTGCTCAGGTCCTCGGCGCAGGTGCGAGTCATCATGTTGAGCGCGGCCTTGGCCATGTTGGTGTGCGGGTGGTTCGGCGTCTTGTAGCGGTAGAACTTGCCCTCCATGGCGCTCACGTTGACGATGAACTTCTTCTCCGTCACGCCGCTCTTCTCCAGCAGCGGCACCAGGCGATTATTCATGATGAACGGCGCCAGAGTGTTGATGGCGAAAACCTCTGCCACCTCCGGGGTGGCAACCTCGCCCATGCGCAGCAACCACGAGTTGCGCGAGCGAAGATCCACCTGCTGTCCGTTCACGTCCACCATGCCCTCAGGGAATGCCTCAGCATGGTCGTCAGGGTGGTCTTCGCCGGCGATCATCGGCACCTGCGACTTCAACGCAGACGACATGACAACGCTGCCGCCTGCGTTGACAGCCTTGGCGTCGGACGAAGCAGGGAGCGCCAGCGACTTGACGTGCGACTCGAACTCCTGCTGGTGGTTCATCAGCATCTGAACCTCCTTGGTGCTCGCCTCCAGCGCCTTGGTCTCCTTGTCCACAAGTGGCTTGTAATAGGTGGGCGGGCGGCGCACAGTCTGGCACGCGTTGTGGACGATCATATCCAGGCGAGAGTAGCGGCTGATAACGAAGTCGCAGAACTGCTCCAAGTGCACCAGGTCACGGAAGTCAATGCCGAAAATCTGCAGTCGGTCCTTGAACGTCTCGTACTCCGGGTGCTTCGCAAAGCGCTCGGCTGCGTCCTTCGGGAAGCGAGTAGTGGCAATGACCGCGGCTCCCGCCAGCAGCAGCTTCACAGCAGCCTGGAATCCGATCTTCACACGAGCGCCGGTGATAAGCGCGACCTTGCCACGCAAGTCCGCCGACTGGAAGCGCTTGGTGAAGTTGAGCTCGGCGCAACGCGGGCAGAGCTGGTCGTAGAAGTGATGAATCTTGTCGAAGCGGCTCTTGCACGTGTAGCACGAGCGGAAGCCCAGCAGCGCGCTCGCCTCTTTCTTCTCGGCCGCCGCCTTCTCCTCCTTCGCCTGCTCCGCCTCGTCCGTGCAGAGCTTCTGCAGCTCCGGCTCGGGGCCGTTGGTCAGCGCCTTGGTCGAGTGGCACACGTCTTCTCCAGCCACACCGTCGGCGATCATGGGCAGCAGGTTGCTGGGGTCTTCCTTGCCCTGCTGCAGCAGCGACTCGAGCTTTGCGATGCGCTCGCGACGCAGCGTCGAGCTGTTGATGTGGCGCTTGTCGTGCATCTTGCGCTGGTTGTGTCGCGCGCGCTTCTCCTCGCGGATGGCCTTGTCCTCGAGATACTTCTTGCGACCTACGCCGCCGAACTTGCGGCCTTCCATGTACTCGGACACGGGCGCCAGCTTCTTGCGCATCAGACGCATGTTGCTCTGCTCCAGCAGCTCCTTGCGCTTGGCCAGCACCTCCAGCACCTTGAACGTCGTGGCCATCTCCTCCTCCGTGAACGGCATCTCTTCCGCGGGAGCCGCCGGCACCTGTGGCTCGCCTTGCGCGGGCGCAGCGGCCTCCATGGGCACGTCCTCCGCCTGCATCGGTTCAACAAGGACTGACTGGCTGGCCACGCACCCGCCAAAAACTGGCGTACATAGGCCAGTGAGGTGGTGCTCCAATTGCATACGAATTATAAAACCGACCAGCTTTTTAAGAGTTGTCAGTAGCGTTTTAGCATAGTTAGGCACGATTTAGTGGCCGCCCAGACTTATGACTGGGTTTGGTAAAAAATTTCGACTAGTAGTTATAATACTATTATTATAAATGCTAACACGTATACGATACTACTAATACATATGTTAGTAGACAACCAATTTAGTATTATATGTCATATTGTAATACTATAATAGTAATGAAACAATATTACTATCCCCTTTACCATTCACGGTGCATATCATGCAGTGTAACCATCCCTGACCATACACTTGGCCAGTCCTTGCCCGTAGTGGCATAACCACAAAGTCTCAGTGCTTCTTGAAACGTTGTTTAAAAAACCACGCCCTAACCAAACTGGAGCAAGTTTAGAGGCTGACCAGTAACGTCAGCTAGGGATTCACCGTGATCTAGACAGGTCCAAGCTATTCACAAGCTTTTTAGCAAGATTCAGTAGCTTTGATTACGTAGTAATTCAAGTACCCACCGTCATGGATCATGATCAGCCATCGCACGATGTCACCCGACACTTGCACCTGGCTCATTGAAGCCAGTACGACAAGGCGCGCGCGGGGGGGGGGGGTCTTCGCGTTCACACACATCGGAAGTTTGCATGTATGCCTATTGTAGATGGACGAGCTCCCACATTGGATCGATCGATGGTGTAGTCGGGGCTATTATAAGTGAGCTTTGTTCCTTAAACACTCCCGGTAAGCACAGAGCTTTCTGTGGTAGCGGAACCTGCTTGTGGAATGTATTAGTCTATCAAGAAGGATGCGACTGACCACTTACGGCAGCGCTACCTCGATGGGCAACACGAATGGTGCACGCACATACTGCACGGTGAAGTCTCCGCTATGTCCCTCGACAACTACAACGCACTTTACCGATCTGTTTACCCGCCCGCTATTCAAGAAATGAGTCACTCCAAATGACAGAAAGAGCGCTAGCGCGAGGAGCAGGCTTTTGAAGCTCGGGAAAGTAGTAGTAATAATCGTTTCGCTTAGTATTAATACTTGTTTTTGCCACTATATATGCATCACTATTTTAGAGCCTATATCCTGTAATATAGTAGTGTTACAATAGTAGTGCTATTTTGAATAGTACCACCAATACACTAATTTCGGCGTGCAGCGCAAGACGTGCGGACCAAGTTCGACGTGAAGGAGATCCCATGTCGTTGAGTGCGTTCGTGGCTGGAGTGGCGCTCGGCGGTCTGCGCTACGGCGCCGTCAAGTACCAGCTGCTGGAGCAGGAGGGCGTCGTGCTCTACTCGGTGAACCAGGTCAAGGAGAGCTTCCGCGGCGAGACCCACGTACGCAAAGTCCCTCATCAATGATGTCTCGATCCCCTCGCACTTATATTATTATTCCTGTCTATCGCAGCTGAAGACGCGCAGCGAGGAGCGATACGAGCCGCTGCCGAGCCGAGAGCACGAGTACTACACGGTCGTGCGCGAGGGCTGGAACTCCAAGGTGCTGGCGTTCCGCAACAAGGCGTACGAGTTCTTCGAGGCCAAGTAAAGAGCGGCCTGCTCAGCCCCTTGTTGCAGCCACCGTAGAGTGTCGTGAGAAAGCTCAAGAAACAAGAGATTTTAACATGCAGGCCGTGTAGTTCGCACTGCCACCGAGGACCTGACGGGCATTTTTGTTGTGAGGAGCTAACTGTTTAGGCAATGGGGACGGCGTGGCGTTCCATGACAAGCGTGTTCTCGGCCATTTGCGCCTGCGTGTCCTGGGCTTGTCGCACGAGCTCTTGCATCTTGCTTCGGAAGTATTCCACGCGGGATTTGCCGACGCTGGCGTTGCCAGTGTTGGAGAACTCGGGGTCGCTCTTCGTTCGAGCATTCACGAGTTCGTACTCGAGTCGGCGCTGGGCCTCGTCGATGTCGTCGTTGGTGTCGCTGTCGCCGTCAAGGCTCTCCTGCTCACCTTGGACGATGTCTCGCCAGCGCGGACTTGACTGGGAGATCTCCATGCTGAGGTGTAGCGCTGGCTCAGACTGCCGAAGCTGGATCAAGGGCGCTTGCAGGAAGGTACGCAGCTCAAGCTCCTTTCGTCTCTCATCGACGGCCATCAAAGCCTCGCGCGCGCAGACTTGCAGAGCCTGGAGCGTCTTCTTCATAGGCAAATCATCGTCTTCGCCTGGATAAATAGCAGAGTCGAAGACGGCAAGGGCACCATAGCGGAAGCGTTTCTTGCTGTCGGTCAGCGGCACGCCAGCGTAGAATCTGGCCTGCTGAGGCCCCAAGACGATCGGGAGCAGCCGGAAATCGAAGCCCGACGGATGAATTGGAGACTTGCCTTCCAGTGCCCACGTGTTTCGAGTGACCACGGACTTCTGCAACTGGAGGACCGGATCACAGCAGCGCAAGTTCGCTGCAACTTTCATGAGCTTGGCGCTGCCTTTGACCTTCAGGTAGTAGACAGCGGCTTCTCCTGCCTCGATCTCGTTCTGTTGACTCTTCTCGTACGGATTCGCTCTCGTAAACAGCGTCAGTGCAACAAACTTGGAGTTCCGCACGGAAGCCGAGTTCTCGCAGAGCTTGAGGAAAATGTCTTCGTAAAGCTGCATCGTCTCGAAGCTGCGATATACTAAAGGTCTGTCCTGTGGCTGGCTCCTCGCGATCACGTTGAGCTGAGTTGAACTCCCCGCATTGTTTTGAGGCTGCTGGTTACCTTTTGCAAGATTGTTATCTGTTAGAATGCCATTTTTCACGGCGTAGATTGGACGTGCTCGGGAACTCGGACCGTCTGGGCTGGGACTCGCATTTTCAATGTGGGGAACATAGCTTTCAAACTTGTCTTCATCTTCGCTGTCGTGGTCGGTCCGAGTTCCAGTGGCTTTGGGCGCTTTGCGATCCTTTGAGAGCTGATGTTTGTGTAGTTGATGCAGCGGCGGGGTTGAAAAGGTCTCAGACGATGACCGATGCATTCCAACCGGAGATGGGGTCGTCGTCTTCGGAGTTGTGGGCGCCGTCGTTACGACGGGCGATTTCAGTGCAGGCATCATCCGAGTCCCGCCCCACTTGTTGGCAAAGTACCGACGATCAATTACAGGCGATGCCGTAGGTTTCGGACAACTTGCTGCCGGCTCGGTCGCTTTTCGACGTTGAGCAGCACCTAAAGCCGTCACGAATCTCCTGTCAGCAGCTTCTCGCGTTTGTCTTTCGTTCGTATCACTTTTCGAGTAATCTTCGTCCAAGGTGCTACGTCTTCGGCGTGTAGGAATGTCAGATATTGGAGCGTGACCTGCGCGGCGTCTTCGTGCTCTTTCAAGTGGCGTGGAGACTTCTGGTTCTGTCTGTGAAGGTATATAGGACGCTTGAGGTCGTGATGACGAGTGAATCCTCTCGCAACCCGTGCAGACCCGCAGTACTGTCGGGCCGAACGTGGGTAAATCCACGTCCTTGTGTACCGAGCATTCGCGACAAATCACTTCGCCGCATAGTCGACAATGATGTCTTCGGCGCGTTAGTTGGTTAAATCTGCGGCAGCATACGACGCATTCAGTTCGCTCGGCGTTGCGCACCCACTGCAGCGTCCGCAGAGACTCGAGATGAAGACTCATCTTGTACGATTCAATCGCGTTGTCCAGGCGACCAATTTGCAGCGCCATTTCCCGCACGACGTTCTGGAGAGCACGGAACTGTCGATCGCTGCACTGCGTTGCCATAGAACTGTTGCGTCCTGCACCCCCACTACGAATGCTTCGGTCGCCACTTGCATCATGTGCGATGCTCATGTAGAAGACGACGTCGGTCTTGTCACTGCAGTCGGTCGGATACAAGAGGAAGCCGCCCAATGGAACTTTACACCGAACAACGCGGTGAGACTCGAGCAGCTCGGGGCAGTGTCGCGTCTCCATCGACCGGAAGAGTTTGTACGCCACTGGCATTTCACGTCTCGGGTGGAGCCCTTCGCGGGTCTCACTGCGCCCATCGTCACTGTTGTCGTCTTCCCATGCGTTATTGTTGTAGGGGTCTCCATTCATTGCCAGTTCATCGATCGAATATCGCTTGGTGTACGCCTGCAGGCAGAAGTCGCAATCCGACACCATCGGGTTGCTGCAGCGGCACACGAACCAGCGAACCGCAAGAGTTTCCAAACTGTCGCTCTCAGTTTTGGCAAGGAAATCTGTACTGGGCGTCGAGCTATGGAAAAGCACTGAAGTGTCGGCAACGAGGTTCCCGTAGATGATTCTGGTGAACGAGCGATGCGCAGTGGCCACCGAGGCGTCGAGTGTTTTGAGCACCATATCCAACGGTGCGTTCACTGTTGTGCTGCTCCGAACACCGTACACCACTGGCTCGTTATCGTCTCCTGTCGACACGGACACTGCTTTATTCGCTCCGGTCGATCCCCATTTCTTCTTCTTGGCCCTTCGTTTGGCTTTATCAGAGTGTTTCTCCCAGAGGATGGCCCCCGCCGACTTCTTGCTTGACTTGACGCGAGTCCAGGCATCATCACTTGCGTCAGCTGCACACTCCGCCATCAAACTCGGCAACTGAGACCGAGCCATCTCCATCCCGACAGCCTCTTCCTCCCTGGACATGGTGAACGGTACCACGTAGCGACCTTGACCAGCAGCAGCAGCTTCGGTCGAGTTTGGACTGTGGTCACGCCCAAATGTTGGCGTCTCGCCACGCTCATCGTCGATCTCGCGGAGGTAGTCTCTCATGCTGGTCGGATGCCTGCCTCTGCTGCGGCCTTGATATCCCGGAATGAGCGAGATGAAGGGCCGTCTGTCCGTTGGTGTGCCCTCAGTGGAAAGTTAGTCGAAGGCGTCGACGGTTTTGGGGAAACCATCGCGGTGCTGCCTCCACGTTCCACTCGCGCGCTCGGTCCACCATTGAAGCCGACGTCAAGTTCAAGGTGCTCCGTTCAGTGGAAACGGATGCCTGCAAACACAAGAGACGAAATGTGTCCAGCTCCAGGCCACTAGACTCCCCTCGGAAGCCACTTGCCAGTAGTAGATCTGTGCCGGGAAACGATAACCAGAAAGAACGCTTTCGATGATTCCTGAATTCATTGATCTCATGGAATGACGTCGCCTGTCGCGGGGCAAGTTGAAGCGAAAGCATTCTATTGCGCGCGAACGTCACCAGTTCTAACATACCGTCTAAATCGCCATCTAAATGTCCTCTCCCTGCATTTCTCACTGCTGCTTCGTGTTTCTCGTAAGGGGTTGATAGTCGTGCTTGTCTTCGTGTGCTGCAGTTGGGTTGGGGTGCCTCTGAGCTTGCTGGATGGACCGCGCCCTTCTTGCTTGTCTATGTATGGTCCGGCCTCGAGGTCGTCGCGTTCCGACCTCGTGATATCGAACGGCGGGTCTCCCAGGCTGGGCGGTTGAAATAAATTGCTGCCGAACTGCGAAAAGCTCTACCTCGCCTCTCTCAATCCGGCGGTGTTGCCATCAGGCGACTAGTTGGCCTCGGGTTCGTTCCCCGCCTTCTTCCCGGTGGGAACAACCTGCTGTAGCCAGATGCGCGTCTTGTAGATAGCGAAGAGATCGCGCACGAGCTCACGGAAGTCGATGCGGCTATGGAAACAACAGACAACGTCACACCAACTGTCAGGACCAACACCGCTATGGACGGAATCTTCGCGAGATTAATCCTTACCGGTCGGCTTCGAAGAAAAACGTCAGCTTGTGGCGGTCGAACTGATACTCCGCGTCGATCACGTTCATAGGGAGCAGGCGCTGACGCACTTTGCTCTTGCACACTTCAAACACTTCGTGTTCTTCCTTACGCTGCATCACCGGCACCACACAACTGGTCAGTATCAGACTCGGAAGCACCCCACCGCAAGGAAGCTCCATCCACAATTGCTCACCTGCTCGTTAAGCATTTCACATTCACGCAGGCTTGCGACACAAATAATTTTCTTCGTCGGAAGATCGTGGCGCTTGCTGCGCCCCATGGAGTCCTCGCCAGGGCTCCCGGACTCATTTCCTGAGCCAATCTTCGACACATCTGTCGTGCGTTGCACGATTCGGCCGATGTCTTCTCCACGGTCCGCCTCCACCTATCGCACAGACAAGGCATTAGCGTTCAGCTCAATGTTGTAGACACTATGAAATCATCAACACCTCACATACCTTGACGTATTCACCGGGCTTATACGCAGCACGTCCGGCAAACACCTCTTGTCGCCCGCGCTTGAACTCCACGTCGTAGTATGCCTCGGGCGGCGGCGGCGGGTAGTGGGCCGCTCCGTTACCGCTTCCGTGGCGAACATCAGGCGGTAGCGGGGGAGCTGCATCCATGTGAGCACGACCCCAGTCGAAGGCCACTCCGGCAGAATTGCTGCGGCTCAACGATGGCGGATACTCCATTGGTGGAGCGGACGCAAAAAGCTGTGGGCCCTCCATTGACTGACTGCGAACTGTCCGCGTCGACGGGTAGTTGCCATACTCCACGCTGTACGAGCGCATGCCACGACCCGTGTTGCCTTGGCGCGACTGGTTCTCCTGCTGTTCTCCATTGTATGAATCCGGGTACGGCGGCATTGCGAACGCATCGGAGTACCGGCGATACGGCATGGGGGGTCCATACTAAGCAAGGGAGAGAAGACGTATAGCCATCCAACTCCATTAGTGATCTGTGTAGATCCCGAATCAAAATGGCAAATACACGAACCTGGTACTGGCGCATGGGAGAATCCGAGGGGATGCTGACCCGCGGAGGGCGAATACCCGCCGGGGGAGGCTGCGGCTGGCCAGGCTGCATCATACCACTTCCAGAATGGAAGCTGCGAAGTGTCTGTGGGAACTCTTGGCCCATGGGCTGCTGCTGGTGGTGAGATGGAGCGCCATACTGCTGCTTGTTGAACGGGTTGTACCCAGACGAGCCGTACCCAGGAGAGTACGAGAACGACCGCGCACGCAGACGTTGGAGGGGCTCCTGCGGCGGAGGCAGCGGCGGGTTCACCTCGTGCGAGCGTCCCAAAGTGAAATCCACCGACGAGGCGCGCGAATCTTTAGTTAGTCTGAATGCACAAAAGAACAAATAGACTAGCGTGTCAGAAGAGGAATCCACACCCGTTGCAGGCAACTTCCTTTCACGAACTCACCTCGGGTGTCCTTGGTACTCGTCATCGAACTGGTTGCTCGTCTCACTGCAACCAAAAGCAACACAAATCGAGGTCAGACCCAACATCTCTACTCACCGAGCTTGAACAGGGACAGCAACGTACGTGGAGAGCAGCGAGCCGACGCTGTTTCCACGGAACAGATCGACGTGTCCTGTGTCCCTGTTCCCCAGCGACGAGCCAAAGCGCGGCGACGTCATCAAGAACTCTTCGTCCTGCAGCTGCCACGTCTGTGCGTCCTTCCTGTTACCCAGCACGGGGGACTTGACGTGCACTAGCGAGGGTGCGCGGGCTCCACTGCCGCTGTCCACGCTGATGCTTCTTGGCGGGCGCGGGAGCTGCGAGAGCACGGGGAGACACGACTCGGCGTAGGACGGGTCCACGGGCGGCGGGGCCGGCACGGCGCCGGCGTCCAACTGGTTCGACAGCGGCGAGCCTCCTTCCTGCTGCTGCTGCTCTTCGTCCGAGGACGACGAGTCGTAGAACGACGACCCCGACGAGGACAGACACGAGCTCACGACTCCGCGGAAGCTGGCCGAGTGCTTCAACTTGACGTCGGGGGCGGCGTCCAGTCCGCCTCGCAGCGACGAGCTGCTGCCGAGCCGCCCGAACGTCGTGGAGGGCGTGGACATGACCGTCACATGCGCGTCCACGGCGCGCAGGTGCTCGGCCTGGTTATCCGACGAGCTCGGCGGCGACGGCGACTGCGGCGAGCTGGAGGCCGAGCGCGTGAGCGTCGGGGGCGGAGACGCCACGCGCCGACCAAGCGGGCGCCACGCGTCGGCCGGCAGAGGGGGCGGCGACAGCGACAGCGTCTCGTTCATCGACATGCCGCGCGGCTTGGCGGCGCGGCGCCCGGCGCCGATGTCGGCGACCTGGTGACGGCGGCGCGAGGTCGTGGGTGACGCCACGCCCGGAGGCGGCGCGGCCTCCGAGTCGGCCGTGGACAGCGCCATCATGCTCGTGGACAGGAACTCGGACCATTCCTCCTGCGAGGACGCGCCGCCGCTCAGGTAGTCCAGCGACGAGTGGCGCGTGCGGTGCATCGTTCAGTAGAGAAGAAGGTGGGGCGGCACAACCCCGAACGGGTGACCGGGAGGGCGGAGGGCGAGCGGTAGAGCGGGAGAGCGGAGCTGCGTGCCTCGGTGGGATTTCGCTGCTGTCTGCGTTCTTCCCTTCAAGTTGAGTGCTGAGCTGACTGACTCGCGTTTGTATGGGCGAAGCCCTGACACATTTTTTTCCTTAGAAAAGGGCGCACAGCCGAGGAAATTCCATAATTCAGTGCGTTTGATAGGAACTTAACGAATATATAACACTACTGATAACTTGTATACTAGAGTTTTAATCTGTGGGTGACGTCCACTGAATTACGGAAGTTTCTTCTCAACGCCTGTTGCATAGTAGTAGAAGCAAGAGCGAAAAGGGCCCAGGTGGCGCCGAAATATGGAAGCCGCGGCCTATTTGCGGGCTATTTGGGCCGCCGGAGATTCCTGCGTTGGGTGCTGCCGAGCCCGCCGAGAAAGGTCCCCGCCGCTCGGCGAGACAGACGTCTGCGTAGAGCTGATAGCAGAAATGGTCGTCGCCGGCGGTGCTGGCTGGCGATGGTGTGTCCCGGCCGTGTCGCGCGCCGCAGTTTTCGCGGCGGCGCCAGCAGCAGTGAAGGTAGTCCATTGCTGCTGGCAAAAGGCTCATTCCATTCTCCGGCAGCCGCTGCTGCTTGCATGTCACTTGCTTCAATTCAAGGATATCGTTTTCAAATCGCGGATTCGCCGCGAAACGCTCCGCGCCGAAGGATCGCGGCGAGGTGCCACTGGGCGCGAAGGGTGCTGCTGCACTGCAGGCGGAGGTGTGTTTGCTTGTCCTGCATTGCGAGCGCTTGGCGGTCGGGCCATCGCTTTGATGCGCTCGGCAACTGGTCCCTTGCCGTGCAAAGCGTTAGCGCAAGCACGCGCAGTGCTAGATGAGATGACACCGCCCAGATGGAAGGCGCTTCTGAGGCTCCTGCAAGCTGCTGCAGCATGGTGTCCGCGGCACATGCCGGGGCGTCCTCACTTCCCCAACAGGCCTGCTCTGCCAGGCGTGTCTGGTGATCACCATCAGGATCCCGACCCGATGATTGACGCGCGTGCGCTTGCACACCAGTGCAACTTCAAGCTCCTACGCAGGTCAAGCCTGTTGTAGAGCTACATATTCGCCCAGCGATGCCCCCGCAATGAATGTAGCCGCGTTCACCCCGTCCAGGCATTCCCACCGCTATTGTACTCGTCGAGACAACCGTCCAGGATCCATGTCGATCGCCGAAACGTCCGCCGCCGTGAGGCAAATCGATTGCAAAATCGTACTTATCGCCGGCTAAAGTTCTTTGGGTGCACTTCCACCCTCTTCACGCCCCTTCGCGCGCACAACTGCAGGCAACGGTAGCTATCAATAGCTCGTCGTGCCGCCGACGCTATCAATAGCCCGCCGACAAGACACCGACGCAAGGGCAACGCCTTCAACTGCCGCGCCCGAGCTCCACGCAACGTTGCCGTCACCGACAGACACCTGCGGCAGGGCCGAGTAGACTAAACTGAAGCAGGCGCCGCCGTCTCAAGCCCCGACCGACGTTCACCTAACACGCAGCGTTGCGCGCGCGTCTCACGCCCGCCGTCATGTCGGGGGAGTCGTCGTCGCCGTCCGTGCCGCCGCCGCCGTCGGCGTCCGCGTCGGCGCCGGCGCACCCGCCGTCCAGCGCCTGCAAACCCAAGCGCCAGACCTTCTCCCGCTTCCTGCGCCGCTCCCCGTACGGCGAGCGCCGGTCGCGCGCCGTCGCGCCTGCCGACAGCGTGCCGCACCCGTCGGAAGAGCGCGCGCGCAAGCGGCGCGGCGCCGGCGCCAACGACCTCACGACGCGCCGGCAGAGCGGCGTCGCGCACCTGCGCACCATGCACCGCGTGCGGCTGGCGGTCGGCGAGTTCATGCGCCTGCTGAGCGTCGAGCTGTTCTTCGTCATGATCGTGCTGTTCTACGGTGTGTTCGTGACCGTGCAGCTCACGATGGCGGACGACACGCTGGCGTCCTACAAGCTGGCCATCGACGTCACGGACATCACGGTCGGCTCCATCCTCCTGCTGGAGATCACGCTCAAGGTGTTCGCGTACGGGTTTCCCTACCTGCGGGACGTCTGGGCGCTGTTCGACGCGCTGGTGATCGTCATCAGCTTTGTGCTGGGGGTTGTGGCCGCACTGGGCACCACGTCCGCGGTCGTCGTGAAGATCCTGAGGCTGCGCGTGATCCTGCGCGTGCTGCGCGTGCTCGTGGTCTTCGAGCGGGTCAAGCAGCGATCCAAGTCCATGAACCTCATGCACCTGAACAAGGGCGCGATCACGTCGCCCGTGGAGCACGTGCTCCGCATTCTTAACGAGTTGAGGTTCCACCCGGCAATTCGTCCGTCGCTCAGGGACGGGCTGGACTTCGCCATTGACGCGATCAAGAACAACAGACTCTACGATGCCAACGAGGAGCTCTTGGCGGTGGAAGGAGTCGACGACGACACGCAGAACTGGCTGCGCGGCGAGATGCTGCGTGGCAGCGATATGAACAAGGTGCTGCCCGGTACGGAAGAGGAGGGGGACCCGAACGGTCCCAACCGCAAGCGTCGGAGATCGTCGCTACGCAGCTCCGACTCAGACGTGGACGGACACGATGTCGGCAGCGGCAGCTCTGACAACAATGCAGCGGTGAAGCCTCAGACGCCGCACCGACATCACCACGAACACTCACTGTCCCATGGAAATCGGGGAACGACAATGCGGGAGCTGCTTCCGACACTGGACTCGGCGTCGGAATTCGAGCTGCAGAATTTATTGCAGGGCGTGAGCTCCTGGAACTTTGACGTCTTCCGGGTACATGTTGTTTCGGGTGGAAATGCGTTGTGCTACATTGGCCACCACCTCCTGCGTGACGGGCCTTGCCAAGCACTGAATATTGAAGGCAACCTGCTTGTGAATTTCCTGCTGGAGATCCAGCGCGGGTACATCGCTACGAATCCGTACCACAACGCCATTCACGCCGCTGATGTCATGCAGACCGTGCACTATTTCCTCATCCAGCCAGAGCTCGGGCCGTATCTGCGTCCGCTAGATCGCGCGCTGGCTCTGATCGCAGCAGGCGTACACGACTTCATGCACGACGGGTTTAACAACGGTTTCCATATTTCAACAGCGTCAGAAATCGCGCTGCGCTACAACGACCATGCCGTGCTGGAAAACTACCACGTGGCGCAGTCCTTCTTGGTGATGAAGAACTCCGACCTTAACGTACTGGGCCACTTAGCACCCGACGACTTCAAGTACGCGCGTGACATGATCATTCAGATGGTTCTGGCAACGGATATGGCCAAGCACTTCGAGGATGTCGCACTATTCAAGACCAATATTCTGTCGGCTGCGCTAGATGAAGACGCGGTGCTGGTGAAGAATGTAGGCGACAAGAAGCTGCTGCTCAAGATGATCCTGCACACCTGTGACGTATCTAACCCAGCCAAGGAGCGCGAAACGATGCTCCGGTGGACCGACCGTGTAGTGGAGGAGTTCTTTGTCCAAGGAGAAATGGAGAAGCAGCTTGGTCTTCCTGTGTCGCCCTTCATGGACCGAGATACAATCGTGCTCAAGAAGATGCAGGTTGGCTTCGCTGATTTCATCGTGTCGCCGCTCTTCAGCGTCTGGGCGCAAATCCTGGTCAACATAAACTCCGTGGCCTACCGCACGTTGCTGGCGAACCGTGAATTCTGGGCATCGCTGTCAGATGACTTCAAGCCTCACATGATTAAAGACGTGATCCGCGATCTCGGTATGCGGCGCCAGCGCGACACTGTCACCCAGAGTACCATTCCAGAGGAGCAGATTAGTCCGCGTTCACGTCGCAGCGTCGCCAACATGCTGCTTGGGACGGATGACGGATGATTAGATTAAGGTTTTCTCTTCGGAATGGTGTCATCCCAGTGCATGTTCCACTAAATTATCTGGGATGATCAAGAGAACCAAACCAAGTTTTGGCCGAGTCCGTGTTAGAAGTTATTCTGCTAGCGCGTAGTACTTGTTGGCGACGGGGTCATAGTAGCAACGCAGGAGTGGATCGTATACCAGCTCAATGGACGCAGTGGCTGGAGTTTGAAGACCTGACGATGATTTTTGGGACGATCGGCGCGTGCTGCCTTTAGAAGCGGATCGTTGTTGGACGTTACCACTTGACGCGGGTGAGCGGTAGTTGGCGGGGCTGTACTTTCGGTCGCTTTCTCGACCAAAGGGTGAAAGACTCGCTTGAGCATCAAGTTCCGCTGTCCAGTCGGTAGACTCCAACAGCCGTTGCAGTCGACGAGCAGAGAAGGAGGACGACAGCTCACTGGAATGGGATAGCTTCAGAGACCGCTCTTGGGATTTTCTTTCCTGGAGTTTGTCTCGTGTCCGTCGAGAAGGCTCTATCAACGGAGACTTTGCAGGTACCATTTTTGCTGGTTGGTCAAGGCTGGCACGTTGATTTTCGTGGGGGTGCTGGTTTCTTCGAGGACTGCCAGAAAGCAATGAAACGAAGTTATTCGAGTGTCGCGTGGGGGTTGCAGCTTGCGTTGGCCTCGAAGACTTTCTGTCTGTCGAGGCTGAGATGCTATCGCGACCAGTTGCTCTGTCATCTTCAAAACGGCTATCGCTCGATGCAGCATCTTCCACCAGATCCTCTGCAAGTTAACCACCGAGTTAGCTGCCTCGCAGCATTTCCCACCGACAGGTATCAGGAAACTCACCGAAGTCGAAGCTCGAGTCATCGCCGTCGTCCTCATCATGCAACGATTTACTGCTGTCGTCGTCATTCTCAGGTTTGGACTCAATAAGCTGAGGACTCGTTGGACTTGCATGACCGATTGAGCTCTCGCAGTCGCCATCTTCGTCGGGATCGTGGACACTCCCCCCACCGCTAGCACTAAGCTCGCTGGTTCTACAACCATGGGCGTAGATAGATGAAGTAGCCCATTTCAATAGAGAAACTTAAATAGGCAATTCACAAAAAAATAGATAAAACACCTTGCAACTTACAGATCAATCGATAGTCCGGTGTCTCCATGTCCAGCATCAAACTTAGAGTCACCACCTTGTCGATTCAAACGCCATTCCTTGTCTTCATTCGCTTGTCCCTGGTCCTGTTCGGCTGGCGTCAAGTCTTTCCTGGCCTCGTCAACTGGTTCGCTGGCAAATTCTTCCTCATTTGAACCTCGCTTATGCTCGTTCACTACTTCGGCCTCGTTACCTTGACTATTGCCTGCAGACCGCGGCAATAGCTCTCTCGCAGATCGTTTTGCCGCCAGCAGCTTCACAAGTTCCTGCTCGTCGGCATCATCTTCTGCGTCACTAATGGCGTGATTGATACTCTTTTCAAGCTGCGCGTGCAGATCATCAAGACGTGGAGCTTTGTCGTCGTCAAGTGATGGCGCCAATGGTTTCACGTCTTGTAGCAGAGAGTCGAAGTCGAACAACTTAGACGAACTTTTACCAGTCGATTTCGTTCTCGACTTTACCATAGACGAGAAAGAGAAAATGGAGTCCTTATCCGTTGTATCATCGCGACTACGACGTAGCGTGTCATCTGAAGAGGGGATCGCGAGGTTTGCGTTCGTGTCATTCAATTCTCGTCTCCAGGACGAGCTCAGTTGAGTACGATCGTCTTCATCGTCTAAAAGTAGAGGCCCGTCATCGTCGTTTAGATCTTCGTCACGGAGCTGCTGCAGGTACCATTCCCCACTGTGCAGTGATGTGTGCCGCAGAAACAGCTCCCTGTCTCGCTCATCCGCTTTCTCGTCCTCATCCTCCAAACTCGCGAGCTTTTGTTGAATCTCCCCCAAGATGGATTGACGAAGAGTTTGACTTCGCTCGCCACTCCGCAAGTCCTTCGCGTTTGGAGACGCCATCATGCTGGAGTTCACGCTGTTTGGAGGGCTTAGAGCCCGATCTGGGACTTGTACTGGTGTTGCTGCAAGTACCATTTCTTCCTTCTTGGCGTCGTGGGGTCTGTTCTCTTGATCAGAAGACGCACTCTTTGGCTGCGGTAGTTCTGAGTCTTGTGGCGTCTCAAAAGCACGTCCACGAGAGGACCGGAGTTCTGAGGATGGGGATTCGATTCGTGGTGAATAGTCCTCCTTCGTCACCATCACCACCTTCCCGACTCTCGATTGCGGCTGGCGAAGTTTACTTCCTGTAGTGCTCACTCTGGCTGGCGTACGCAAACGTTGGTGGCCCAGGCCACTCGCTTTGCTGGCGTCCGAATCGGTCTGAAGCTCCACTTGTTGCTGTACCAAAGCTCTTCGCTGCACCAATTCACTCCCTGGTCGCACTACTTGCGCTCCTTTGGTGCGTTGTTTGGTCGGAGCTTTCCCCGGCGCTGTTTGGCTGCGACGAGAAGATTTCGGAGCGCTGCTGTTGTTGTTAACAGTGACAGCAACTCCATGGACGCCTCCGATCCCTGAAGCAGGCTCCATAGCGAAATACAGCGTCGGAATCGGTAGTGCACCACTAGCTCCACGCTGCGTTGCCGAGAACACGAACTGTCTCGGAATATCCCGAATATCTGCGTGTCTGACAACCTGTGAGCCTCGTGACGGCGTAGGGGCGTCCTTCATGGTGAATATCCGCTTGAGGCGACAGCTCCCACCAATGCAGAGCGATTCCATCGAGCGGTAGCCTGAGTCCGGGAAGTGAACCTCCGACAGAGTTTGCAGATCGAACACGAGGTTCATCCACTGGTCCCGAGGCACATCGGCAGCGTTGAGGGGGAGCTGGACATGCAGAGCTGTGCGTGCTGTCTCCCGAAACGCTGAGGCCACGACGAATCGGCGACGCACCTTCTGGAAGTCCGAGAAGCAGATCTCCACAGAGAACGAGCGGGTAAATGGCACCAAGAGCTGAATAATCACAAATCTTTGAGCCAGACCAAGCGAGGACGAAGCGGCTTTAGGCAGCTGCATCTTGGTCTCCGAGCTGCCGTCGAGCTGGAACGCATTGCCTCTGATCCCCTTGTCAAACGTTTTGGAGATCTTACCCTGCAGCTTCCACGCGGCGGCAGGCGCCTTGCCCTGCGCGCTCAAGAGCTCCACGAAGTCCCCGCCTTGGAAATACGCCATGCAACCTAAGCACAAAGCAAAAGCACAACAAAACTGGAAGTGTCCGTTCACCAAAAGCAGTTTCCATCGATCCAGGCGGCTTGTCATGCAAACGATGTTGGGGTTAGATTACAACCAAGAAGTGCTCTCATCGTCGTGACTAGCTGAAACGACAGGCGGGGAGGTCTCGCTCGGCTGCTGTTGTTGCTCTTGGCCTTGGTCTTCGCCGTCCTCTCCCTGCGGTGACTGTCGGGGTCGCCTTTCTTGCGCTTGCCAACGCTGCACAAGGTTGTGCACGTCCTTCATGAGAATGACGTGGTTCGGAGACCGCTCCTTGAGGAACTCGAACACGCGGCGACGAGTAGCTCCGCCGCGCCACAGCTGCTCCGCTTGTGCAAGGACTTCAGGGTCACGTACGCGTCGAACCTCGCTGTACTGCTGGTAGAGCGCTTCCGAGAGCTCGTGGTTGTGCTCTACCAAATGCTTCGTGACCACGACACTCCAAGTGTTGGCGCCATCCGTGCGCTGAAGCGTGGCGCACACCTTGGCAGGACACTCGGTGGCCCGGACGTTGTGACTCACTCGCTGACCGCTGCCACGACTGCGGCGCTTCCAGCCGTGCGTACACAAGAACGTCTTGGAGTACCATTCGTGCTCTTCCGGGACGACGTGGGCTCGCGACAATCCATGAACGCCTTCCTGCTCCGTCTCCACTGCGGCGTTGGGGTCTCCATCGTCACCTTCACGCACCGCAAGGCCTCGACTCGCAGCAAGCTGACGAAGACGGACGTTGCGTGAACGCACCGAGTACGTCGTACGAACTCGGTAGAGCTGGAACGTTGCAGTCGAGTACGCGTCCAGGTACTTGTGAAAGGCCTCCCACGTGGGGTATCGACGCACGATACGCGGCACTCGCCACACCGTCTCTCCACTCTCGGTAGTCACCTTCTCGATCTCAACATTGGACGATGGCTGCCAGGCTCCCTCCATGTCTTCAGCGTAGAATATGGTATCATCAGCGTCAAAGCTGTGGTCAGGAGCGGGGAGAGGATCGGTGGCGGGGACGATGGTCACGTAGTTGCCGCCGCCTGCTATCCGGAAGCACGTGCACTGCGGTGCTTGACCGTTAGCAGAGCCCACTGCCTGGCTGCCCGATTGGGTCGTGATCGGCCCATTATCCGTTGAGCTCGAGGATCCGTGTACTCGACAGGCAACAGAAATCACGTTCGTCCCTGACGAAGGGAATCCGCCTGATACCATTCCGGCATGGTTGAATAGCACAACGTTGGCTGCAGTTAAGCCTGGCGACGCCACAGCTGCCAGGGTGGCCACGCCCTCGCACTCTCCTGACCCTCGTCCGAGGTGAGACCCATTGGGGGTGCCCGTGAAAGCTGCTTGAACTGGTGCTGGCTGTTGTTGCACTTGCTGTTGCTGCTGGTGAGGTGGTTGGAGTTGTTGCTGCTGTTGCTGGGCTTGTTGTTCAGCTGGGGGCTGCTGTGCCTGAGGAGGTAGGTAGGAGGGCGTCGTGTTGTACGGAAGCAGCACGACTGACGGCACAATTTGCTGAGGGACACTAGTCGAGGCCGCCGAAACTGCAGCCACATTTCGTTGTAAAGCTGTTGCCCCACTCACACCAATTCCAACGGGATGGTTGTCACCAGGAGACGAGAACAACTGGGCATGGGCCACAGCCTCCGCTAGACCTACCTCCATTTGCGCCGGAAGAATGGTCTGCTGAGAAGCCATTTGACTTGTATCTGGTTGAGCCCCTTGCATTGACACACTATCAATCACTGCGCTTTGGTCGGGGGTCACGTATGCCTTCCGTTTAACCACGGCGGCTTCGCTCGACGTGTCAATTGCGAGCAACTCCGGGTCGTAGATCCGACGGTTCTCGCAATAGTGCTGGTAGAGCTCCCGCGACAAATTGTGGTTGTGATCCACGACATGTTTGGTCACAACCACGCGCCAGCAGCTATCATCGCCGCCTTCGACGGGGGTAGTAGTAGCTGCTCTACCGGACGGGTTCATGTATTGCACGGTCGCACAAATCTTAACTGGGCACGCTGTCGAGCGCACAACGTGTGCGGTACGTTTACCCGTGCCTCGGTGTCGCTCCTTCCAGCCGTGCGTGCAGGTGAGGGTCTTCGAGTACCATCTCCACGACTCAGGAATCTTTCGCGTTGCAGTAACCCCGCTCAATGCTGTGTCAGGGTCGCTTCCGTTGTCACTGTTCTCAGCGTTCTCGCCATCCACGTCCCCGCGCCTCATCTGCGTGATCTTCTTGTTCCTGCCCTTCGCCGAGCTGGTGGTTCTCGTACGGTAAAGCTGGTACGTGGCGTCCGAATACGCCTTCAGACTTGCGTGGAAATCGTCCCACGAGTTGAACACCGACTGGAGCTTGGGAACGCGCACAACAATCTCACGCTGAGCCGGTGGCGCCGTGGGCGCTTCTTCGACGCTTGTTTCCGGTGCCATTGCTTCGGCCTCGAGTAGTGATGAGCTGTCTCCGCTTGGGCTGGGCTCACTTGAAGTTGGTTCCAATGATGCAGTAGCTAAAGTCGACTCAGTATGAGCATTAGGTTCGAAAAGATCTTGGTTGCAGGGCTCTTCGACCTGCGTATTCAACCGGTGGTTGTGTTCGGGCACCTGGCGGTTGATCACGATGTGCCACTGGCCGTCAACGTTGCGTTCCACCCGAGCTAGTATCATAGCTGGACACGGACCGCTTCCCCCATCTTCTCCGGCACGAGGCACTTTGCCCCGTGCTCTACGTTTCCAGCCATACGTGCAGATCAGCAACTTTGAGAACCACTTGTACTCGTCGGGAATCAAGCGTGAAGATGGCGATGCTGTATTCGCAGCAAAGCTTGCATAGCTCGCAACATGGTGGCCATCTGATTCTGCTTTCGCTGCGGCGGATGCCAATATCTTCGCGTTTCTCGAGGCAACCGACACAGTCGATCGAGTGCGAAACACTTGCGCCGTATCGAACGCGTACTGCGCTACGTAGTCGTGGAAGGCATCCCATGTTGGGTGCACCTTGACTGCGATTCGTGGCACACAGAAGCCACCACCATCCAGCGCTCTTGAGGGGATTGTCCCTGGGGTCAAAACTACAGCCCCGAGCGGAGGCATGGAAGCTAGAGGCGTAGCATTCTTGACGCGTGGTCGGATCACAAACTGGTTGCTGCTAGCTTCCGTGAGCTGCTTATTCGAGCGATGGTCAGGCATATTCCCATTGGGCGCAGCAGGCGTGGAGCCCAACGCGTCCGACACCATGAATGCCATCGACGACGTTTGCTGCTGGCTCTGCTCCTCACTGGACGTGAGCATACGGAACACCCCAGTCCGCTGGTTGGCCTGGTCGAGCAAAGACGTGAGCTGCGCAGTGGATAAATCTACCGAGGGCTTCGCCGCTCCGTTCGTAGCGCCCGGTGCATCTCCGGCAACAGTCAGCAACTCTGGGTCGTAAATACGCCGATTCTCCGAGTAGTAGAGGAACAATTCCTTGGACAACTGGTGGTTGTGCGTCCGTACATGTTTGGTCACCACCACCTTCCAGTCATCGGGCCCCGCTCCTCGGTGCTGCAGTGTCACGCACATTTTGGCAGGACAGCTCGTAGAGCGCACCACCCCGGACCCACGCTTGCCAGTGCCGCGATGACGGTCCTTCCATCCGTGCGTGCACTTGAGGGACTTGGAATACCATTGATTCCGCTCCGGGATCAACGTGCGTTCTACCAGCTGCTCTCCACCATCAACGTCGTGCTCCATCGGGACCCCCAGCTCCAGCCCGGCCTTCCTCAACGCGCCAGCATTACCCGCCGCGTCTCCTTTCGTTGCACCCTTGGCAATCTTCAAATTTCGGCGCTTGACGGACGTGGTAGAACGGATCACGTAGAGCTGGTACGTCGCCTTGGCGTAGGTCTTGAGCGCTTCTTCGAAGGCTTCCCACGAGTCGTGCACCACCTGGAACTCTGGAGCCACCACCATAAGCGTCGGCGTTGCAGCCGACAAGTTGGCAGCAGTAGTGTGCTGCTCTACCATCAAAACTTCGGCCCCCATTGCATCGGTAGTCTCCGGTAGAGCGCCCCCTTGGCCCACAGCTGATGCTACTGCGTCTGCAATTGCGACGGTAGTCTCCGCAGCTATTGGGAGAGAGTTGGGTAGAGCGGAGGCCGCCTCGTTGAGCTGCTGCAGGTCATGGGCCTCGTTGTTCCCGCGCTTGGAAGGGGGTGCGTCCTCCGCTAGAGACGGAGAGCGGCCTCGCTTAGTCGCCATGGGGTCTACAAAGGCAGCGGCGGGGTGTTAGTCATACTGCGCGTCTGAACGTATTCGTGCGGAGCTCTCTGCTGCGCTCTACCTTGGTCGGCCTCTGCTTCCAGGCCGGCGAGTCGGGGCCAGAGTGTGGGAGAAGTGTTCCCTTCCTTGTGCGACTTGTGCGGTTGTGTGGCGCGTGGCCGCTGGAACCACAAAAACTATTTATCATGTTTGGGAAGACCTCCAAGACTTGATACCGAAAGGTCGCTAATTTTGACGCGATGCTTGTCAACAGGAGACATTTTGGGCGGCTCCGAAGGGAAACTGAGGTGCAGTGCGTTCACTGAGCGGAGGACGGGATGGCCTCCATGCTGCCCGCTTTCCTGCAGATCGAGGTCAACTGGCTGCGCGGGCTCTACATCGCGCTGTTCTTCTGCAATGCCATCTTCGCCACCTTGTTCAAGACGATCGGAAGAGGTGAGTGGGGGGCGTTGCAAGGTTGCTTCGAGTATCTCGATCGCTAAGACGCATTTGTTCCGCCTGATCAGACTTGCTGTCTTCGTTCGGCACGTTCTCCGACTGTGACGAGACCGACAGCGCGTCCTGCCAGGGCAACCAAATGATCTTCCGCGCAAGCTTCAGCATCTCGATGTTCTTCTTGATGCGCGCACTGCTCAGTCGGTTGGGCTGGGTGCAGCCACGTGCGCGAGCTATCAAGATCCTCATGTGGGTCGAGGTACCGGTGCTGATCGCACTGCTGGTTGGGTCGTTCTACATCCCAAACTGTGAGTGATAGCTTGCATCACCGATGCCAGGAAATCCTGAATTCGCGTCTGCTCACTGTGATGTCAACATTATTGTGAACATCATTAGCCTTTTTCGACGGGTATGTGCCTTTTACAAGAGTCGCCTCTGGGTTCTTTATCCTCTTCCAGATCTTCTCCATCGTCAGCGTTTCGTGTACGTGAGCTCCATCCGCTTTACTTAAGTAATCAGATCTTCATAAATTTCACAATTGTCGGAGAATTTTGCGCAATGCAAATTACTAGACCAGGTTCGAGATACGTTGCTGGAACGACTAGAACGCGCGGAAAAGGCCGAGGCTCAGGGTGAGGCGAGAAGCGGGTTCTGCGCCGGCAGCGTTTGCATGTGGTGCGTCATGGATATCAGCACTATAGTATACTTAAGTATGTGTTCTTTCTAACATCTCTGCGGTTGCAGGAAGACGGCCTTCTTAGGCGTGTGCGCAGTTTCGATGGTTTGCATAGGGTCTGGGATCACCTACTTGGTACGAGCATCAGTTTGTCCTTTACGCGTGCGCATATGCCCCTCCTCACTTACGAATTGTGTTCACAACGACTACCAGTACATGCGCTTTGCCGATTGCGACCTGGGCCTAGCGTTCACGACCATAACGATCATAGCAGCTGGCCTTTTGATCATCGCTTGCGGTAAGACGCGCGCGGCTTCCAAAATGTTCGGCAACGCCAATTCATCTAACGTTTGGTCTGGATACGCAGTCTCCCCGTGGATCGAGGTGGGTTTGCTGCCACCATGCGCTATATCGGCGTATCTGGTGCTCATGTGCTGGCAAGCGCTAGTCAGCAACCCGGTAAAGTCGTGTGAGCATCGAAGACATCCGCCTCCTGCACCAAGAGACGAGGAGTCGTCCAACACGGACAGCATGATCGCCAACGCCGTGATAGCCGCGTTCGCGATGACGTGGACAAGTTGGCGCACGTCAAGTGCGGCCGCCAAACTTCTAGTTCGACAGGGGCGAACGCCTCAGGGCCGAGACACTACAGTGTCACGACCTGCTAGCGCTGATCGCCACCACGACCAGCAGTTCGCTAGCGTCGTGGTCGTTGATGTGCATCCAGCCCAGCACACGGACGAAAGCCCCGCCCTCGCTCCCGCTGGCACAACGGTGGAGCCTCCTCAGCCCGGTCGAGAGCTCATACACGAACCGTGGCAATTCTACAGTATGATGTGCCTCGCCGGCCTGTACATGGCCATGGTGCTGACGGACTGGAACTCGGCGGACGGGTAGGCTGGCACTTGCTCTTTACTCACAGTTTGGTGTCCATTTACTCACTCTTTTTCTGCCTCCAGCTCCTTCAATAACATCTCCATGTGGGTGAAGATCGTGGCGCAGTGGGTCACGATACTCCTCTTCTCCTGGACGCTCGTGGCTCCCAAGCTCTTCCCCGACCGGGACTTTAGCTGAGCTACATAGTAACATCCTCCAATCAACCCACTTCAACTTGGTCCAAATATAGTCCGGCGCAAAAATTGTACTCCCCTTACCCCTCTCGAGACTATTTCTAAATGGGGAGTCACATTAGCCTGGGACGACCGTCCACGATGCCGACGCACCCGGAGACGCCGACTGCCGCGGCCAGCGCCGCCTCAGCGGAGCCTCCGGTGCACGCAAGCGCCAAACAAGATGCGCAGACCGACGGCACATCAGCCACACCCGCTGACGTGACCATGGAGCCCGCAGAAGGCGAGAAATCCAGGGACGACGGCGACGCGTCGGTTGGCGCGCAAAACTCCGCGCCCGTGGAGGCTCCTGGGGCTTCGGGGGACGTCAAAATGGAGGAAGAAGGGAGTTCAGAGAAGAATTTGAGGTGTTCCGAGTGCGGCCTTATTGAGAGCTCCACGCGGGGCGATACGCTCCGCGTCTGCGTGGGCTGCAAGCTTGCAGTGCATGAGAAGTGCTACGCGGACGCGTTGCCAGTGCCCGAGACGGTGGCGAAGGGTGAGACGCAGCAGGACGACGAGGAAATGAAGGATGCGGACTGGAAGTGTGACTGCTGCCGCCGTGGAGTCGAACGGCGAGCTGCTACGTGCGTGTATTGCGGCAAAGGAGGTGGCGAGGGAGCGTTGAAGCTCGTGGAGACAGCAGGAGATGCTGCTTTTTGGGGCCGGTGCGCCAAGTTTGGGGAGGAAGAGGAGAAGGAAGCAACGACGGGTGATGCGGTGCAGTTCGGTCACGTGCTGTGCATCAATTGGGATCCGCGGCGACTGGCTGCGCACGTTGTGAGGGAGAGCAAGATCAAGCCTGTTGAGAAGTTGACGAAGAAGGAAGCGGCTGCGAGGGAGGCAGCAGCAAAGGAGGCGGCGGAGGCTGCTGCTACAGAGGAGACTAGCGGTGAAGCTGAGAAGACGGAGAAACCTGCGGAGGAAGTCGAAGAAGTGGTGCCTGACGTGAACGAAGTGATGATGAGGGATCCGCTAACGCCGGGTGAGTGCTGCTTCTGTCACTCTGGTCGTGGTGTCCGGATACAGTGTCGCCGAGTAAACTGTGCGCAGTTTTTCCACGCCATGTGTGCGCATAAAGGGAACGGGCACGTGGAGCTTCGGGCCGGTCATATCCTGCAGTTCCACGCGTATTGCGAGCGCCATCGCGACTGCACCGAGGACATTGGCGACCTCCTAGCCAAGCTAATCACGCGCCCTATTCGTCTACTCGTTGGCCGTGATGACATGCGTCGGTTTGGTACGGTTGCGAAGCACTTGCCGGATTACACCACTGCTGCTGAGGTGATCCGGGATATTGCGGCGCTGGCGGTGGGGTATTGCAACAAGGGACTGCGCACTTGCAAGACCGAGCCGCCTGATTACAACTACAAGCACCTTCAGGTTCTTCAGCTGATCCTGAGTTACGTGCCGCAGCTCGAAAAGGTGTACGCACTGCCGCCGACGCCTGCTCAGGACTTGGTTAACGACAAGAAGTTGTTCCGTCGTCTTGAAAGGGCATTCAACCCGCCGAGGTACTTGGCCAAGTATCCTGGTCCGTTCAGCCAGCAGCATACTTGTGACGTGTGCTTAGACCCATTCCACGAGCGGCAACACCTTTTCTACTGCTCTGGGGGCGACGAGTCTGCCGTTCCTCACGTCCAGCACTGGAGATGTACGAAGCGTCGCTCAAGTGCTCGTGAACGCGAACGGTATCTGCCCGTGGCTGGCACTACAGCTGGCGCCAAGAAGAAGCGGAAATCGATCTCAATTGTTCAGGATGGAGTGCGAAAGGACATTACACTTCCCAAGGGCCTCCCAAGTATGACGGATGACATTATTTGCGGCGTCTGTCGTGCCCCAGTTGATGCACGTGGCCTCATCGCATCCCGTAAGGAGGCCAAGCGATTGGACTTTGAGAAGAAGGAGAGCAAGTTTGTCCAGAACGGTTGCTACATCAACCCTCTAAGTGCCAAAGGGTACAACGGCTACGCCCACGGCACAGCTTCGAACGCGTCAGTTCGTAAGCCACCGAAGCCAACTGACTGGAAATCCAATGGCAGCTTGACAGGGCAATATGTAGCGGCTCAGCAAGCGTTGGGTCCACCGAAGATGGATCGGATCAACGTCCAGCGCACTACAAGGTGGCTAGCCTGCGTGGCCCAAATCATTCGCCTCACTGGCACCCCAGCCTCGACCACTGCTACGACTTCGAAACCCTTAGAGAAGCCCACTGGTAAGCCCGACGAAGGTGTGTCTACAGCGGCAGATGCCTCCACCGCAGCATCCTTGAGCGTGAACGGTACTGCTGGTCCAAAAGACAATGCAGAGATAAAATCGGCACCAGACGCAGCGGTAGCAGGATCTAACGCGGTCAACGGCGTATCCAAGACTGAACCAGAAGCGGAACAACCTCCAGTACCTGCCACTACCCCTTCGCCGAGGACCCGATCCCCTAGGACGAAGGACACCTCGCTCGTGACGCCGGCAATACAAGCCCAGTTCGACGAAGCCATGCGCCTGGTTCGGCCGTACGACTCGTACGCCTTGAGCAAGTTAGAAACCGCGTACGATATGCTCGTGCACCGCAGCGGCCCCGGCGTTGCGGTGCTGCGTATGCTCACGCACGAGTACACGCGCTTCGTGTATATCAAGCACACTCGCGCAGTGGAGAAGGCGCGCAACGAGAAACGCAAGCGCGCCGAGCACGAAGCGCAGGAGCACAGAGAGAAGGAGCGCAAGCGCATGAACCTCGAGGCGGAGCGGGCACTCAAGAAGCAGATGCTGGCCATGCGCAACAAGCAGCGGCAGCACCTGAAGGCCACGTCGTCCAAGTAAAACCCGGTAATCCAAAACGCAGCTTTTGATTGATGAGAGGACAGGTCCGAATAGAATTTTAGGAATGCAATCAACCTGCCCAGACCACACTCAGCTAAGGTGATCTCTACCAGTTCTAGTCGTCCTCGAACTCGCTGTCCGAGTCGGACGCGTCTCCGTCCGTGATGTCCATGCCCTGAGCGACTTCCTTCTTGATGACGGCGCTGACCTCGAAGCAGCCGTCGCACACGCTCTGGACGGCGCTCTTGGCATGCGTGTAGGCCATCTTGAAGCCCGGGTGCGAGTTCTGCGGGATCCACGTGACGAAGAAGAGCTTGCTGGACTTGCGCCCGTCGGGCGTCAGGAACTCGTGGTCGTACACGGCGTAGCGGCAGTCCGAGTCGGGAAGCGCGGCGTTGAAGTCCGCGAACGAGGCCGAGGGCGGCGCCGTGGCGTCGACGACCACCTTGTCGGCCTCGATGCGGAACAGCACGTAGCGGTACTTGCGCCGCATCTTGAGCTGCTTGAACTCGGCCACCACGGCGTCCGTGGGCGCGATGGCGTTGGCCGACACGTCGCTCTGGTGGTGGATGTACTGGGCCACGCCCGCCGTCTTCATGTGGGGCTCTGCCATGGTCGAGAGAAGCTAGAGGTGATGATGTCGGTGTTCTTCTTCTTCTCGCTTGAAGGGGAGGAAAGTATCTGATCCGCTGACGCAGTGACTGGCGTCACCAAACGTCGGTCACGCCACCGACTGCACACTCTTTGATACTTCAACCTTACTCATGTCAACTTGTCTATCGCGCCAAAGCACGAGCTGTTGCTGCTTAGCCGCATCGTCCACAGCTGCTCCACGAAGCCCCCCTGATGAGCAGGCTGTTCGTCTCCTGATGTTCATCGCCGATAGAGTCGCCGCCACCTGGGATCCGACGTCGAGGTCGAGGTCGGAACCCGCATTTGACCCCAAAAAATAGTCCATTAAGCGCGCTTAGCGCGCTAAGCGCGCTTAAAAAGGCCGTTTTTTGTGGACCACACAACACATTGTGTGGCTGCTCTACAACCGGTGGTGGCTTCGGATAATTGGCCAGCATCGCGCTCCGTTCTGGATCCCCAGTTAAGTTTTCCCCTTCCCAAGGTACGAGTGCTCTCCAGCTACGCTGACAGCTATAGCTACAGATCCTGGTGGTGCAGGCACCGGCCGCAGCACAGCAACGCTAACGGCAGCAACAGCAGTGGCTGCGCCTGCTCTACCTCCGCCCCCCACAGAAACAGCTCCACTAACTGCCATGTCTTGACCCACTTCAGGTTTCTTTCCCCACCCACTACACTTATCTACAATGGCTGACCACGAGGAGCACGACTTCGAGTTCCACTCGACCGACGCCGGTGCCTCGGAGACCTACCCGTCTGAGGCTGGCCAGATCCGCAAGGGCGGCTTCATCATGATCAAGGGCCACCCGTGCAAGGTGGTGAGCGTGTCGACCTCCAAGACCGGCAAGCACGGCCACGCCAAGTGCAACTTCACGGCCCTGGACATCTTCACCAACAAGAAGTACGAGGACATTGTGCCCTCCACGCACACCACGTCGGTGCCCTTCGTGTCGCGCGCTGAGTACACGCTGCTCGACATCACGGACGACGACTTCTGCTCGCTCATGGACGACTCGGGCGAGACCCGCGAGGACATCAAGCTGCCCACCTTCCCGGAGACGTTCGCTGACGAGATCCGCGCCGACTTCGACGACGGCAAGCAGCTGGTGCTCACCGTGCTGAAGGCCTGCGGCACTGAGCAGATCATTGCCAAGAAGGAGGACCTGGCCGCTTAAGTGTAGCACACACACAGGTTCGCTCCGCCTTATGGCTCCAGCCTTGTTCCGCAAGGCGGTGTAGCCGGCGGGGAAGACGCGTTGGAGCCTCGTAGTCTTCAGCATCAAGTCGCGTTAGCCTATTTTCTATATTTTTTGGAGAAAGAGGGCGCCACTAGAGATGCTGCGGGGTCTTGCACTGGCGTCCCCAATGGGAAGAAGCTGCTGGTTGCAAACGAGGTGCTAAAGTAGTTGAATATTTCTCTCTTTTTTCTTACTACGTACCCTTGGCGTTTTTGCATTGTACTCGTGGTGTGTCATTCCCAACAAGCGTGAAGCCATGTGATGCGGTTTCGTTGGTCCGGAGGGACTTGAGAACAGTCCGCGGGATGTGGGGTAGACGCATGGGACACCAAGCACCCGCCGAAAGTAGCCAACAAGTGACGATGATATTGACATGAATTCTACGAAGTTTATGAGGTCTATAGATCTAAAGTTCGGCCACGTCGCCTTTGCCTGGTTGCTGGGGCCAGCACTGCAACAAGAGCAAGAGAGACAGCAAGATGCGCCACCTCGTAAAGCATCTGAAATTCACCACAAGACGCAAGTTAGACCAGACCATACTCGTAAGAAGCGTGTGTGTGTGTGGATGTTCAGGATCCCTTTTTACCTTGGGGGCGAAGACGCTCCAAATGAACAAGTGGAAGCGCATGAAGTACACCACGACGCTGTAGATGAATAAAAAGCCGTGAGTATCAGCAATACCTCAAAGCAATGCTCCCTGAGTGAAATACTTACGTGTAGACAGCGAACCGAAGTGTCTGATACGTGAAGATCGTAACGCAGGCAGCTTTCTTCGCGCTTGACGAGTCGCTCGCGCTTTGAGCTTTTTCTCCGGACAGCGCCGCTAATGCTTCGACGGATGTTGGGACGTCCAACCACTGGAAAAGATTCACAAAGCACACAAGCTGTCCGGAGAAAACGCTGACGAACGTCAACGCGCCAACCAGACCCTGCGAATACGCTGACAATCCATGGTACGATTGGCTGATGTCGATTGTCGTCACCAAATGCGAGTTGCCAAGCGCGAAGAATGCTGCTTGTGATACCCACAAAGCTAGCCCTGCCACAATGACACCGTTGTGACGAAGTGAAGCAGCTTGTTCGCACTCTAAGAGCCTCGCGACCGATTCGATCTGCAGACAGAGGAGGCTAAGAGTCGGAAAATTGGTCTCGCGCTGGAGCAAGCCAACTAGGAGCCAAATGATCATTTCCGTCAGCAATAAGCGAAGTCTTCGTCCAACCACGACCGTCAAGACCGCGAGTAGAAGAACACTCGCATACACCACGCGCGCGCTAGCATCAGCATCCAGCGATATCCACCCCTCCAGTGCTCCTGAGCCTTCAACACTGTTCTGGTCTGAAAGCTCTTTGACCCGAAGGCTCGCCATCATGCCAACAAGAAACAGGAACCCGCTGCAAATGCCTAAACCAAACGCCACTTGCTCTCCCTTGCGCTGAGCTGTTACCGTTTGATGTACAGCCTTCCGCAACACAACCGCACAAATCGCAACCACACAGGCACTCAATGGAAGGATACTTGAAGGAACCGTGGCGGCAGTCGATAAAATCGATACCGAGTCGTCAGTAGCCAACTCGTTTCCAAGCAAGTTCGTGTCGACGTGAAGCCCATTTAGTCGCCAGAAATTGATGATTTGGTTGCGTGCGCGCAGCATTCGTGTGATCACCAGTAAGACCCCCACCCATACGAGCCCAGAACTTGACGGTGCTGCACTATTCGACGACTTTCGCCAACGGAGCAAGACGATCCCGATAGCAACAAGTAAGGAAGTCGTCATAAAGAAGGCGGTTGCGTGCTCATTTTCGATGGACGAGCTTGACGACAAGCTGGCAATCTGCAGGATACTGCCCACACCCAGGACACTAAGGAGGAAACTTGTTCTCTGACCCATTCCATACTTGGCTTCCGCTTTGACTGCTGCAATAAGCATCACCAACGTAGCAATGCCACCGAAGAACAGAAGTACAAGGCCAGAAAAAATCGCGCTCGAATCGTACTCGGATCCATCGCTCTGAGCGACTTTTGCTTGCAGCGTCGCACAGGCTTCAAGTACAGCATCAGCAGTCTGCTTATCGACTGCTAAGCCATTTTTACCTTCCAGAAGTGTAGACAGCCTGCTCAGCGGTGCTTCGTACTGCTCGTTGAACCTTGTAAGCGCTGAAACATGGAATTTGATCTTGGCCAATGTATATAGCTGCTGGAAGTTCTGGTATAGCGCACGCAAATAGTACGATTTTGGGTGAAGCGCAAAGTTCGAGGTAGCACGGACGACATCCTCAAGAAGCAGCCCGCTGCTATACAGCGGAATGGGTAGCCCAAAGAGCGAAGAAATCGTAGGCACCAAATCCACCTGACTCCGCTTCTGCTTGTACGATATATCCTCCGACGAGCGCATAGGCTCACCGTCACCACGCATAAACATCAACAGCGCAGAAGACTCCTCCAGCGTCGCACCGCCGTGGTTGCCCACTTCAGACATGCCATGGTCACTGCATAGCAAGATCAACGACGGTCGCGCTGAGCTGTCGTTCTCCATTCTTCGAGCATCTTGTGCGCGGACTGAATCCACCACCAACTGCACGACACCATCCATCTCCTCCAACTTCTCCCGCATCAATGGCGACCTCGGTCCACGTAGGTGACCAACGTGATCCAACCCCAGATAATGCAGCACCAAGGCGTCCCAATCTCCACTCTTCTCGTTCTGCATCGTTGGGTCCAACTCCTCCTTCAAATGCCTTGTCACATTGTTGTCCACCTCCACGGTATCCCTCGTATAAAAGCCCGACGTACCGTCCGAGCGCTTGAACGTCTCCGGGAACAGTTTGAGCCACGTGTCGTCACCGTAAAACACAATCCTCTTCCCACTGGCTGCCAATAAAGACACAAGGTTGGCGTCCTCGTCCAATGCTGCCGAGTTAAAGTTCTTCAAAATGTCAATAAACGCCGGCGCTTTGCCGGTCACCAGCGCCTTGAGCCGAGGCATCGTGACGGTCGGAACGCTGGCATGTGCGACGTATCCGAGCGCTTGACCCGATGCCACCAGGCTGCTGGTGAACGGCATGTGGGCGTTCAGCTCCCCTTTCGTCTGCTGTCCGTCTCCCTCTGTACTGCCGTGCATTGCGGCGCTACCCAGCACCATGTCGGCTCGCAGCGCGTCGATCAACACGACGACGAGGCGGTCGTAGGCGGCGTCGGCCTGCTGGACGCTGTCGTGCTGGAGGTTCTGGTCATCCCAGTCGGCGGTTGAAGGCGCGGAAGACTGGAAGAAGACCTCGTTGAGACGCAACAAGCCGCTCGAGCACAGATACGCCCCCAGGCCTGCGCACAAGCACAGCAGGCGCAGCGTCATGTTGCGAGCGATTTGTGCACTTCAGGCTACACAATGCTTACACAAAATTTCAACGGATTGCTTTGTATTGAGTTTTGTATGGTCCACTTCAACTTGACCGCTAAATGGATTACTTTGTTAGGCTGGTGTGAACTTTGATGTCAGCACTGCTACTGTAGCATCCGAGCTGCTACATGTACCGAAGGTTTACATAACACGATTGTCACGTTACGAGAAGTTGCCGTTGGCGACACGCTGGTTCTTGGCGGTGGGGTCGTCGGCGCCGAAGCGCGTGCGCAGGACGTTGTAGCGGCAGAGCGCATCATCGATGTTGATGTACGTGCCCTGAAGGTGGCGCACACCGTCCGAGCACGGCATGAACTGCTTCCTACCGTGTAGGACTCGGCGCTGGTTGAAGATCACGGTGTCGCCCTGGTTCAGTCTGAACTCGTAGCGGTGCTTGCCGCCTTCCACGAGCTCGTGGAAGACGCGGTAGGCGTCGTAGTACGGCATCACGTCGTCGAACGGAACCCTCAGCGGACCCTCGAACGGAGGACTCCAGTGCACTGCTACCACCTCGTCGCGATGGTTGAGCTGGATGTGCGGGCGCTGGTACTCCATGATCGTCGCCTTTTCACGAGTGAGGTGGTGCTTCTTGAACGTAGCGGGCACGCGGCAGAACGTAGCGAAGTGCTCCGGATGGAGTCGACGGAACTCCTCAGTAACAGCAAAGACATCCACGAAAGTCGACTCGCCGCCCTTCACAGACTCGTCGAAGCGGAGCGCGTGCAAGAACTGGAATCCCGGGGGAGACTCGTAGTACGCCAGGTCAACATGACTCTTCAAGTAAACCGTGGTGTACGCAATATTCACCTACAGTGGAGGAGCACGGAGCTTTCAGTTAGATGACACAGGAGCTATTTGGCAACCGACTACTACGTACAGGTTTGGGTTCTGCCACGACGTCGAAGACATCGCCATACTGGAATCTGCAAAAAGAGAGAAAAACAACACACCCAACATTAGTAAATGCACATATTCGAACACTGGCCAATTGCCAATAAACGTACGAGTGCGAAATTGGAGCAATGCGCTCTGCAAGCATCTTGACTGCGCCAGGCACCGTCGGTGTGTTGCGAATGACAGTGAATCCATGGTCAATGACCTGACGAAGCGCCTCGTACAGGCCCTCGTCGTTGTTGGTGTCCATCATACGAGCATACTCCGTTGTAGGAACAGGAGCATCAAGCGCCAGCGGCGTCGTAGCCATATCGTGAGCATGCTGGTCCAGCGCCCAGTCCGAATAGCTATTTTCAAGCAGCCACTTGCACGAGAAGCTCGACTCGTGGCGGTCGTTCCACACGATGTTGAGCGTATCACCCTTCACTACACACAGAAGCACACAATTAGCATTCATCCACTCTCACTAACGCTTCAACTCCGCACTGCCTACCAAAAACTTTTTCAATGTCCAGTTCGTCTTGGTCAATCTCGGCGCAGTTTACAACTCGCTGCCCCGTCGGGTGGCCACACTCCGGACACGGGCACCACGTGCGCAGATGCAGCAGGTGAAACCTGCTCCGCTTGCCGTCCTGCCAACGCAGCGTGATGAACTCACGGTCCTGCACGTCCACGCCCAGAAGCTGTGCATCGCCAACAACAACGTCAACCTCCAGGTATTCACACGAATGACATACAACGTCAGCAACGCACCTCCTGCGCAATGGACGCGTGCTCATCGTGGTCATGGGAGTCCGTGACGCTCGAGAACTGGCGCCACTGCATGCACTTGGCAGAGCGCGATGCTGCAACAACGATGATGCAATATGCGTCAACACTCATCGAAAGTTCAAGATCGCAGCCGAGTTGAAGCGCACCTTGCTGTTGCACCCAGCTGCGCTGCAGGATCGGCGCCACAGCGTGAGGCTGTGAGGCAATAGACGCCGAGACGGCACGAGGGATGACGCGGGAGAACCGGCGCATACTAGGGCTGTGGCGCTGCACGAAGGTCGAGGGCTTGCTCGCTCCACCGCACTAACTGAAGTGCGAGAGAAATGCCGACGGAAGTTCAACGCCCGTCAAACGTAACACAAGTCTAGCAGCATCTAGTGGTCTTACAAAACGCAAGAAAAGGCGCTGGTCTATCGGAACTGCTCGCCAAGTGAACTGAAACGCAATGACATTAAAGGCAATGCTATACGCAACGCTGGACATTCACCACTACGACACTGGTCACCGGCAAAGTAAGGCAAGATGAATGGAGAATGGGCACACGGTTGGCCGTGCTAAACATTAATGAGACCCGCTGAATTGAAACCCGAGAGCTGCATACGCAAAAATTGTAACACTTGCTACTGCGCTTGGGCAGGAGGCGGGCCGGTAGGCTGCGGGCTGCTCGGTGCGCTCCTCTCGCGGTCTCCACACGCGATCAAGCGGTTCAGAAACTCGCAGACTTCACTGGTGTCACGCAGCGTGAATGAGGCGTCCGTGGACTTGCTCTCCTCGGTCACGACGATGCCAACACCCTTGCGGTTGTAGTGCGCCTGGAAGAGCTGGAACGCGTCCTCGTCCGTAGTGTCATCGCCGATATAAATAGTGTAAACGTCATCGTGCTCGTCTAACCCAAGCGCCTGCAGCAGCCACAGTAGCGCCTTGCCCTTGTTCCAGTCGATCTTGGGCTTGAATTCGTAGACCATTTTGCCTTCGCTCATTCTGAATCGCAGGACAGTTTCAGAGCACGGTAGGTAATATTAGCATCGACTTTGTCAATTCGCAACGAACGCAAAGGATCTCGTCGGTATCTTACCGGATGCGCGGGTGTTGGTCTCTCACCGTGTGGGCTAGGTTGGACATCTGCGATCTTAGACTAGGATCCACGTTCCTACAAAATATTCCACCCGCATAGCATGAGTCCAAAAGATCAACCCAACTCCTCCACTGCCGACTCAACGTACCGGTAATGCAGGGACACCGAGAAAATGTTGTCCTCCACTTCAGCGCCGGCAATGCTTTTACTCTGGTCGCTCAGCTCGTCCCGAACTTCGTGCAGATCCGTCAAAAACTGCGCTGCCACTTGGTTCTTGATGGAGGTGCCGTCGGGACCTTCAATGTCGAAGCCGTGGCTGCCGGCATAGTAGAGCTGCGGGATGCTCACGAATTTCTGGATCTTGTGCAGCGAACGCCCCGTGATCACCCCCGTGATGAACTTCTGGCGCAGCTTCTCGAGCGTGTCCTTCATGGCGGGCGACAGCAGCGCCAGCGCCGGGTCGTTCACGATGGGCGTGAGCGTGCCGTCGTAGTCCAGGAAGACCACCAAGCGGTGGTCGCGGAAGTGCGCCTGCAGCTCGCCGAAGTTGGCCAGCGCGTTCGCGTTCGTGACGGAGAGTCGGCGCGGCCGCTCGCTGCCGGTCGAGCTGGCAGGCAGCGGCTCGGGATCCGGAGCGGTCGGTGCAGCAGTGGTAGTAGTGGCCATCGGCGCTGCAATTGGCAGACTGGCGGGCGACGCTGCGCCTCGGGCGGAAGAGGAGACTTCGCTGGCAGGAGTGCTTTTCGCACATGTGTGCTCCTGCCTCGGCCGAAATAGGGTTGGTCTCGCTGTCGTCAGCCACTATGAAAACCGTCGCATCGCCGATTGGCGGAAAAGGCCGGCGACTCTTCTGATTGGGCGGACCAGCGAGTTGACCACCGTGCTCCTTGTGAGCACTTCACCGATGCCGACTGATGCGAGGCGACGCCTTCCGCAGCGAAGGCGCGAGCGCATTTACCAGGCTTTTCGGTGCAGCTCTGCGGCAACGGGGTTCTGTGTTAGGTTGAAGTGGCACCGCGTCCCAGTTGGGACTTTCGGCTCGAATAGCGTGTGACATGCTTTGCTCGGTGCTGCTCTGCGGCTCGTGATATTGTCCTCGATTAAGGATTGAGCCGCCCGAGGATTACCAGGTCTTCTCCGAGGACATGATAGCGGGGCTGCTGCAAGCGAGGAAAGGTAGATGCTGGCGCTGGAGAGCTTGGCGCGAGCAAGCTGCTGACTGCGCGGAGACCGCCGATCTGCGAGCGCAGCACGTGGTGAAACGATGGTAGTTAGCGTCTGTATAATTTCTCGCGCGGCACTTCCGACTTACAAAAGTGGGGGCAACCGTGACGACAACGAGGTCGATGAAGTGACTCTGTGCGGCTGCCTGAAGACACGACGTCAAGATTGCAGAGCCGCCTTCGACCATGATGCTGTTGACCCCATTTTGCTTCGCCACGCCTGTGTTACACAACAGTATTCATGCTCGTTAAATCGGACCATGAGCCGCGGTGATAGCACGTAGCAGTGAACTCACGGAAGGCGTCGCTTAAATCGATGTGGTCGCGACCGTCATCACCGCGCACAGTGGCGCACTCGAAGACTCGAGCTCCCAGCGCCTCAAGGGCTTCTTTCCGTTGAGGTACTCCTGCATAGTCAATGAAAAGTTGTAGTGTGAGTTTCGAAGTCTTACAGTGTGCAAACAATTTTCGCTCACCTGGATCCTGCGACCCGCGGCCGTACATAATGATCGGCTTCGCACACGTCGGCAGTGTGAACAGCTTGATATCCGTCGGACAGCGCAAGCGCGTGTCAATGATGATCGGTTGCGGGTTGGGCCCTGCAGTGAGCATCAATTTACATTGATCAGGAACGGATTCTTTTTGCTGCAGGCTCGATCATAGCGAACATGCCTTCCACCAGCCTTGAGTTCAACGATGGGTTGTCTGCGAGCACAGTCCCCACGCCGACCAAAATACCATGATGAACCGTACGCAGCGTATGCGTCATCTTCATCGAAGCTGGTCCGCTGAGCAGCGTCGGTTTGCCTGGGAATCAAAACCTTCAGACATGCTGCACTCGAGCATTGTAATCTGTCGCCCGCACCTCTTTCTGCGGCCAGGGATCCATCGATACTCTGAGCATAGGTCAGCGTCACGAAGGGCATGGACGCCTCCTCCTTCTGGGCGCATGACTTCCTCCATTCCTCCTGCGCCTCGCACACCTGGCGCCGTACGTCGTGTAACACGGCGTCGGTCATTTTGGCTCTACTACGTAGGTGATCATCATGTCTAAAGTTGGTCGCTTACGCTAACCTTATTTTCATCCAATCATAGAATAGGCATCCACATGTGGACCACACCACTCAACCGATGGCCGCACGTAAGGCTGGGGCAGCATTGACACAAGACCTGCTCGACCGGTGACAATGGCGGCGATGCTGGTGCGAAACGCGATGCAGCGCGCTGTGGCGTTCCTGCAGCACAAGATGTTCCCGACGTCGCAGATGCCGGCGCTGGGCCCTCTGGCGCTTAACGGCGGCGCGGCTGCGCTGCCCTCCAACCCGCTGAGCGAAGCGATCTGGCTGGCCGCCCCCAAGTCCAAGGTATGCGAACACAGTCAACGCCATCAGCCATGCAGCAACAGAGCAATGCTACTGCGAATTGGACCCATGGAGAGAACCAGACTTGGAGACGCGTAGCTGCTGCTACTGTTGCTGCGTGGCTGGAGATGTAGTGGCAAGTGGTGGTTGAGCAAGAATGCTGACTGTGCGCTTATTGTGTATCGCTGTTGTAGGTGACGCCGTCCCGCAAGAAGATTAGGAACAACGACCTGAGCAAGCGCCTCAAGAACATTGTGCACTTCCAGGACTGCCCCATGTGCGGCGAGAAGAAGCTCCGTCACCGTCTGTGCATGAGCTGCTTCAAGAAGGGCAAGTACTTTGTGTAAACAGCGCGCGCGTTCGGCACCAAAGCATCGCACACATCAGACAGAGAGACGCACAAGGGAGGATGAATATATAGATGTCTGCCTTGCAGACGACCATGGACACTTGCCTTCTTGCCTTCCTCATCTTCCGTCACCACACTGCATAACGACCTGCTATTCGCTATAATTGCCCTTTTCTCAACAACTCATTGGCCAAAACTCTCATTCCGTGATTTCCCAGCAGTTTGACGCCAGTGATGGACGAAGTGTCCGTTGGGCTCTCGCTCAGCGAGATGGAGCACGAGAACGCCTCGTTCCTGGGCGCGTCTGCAGCGGAGGAGGCGCCGCCCAAGCCGGTGCCAGTGCCGGTGCCGGTGGCGACCCCAGCTCCAGCCAACCCGCCACAAGCACCGCCCATGCCGCCCGCCGCAGTGCCCGTTGCTATTCCAGCGCTTCCAGTTGCAGCCGCGGCAGCCGCGGGGGACGAGTGTCTGCGCGTGTCCTACCACTGCAAAGCCACCAAGTGCTTCCGCATGCAATGGGAGGCCGAGAGTAAGCGCAACTTCAGCTTTCCCGAACATGTTGGCAACCAGAAATTCACAGTGGAAATGTCTGTGTGCAAGTGAACCCGCGCTGCCCTCGCCAGACGACGATCATGCTCGAGGACAAGGTCTACCTCTTCGACGGCTTTTATTTATTGTGCCACTGCGATCCGCCTGAGGTGCCAAGGGTGAGCGACCTGGCGAATGTTGAACGTAAAATGTTGCTGTTACTGTAAGCACTGATGATGGTGTTATGCTATGCTGCGTTCAGTTCGAGTACACCCGCGGTGACGTGATGTGCAAGATCCATTTTATCCCGGAAGAGCTCCCGTCGTCGGTGCGCGGGATGTCTGGCAACGATGTGGATGCTGATGTGAACGGAGAGATCCACCGCTCTTTCTGTCATTCGCTGTTCATGCTGCAGCGATATTTGTTCCAGCAATTGCTGGGCATCCAACCGGCTCACCTGTTCAGTAAGGTATTTCCTGACCCCGCTCACGCTACTGGAGACCCGTCGGAGATTTGTGGCGATTATCACTTGGTGCCACGGTTTATCGCCGTGAAGGAGGAGCCTCTGCTCCGACGTGAAGACTTGGACTCACCCAACCGTATAGGATACGCAGTAGGCCGGTTGCTGTCAGTGCAGCAGCTGCTGGCGTTCCTCGATTTCAGCGCGAAATTCACTGTGCGCGACTTCTTCGCTCAATTCAACCACAACGAGCTGATCGACTGCGTCGTTTCCACTCGCATCAACGGCCAGCCGAGTGTCTTTCGTGTCGATGAAATTATCTTTGAGCCATCAGAGGCTGAAGGGGGTAAACCTGTCTCAAGTGGTGTTGTCATGAAGGATGGTCGACATGTCCGGGCGATTGCGCATCGTGGTCAAGGTGCTCGCAATTATGACGGCGCCAAGTCCAAGAAGAGGATCCGCAAGTGGCAGCAGGAGGGCGAGTTTCTTCAGTTGTCACCGGAAGTTGAACCCCATTCTGAAGAGCTGCATCCGATGGAGTGCCATCTTACAGGAGTTCGCGCTGACCTCTTCGAGGTTGGGAGTGCTATGCCTATGGTGCTCAAGTATGTTCGACACTTCAACCTGCTTACGAGCTTTGAGGAACAAATGGGCTTAAAGTTCAGGGACAAAGCGCTTCTACGCCAAGCATTTACTCACGGGTCGTACATCGACATAGGCATGCAGAATGTCAACACTGTCGAAGCCACTCGATCCCGTGTGCGCCTTGGGCACGTATTCCAGAATGTTGCCTCGCTCAAGCGATCAAGAAGTATGGCGCTTGACGGTGACGCGCTCATCCCAGGTAAGGCGGCAGGGAATAACGCCTCCCAGTTGAGGAAGGTTGCGGAGCAGCACCTGTCTTGTGATTTCAAGGAAGAATTCCACTCGCGGTACCTGTGCCCGTATGAACGGCTGGAGTTTTTGGGCGACGCCGTTCTCGGTTTCCTCGTGGCATCATCAGCCTTTTTGAAGCTCCCGAATGCCGATGAAGGTTTCCTCCACCAGACCCGTGTCGATATTGTGAACAATATCAGTCTCGGCAAAATGGCTAAAACGGCAAACTTTGGGTGCTTATTGCTGAGTGCGTTCGACTTAGCCAAGCTCAATGAAGACACTAAGGGGAAAATTACGGCTGACTGTTTTGAGGCTCTTCTGGGCGCGCTCTACAAGGACCAGGGTATCGTTCCGTGTCGTGCCTTGCTCGGTAAACTGATCGACATGCACGACGCCGAACTGCGCGAGCTGTGCTTCCTTTCAACGGATGAACTGCTGACCGAGGCGAAGGCGTTCGTGGAAAAGGACCGCGATGCTATCAAGAAGTGGAGCAAGTACACGCATACACGCCTACTGCATCGCCGTTTTGCTGCGCGTTCTGGCGTGGATATCGCCAACACGCATTTGTGGCTGCAGACGATGACTCATGCCTCGTTCCAGAAGCCACAGATCGACGACGACGAGTTTATTGGCCACGACCCAAGCTATGAACGCATCGAGTTCCTTGGCGACTCTGTGTTGCAGCTCTTGTCGTCCGAGTTTCTCGTGGATGCCTTCCCGTACCACCAAGAGCACCTTCTCACGCAAGTGCGGTCCTCACTAGTGAAAAACAAGAAGCTAGCGATCGTCGCGCGTAATGCTGGCTACGAGGAATTTATCCGGTTGGGAAACGAAGTGAAGAAGAACGGCACTTTGTACGTGGAAGACGTGCTGGCAGACGTGTTCGAGGCCACCCTGGGTGCCGTGTATATGGAGAACCCTGGTGATCTAGGAAAGGTTCGGTCGATCCTGGACAAGTTGTTGTTCCCAAGACTTACGGAAGCTATTCGACGCCGGCAGTGGATGAACCCGCGCAAGGTGTTGAACCATTACGTGACGCAGTGGAGTCGCTCTAGCAATCGCCCGATCTCGTGTCAATTCAAGAACATCAAAGTGCCTGGCACAGTCAACGAAGCAGGCGTATTAGTGCCCAAGGATTCAGAGGAGGATGCCGCGACCAACAAAACCAAAAAGGTTAAGAAGGCAGAGCCGCCTAGGCATGCTGTGGCACTGTACGTGAACGGGTTCCAAGTGGCCCGCGCGATGGGGCGCACAATCACCGCTGCGCAAGACGTAGCGTGCATGCAAGCGCTCAAACTCTACGGCGTCAAACTGCACGAAGACTAAACTGAAGCCACCACAAGCTTCAGCCCTTAATGGAATGTAGTGACAGTACTATGAAGCTTTTTTGTTTTATTAGTAGTAGTTGCAGCCAAGTACATGCAGTTCGCACACTGAAATGGTACGAGTCTTGATGGTCTTGTGCTTGTTGCGTATCTGTATGACCTAACGTGAACTAACCCGCCCCCTCCAGTTGTGCCTAGCGTTTGGTCTCCTCCTCCTCGGCCGTCTTCGCCGCAGTCGGGGGTGGTCCAGGAGGGAGCGGCGGCTTCTTTCCGGGCGGCAGCGGGGGCGGCTTGGGCTTGGACGCGCCCTCGGGCGTGGGTGGCGGTCCGCGCGGCTCGCCGTCGCCCTTGCCGTCCCGCCGCGGCTGGTTCTTCTTCTGTCCGCCGAGCATCTTCATGGCCACGGGGTCGTTCTTGCCGTAGAACCGATCCTTGATGTTCTGCTTGGCCAGCGGGTCGTCCTTGTCGCGCGGCATCTCGTGCAGGTACGGGCACTCGTCGCCGCGGTTGCACTCTCCGCGCGCGTAGAACGAACACAGGTGCGCGCGGTTGCGCTTGTAGTACGGCTCGCGGCGAGCCATGCGCAGCAGCGCGCTGTTGGCCGAGCCAGACGTCTTGCCGTAGGCGGAGACGGCGCCCTCCTGCTCCAGCATGCGGCTGTGCTGCTGCGAGAACCACTCGCGGTTGGCGTCGCTCTCGGGCACGTTGACGGCCAGCTCGGCGCCGGCGCCCTCCTCCTTGGCCAGGATGGCGTCGCGCACCTGCACGGGCAGGTGGTACTGCAGGTCCAGCACGCAGGTCTGGCACACGTTCTTCATGCGCGCGCAGGTCTGGCACACCTCGGTCTTCTTGTAGCGCGCGCGCTTGCCCGGCTTCCAGCGGAAGACCGTGAAGGGCCGTGCGCAGACCTTGCAGGCGCAGCCGTACGCCTCCTTCATCATGCGCACGTACGGGTTCTCGCCCAGACAGCTCTCGCACAGCAGCGGGAACTCCTCCGACTCCCACGCCGTCTTGGTCGCGTCCGCCTTGATGGCGAAGCCGCGCTCCCCCATTGCTCTCTGTCTCCTATGGAGCTCCTCGACTTGGATAGGGCCTAAAATAGGGCTTCCCAGAAGTGGGATTCCAACTGCGAGGTTGCGATTCCAACTGCGAGGTTGCGCGCGTAGTATACTACGCGCAACAATTCCCCGAAGCGCGAACAGCGCTTGTATCGGGGGAATTGATGCGCACATACTTTATTCGGGTCAAATCCGTCGCAGAAACACGCGCACGCGTTTCCGCGCAATAGTACTTTGGCGGAAAAGTGCTATTCCCTCCAATGATGAATGCTATTTTCCAGCGGGGAGGGAATGTTACTTGTCAAACACCCGCGATTGGCTCAAAATGAAACGGGGCGCAATCGGACTTTGCCGAGAACACTCAACATACATACGCAATCGTGCTGGATGAGCCATCTGACAAGGTGCGGCCTGGAACGCAAGCAGCTTAGATCAGGTAGATGGCATCTGTGCTGCGGCGCTCGGGCGTGGCGCGGCTGGCCAATCGCCGGCTCACGCAGCTGCAGGGCGCGGACGCGGCGCGCTTCATCCAGGCGGTGCTGACCAACGACATGAAGCACGTGGCGCGCCGCGGCGACGCGCTGTACGGCGGCTTCCTGAGCACCAAGGGCCGAGTGGTGGGCGACTGCAACGTGCTGCAGCTGGCGGACGACGCGTTCCTGCTGGACTACGACGAGGACGTGGCCGAGGCGCTGACCAAGCACTGGAAGCGCTACAAGCTGCGCATGAAGGTCAAGATCGAGGACAAGACGGACGCCTACGCGCTCTACGCCACGGTGCCCGCCGCTGTGAGCGAGGCTGGCGCCGCGCTGTCGCCGGCGGAGAAGGTGCTGGACGAGATGCAGTCATTGAACGGTGGAGAGGAGACGGTGGTGTACGCTGACCCGCGTGGAGAGCACTTTGGCGTTAGAGCGATTGTCCCGATTGACTCGACGCGTAAGGGACAGCTACTTACCGGTAGAGGAAGGTACGATGCGCTATGCAATTGCTGACTGTTGTTGCTCTTGTTGTTGTTGATGTAGTGAGCTTGCCGGAGGGATACGAGACGATGGAGACATCTGCGTACTTGGATCACCGCATCGCGCTCGGAGTCGCGGAAGGGTGAGACCAAGATTTTTCTTGCTACTTCGTGTTGTCAGACGTGCTCGGACTGATCGTGTTACATCATTGTATGCTGCTAGCAAGGAGCTGGTGGATGGGATTCCGCTCGAGTGCAACCTCGACTTACTGAAGGGTGTGTCCTTCCGCAAGGGGTGCTATGTTGGCCAGGAGCTCACGGCTCGCACGCAGTTCAAGGGCAACATCCGCAAGCGGTTAGTGCCTGTCGCGCTGGTTCCGGCGGAACACCAGGATGTGGTTAAGACTCTGTCGGAGCTTGCGTTCAAGCCGTTCGATGCACCCTCCCATGGGGCGCTGCGAGAATACTTGGCGGACTCGAAGGGGTGGAAGGACGTCAAGGCGCCGGCAATCGGAGACAAGATTGTCGCCACAGGCGAGTCCAAAGCGGTTGGAACGATCTTCAACGTTGCGAAGGACGTGAGCAGCGCTATCGCCATGATGCGCCTCGGCCACCTTCTTCCATCGGAGTCGGAGGCTGGTGAGACTGTGCCCGCCATGAAGTTTTCGACGCAGGACGGTGCCTTCCACGCCGTGCCATATCAACCATCGTGGTGGCCTTCGCTGGACGTGAAGACAGGAAAGATGGTGCTGTCATGATACGCAGAATAGTGCCAAATGAGCAAGTACACACAGAATTACATGGCATCTTGCTTACTAAAGTACTTACTCGTATGTAGGTTGTTGTGATAGTTGCCCACCATATCAATTACGCCATCCACACAAATTGCCGGATACCTCGCAGCATTCTGCCTTTCAATTCCTGGAGACTGTCGAAATTCCTTAGATCGGACGCGTAGTGTGTCAATTCACCGAGCTTGAAGGTTTCTAGTAGCTTGCAGCTCATGCCAAGCTTTAATCAACTGGTAGTACTTCTCCAACACAAGGCCGTGCTGCACCATTGACGGTTTTACATTTTGGCACACCGTACGGCTATGATTGATGTATCCAGCACGGTATTTGATTGTTTTCAAAATTTGGTTGATACTGAAGTAGAGCTTCGAGAACACTTGGCAGACACAAGAATCCACAAGCCGCGGCGTTCAGTAAAGCGCACGCGTTAATAAAATGAAGGCCCCGCAAAGGAAATGATGGCGATCTCTTGCATTTCAACTTTTTCGCACAGGTGTTAATACCTATTGCAAACCATTCTGCCTTACTTCTGCTGCTTCTTCAGCCCGTGCTTGAGCACCGCCCCCGTGAGCTCTCCCACAAACGGGTTGACCATGGCGGGACCTTGCTGCAGCTTCCGCATACCGTTGACGACCTCTCGGGTCTTGGAGATGTAGAGTCCGTCGAGACTCGAGCGCATGTCGATCTCCATGTCCTCCACCATGCGGCCCATGTTAGACACGTGCGCGAACTGGTCCTCAAACGCCAGGGTGCGCTCCGCCTGCCGCGTGAGCGTGCCGTCCAATGTCAAGTCGCCCAGCTCGGGGCGGTTCACCTTCATGGACAGCAGCACGGACGTGGTGAGGCGGTACGTGGCGCGCTTGACTCCTTTGTCCAGCACGTCGCTGCCCTCCTGCACCTCGATCACGTGGATGGAGTTCCAGGAGCCCTTCTCCACGAAGCGCTGGTCCAGCACGTCCTTCTGCACGAGGAAGCAGGCGGCGAAGCCCGGCTCGAGGTCCCACATGTAGACGGAGGAGATGCCCCCCTGGTAGTAGAGCTCTCGGTACGAGTCGAAGATCTCGTTGGCCTGCACCTCGAGCTCGCGTAGCGTCTCCGACGGGTAGAAGCCTTCCCCCTCGGGGGCTGGGGGGTCGTACTGGTTGCTCCACGGGGAGCGGTACGAGTCCCCGTCGCGGTTGTAGTCGCAGAGCAGATACTTGCGGCCGTTGGTCGGGTCCACCGCCACCTGCAGCGGCTGGTCCACGCGCTGATACAGGTCGTCGGCCAGCGCAGGCAGTAGCCGCGTCAGGTTGTACACGTCCGTCTCCACCTCGCGCGGGGGCATGCGCCGCATGAGGTTCAGGCACGAAGTCATGCCGCCGTCGTCCGCCATGGCTGCCGGCTACCGGTATTGATTGTCCCCTTGTGTGAAGTGTATCTGATTGCATCAGATCGGCTGCGATTGGGTGGAATTCTTCCAACTTCGTACACGACTTCGCCGCTACGTTCAAAGTCAACTATCCTGCCGCCTCCAAGAACGAAGAGACAAGATTTGTGAGCGTGGCGAACGCTGGCATGAGCAACGAAATCAACAACTTGGTACCGACGGCACGACCTAGCGTGTTTGGTGTCAAGCTCTTTACCTTACTGCATATAATGCATATGACCTGGACAGCTCTGGTGACGCAGTCTCTGCGACTGTGTGATCCGTGCTGTCATGTATGGGCGACTACCGCGGGCGCGTGTTGTTCCAACATGCGATCCGTAGGCGAGGCTGCAGCAGCGCGCAGTATCGGGTGCAGTTAGCCGACTAAACCGCAATAAATTTAAATTTAAATTTAAATCGCCAGCTACGCCGTGGGCGTGTACGACCGCAAGACCAAGGTGCGGCTTTGCAATGTAAACCAGATCTACGTCATGCAGCAGGCCACCAAGAACGCGTCCGAGAACGTGGACGACAACCGCGGCGAGGACAAGAGCTTCATGGAGCAGCGCCGCGCAAGCAGAGCAAGCGCATCCAGAAGAGCCGCGAGGAGAACATCGTGGACCTCGAGCACATCAGCGGTGCCGCCTCCGTCACGCCGCAGACGCTGCAGAAGAAGATCTCGGCCGCCAAGAAGCAGCTCGAGGACGAGAGAAGTAGTCAAAGGAATGTTCGATCTCGAGCTTCGAAGCTGGCTTCATCTTTGGACGGTTTTCTGCTTGAAGCGGCGTCGCCGTTTGTTATACTTGGGTTTTGTATGTGTCTTGTTGAAGTTGCAGTGAGCATCACATGTCAAGTGCATGGCACCAGTTGCCTCAGAGGCTCAGCCTCTTGCCCTTATCACGGACGCGAGTCTGTGATCTATAGCAGTTGTAGTTGCTGAGATCCATTTATAACCGTCCTAGGTATTCTTGCCTTGTGGGTATCGCTGCAGCACTCTAAGGCCTGTTCATTCTGCATTTCGCCTCAAGCACACCAAGCCAAGTCCCCAAGCACCACCTCATCGTCAACAATGGGCCGCAAGGACAAGAAGCAGCAACAGGCCAAGGAGGAGCAGAAGCCCGCCGCCGAGAAGAACGCCGGCAACGCCAAGGGAGGCAATAAGGAGCAGCCCGCCAAGGAGGGTACGTTCAGTTCTTTCACTTTGACGCTAGTGCAAACTGTGTTTTGTGTTTTTGAGCCTGGAATTTCCTGTCGATATGGTCTGCTCTGTCACTTACAGAGAAGCAGAAGGGCGGCAAGAAGGGCAAGAAGTAATCTAAGTTTGCCGCTGCAATATCGCGTTTGCGATAACGAGCCATCACCATCCCACACTATAGCCTATAATGCCACAAGCAACATAAAATATCATCAGGATGGCTTTGGCTCTTTCACTCCTCACTCCAAAAAGTTGTAGGCGTCTTCGTTCTGGCAAAAACCAAGCTGGAGTACAAAAATGCGCACTGCAAGAGCCGTCGGCAGTACACGAACCTTGTCAGTTGATGCTTGTGCAGCGGCTCGCAGAGCGTAAACCCCACCTGGCCAGCGGCCCTCACTACAGTACCACGTCTTAGTGCTCACGATTGCATACAACCTTTCCTTCATTGCCTCTGTTCACTTAGCGTTAGTGTTAATGCTGCTGGCCGCTTAAAAGAAGGCGTTGTTCGAGCCGAATGGCTGCGAGAACCCGCCGCCACCACGATTGTTTCGCCCGCCCCCAAAGCCGAAACCAGGGTCCATATCGTCGTCACGCGGCATGCGCATGTGGTCAGGTCCAGGTCCTCCAAATGGCATCGTAGGTGCTGGGCCACGCGGAGGTGGCCGAATGCCGCTGGGGCCGAGAGGGTCGATCGGGGGTCCGAAGGGATCAAAGCGCGCACCAGGCACAGGTCCAGCGGATGGGTCACCGCGACGACCAAAGAGAGGATGGTCAGGTCCGACCAGCATATCCGGGTTACCTCCTCCAAGACCTGGCGGAAATGCGTCTCCTCCGCCCACCTACACGCAATACCGCGCAAAAGGTTAGCGCCACCCTAGATGCAGCAGCATATTTCAAAAGCGTACCGGCGGAATGACGACAGGCGACGGAACACCGTTACCTCGGACGACTCGGTCAGGCGGGCGCACGAAGCCTGGGCTGGTATTAGCTGCATCAGTCGCTTGGCTGGAGCTGCTGGACGCGTCGAACGTATCCAACGCCGCCAGCATGTGCGTCTGTGTCAATGGCACAAGGAGTTCTCAATGAGTTCTGCTCGAATTGAGGGGACGCTAGCACAGCAGAGAGGTCATGTGGTGGCGTCAGTATTTACCTTGAGTGCCTCGTTCGAGACGCATTTGATCGCAGCGCGGAGCTGCGCCTGGTCCCGTTGGAGCTGCTCGTCGGCCATGCTTCTTCTGGGTGAAAACAGGAAACGGACAAAATGGGACCGACAGACCCATTTCGCAAAAATGGGTCGCTCTCTCTAACTGTCGGCCGAAAACTTCGTCGTCTGTTTAAACACCGTGTCGGAAAGACTGCGCCTGTTTGCTCACAGCAAGACAATAGCAAGCTGCAGTCTTTCCAACACACCACTTAATGTGGGACACGAAGTTTTGGACCGACAGTTAGAGAGCATTCCGACAGTTTATTTTGGACCGACAGTTGAAGAGCATTCCGATAGTTTATTTTGGACCGACAGTTGAAGAGCATTGGACCGACAGTTTGAGAGCGTTTTGTACAAAAAAAACAGAGCGACAATGCCCGAGGCTGTCACCGCCGCGCCATCCGTCGCCACGCTCGTGGCGAGCATCACGGACGCTATTCAGAGTGACGACATTGTCCGCATTGGCTCTCTCAAGGCGCTGGCAGAGCTATGCCGCGGGTCGCTGTCTTCTGACGACGTGCAGAAGCTGCAACAGTTGAAGAGCACTCTCCTGTCAGGACACGTTCAAGCCGCCGACAGCGACGACGCATCGGAGCTCCACGCAGCCAAGTGGCAATTGCTGGAGGCACTATTGCACGCAGATGAAGTTGAATTCCCAGCGTCGGAGCGAGATGTAGAGACGGTTTTGGGCGCGATGGTGGTGGATCGGTTCATGGCGAGCAACGTGCTGGCTGCGATGGCTCAGTGGCTGGTGCAGCTCAGCAGCAGCACTGAACAAAGAGCTCCACTTAATATCAACCTGCTGGACGTGAAGCTGTCGGGTGAAGAGCAGGAGGGGGCGTTCCTGGAGCTCGTGAAGCAGATATACGTGACGCTAGGTGGGGGCCTGCAGCTTCGACAGCAACTGGCAGCGACGTTGGAGAAGTTGGTGACTACGAAGGACCAAGCCAAACAGGTTGTCAAGGCAGGGATGCTCCGCAGTTTGCTGCAGATTGCGTTGGAAAGGTCCGAGGATGTTGCGCTTCTGCAGAACTTTATTGTGGTGGGGACACAAGTTGCGTCGTTGGTGTGCTTCGCTGCTGCTTCGGAGTCTGGAGGAGGAGGTAGCGCTCTGTCGGTGGATGAAAAGCGTCGGGCTGCCTGTGAACTCGTCGTGGCGTTGATGCTCAGTGGTGTATCGCTCGTGTTTGCCGACGGAGTACGCATGCTGCAGCTTTTGATCGACAACACGCCGTGTCGAGCCTTGTTACCAACGGTGTCTGACCTACGTGGTGCTTTGGAGAAGGCACATACGCTGGTGCGGCTGAAAGACAGTAAACTCACCGGTGATGAGTACTTGAAAGAGCTCTGTGAGGCGCAATACGCTCTACTTAGCCCCGAAATTGACGAGTACGAGCGGCAGAATGGCAGTGTAGTGGGCCTGCCTTCGGATGATGAGTCGCTTCGAGACGACAAGTCCGGGGAGAAAGCTCGAGAGACGGCTACGAAGTACAAAACGCAAGGCAACACGTTCTTCCGCCGCGGAAACTTCCCCACCGCTCGCGTATTCTATCGGCGTGCCATCGCTGTGCTCCGTGCTGCGCAACTACAACAAGAAACTGCACTGCGATCGCTTTCAGATGACGATCTATTAGCGCGCTGCAGCATTGGGGCCAGCATTCAGGTATGCTCTCGCCGAGGTGACGACTGGCTGGATGCCATGGTCTCGGACGTTGAGGAGAATGGTGCGGCGAGCCAAGTGGAGGTGCTGTACGATGATGGTGACCGAGAGGACGAGTGGGTTCCGATCTCCCGAGTTCGCTTGCGTATGAACACTACACTACTGACCGCATTTGACGACCTCGAGGTGGACTGCTCGATGAACATGGGGAAGGCCTATGCTGCATTGGGTGATCACGACCAAGCCGTACAATGCTTCTCTCACGCACTTACGATCCGCAGTGGGAAGCTGATTGCAGCGCTGTACTCTCGCGGAGTAGCAAACATGGCGCGCCGTGACCTCACAGCAGCACAACAAGATCTCTGGGATGCTAGTCAGCAGTGTCGGGCGCAGCAGAAGAGCAGCACTAGCGGTGGTACGAGCAAAATCAACGCTCGAGACGCAGAGCAGATGCGAGCGCTGCACAAGCAGATCGTGGCTGCCTACAAGAAGCTCCAGCAGATGCATGCCAACAAGAAGCGCCTGGACAAGAAGGTCATCAAGCAAATGGTGAAGTATCTGTCCACTATCCCAGCTCTCCAAGACGAGTAAGCTTATTAAACGAATTAACGAGCAAGTAAGTTGTATTTCGGTGAATTCATTTTTGAGTGGAACATGTAGGTGGTGTGTGACGCAAAGCCTGGTGACAGGAAGCTGGAGTTGTGTGTATCTCTCTGAGGTGTAGAGATTGATTGCATAGGCGGTTTGCCGGTGCTTGAGTGGGTTGTAAGTCTATGCGGGGCCAACGCGAATGCCCTTGGTAGATTGCTCGTAGGCGCATGTTTCCATGAGAATACGCTGAGCCTTGGGGTGCTCAATGAAAGTTTGCAGCTCGGAAATCGCGCGTTCGACGTGACCCTCGTGGTTGTTCAGATATGCATATTCCTCTGCAATATGCTGGTAGCGACGAGTGATCTCCGTCATCTGCAGCAATGCCAACAGTACAGCAAAACGTCAGATAACCCCATCGTCAGCAGCAACTTTGACACTAATCGTACCCTCGCTTTGGACGGTGTGCGGTAGAATGCCTCCTTCTGTGCATCTATTTCTGCAAACGCCTTGGCTAATGGATCGGCCTGCTGCTGTTCCATCGGTTCGTCTTCATCGCCACGCAAGAACCGGGACCAAGAGGTTGCAACCTTCCCAAGTCTGCCAATGAACTTGGTCGACATCTCCTTGGCCTTCTCCGTCTGCTCGGCGCTCAAGAACGGCAGCAACTGCGCCGCCGATCCCGCCACCCCCGCTCCACTTGACTGGTCCCGCCCTCTCTTGCCGCTGGTCTCGCTGATCATCACTCGCAAGTCCTTGACAATCTCGTCCGTGTACTGGCTCAAGAACGTCCGGCAGGGCAGCGACCGGTCCTTGAAAAACAACGTCAGCGACTTGCCTCGCTGCGGAGTGATGCGCACCACATCGCGCAGCGAGATCAAGTCCCCGACGTACACGTACTCGTCATCTTTCTTCGCGCCCGCCTCCTTCGACGGCATCAGCAGCGCGATGTTCCCGGACTGCAACAACATGGGCGTCTGCTTCAACGTGGACGTCGTCGGGTCCACCTCCTGACATGGGTATACTGCTCCACGCACGTCTCGTTTGCGCATCCTCATGGGCTTCTTGCCCTTGTTGTGGCCAGGAGGATGCCTGGCACCTTGGTCCTGACTCGTCGGAGACTTGGTCGGCGTCGGGTCGCACTGCTGCACCAATTGGAAGAGCTCGTGCATGAGCATTGGCAGCGTCGTGGACGGACTCCAGTGCTGCAACAAGGGCAACTTCAGCCAGAAACTGGGCTCTTCTCCTTCAGCTTTGGGCGTTCTGCGCTCGCGCAGCTCCGTCGGGAGGTAGATGGCTCCACGGCGAATCTCCACCTCCGGGGCTAGGAATGGGTACTGCGCCTGGCCGTCCGCGAGCTGCTCGTCGGAGAAGGGCATGCGCACGACCAGATCCGTGAGCGGCACCAGCGAGAGCGCGTCCGAGCCGGCCACGAAGGGCACGAAGCAGTGGAACTCGCCCTCGCACACGCCGCGGCGCTCCGACACCTGCGCGCGTCGCAGCGTGGCCCCGCGGGGCAGCGCGTCCGACGCGCGGCACTTCTCCAGCTCGCGGTGCACGCGACTGGACCATATTTGGCGCTGTCGCGACGCGGAGGAAGACGAAGAGGAGGAGGACGACGAGCTTGGTGACGACTCCATTATTGCCCCCGGATTAAAGATGAAGTGAGGGGGATAGTACGTTGCAGCGTTGTGATTGGTCAGAAGTTTGGAATAGAGACAGGGGATTGGATAAAAATAGGAGGTGATCCGGCGGTGCAATGTTGGACTCGCTGAAGTTCTGCTGCATGCATCACTTTTGGCATGCCACCTGCTGGAGTAGGGATCAACTGCGTATGATGTCTCTATGCTGCCACCAGAGGAACAGGAAAAGATGCAGCGCAGTTGAATTGAAAAATACGCCAAGCTGAAACATTGGAGACCGACTATAGACAGACAGACACAACGTTCCGCCTTGTCCCGCAGCTGCCTCCACCTCGATCACTTGCACTGCACCTTGCACCTTGCACCCTATCTACCCAGCTGCGCGCAACCGTCTAAGCTTAGTTGTTCTTGGACTTCTTCTTGCTCTTCTCCTCCTCGTCCTTGTTGTCGAGGCCCTTGAAGAGCGTGGTCTTGTCGTTGCGCAGGTGGTTGAGCTCGTCGATGATGGACTTGAGCAGGTCGTTCTTGTCGTCCATCTTGAGGCGGCCGTTGTTCATCATGGAAAGCTTCATGATCTCCAGCGCCTCCTTGTCCGGGTGGTCGGCGGGGATCTCCACGTCCATCTCGGGCAGCTTGACGTCGTTGATGTTGCCCGTGTGGCCCATGCGGGCGAAGGACTCCTTCAGGATCTTGTCCAGCTTCTCTCCGCTCGGCGGCTCGCTCGGGATGTTGAGCAGGTCCGAGAACAGGTCCGTGCCCGTGGTGGCGGGCCACGACTTGTCCTCCATCATGGCGGCGGGCTCCTCCCACTCGCGGTGGAAATCCTGGCTGTCCACGTTGTCCGGGTTGAACTCCCGGTAGCCGCGCTCGCCCGTCGTCTCCATGTACTCGCGGTACGGGTCGTACAGGTCGCCCGTGTCCTCGTCCGCGGCCTTGGGCTCGTAGTCCTCCGGGTTGCGGCGCCGGCGGCCGCGGAACGAGTCGTCGTCTTCGTCGTTGCGGCGCGTGCGGAACGCGAAGCTGCGCGCGCCCTGCACGGTCTGAAGCTGCGGCACGCGGCCCACGCGCTTGGCGGCGGTCCGCACGAGCGCCAGCACCATCACCATTGCTGTGCTATAACGGAGCGTGTATGTGTCTGTGTGCCAGCCATCAGGAGCCTCTCGTTTGGAGACATGGTGTGGCATACGTGAATTAGTGTGACATTACATAGAAACAGTGCGATCATTGCAGAACGTGACGGTTGAAGGCAACTTCAAGATGTGGAGCGTGGGGGTGCACGGACGCTGCAGTGCGTTCCGGGAGCAGCAGAGACTTGTATTTGCTATAGGAGGGGGTGTCAGTGATGCTGATGAAGCAGGCGAGGCAATGCGACGGCAATTGCTGCTGGAGATGATGACGCAGGCGAACTGCAGGGCGGTGATGGTCGACAGGCTGGAGGACGGAGCAGCGTTGAGTGCTGTACGCCTGGCGCTTCAGCAGGCGTGCGCGGAGGACGCGCTGCTGTCCAGGACGCACTTTGCTGTGGTGGCTTCAACGCCAACAGATTGCGGACTGGAGGAAATGGCCGCGCGCGTGGAGCAGGCGCTCGTGACACTGCAGCTCCAGCAGCTGGACGTCTTGTTGCTCCGAGCGCAGTCGCTCCCGGGGTCCAGCGGCATCCACGCCCGCAAGCAAACCGTTCTGGAGGCGTGGGAGCACATGCTGGCAATCCAGCAAGCAGGACTGGCGCGACACATCGGCGTGAGCGACTTGAGCGTCCAAGACGTCGACTTCCTGCTCACAGCGTACCCGGACAATCCACCGGAAGCTTGGTCGATGATGGTCCAGCTGCCAGGAAAGACGTCCGACTTCTTGGGACTTGATGCTCCACTCGAAGACATCACTGCATTCGCTCACGCGCACGCTATTGATGTGATAGTACGGCTCCCCATCCACAGCCTTGACAGTCTTGAGCCGCAAGAGTTGCGTGATGACTGGGATACGCTGACTCACGATCTGTCCGAGCGCTATCGCGAGCGGCCATTCAAATTCCTGGTAGCTCACGAGAACGAAGGCAAAGCAGCTTCGTATCACATGGACTCACACGCTCTCGGTGACGGCGCCAAGGTGTTGCAGACCCCGCTGCAGATTGTTGTGCGCTACTTGCTCCAAAAGGGTCTTGTCGTTATTCCGCAAGGAGTCGATGGCTTGCAGTGTGACGATCAAGACCTGGAGGCCGAGGAGCACGCACTTCGCGAGGTCTTCGGTCCCCTCGCTCATCCATTCACAGCGATTCATCCATCGTGCTCCCCACACAAAGTCTATTCCAGCGTGTTGACGCGCGATGACCTCGCTGCGATCGATCGCGCGCTGTCGTTCCCCCTCCCGACCCCACCGCGCACACCTATTAGTACAACTTGAAGAAGTCGACCCGGATCCAGACAAGAGCGACGAATGAACTTGCCGGCGGTGGTTAGTCGACCGCCAACTGCTGATTGATTTGAGTCGCGACTCGACGTTTTACATGTGCCATTTTTTCTTCATCGTTCGTTCTCTTCTCTCAAAGGTCCCCGTTAGCGTTCTTGTGTTGTGTGTTTTGAGCTCGAATCATCGAGCTAAGCTGTCATAAGACGATCAAGGCGCTGCTGCTCTCGCGTCATCACCTCCTCGCGGAAGTATGCAGCCAAGAACTTGTTGCTGCTCAAGAAGCTGCGAAAGGTTTCGCCACCAATCTCCACCACCTTCGCAGGCTGCGTACACCGCACACTTGAGTGACGAGTAACAATCTTGCAGGCTCGGGTTTGCCCTGATACCCCCAGCGGGAAGTAGTCACCCGGGTGCAGCTCCTCCACAACGACCCCTTCGTTCGCTTTCAGCACTTCGACCTGTCCGTCCAGAAGGATGAAGACCGAATCGCAAGGCTCACCTTCCTTGTAAATAAAATCGCCGGTGTCAAACGTGCGCATCTTCACAGAACCCTTGGCTGCCTCCACGCACTTGATAAGATGTTGCCTAATATGGCGGTGCGCAGTTTTCTCGAGGCGATCGTTGATCGACTCGTACGTCCCCTTCAAGTTCAGGTAGTCGTCCGCCACAAGCTGCAGAACTTTGCATGGCGTGTTGCTCTCTTCAGCACAGCGGTAGGTGGCGATACGCGGCAGAAAGCGTCCATCAGGGCGGACCAGCTCGATCTCACCGAAAAAAGTTCCCTTGGGCAACCGCCTCAACTTCATCTCCTCAAGTCCAGAAGTGGTAGGTCGAGTTTGAATAAACCCCGGCCACGACGGATGTGAGGGACGTGACACTAGTCCAGCAAATCCTTCAGACTGCTCGAATGCCGACGAACTGGTAATCGGGGCGCCTTCGCCTGCCTCATCCGACGGCATGGACTTTTTGATCGGGTTCTTACAAGAAACCTCAACCTCGCCATCCAAGAGCAAGTACACGTTGTGTGCGCCAGCGTGACCTTCACGGATAATAGCTTCGCCAGGACGGAACGTAGCCGACCGCAGTGTGGAAATCGTCATCTTCACGTTGTCATAGTCGACAGCTTCTAATGACGATGCGTTCTGCTCTGGGTCACCAGTTGCTCCGACAAGCATCTCGTTGAGCTCGTTGTCACTCATATGCTTGCCCAAGCTTTCGCTGACACGAGCGAGGTCCTTCTTGGAGATAAAGCCCTTTCCCTCCTTGTCGAAGAAATGCAGCGTGGAGAGCAACGCGTTCGTCTTTTCGTTCAATGCTTCGACGCTTGAACTGAGCCCCCAGGCGAAACTGCGTTTCACATTTTCCAACTCGTCATTGTCTTCCTCGTCCAGGTTGTCCGCCATTGCATCAAGCAGAAGAACAGCGAGAATACTGGCACGCAGGCGACGGCGACCGCGCTGGAATTTTTCCAAGAGCTCCGCTGAATTTTTCATCGGCTCGCGACTGAGTTGCGCTTGGTTACGCAGCCACGGGTGTTGAAGCGCTTGCTCCGCGCTGAGTCGCTTGTTAGGGTCCGTCTCCAGCAGCTTCTGGATCAGATCACGTGCAGACGGCGAAATCGACTGCCACGCTCGAGACTGTGTGCGGAACTTGCCCTTCAGAATTCTTTTACGGATCTGTAAAACACACACAAGCGACATCAGCAACATACAACTGACTCAACGCAAAGCCTCAGTCTGCAACTTACCTCTTCATCGGACAAGTTGTTATACGTGTCGAACGGATGTGCGCCGCACAGCAGAATGTACAACACAATTCCGAGTGCAAACATGTCGGCTTTGGGTCCGAACTTAATGGCATCCGGTCCAGCTTGGGTATCGAGGTCCTCGTCCTCGTTCTCATCAATCTGCACTTTTTCCCCATTGGCTCTTGCCTGTCGAAGTGCATCCCTGGTATTCCTCCTGTGAATCAACGCACCGTGTTCCAGCGTCTCGGGTGCTGCATATGCCACCGTGCCCATCAAATGCGAGTCGTAGAAAAATCTTTCCCCCATTCGAAACGACACGCCAAAGTCCACGAGACACATGCGGCCATTGTGCAGCAGAACGTTCTCGGGCTTGATATCCCCATGCACGATGCCCTTGCGGTGCAAGTACTGCAGCGCGTCACACAGCTGTCGGATGGTGTTGCTCGCCTGTTGCTCGGAGTACGCTCCATTGGCAATCAAATGGTCGAAGAGCTCTCCGTCCTGCGCCAGCTCCTGCACAATAAACCAGCAGTATTCGGTCTCGTACGTGCCTCTAAGCTGCAGGATGTTCGGGTGCTGTCCGGCCACACGCAGCACGTCCACCTCGCTCCAGAACTCTCGGGCGGACGTCTCGCTCTTGCTCAGCATCTTGACGGCCACCAGCTCGCCCGTGCGCTTGTCCACGCCCTTCTGCACCACGCAGTAGCCTCCCTCGCCCACCACCTCGTCCAGGATGTCGTACTCGTCGTGGATGTTGCCCCCGCGTCTGATGGTCGGAGCGTTGGCGCCTTCCATGGCGGCGTCCGGTTCCGACGCGTGGGCGAGCACCAAAGCCCCCGCCGCGGCGCTCAGAGCCGCGACTTGCTGCCACCCGTTGGCTGCACTACTGCTGCCATTGTTGCAACTACTTGAGGCCTGTACACAGCGCTGAAAGCCGCGCGCACCGCTGCGCAATGGCTGTCGGGGTGCTGTCGACGCTGCTGTTCCACGACCGTCGGCCACCAGACGCCAGAGCCGCGAGCGTCGAGATCGGAGCGCCATGAGAGTCGGAAGGCGCGGGGAGGGCTGCGGCATTAGCGGCGACCCAAGGGAGGAGAGGGGGGAGGAGAGCGGAGAGAGTTAGAGCTAGCACGCCCTGGTGTCGGTCGACTCTCGGTCGGTCGGTCCTCTGAAGGGAAAAGCTCCGATTTGGTGGTGCCGAGTTGAGAACGACGGGTGGCCGCGATTTGAGGCGGCTAAATCGGACTGGTAATACGGGGTTTATGGCGATGACACCTTCAATCTGCGCCTGTTTCGTCGGCGGTGTCGGACAGGGGAGTGTACCCAATGGGTACTACCCATCACTGGGCGCGAGGCTTGGCCAAGTGCTCGTGGGGACTGTGAAGCCGAAGGCACGCGTCGAGTTCCAAGCTAGAGTTCCTCCAGGTCACGTGTGGCTGATAGAGCTGAGCTGCCAGTGCTGAGGTCCTGCTGAAAGGCGTTGAGACACGGCGGCAAAAGTTGGTGTCGCCTCCCCAAGTCTAGTTGCCAAGGCTGACGGCCGACGCGCCGGACGCGGCGGCAGGATAGTGGCGGGATGCCGGTGTCTGCAACTGACCCCAAGCTCATCCTCGCGACGTTGGACGTCCGCAGGGTATTGATCGGGCGGACCCCCATCTCCGGTGGGCCGCATGCCGTGCACTGTGCAGTCTGCAGGATCTGCGGCAGTGCTCGACTGCGAATCGCATCGCAGTCTGCGATGCGATCTATCGCTGCTATCCACCGCAGAACATGAGCGCCGTCGCATTCAACGCCAAATGCTGTCGACGAGACCGAGCCCATCGCTTAGCGTACGGAACGCTGTACATCTGAATGTTTTCGCTGGTCGCAGGCAGCACATGTACATATATATGTATGTGCGCCGTCACTGTTGCAGTCCCCAAGCGAGTCCAGTGTCGCTACCCACCACTTGCACCGGCGGCAGAATACTTGATCCGTTGCTACCCAATCGCTGCCGCTTCGGAACCCCACGACAAGCTTGTCAACAAGACGTCGGTCTCACTTCAACCAAGAGCACTCGGATAGCGCTGCTTCCATCCTCCACCAGAGGAATCCTCTGAGGATGCATGGGATCCATTCTGACACGGACGTCGTCTCCGTCAACTGCGCCACGCTGGACTTGTACTGTACGTAGCGGAAGACTGGAGAGCTCTGTTAAATGATCCGACTTGAGGCGGTCGCGGTCCAGACGCCAACCATATGGCCGTGACGGTGCCGACAGCGGCCTACACCTGCCGACACAATCTATCATTGGTTGAAAGCCTGAATTTCTTTGATTGGTCTAAAACGGCTATTTTGAACTCTTCTCGCATTTTCATTTCGTGGTGAAGGTCATAATGGCGGCGCTCCTGAGCGCCCCGTGACCTGCGCTACGCCCTCCCCTCCAGGCTTCGCGTGCGTGTCATGCGGGCGTGCACAGGCGTGAGCAGGTCCCCCAATTCGGTTCGTGGCAAGCCCGGCACGTCGGCGTGCTCAGCCTGTGCCCTCGGAGCCAGTCAAGAGCGAGGAGGACCAGGGCACCCAGGACACAAGGGCGAGGGGCAGCAGGCACCGGGGGGGGCACCAAGAGCGCGGGGGAAGGCGGCGAGGAGCTCAAGAGTACGAAGGACATCTGTGGCTCCACGGGCACGACGGACGGACGGGCGTCGTCGTCGTCGTTGGCGGCGGCGGCGGCGGTGGTGGAGGTGGTGGCCGAGGAGGGGGAGGAGGAGGAAGAGGAGGAGGAGGAGGTGGAGAGAGTGAGGCAGGCCACGATGACGCTGCAGAAAGGAGGGAGGTCGAGCAGGAGTCGAAGAGGGGAGGCAGAGCGAGCGGCAGTGGAGGAGGAGGTCGTGCAATGCGTCAAGGAGCGTGGCGGTCACCGCTGAGGCAGCCGTGGAGGAGAGGGGATACGACGGAGCGGCTGCCGCGTATTGTAAGGAGAAGGAGGGTGCGGCGGAGCTGAAGGAACGAGAGGGCACGGCTGAGGTGAGCGCGCGGCGTACTCGAGTCGTCAAGCCTGCTGGCATCCGTGGACAAGGGAGAGTGACTGCAGTAGAGGGCGAGGGCGGCGGGGACGAAGGCGCAGTTTGCGGTTGAAGAGCGAGTGGCCTGCGGCGAGGACACAAGGAAGCGTGCGAGGAGCTGGTGCGTCTCGTGGCGCCGCAGCTGGTCATGCAGAGCTGCCACTGCGTGCGGGTGCATTGTGTACGGTTGGCTGGGTGGCATGTTGCTGGGACCTGCCCCGATGCCCTCCTAGCTGGAGTTAAACCGTTAATACTAATTAAGTATCTATTTATTCAAGTGTTCCATTGCGTCACCTCCTCCTACATGTACATCTTCACGATAAGAAACTTGCAAATACTACTTATCGCATGCCTTGCCGTTCTGCTAACATGTAGTACTAGTGCTTAGTAGTGGTAAGTTCATGAAAGGGCATCGCCACGGAAACTCGGTTGAGTTTGAGAAGCTAGCGGAAGCGCCACTGCGTAAAGCAGTCAAATTCAAGCTATACAAACTTTAAGTAAAGTGTCGGCACCGTGCAAAATATGTGTATAATCACCTAATCACTTAACTTCACTATAGGTGGATAACATATCTCGACAGCCCTGCCTACATTATACGTCGGCAGGAGTGTCGGCGGCTCATACACCTACCCCTAACGTTGATGATTGGATAAAATACCATCTATCGCCCTTCTCATTCGATAATAATCGGTCATCGCCATTTGATTGGACCATGGCCACCATACAGTGGCTAAGTATAAAATCATATGTGTCGGCACCGTCACGATATTTATCCATATGGGGAGGAGGTTCAGACTAGTCTATTCAACTTATGTTATGAGAGTGTCTGGAATGTCCTAAGCCAGGTGATCAGCGCCGGTACCTGAGATGATCCCGGTGGCTGTACGTGGCTCGCCTCTGATCGAGGTGCCTCTCTTGGTGTCCGCTGGAAGAGATCCAAACAGATAAGTAATCTTGTGCCTTGAACTATTGTCCTTGGATTTCCGCGTTCCCTACGTGCTAGTGCTCGTAGTTGCCGGAGTCCAGCCTGTTGGAATGCTGCGACGCTGCTTGCAATGGTAACCTGGCCCCCATTGTGAACCACTTGGTTTCGTTGGGTCCATAGGACTGTCATGCATACTGTGCTCATAACCCACCATATCCGTTTCCATTCACGCGCGTAGTCGTCGGTCTGATCGGGAAACGCGCTGCTAAATCGACGACGCAGGTCTGTTGTAAACGGTGGTGATACTCGAGACGCGCAATTCGCCGTATACCGAAGAAGCTGCTGGCCATCACACCTTCGTCTACCCCAGCAGCTGATAAGATATTTCCAGCATGCTTGGGCGCACGGATATTTATCCATATGGCCGTGACGCGTCCAGTTCGACCAGTGGACGACCTACACTTGATTCCGTGCGGTCTCAGCAAGAGGCGAACTTCGAGGTCCTCGAATCCTCGAACCGAACCGAGCCGAGCTCACTTCCGAATCGACAGCCTCTCGCCGAGGGACGCGGGCGAAGCGGCGAGCAGCGAGCAGCTCCAGCATGACGGCCATCGAGAGCCCGCAGGTCGGCGTCGGCGCCTACGACCAATCTCTGTCGACGCCCAATCGCCTCGAGAGGTGGGAAATGTGTGGTCAGGTATCTCCCCCCAATGCGCTGGACGCTTAGTCAGATGAAAATGGATGGCGCTCGCTTGCTGCAGGCTGCGCGACCACTCGACCGTGAGCGTCGTGAGCTCCATGGGCCCCGATGAGAAGGGGGAGCACGCGTCGGTGCAGTGGCGACCGTCGGCGTTGGCCACGATGAAGGAGGACCCGCGACGACAGCTCACGGTCTTGGGCATTGTCGGGCTCTGCTACTTCTCCGTGTGCGGTGGACCCATCGGATCCGAGCCAATCATCTCCGGTACGTGAGGTTGATAATGCTAAGGCTGCTGTGTGTGAGAGGATATAGCTAACATTCTGTCGTGTAGCTGGTGGTCCGCTGCTTGGACTTATCATGCTGCTGCTGTTCCCGGTGATCCTAGGCCTCCCGATTGCCTACGTCACGGCGGAGCTCAGCACTGCGTACCCGGAAGACGGAGGCTACACGGTGTGGGTGCTCAACGCCTTCGGTCCGTTCTGGGGGTTCCAAACGGGCTACTGGGCCTGGATCTCGGGTGTGATCGACAACGCGCTGTACCCGGGACTCGCCGTGTCGACGTTCACGGAGGTCTATGGAGATATCGGCTCTCCGACGGCCGAGTACTTTATCAAGGCGGTGATTGCCGTGGCCCTGACGCTGCCAAACCTGCTCGGCATTCGCGTTGTGGGCAACGGGATGGTTGTCTTGTCCACCTTTGTCATGGTCCCGTTCATCGTGCTCTTCGTCTGGGGACTCGTGAGTGGACACGACTGGAGCGCGCTGGGAGAAGTTCGTCGCTCTGATATTGTGTACGACGCCAACGGAGACTTTGTGAGCATGACCGGCAGTCTGGACGTACGTATCTGTAGCTGACCCAAACTCGCGTATTCTGGTTATGAAGCTTGACTAACTTGTACCTCCTTACGATGCCACAGATTGACTGGTCGACCTTGATCAACACGCTCTTCTGGAATTTCAACGGGGCAGTCGGAATGTCGGTGTTTGGTGGCGAAGTGAGCGATCCGGGACGCGCCTACCCGCGCGCGATGCTGGTGTCGGTGCTTCTCATCGCTCTCACGTACATCATCCCGCTGTTTGGCGCCACGGTGTTCAACTCGCCGAACTGGACGACGTGGGACGACGGATCGTTCTCGGCCATTGCGTCGGCTATTGGCGGCACATTCCTCTCGACTTGGATCATGCTGGCTTCGTTCGCTAGCAACTCGGGCATGTACATCGCGGAGCTGTTCACCGACTCGTTCCAGATCATGGGAATGGCGCAGAACAACCTTGCACCAGCCTTCCTCCAGGCGTAAGTTGTGTTTTAACTGTACTGTTGTGTGGTATTGATGAGACTGACAGCATAATACGGATGGTATCTTGCAGTCGCAACAAGAGGTTCAACACGCCTCACAACGCCGTCTTTGCCAGCCTCGTGGTCATCCTTGTGCTCATCAAGTTCGACTTCGACGACATCGTCAACATGACCAACGCGCTGTCGGCTTTCTACCAGATCCTCATCTTCGCCGCCTTCATCAAGTTGCGCTACACGCACGCAGACCTCAAGCGCCCGTACAAAGGTACGCTCTCGCCGCACATTGTATTGAGCTACTTGTTGGAATATCTGCCTTGCTAACATTGGCGTTTGTGGTGGTGTGTGCAGTGCCTGGTAGCATCCCGATGCTTCTGCTCGGCCTTTTGATCCCGACGGCTTTACTCGTCTACATTGCGGTGGACGTCTTCTTCACGCTGGTGCCTGCGCTGATTGTGCTGGGCGTGACCTTGGCAGGCTTCCTGTACGCTCGCTGGAAGAAGTTCACGCGTGCGCAGTTCGGAGACCTGAGCTTGGAGGGATAGTGAACTGCCCCGCGAAGCTAATGAATCTATCAGTAAGTACAAATATTGCAAGCAAAAATCAACGCCTTGACTTCCATCATTTCAACTCAGAGTTTATATCAACTTCAACAACGAGTGATGGTCACTTCAAGTTGAACATGGGATTGCACTGTGCAACTTGGGGCCCAAGTGCACCATGCACAGTGTCCGCCGTCTCGAAGCACTACAGTAAAGTGCGTCGATAAGGAACGGGCGACGTTTTATATTCTACGACAAGACACGAATCCTCGCTTGTACCCATTGAGTGCCAAATGTACTGAATTAGTTATATGATTCTACCAATCATTCGGTCCCGTTTAACATTCCGCCAATCACAGTTCCGAAACCGAGCCTCAAGAGGAATCTAAAGGTCGCGAGAGGGAATCATGAGGATCGCTGTAAGCGCCGGAATTCTCCGTCCTCTAACCGAGAATCCTTTCTGTCGGTCATCGCGTCACGCTTTCCGCCCCTACAGCCTAGACCTGTCAATTAGACTACGCTACCGCGGCCTTATTGCATACATTATTCACTCATCAAGTCGACTCGCACTGGCTTTTAAACTATTTACGAAATTACAAAACTAGACACAATCACGCTAAAAATCGTACTTACGCGGAAATAATCGGACTTTAACGGGTGTGATTATCACATCCCCCATTTTGAAAGTTGGCGCGTGGCGTACGGGAGTGAGCAGCGGAGTGCAGCGGCAGCGGACACTGCTACAGTGAGTACATGCATACATCTACATAAATAAACTACTTTGCGGTTTCGGGAGTTCCGCCTGTTGGGATAACTGGTACCTTCAGGGCAGTCGATGGATTACAGTACGGAATTAGGGGTAGACTGGTGCTTATTAGGCGTTCATCTTCTAATACACCAAGAATGTGTGCGAACGACGCATTTAGACCACCTAACGCTGCACATAGATGAACTGATAAACAGCACGCGGCGTGGTGTAGCTGGCAATCGTGCTGTATTCATTTGCAGGAATCAAGCATTATAATACACCAATTTGAGTAGTCGCGTGCTCAACTTAAGTTACTACTACGTAGTAGTTGGTCGAATTAAGTAAACCCAGGTGCATCACCAGCGCGCGCATCGAGGCGTCATACTTATGACTTTTTATATTTTTTATTAAGCTGATTAATGGCAGGATCTTGCTGCAATCCGACACTCGCTTCCATAGGAACGATAGTCGCATCAGCCAAGTGACAACAATGCACTCCAACTCAAATCAAAATCGATCATATCCCAGGTGCCCTAACTCTCGCGCTTCAACAAAACAATTTTAGAAAATGTTGCTCGAATTGCGCGCAGCGCACAACAGCATGGTCATGCGCAATTTCGAATTACTGTTACTAAGTACTGTACGCCATGCACCAAGGGCAATAACGCGTTATCAATCCAGATGAAAGATGCAGAGTAGGCAAAGCGTAGAATAGTAGTGACACTGGCAACGCATGCAGCTTTCAAAATAAATGCGCGCTGCTACCCTAGATACGTGTACCGTAAACTACTGCAGCATGCACATAATGCAGCTTAGTGTAGACATTGTCGTTAGAGCAATATATATATGAAGCTATTGGCCGGACCCCAGGGTCCCGCATCATGTACCGATGGCGACAGGAATTATTTATTTTTATCGGCGGGGCAGTGATAATATATATGTTGTGACAATTTTGTGATAATTTTTCGAGTTTAGCTAGAGCTCATTTCACCTTCAAGCATCTAGCATCCAGTATGAAGTCTAGGCGAACTGGAGGTGCAGAGGTTCCTCGGCGCAAACGTGATAGTTAAGTATTGAAATCGTCGTGACCACAAAGCTGCTGCATTCGTTCGTTCTGTTAAGCGTCTTGGTGAAGATACGACCAAGAAGATTCAAGCTGACTGCTAGAAGCTAGCGCCTACTACAGCAGCAGCGGCGTCGGGCACGCAAAGTTGCGAACTCTGCAGCTTCGATACTACCAGAGATACATAGCATCGATACAAACATGCAGCACTTGAATTTACCGAATATACCGGTTGCTTATGACAGCTGGCGGGGCAAGCGGGGACCCCGGGGTCCCGCCAAACGCTTCATATGCACATACACGATACACAACAACCTAACCATCGAAGACGCACAGTCGCTACCGATCCGTATTGAGTTGAGCTAAATTTGCTATGTCTATTTGAACTGTTATCGCGCAAACCAGCATTACTACATGTAGCGCGGTGCAGTGCGTAAATTCATGCTGGCAAAGTTGCAGTCTTTCAGTGCTAACGTATTAACAACACTAGAGTACGGTATCGACGACAGCTACCAGTTTGCAACGCAGTATAAACCACATCCAATCATAGTTTCAATACTTTAGTTATTACTTCAAAGTAAGTAAACACGCAGGTCACTACACTGTAGTAAGACATGTCCGTGACAATGTAGCTCGCCTCGCAGAAACGGGTGATCAATAATACAACGGCAACGATATTCAGCTCACTCGATGTTTAGGTACTCAACTTTGCATCGTGAGCGACATTTGGTAATTAGCTAAATAGGAAAATGTATTCCTACTCATTTGCTACTAAAGCACGAAGTTATAGCAACGAATATGTATCAACTGTATCCGCACATTATTGTTATGGAAATCAAAATGATGCATATACTTTTAAGCTATGCTATTCCAGCAACCCGGGGTCAAAGCGCCCGCGTAGCGGGTGCCCAGAGCGCTAGTCGCGCCAGGTACATGTCTGCGTGTCTCATTAACCAAATTTCGCTCTGCTGCTCACAACTCCCATGGTGACCGCCACTTCCAGACCGTTCCAGACGCGGCTACGTCTGACCAAGCTTCAGTCGCTGCTAATCTGTCATCACCGTCGTGATCTACCGGGTGCTACCTATGCTGAGCTGGCTGCGTGGGCTCAAGGCGAGACTCTGGTCGCGAAGTCCGACATGAACTACATATTGCAGTAAATCAGTGCATTTGCTGTCTGTATGTGACGAGTCAAACCTTTAATTCTCAATATACCTTTTTCTTTTAATGTATATCAGGCGTTCCTTATCGACGCACTTTACTGTACCGTCAATACCCTAAATGAGGCATCGGAAATGCGTGAGTCAGGGATCGATCGTGTCGTGCACCACGCGAGCGAGTCAGTGTACTTCTATGTGGCAGTCTCCGCCGCTGCCGTTTTGCTTTCATCCCCTCTTAGCTCGTGAGAAGCAGGAAGCAAGGATTTGCAGTAGAGAGGGTGCTTCAAGCACTCGGTCAACTTCAACACGACACTCGACGTGGAGAAGAATGTTACGTCGTGTCATTTGAGCGGCGTTAGAATGCAGCCTTGCGTCGGCACCGATCGCCTTTGCGTTAAACGCAGAGGACGCTTGCCTTCGTCGTTCACCCGGCAATAACCATCGCAATTGACGCGGCGATGCAAGACTGGCTGCTTGCACATGTACCGCCGCATCATCGTAGTCAGTGAATGCAACGCCGGGAATCAGATGGATTGGCCCATCTCATTGGGCAAAGTCTCCATTGTGCAATGCTCCAGATCGGCTGGATGCTTCTCCAACTGCGCACTCGTAGTTTGAGCCGGTAGGACGGAGTAGGACACGCTTCGTTTGCATCGGAAAAAAAAACTCGAAATGCCTGGGTTCCCTAAGTAACTTGAGCTACCTTTCGCCGCTCGACGATTACACCCTCATGCCTCGAGCCCGTATACGAAAGCAAAGACCCCTGTTTCGATAGTCGCTTCGAGCTCCTTTGCATAGGCGACGCGGAGTTAAATGTCGTTGAAGTCGTCAATGGACGGAGGAATTGCAGCGCCGTACGCTCGCAGGTTGATACGGAACGTTAAACGAGTCGCTAGATCAGCGTGACGCACCCAACGGGGCCAGTGAGCTGCTCTACGGTGGCTCGGTTTCCAAGGGATGCCGTTATGAATACGCGAAATAAAGCTGATGGGATTTGAGCCGTAACATCATCACGAACACTGGACCTACCGGCGGTGCAGCGTATCGACTACAGTACATTGAAGGCAAGGGGTTTTCCTGGGCTACAGTACCGCTATGTAGACACCGCTGCTTGGTAGACGTTGACGTTGAAGCACATTTTCAAATTCTCATTGCCTGGATCAAGCACTGGAGCTACACTGCCGCCACATCCGCATGGCCGAGCCCAAGAAACCCATTCTCAACGTCGTTCACAGCCCCAAGGGTGGAGCCTATGACGACCAACTTCTGCTTACGCCCGAGCGTTTGGGCCGGTGAGGATCACACTGTCCGCTCCATGGATTGCAGCCATCTAACACGATAATTCCACGTGCACAGGCTGAACGATCACTCGTACGTGAGCATCGTCAGCTCGATGAGCGCTTCCGTTCAATGGCGTCCGTCGGCGCTGGAGCCCACGAAGGAGGACTTGCCGCTGCAGCGACAGCTTACGGTCTTGGGCATTGTGGGTCTCTGCTACTTTTCGGTGTGCGGAGGCCATTGGATCTGAGTACATCATCTCGGGTAAGATATACGTAAGTAGTACTTAACTTCTTGTTCAGCATTCTGGATACGAGGACACTTCGGTCGTTAAACCAATGTCGTGATCGTGTTGTGTTACGCAGCCGGTGGTCCGTTGGTTGGGCTAATCTTCCTCGTCTTGTTCCCGTTCATCCTCGGACTCCCGATCGCGTACGTCACGGCTGAGCTGAGCACCGCGTACCCACACGACGGTAAGAGAATAACCACGAGCTCCTTTCTCGACGAAACCGCCCAGCCTAATGGAAACTCGTCGTTGTGTTTCCAGGAGGCTACACGGTTTGGGTGTTGCACGCCTTTGGTCCGTTCTGGGCCTTCCAGACGGGGTATTGGTCTTGGATTTCTGGAGTCATCGACAACGCCATCTACCCGGGACTTGCTGTCGCTACGTTTACCGAAGTCTACGGGTCGATCGGCTCGCCCACGGCCGAGTACTTCATCAAGGCTATCATCGCCATCACCTTGGCGTTGCCGAATCTCTTCGGCATTCAGATCGTGGGCAACGGCATGGCGACATTGTCCGTCTTCGTCATGGTCCCGTTCATCGTGCTCTTCGTCTGGGGACTCGTGAGTGGACACGACTGGAGCGCGCTGGGAGAAGTTCGTCGCTCTGATATTGTGTACGACGCCAACGGAGACTTTGTGAGCATGTCCGGCAGTCTGGACGTACGTACCTGTATCTAACCCAAACTCGCGTATTCTGGTTATGAAGCTTGGCTAACTTGTACCTCCTTACGATGCCACAGATTGACTGGTCCACCTTGATCAGCACGCTCTTCTGGAATTTCAACGGTGCGGTCGGCATATCGGTCTTTGGCGGCGAAGTGGTCAACCCCGGGCGCACCTACCCACGGGCCATGCTGATCTCGGTGCTGCTCATTGCGCTCACTTACATCATCCCGCTGTTTGGCGCCACGGTCTTCAACTCGCCACATTGGACGACTTGGGAAGACGGATCGTTTTCGAGTATCGCATCGGATTTGGGCGGAGACTTCCTGTCCACGTGGGTCATGCTGGCATCTTTCGGCAGCAACGCGGGCATGTACATCGCGGAGCTCTTCTGCGACTCGTTCCAGATTATGGGCATGGCGCAGTGTGGACTCGCCCCAGCGTTCCTCAAAGCGTGAGTGCTGCTACTACTCTGTTGGAAGTTTAACCAGGTCTGACTAAATGCTTTCACTTGATGTAGACGCAACAAGCGGTTCAACACGCCAGACAACGCCGTGTTCGCCAGTCTTTTGGTCATCTTCGTGCTCATCAAGTTCGACTTCGACGACATTCTCAACATGACCAACGCGCTGTCGGCTTTCTACCAGCTCCTGATCTTCGCTGCCTTCATCAAGTTGCGCTACACGCAGCCGGAACTTGATCGTCCGTTCAAAGGTAAGAAATTACTTGGAGACGACTGGTTTTTAGATCTTGAGTCTCATTTTGTGCGTCTGATGTTTTGCAGTGCCTAGAAGCATGCCCATGATCTGGCTCGGCCTCTTGATCCCATCAGCGTTGCTCGTGTACATTGCTGTGGACGTCTTCTTTACGCTGGTACCTGCTCTGATCGTTGTCGGTGTCACACTCGCGGGTCTTCTCTACGGATACTGGAAGAAGTTCTCGCGAGTCCAGTTCAACGACCTGAGCCTGGAGGCATAGCGTCGCTAATAGCGCTGGATAAGTATCGTGCATGACAAAGGAATCAGCAAAGTGTGTGTATGCAAGTAAAGAAGGAAGATAATCCATGATAATGTAGTAACCAAACATTCATTTGCATTTACGCCAAAAACACTGTGCCATTCTTCCAGCGCACTTAGACTTCATAGAGCCTCACGACGCCGTCACGCAACAACTGCCGCATGGACCAGCCCGTCGGACGGTTGTGTCCGTCGTCCGAGTGGCGCCAAGACCAAAAGATCCAGCCCGAGTGCGCCTTGCTAAATGCTTCTAGTTGAGCCGAGGCGAACTGCTGCAGTCCATGGCGGTCTTCACTGGGGAAGGCGCATCCTTGAGCGCCCAAACTCCATTCATCAATGAGAAGCCAATTGCCTCCCCACGACGAGATCTGGTTGCCGTAGCGACGGACCGCGTCCAGGACTTGCTCACGTCGCTGCCCTTCATAGCCCCAGATGAAGTACGGGTGCCACTCGTGCCACACGTTGAAGAACTTTGGGTAGCGCATGAAATCCTCCATAAAGGGCGGACTCTGCTCAGTCAGCAACGGCGCAATAGTGAGCACGCAGTCGTTACCCGTAGCTCGGATCTCCGAGTACGCTCGCTCGTAGTATCCACGCAGCACGTTCGGGTCAGTGGGCACTTCAGGCTCGTTCAGCAGCCCAATACCAAGGAACGACGGGCAGTAGCGGTAGCGCGAGGCGAGGAAGTTCGCCAGGTACACGGTGTTGTCCACGTTCTCCGGGTACTGACTCCAGTACTTGGCGCCGCTGTCCACTGCGGCACTGTGGTCACGGCCGTTCTGCGATCCTTTGGCGGCGTGGATGTCCACGAGCACCGCCAGGTCGTACTTGACGCACCAGTGGTTCACCAGCTCGTCCAGGTAGTGCAGCGCGTGGGGAGCGAACACCTTCCACTCCTGCTTGTTGGGGAAGTCCGTCGGGTCGAAGCCCATGATCCAGAAGCCCACGGGAACCCGCACCGTGTTGAGTCCGAAGCGCTTCATCTCGGCGATGTCGTACTCCGTGATCCATGTGCGTCGGTGCTCGTCGAAGCGTCGATCGCCCTCTTCGTGGCCGAGGAACTTCATGGTCGCGAACTCGCCCTGGTTCTTGATCATGTCGGGCACGCCGTGCCACAGACACGAGTCCCATGCCATCCAGTGCTCAGCCACGAGCCAACCGCCGAGGTTCACGCCGCGGCAAGGAATGTCTCCGCGGCGCAGTCGAGCTTGGAGCGAGTCGGGTGCAACGCAGGCCATCTTGGGGCTTGGATAAGGTGGTTGGAAGCTTGTCGACGAAATGCAAAGTGAGACCTTGCGAGGATTGTCAACTGCCATCCATGCCTGTTTCTGCGTCGGTCTCGCCAATGCGCTGAGTTTACCCACGTGCGATGGTGGCGGCCTCAATGTGTCTCAAGATCAGCCGTCAAGGTGGGTAGATCAGGTTGAAGAGCTCTCGATCGTACAGCGAAAAGGGGCTGCATTAACATTAATTGACTTTTTAATGCACCCCGAAAACGCCCCAAATCCCAAAGTTTTTCCCAAATGATTTAAGACCATGGGAACGTTTTGGTACATATTTAGGACAGAATAACCTTCAGTATGAAAGAGCAGCACAGGGCGGACACTCGCGCGTTGGCTCTCGTCTGCGGACTTAGCGACGGGTCTGCGGGGGGCCCGCCCCTCTCTCACTTCGCTCGGGGGGCGCCGCTGCGCGGCCTGCTCCACCCCCTTGTCCCTTACGCTAAGTTCCTCGTCTCGGCCAGGCGCGGTGTCTAGAAAAAAAAAAATCGGGTTGCAGCGCTCGCGTTCGCTCGCTCGCACAGACACGCCCCCGCCTAATCGGCGGGTGTTGGCGATTAGTGAATGCATCGAGTGAGGCTCGCGCTCGCGTCCACTCGCCCTCGCCCATAGACTATAGACCATAATCAGTCAACTCCGTTTTGGTACATATTTGGGATAGTTTTAGGAGAAAGCAGCCATTTACTTGGCCCCAAATATGTACCTAAATGTTACAGACAATTCATTATTTGGGACATTTGGGGCGATTTGGGCACATATTTGGGATGCATTATCAGCTTCCGACTTTTCTGAGGATCCCAATGCTTTGGAGCTTTCCTCGTTTACACTACGGAGGTTTGTTGTTGGTTAATCGCGGGTGTGCGGCTTCACACTTGCTGTTGAGCTGCTCCTTGAGAGAGCGGGCTCTAACTTATATGTTTAACTTACTGGTTCTGGGCCACGAGCTCGGCGGCCGCTTCGAGTCCCGAGAAGTAGGCGGCCTGGAGCGCGCCCTGGTACTTGGGATCTACGGCCTCGCCCGCGAAGAGCACGCGATTTGCCACCGTTTGCTTCAGCAGGTCCGGGTCCTCGTGTGCATTCCTCGCGGTGACGCAGCTGTAGGCGCCCACCGACCACTGGTCTTGATCCCAACTGGCCAAACCACAACACAGTCAATACAGTCAGCGATGACGACTCAAGGTATCCAATCCGCTAGCTAAAGAACTTACCGAGTGATGAAGTGGTTGATGGGCTCGGGGATGCCCGGTCCGAACGTCTCCTGCATCTGCAAGTACAGCGCGTGGGCGATCTCCTCGTCCGTGAAGGAAGCCGAGATGGCGCTGGCGTTGTCGCCGATCAAGACGCCCTCCAGGATGGGGACCCCCTTAGCAAGGTGGTAGTTGAACACCAGCGGGAAGTAGATCCGCTTGTCGGTGGCTCCTCCACTTGAGCTCTTGGTCTGGAGCTGGGCCATGAACGTGGCGTGTTTCGGCCAGAACACCTCGGGGAACTGCACCAGCACCTTCATGTACTGACCCATCTTGGACCGCTTGAGCGCGCCGGTCTTCACGGCCGGTAGCTCCGGCTGGAAGTGCAGCTTGCCGCTCTGCAGGAGGCCGAGCGAGGTGGCCACGATCACGCGGTCGGCCGTGACGCGGCGTCCGCCGTTGCACTCGATAATCACCCCATCCGGGCCGTCGTAGTTGATGGACGCAACGGATACGTTGGTGTGGATCACGTCATGCAGGGGCTCCGCTAGGTGGTCGATGAAGCGCTCCATGCCCGCGGGGACGATGCAGTGGGCGCCGGGGTCGTCGCCCATGAGGTCCGTCTCGACGAACGTGTCGAGGTTCAGTTCCTCGACTGTGAGGCCGAACCAGGCCTCCATCAGCCTCAGGAAGAGCTCGATCTTGGCGCGGGCCTTGACTCCGCCCATGACCTCGAGCAGTTCTCGGTCCGAGCCGAGGAGGTGCTCGACCACAGCCGAGAGCGTCTTCTCTCGGTGCGCGTCTCCGTGGTCCGACCTCGCGAGCTGCTGGAGCTTGCGCATAAGCAGATCTTGCCACGCCCACGCATCCTTGGTCTGCTGCTCGCTCAGTTGGTGACTGCCGTCGAACAGCAGGAAGTTCGAGCACGAGCCCGGGTGCAGCCACGGATTCCGCGGGCTGATCTCCTTGAACGAGATGCCGAACTGCTTGGCCATTGCGGCGAACGGGTTGCCCTCGACGCCGTGGATCCAGGCCGCGCCCACCTCCACGTTCACGGGGAGCGAGTCGCTGAAGGACCTGGTCTGCACGCGGCCGCCGATGCGCGACTGCGCTTCGAGCACGCACACGTCGCTGGCGTCGAAGTGGCCGGACGACAACAATTCGTTGGCGGCGCTGAGACCGGCGAGGCCAGTAGTGGGTCATGGAACATTACGCCGGCAGTTTTTTTCCTTACCGTAATTTACCACCGAGAACATTCCTGAAACCTTCTTTCGGGACAGCAGCGATTTCAACGACGACCCCTCTCGACCACTTGAGAGCGAGAGCCACGTCTTTTCGATATGAGGGTAGTTTTAGAACCTCTGAACCGGTCAGATCTAATAGACGTTGATTTGACGACGCCCACTTTATAGCGAGAGCCACGTCTTTTGGATCTTAGGGCGTTTCGGGACCGCTCGTTCAAACTACATTGATAAAACCAATAGAACATTACGCCGGCAGATTTTACTAGTAGTTCGGACCAGCGCGACGTGGCGTCTCATCATTGGTTGAAAATCTATGGCACACACCTTCATGTTCGCTTAAGTACGCCAGAAATTCTCCCTCCCTTCTTCCTCATTCCAGAATCTGCCGGCTCGACGAAAGATGGTGAAGCTCTGCTGTGCGATCGTTGGCGCGGCGGGCAGCGCGTTCTCGGTGCGAGTGGACGAAAGCGACTTGGTGGATGACCTGAAGAAGGCGATCAAGGTGGAGAAGACGAACAAAAGTGAAGGACATCGATGCAGGTGACCTGCAGCTCTTCCTGGCGAAGACGGAGGGCGGTGCGTGGCTCGAGTCCGACTCAGAAGATGTGAAGAAGCTGAAGAAGGCGAGAAGACTGTTGCAGTTGAGGCTTTAACAAGCAAAGAGGAGGAGCTACAGGGGGAGTCTGGCCTACAGAAAGTGTTGACTGGCATGCGGAAGCCATCCACGGACCAAATTCACGTGCTGGTGAAGGTTCCGGATCAGCAGCAAGCTGCTTCTATCAAGAAGCAATTACGATACAAGGGAATGAGCACCGAAGCTTCGTGTCGCAAGTTCTTGGATGCGTTGGCGCAGACTCTCGCCAAGTTGTACGACTTTGACTGCAGTTATGGTGATGTCCCGACAATTGGTGACGTCTTCAATGCTGTCCAAAAGAATGACTGGGGATTTCGTCTGAAGAGAGGGAAGCAGTTGACCGGTGTTGAATTACCAAACTACTTCACCGAGGATGAGTGGAATGGCCTCAAGGATTTGAATCGACGTACAAATCGGCGTATTCACGATGGCATGGTTCCCACAACTAGCAAAGGGAAACCGTATATCATTCTCCCGCATGCCATTTTCAGTTGTGATCGAGTCGACTGATACAAGGATATTGCGACTAAAGCAAGCGTGGTGTCGGAACCGACAGAGTTCGAAGTGAAAGATGAAGATGAGTTCTCGGGTAGCTCTCGTTCAAGTAGTGGTCGTTCGGATGGTGCTTGATTTCATTGTGATTCTAGCAGCTGCAGGAAACGTAAATCCAAAGTAGTATCGTGTGAATATTCTTGTCCGCACATCCTTCTTTTAACCTTGTTTCAACATAAACCTGCTACTAAAACAATTTTTGTTTCTGATAAATATAAAGCTAGTAATATACTAAAGATGACGTACTCACCTGAACAATACCTCGCTAACAAAGAGCGCATTAAAGCAGCACAGTAGCGCTACTACCAGCGCACACGCGACGCTCGCTTGTCGTATCAAAAGAGCTACGACGACAAGAATAGAGACCAGATTCGAGCTCGCAAGCGTAAGCCCAAAACCGAACTTATTGATGGTGAAATCGAACTTAATAATGAAACCGAACTTAATTGATTAATTATTTTTTTTACTCAAAAAGTCAATCCCAATATAGTCAAAGACAATGGCCTCCAGAAAGGTATAAACCAAATATTTGAATTAATTAATTTCAGAATATTTTGTAAATGACTAAGATATAAAGTCGATCCTGATACAAGGTCAAATAATTATAAAGTCATATCTACGGAGAATAATATAGTCAAGCATATATAGGCAGCATGTTTGCATACGAACTCGAAGGATTAAAGAGATTAAATATCCAACCTATCAAATGGGGTAGTAGCTACCGTGTTAAGGTGCGTGGTAGAACGGGCAAGATGGTTTATGTTAGCAACGTTTCGCGTCCAATCAACAAGAGATTAGTATCTAAGCAGTACAGTGTTTCGATTGAAACCCTTGAAAAACACTTGTCGCCCGACTACAAGGCTGATCCTAAGTACCGCTTTTACAACGGTAATCACATGGAATCGCACCTATATGAGGGTGTCGGGCCATCTGATTTCTACAACAAGCTCGAGAACGTTCTTTCGACACAAACGAGCGCTTTTAAGGTAAATATTGCTCTCGGGTACGAACTTGTATGCAAGACCGATCCTGACGATACTCGCTACTTTTACCCAAATATAGCTAATACTTATGTATTTAATAACCCCATCGCTATCAATAGTCGGGGTGATATTAAAAAGAAGGTTATTTCGGAAATCCGTTCTATGGAGTTGGCTGACAAACTAAATTATCCCAGCTCGGGATATAAGCTTAAGTCAATCACTGCGTTCAAGATTTTTATTTACCATCGCGAGCATTCTCTCGGAGATAGTGAGGCTATTATTCCTAAGATTATCCGCGAAAACAAGCACGTAATTAACTTCCCTAAGACAAACAACAAGTGCGTCTTCCACTGTATCGCCTGGCATACATTCCAGAGTCCTAAGAAGGATCCTCGAAGAATTCAGGCTCAGGTGAAGGAGGCATTCAAGCGCTACTGTTCTTTCAAGGGGGTTGAATATTTGTTGAGCCTGTTTAGGAGTTTCAAGCCCATTGACCTACTACAGCTCGATGAGGTTGAAGACTGCTTCCAACTTGGTATTAACGTATATAAGATGGATGTAGTTTCTGGAAATGTAGAATGCATTCGTAGATCGGACAAGGGGTATGAAGCTATGGATATTTTATCGTTCGAGAATCATGCTCTTTACATCAAGAACATCGATATGCTTCAGGCTAAGTATCAATGTCCTGAGTGTGAAATGGTTTTCGTAAGCGCTGAAAGGGTTAAAAGCCACAAAAAGAATCAGTGCGAGCTCGTCAATATCGAAAGCTTCCCAGCTGAGCCAACTATTTACAAACCAGCTCAAAACACGATCCGATCACTGCTTACGAAGTATTCTTTCAAAGATGCTGACCAGTACATCGATCACTTCATCGTGTATGACTTTGAGACCATTCTTAAGCCTACTGCGACTCAACACGGGGAGAATACTGTCTTCACGAACGAGCACATTCCGTTGTCTGTATCAGTAGCTGATAGTTTAACCGAGGAGGTGCGTTGCTTTGTGAATGATGATCCGAAGATGCTACTTGTGGATATGTTCAAATACATCGGTGATGTATCTGTAAAGATCCAGCGGTTCTATGTCAATAAGTACCGATCGCTTCTACAGAAAATCATCAACGCTCACGGTCTGACCGGTATGGAAATTCCAGGAGTGAATCTTGGTAAGAAGTACAACATGACTGACGTGATGAATTGGATTAAAGAAGGTAAGTATGGTAGCTTCTTTGATTTCCATAGTAGTCTTGGTTTTGGAAAGCAAAGGTCTGATTACGGGAAACTGAAACAGCAGCTTGATCAGGTACCAGTATTTGGTTTCAATTCTGGCCGGTACGATATTAACTTGATTAAGAAGGATTTGTTTGCCGTTATCGGTACCGACAACATCAAATCTGTCATTAAGAACCCCAGCTACATGTGCATTGCTACATCGAACATGAAAATGCTTGATATTAGCAACTATGTACCTGCTGGTACCAGCTATGAAAACTATCTCACAACATACCTCGGTGGCTGCAAATGTGATGACAAAATTAGATGTGTCTATGGTCTTGGTAAAGGACTTTTCCCTTACGAGTACATCACTTCCTTCAATGTACTAAACCAGACCACATTACCACCTAAGTCAGCTTTTGACAGCAAGCTTCGTGGAACTAGCATCACCGATGATGACTACGAACGAGTGAAGTTCGTATGGGAGTACTATGAGATGAAGTCCATGAAGGATCTACTGATCTGGTACAACAATCTCGATGTAGTCCCATTCATCAAGGCTATCAATGCTCAACGAGAACTCTTTAAGAGCTTCAATCTGGATATGTTTGCTGATGGAGTGTCGCTACCTGGTCTTTCGGAGAAGGTCATGTATCAGACCTGCTTCAATAATCTCCAATATCCGGATAAGAAACCTGCCTCAGCATTCCAATTTCCAGCTAACCGTTTGGGTGGATACAAGAGTCAGGATGCTAAGGCAAACCGACAATTTGGTATGACACTTCTGCATTTGAATACGTTGCTTCAAAAGCAAAAGTATCTATGTGGTCTATGCTACTGCCAGCTTACCGCTGATATTGCTTCAGCAGATCGTATCAACAATAAGCTGGGACACATCGATGGCAACATCTTGATCAGCTGTGTGAAGTGCAACACAGCTCGTAAGGATATATCGCTTGGTGGATTTCGATATATGAAGTTGCTTGAGTTCAACTCGAACAGACTGGTGTATTCTATTGATCAAGAGGAGAAGGATATTTACGCTAAGATCAAGGCCAACATCGCTGGAGGTCCGTCTATTATCTTCAACCGCTATGCTAAGCGCAACGAGACGAAGATTCGCGGAGGTAAGGTCTGCAAGAAAATTATCGGATATGACGCGAACGCTCTATATCTGTGGGCACTTGGTAATGAGATGCCTTGCGGTCGATTGACAACCATTGATGCATATCCGGGTATCGTTGATGACATTATCAACGACAAAATCTTTGGTTTCCTCGAGTGTGATATTCGTACCCCGCCACACCTAAAAGACTACTTCAGTGAGATGACCCCAATTTTTAAGAATATTCTAATCGATTGTGCTGACGAGAGTGTGATTGGCAAGCATATGTTTGATTACAACGAGTCGCGCAAGCAAAGCCGAGCAAAGCCAGCTCGTAAGCTGATCGGTAGCTACTTTGGCGAAAAAATTCTTATTTACACACCATTGCTTAAGTGGTATCTTTCTCACGGCATGTAGATCACTCAGACTTACTGCTTTATCAAAGCCAGCTCTCATAAGGCTTTTGCCCCCTTTATGGAGGCTGTATCCAATGCCCGGCGCGAGGGCGATGTTGATAAGTCTAAGGCTATGATTGCTGAGATGATGAAGCTGGTAGGCAACAGTGCTTTTGGTCGATCTGGAATGGACATGAGCAAACACAAAGAGGTTAAGTATGAGTCGAACGACAAAGCTATTAAAAACAAGATCGAACATTTTACGTTCCATGGTCTCGAGGAGCTTAATGACGCCTGTGAGATCACCATGAAGAAACGGCGACTCAATAACAAGAACCCCATCCATTTGTCTATTGCAATCTATCAGCTCGCCAAGCTACGGATGCTTCGGTTCTACTACGAATGTATAGATTTTTACTTTAGCCGCTCTGACTTTCAGTACCAGGAGATGGACACTGATTCGGCTTATATCGCATTTAGCTGTGAGAATCCTTTCCAGGATTGTATCAAGCCTGAACTACGCGCTCACTTCATGGAGCATAAATACGATTGGTTTCCACGCGACTACAATACTAAGGTGGCTAAGTTTGATCGTCGCACCCCTGGCTTGTTCAAGGACGAATGGTCAGGTGATGCTATGGTCTCACTATCGAGTAAAAACTACATTTGCTACCTACCAGACGCTGAGTACAAGGTCAAGGTTTCAGCTAAGGGTGTGCAGCAAGGGCGCGGTCGCAATGAAAATGTACTTAACCCCGACGGATTCGAAACTGTTGTGAGGGACCGTATCACACTTCAAGGAACCAACAAAGGTTTTCGACTTTCGAAAGAAACCAAGTCTATCATAACCTATACGCAAAACAAAACGGCCCTTAATTACTACTACGACAAGCGTCGAGTGTTAGAGGATGGTATCACGACTGAGCCACTTCATATCTAAGCAACTACCGACTGGGGTAATTTTTTGTCTATTATCATATAGGATCATGTCTGAGCTACGGAAGGATCTACTATCAAAACTCTACTATGACCCAAAAACCGGTTATATCGGGGCTCAAGCTCTGTATCAGAAGGCAAAGGAGATAGATCCTCAAATAACTCTCAAAATCGTGAAGGATTGGTATTCCAGTCAGGCTGATATTCAACGATTTCAGGAGCAGAAGAAGCGATTCGATGGATTCAAAATTGCTTCACATAACCCCAACTCATGGCAAATGGATCTTGCGTTTTGGGAGAAACGACCAATTTTGACAGCTATCAATATTAACTCAAGGTTGGGCTACGCAAAGCTCTTGTCAAACAAGACTGCGCCAACCGTTTTAGCAGCACTTAAAGCGTTTGTTCGCCTCCACAAAGTTGATATCCTGACAAGTGATAATGGTAGCGAGTTCATGAACTCGCAGGCTCAAGGATTCTTCAAATCCAAGACAATTAAGCACTACAACAACGAACCCGGTGATCATGGTACTATGGGGAAAATTGAGCGTTTCAACCGGACGCTAAAGCAGAGACTAACTAAAATGTCTCCCAAGCGGATTACGCAAAAGCTGATCGCAGATGTAATCGAAAACTACAACAGCACGTTTCATCGTTCGATTGGTATGACTCCGAATCAGGCCAAAGGCAAAGTTATGGATGCTGATCTCACACATAACCAAGTGGAGGCCGATAGAATTGAGAAGGAGTTTGAGGTTGGGTCAAACGTACATTATCGTCTTAAGAAGCAATCATTTGATAAAGAAGCCGCGCGATGGAGCAAAGCTGTCTATACAATCGTCGGAATCGATGGATACCGAGTTCAAATTCGTTCCAGGAATGGTCATACCCTCTACAAGGCGCCAAACGATCTCAAACTTGTTAAAGCAGAGACAACCGATGCTACTATTAGCCGAGGCGACATTCTTGAGGCTGAGAAAATCTTGGATCACAAGAAGATGCGTTCTGGGAAGTTCAAATATCTCATAAGGTGGCTTGGGAATGAGCCTGACTCCTGGGAGCAGCAAGACAATCTGCGCTTGATCAACAAAAACAGAAGATCATCGCTTGAAAAGAAGTATTGGGCGCAAAAAAATGAGCCATAATTAGCTTTATAATAATTAAATGGAGATATCCTCCGTAAGCTTTTGACCCATATATTATTGTTTATATTTTTGTGATAATTTGAATTATCTGACTTTATGTATAGACACTGATCTCGAAATAATGTGCCCAAATTGTACCGAAAAGGAACATGAGCTTCTAAAGCTTCGACGCAAGCTCTGGATCATTCAAGAAGTGAGCCGAATCAAGAACGAGTTGCTTAATCTCGATGCAGCAGCTAATTTCCGTAAAACGGTAGTCAATCGAAAATATAGACACGAATTGGAAGCAATATTTGGTGTCCCTTTCCATTGTATCAAGGATCGATATCTCAATCTCCTCAATGAGCGAAATCGGATTTGCCATACATATCAACCATTCCGACATGATTCAGTTATGCCAAGCTACTGGTAGAAACGTAATTAAGAGACTCATTTTTTTATGATTCTCAACATATAGTATCGGAATGTTTCCAAATTTCTCATCCCTCGCTCAGAGAGAGCAAAAGCGACAGGAGCTGCTCGAACGAGCTGAGCGCCGAGTCCGGCAAGCAAAAGCTAAGCGCCTGATGTTTGAAGGAGCCTCGTGGGCTTCTGATATTTCCAACGAGATTACTACCCTCCCAAAGAAAACAACAGCAACAACTCAGACAGATTCATCCGAGTCAGCTGAGACCTTAAAAAAAACTTTGATATATGAAAACTCTCAAATAAACCCTGAGTTATCAACAACAGGAACCAATACTGACCCATTGGAAGTGAATGTTAAACCTGTGATGGTTGATACTGGAATTAGCGTAAAGCCAGATACGAGTGATGCAACAGCTACTGCTAAGCCTAGCATGAGTGATGCTGGGATCAGTGTTAAACCTACAATCGCTAATGTAGGAATTGACAATAGCGTGAGGATGAAAGATATCGAGACCTCTACGAATACAGCAATTATGGATAGAGAAGATCAGGTCACATCAAGGAATTGGATTAAAGCATTCTTTAAATCCAATCCTAACTGGGCGTCAATTGGGATCAACCCTGTAAAGAGAGATGGTAGTGATGACAAAAAGCGAGTCATTCGCGAAAATGGTTCTATTCGCTCGGTTAAAACTGGTCGAAAATATCAAAAATATGACTCGTTTGATTGGGTTGCTACTGAATCAAAAATCCGAGATATTTTCTATAACGGTGACAGCAATTCAATCAATGAAGTTGGCGCAATGCGCAGTGAAGACAAACCACTACGATCTGATAGAAAGAGGAAAGGGGAAGATGACATTGAGGACCTTGATATCCCCATAAAAGACCCCAGGCTTGATTTGAAGTTTTTGGATAAATCAACTTCTACTAAGTTGAACGATGATGAAGCTAAGTACAAACTGACATGGTTTATCATTCAGAATAAAAACTTACTTTTAGCTAATAAACTAGAAAGACAAATAACCCCTGTTCTAAAGAACGGTAAAGAGTATCGCGGTGGATATCTATGGATCGACGACAATTTTAGAATTGACGTGTTTGGTGTAGATTCAAACAAGCATCACCCAGCTGTTCAAAAGGATGTTGATTGGATTGCTACGCTCGAACGGTTCTTGTCCATTACCGAGGAGAAAGGACTAAGTTTAGTGTCCAATACTGGAATGGCTAATGAGAAAAAAGTAAAACCATATGAATTAGCTGAGAATATCATCAATGAACGACCTGGTATAAAGACTGGTAGAGAGGAATACATGGATAAAAATCTTCCTATTCCAGAAATCGATGCTAAAACCATTCTCACCGAGTATTATCAGAAGCTTGCGGAAAATCAAGTGAAGATAGCAGTAAGGTTGCGTCCAATTGTCGAGTCAAAAACAATCAAGAAAGTTCATCCAAGCTACTATCTAGGGGTACCATCTCCTACAAAACCATTAAATTTTAGAAATGGACACCACAAGCAAGTTAAGGGAGACGCGATGTCTCATTTAATGAAAACTATTCGATGGATGGATACTTTTGAATCTCTACTAACTGACCTTGAGGATTATGTGAAATATGTTGAAGAGTCAGAAGATCGTAATTTGGAAAAAATCCTCGATGATAACCTAAGATTTCTTCGAGAAGCGATCTTTACCAACGTTTCTGATGTCAAAACACCTTTAGGCTACGACGATTCGGGTTATGACGAGCTTCAAAAGCTCCATGACGAAGCAGAAGCAGCATTTCAAAGCTATGGTGAAGCTTATAGTCAGTTGGAGAAGAATCGTAGTGATTTCAATAAATCTAACTCAGAAGCGGATAAGCAGGCGGTACGAGCATCGCGATCCGCTGTTAAAGCTACCAAGGCAGCCTACTCGATTAAGGTTCGTGCTTATAACGATAAGCTCCGGGAACGCGACGAGGTTGATCAAATGGGTTCTAATGATACTCATTTATCAGCATCTGTAAAAGCGAAGATTGAGCGCGCTAATGCCCGTGCCCATTTCAAACATTTGCCGCAAGGTAGCGGCGTTAAGAGAAAGCTAAAGGGGCGTGGTTTGAAGGGAGCTGGTGTAGCACCTTTGGAAGGTGTCGTTCGACGCGGGCGTACATATAACCTAAATGAGATCCAAGGATTAGCAACCCCATCCGCATATACCTACAAGCAGCTCGGTAGTAAATATATCCGTATTCCTGACCTCGATGCTAAGACCCTCGTGATTGTGCAGCCAAATCGACGTAAATGTGGCCCTAAATGTCAAATTAGCGATAGTCTTCAATCTATGATTAAAACGCTCGTCTATAAGCAGCATATCGATCAAGCCGCTTACGATAAGCTGAGCATCGATGATAAGAAACTATTTAAGGAAATCCTAGCTATTACTCATCTCCAATATAATTTCCACGATAAGCTCACGGATCCGTTAGAGACACTCCGAGCTGAGTATGACAAGCTGAAAGGGGAGATGGAATTAGGCAATGACAACCCAAGTATCATCAAGCAACTTAAGTCTCTCACGGTTGATATGTACAGCAATCGATTGATCGATGATAAAGAGTTTAAGCAAATTATCACTCGTCTCTTATAATATTTTTGGTAATATAGACAATGTTCTTCTTCAATCCACGCATTATTTCCAGTTCTGGTGGTAGCTATGGCGATAACGCCGATCTCAACGTTGCTGAGCTGAAAGCTATCATGAAGAACCTAATCATCCATGATCGCCCCCAGAAGACTCAGGCAGCTGTTTGGGCTACTGATCTCGACAAGTCCATCAGGAAGGTAGATGCCTCAACTCAGACTGAAGGTGGTCGCGTCTGGGCTTACCAACCCAAAAAAAAAGAAGCCAAATACTGTCAAAACGTTTAGTTTATAGACTGATCCCGTTTCTCACAAGTTTGTTGCGATATCCGCGGTATAGGCTAATTTTTTTGTCGCTGATAGAAACCTCAAGTATGGCAGACTCTCCTTCGGGGGTTTTGGTGGGAAGGAACACAGAATCTCCAAGAACAATAATTTTGTCAGCTTGGAGCATTGTCGATCCGACAATCTGACGCGGTTCATCGGTAGTTAAATTGGTTTTGAGCTCTTTACTTGGTAGGCAACCCATTGCTATATATATTACTCAGAGATAACTTATCGAGTTCAGCTTTGAGATAATTGATTTGGTCTTGTTGTTCTTGAATGGCTTTACACAGTACCGAGGTCAAACTGGCGAGATCAACGCCCCACGGATTCACTGGAAATCCATCTTGGTTCATATCGTCGTTGGCTCCTCTCTCTACAGCATCTGGTATGACCTCATACATTTCCTGGGCCATGAATCCAACGTGTGTAGTGTGCTCTTGAACCATCCTGAATTTTCTAGGTCTCATTCTCATAAGGCTCGCCAAACCATAGGGACAGTCTACAATGTCCGCCTTCAGTCTCACGTCCGAAGTGTTTGTATACGAACCGCCACGAACTGGTACGTATGCTGTCCAATTATAATTAGCGTCGCACGTTCCAATACGGATAGCCCCGATTGTTGCGTCAGTTCCTATCGCCGGGTACTCGGTCTGCGACCAATTGAAACGATATCGAGCGAACCATCTCCGTTTCCCTTGCAATGATACAAATTGTTAGCCCATATTTCGCCTCCAGAATGGATGGTAGCCTCGGGAGAGGTGTTGCTAACTCCTAATCGGCCCGAATCATTTAAATACATTTTGGTGCTGTTATTTACCATAAAGCGAACAGGGTCGCTCGAAATTGTACCTAAAGCAATGCCGTTAGATCCTCCAGCAACATCGTTGTAGATCTGTACCTCGAACTCGATAGGCGTTGTCTGATCATTAGCTATGCGCATCGCACGTTGCCAAGACCCGCTTAGTAAATTCGCGCTAGAAGTAATGTCAACCTTAGCTGTACTCGAAGTCGATCCAAAGCGGACGTAGCCAGCCTGGGTAATGCGCATGCGCTCCGTCATTGGCGACAAAGCGTTAGAGCTACTACGAGTACTAATCGCAAAATCGGCCATACTGTATTGAACTGAAGTAGCTGTTCTCGTGCAATATAGATTAACAGAAGGTGTATAACTAGTCATATCACTAGTTCCTTCAACCGTGAATGATAGTCCAGCCTGAGCGCCCACCGTGTTTGATTGGTTTCTGATAATGAGGTTGAAATCGCTTGCCCTAGTCGTCGATGTAAAAGAAGTACCAGCAGCAATCTGACATTGAGTAGCAGAAGTCGATATCAGATTAGTTGATGTTAGACTGGTAATACCTGTTGTTATTGAGCTATTAGAGTCTAGTACCAGAGCCTTTGATGCTTCTGCTGTTCCAGCTCCGAAGGTAAGATCCAGATAGTTCAACTCAACAGTAGTTGCTGTGCATCCTGAAAGCTTGTTCAGCTCAGCGCCAGTAGCGTTGAGCGTAGTCCCCTTGATCTGAAGCGTTGTAGGATTGAGATTGAGGGTCGGTGCATTCATCGTTTGAGTACCTGACTTACTAATCGTATCACAGATGATCGTAGGTGATGAAATCGAAATTGAAGCGATCAAATTGCGTGATATGGTTAGATCGCGAATGCCTGAGTAATCCTTTGTACTACTGAGAACTACAGCGGTGCTGGCTGAAGCGCCTCCCTCGAGAACATTGATGAAGTAAGCATGATTGAAATTTGTCCAAGAACTGACTCCATCCCAGAATTTGAGGTTTGGGGTGTATAGACCTGTTCCAGCCGTATTCAGTGTGAGATTGCTCAGTGTTCCAACCGATGAAATGTTTGGTTGAGCCGCGGTCTGTAGCGTACCCGTAAGCGACGCGGCCGATAGTGATCCAATTCCAGAGACATTCTTTGATCCATCAAGAACCAACGCTTTGTTTAAATCGGCTGTTCCTGGCGTAATACTGCGTACATACGATGGAGCGCTTGCAATCGATGCTCCATTGACAGTCAAACTACTACAGCTAAGCGCTGATATCGCCACCGCTTCCAGGGACAAGAGCTACTCCTGGTGTTGCTGTTCCTTGAGTGATACCAGTGATGTATGTCAATCGATAATCATTATTACTGAGATACAACGTTTGGGCATAATCGTAAGTAAGATAGCCAGTGGCATCTAACGTTAGATAGAACGCGGGATTATAAACCGGTGATTGGAATATTGGCTGTGGATATGAAAAACCTGAGCTCATTTTGTCCAATCCTATATAGATAAAACGATTTTAGTCATGAGTGCTATTCCAGACTTCGGTGGTTCTTTACCGAAAAAATACAAGTCAGCTGCTATGGGTGATATACCAGCGCTTGATATTAAAAAATTGTTCAGAATGATTGTCCTTGGTCCATCGTTCAGTGGGAAGAACAACCTTTGTTTGTTTATTCTAAAGCATTCTCCTCACGTATTTGCTCATCTAACGATCATTGCTCGTAATCCTCACCAGGAGTTATATGAGTATCTACGCGATAAGCTTGATGGCTTTATCACATTCGCCGACCCTGAGTCGCCCCCGAGTGTTGATCGCGTACGTCATACGCCAATGAACTCCAATAAGCCTGAGCTCGTCATCATCGACGACTACAGCAATGATAAGCTACTTCAGAAGAATTTGTTCTCACATTACTTCACTAGAGGAAGCCACTTCAAGCTATCAACCATCTTCTTGAGCCACAGCTACTTCGCAACGGACAAGATGATCAGATTGAACTCAGAGTACGTAGCAATCCTGAAAGCTAATTCTAAGCGAGACCTCCAGATGGTTGTGAAAGATTTTAATATCAAGGGAGTTGATGATCGATCAATCGTCTATTACTACAACAAAGCCACAGAGCGCAAAGGTCAGATGTTGTTCATAGATTCAGTTAAGGGTCAAATCAGGTACAATTTCGATGGACCAATCACGATCGATAACTAATTCCAATTTTTGATCAGAATTATGGATATAATCATATACGATTACAATGGCAAGCTTTTGAAACTCGACTCAACCAATCTCGTTCAAGATGGATATAACTCAACGTGGAAATACTCGTTCCCTGGTTCAGCTGCTGACTTCCGCGACGTAGTGTGTGCAGTCCAAAGCATCAGTATGTACAACTCCGAATATAACATCGATTCGATGCAATTTGCTAACACAGGTTTTAAGGTCGAAGTTCCAACTGCTGCTACCACCTCTACTATCAGTATCACTCTCCCGGATGGCATTTATTCGTATGATGATATCAATCGTAGCATTCAGACAGCCCTCGTGAATGCTGGAGCATATTTAATCGATCCAAGTGGAAACAACGTATTCTACCTCAAACTGAGTGAAAACAGTGTGTATTACGCATGTCAAGTTGATTTTTCTCAGACGCCAACAACATTGCCAACTCTCGGTGGTACTTGGACAAGACCCGCCACTGGATTGTACTCTACTGGTGGAACTGGACTGCCGACTACTACACGTGTTCCGCGTTTGATCATCGATAACGCATCTTTTGGATCAGTAGTAGGCCTTAGTACTGGTACATATCCTTCTACCTCAGTGATCGTTGCCAGTGCTCAGCTCTCTAACATCATCCCACAGATTCACCCCACCAGTTCGTACATCGTACGTTGCGATCTGATCAAAAATGAGTACGTTGCCTCTGGCGACATTGTCAGCGCATTTGATTGAGGTGATGCTGCAATTGGTCAGCTAATTTCGTACAAACCCAGTCAGTATGCGTGGATGAACTGTCATAATGGCTCTCGCTCTACAATTACTATCAGCATCTACAACCAAAATGATACGAAGGTAATCTTTCGTGATACTTCAGTCTCAATCATGCTGTTGCTCAGACCAAAAAAATAGATTGGGTAATTGTACTTTTTTTATAATCTAAATGAACCACCAGACTTACGCATAGCGCGAATCTTAGCTATGTGATCCTTAGCTGCTTGCGAACCCTTTGCAAATTTCTTACCCTTTGGTTTAGCGACACCTACTCCATACCGACGACGGACCTCGCCCCGGATAGACTTAATTAGGTTCTCATGCTCAGGTTTGGTTGCCTTAGCTAGAAGGTACTTCTCTCCAGAATCGACGACGTCAGTCAGAACGCCTTTGCGTTTAGCATACGAAAGCGCACGCTTTGCTCCTTTCTTAACATCTGTCATGGTTAGTCGTCCTCCTTCCTTATCGCTATCAGAATCATAAACACCGATACCAGTCATGGATCGGATGGCTGCTCTTGCTGGGGTAGCTCCTTGTGGAGCCCCAAGCGCACTTGCGAGCGCGGGGACAGCAACATCGGCTGCGCGAGACAATAGACCTGAGTCCTTAGCAAACTTGAACGCCGATTTAATGCCTCCCCATACCTTGGACCAGATTGATCCGCCTTGAGCCCTCTTGTATCCTTTCTTGACTTCGTGTCTGGTGATGTCGAGACGAACGCCGCGACCTGCCTTGCGAGCCTTGAGTGCTTTCTCATATGAAGCAGGGTGAAGATGGATAACAGAACCACTACCTTTGAGTTGGTCAGCTGTAAGACTGAGCTTACCAGTTTTGAAAGCTTTGGTCAGCTTGGGACCAGGAATATCACTGGAGATCGTTAATTCACGATACATGATTAATCTATATTTCCCAAACTAAAGAATAGTTAAATTTAAATCTTCCATCTTTGAAAGTACTTGCGGTTTATTATATTGCTTGGAATAGAGCCAAAGCAAACAGAATGGACCACAGTAATCTCCATACGTACCTTGGTACTGCTTGGGGTTGTATTTACCGACCCCGTACTTTGTTGGGGCTGCTTCACCCATACTATCGAAGTATTCACCGTTATGGACAGCCGTCCAGTGTCCTACATCGAGATTAGGTGGTCGTAGTAGAACCAGATATGACCCTTTCTTCGGGAGCGGCTTTGTTATTTCATTCGATTCATAGATATCATCCAGATGGACTCCAATTTTTTTCGCGAGTTCGATCAGATCATGATCTGAGGTGATTGCCTTGATGAGGTGCGACATAATATTAATTTTTCTTAAAACTATATTAGGATCCATATAGATTCAACGATGAGTGAAACTCAACTATCCGATCAGTACTTGTACCAGAGCTCGCTTAAGAGCGACCCGGAGATCAAGGTATCTTCGAGCAAGCGTGTGCCACACGTTATTGACCTAAATCAGGGTTCTTACCAGAATGGTGTCATCACTATCGATGCTACAGCTCAGCTTAACGGTTCCGAGGGCTTCGCAAGCCTCCGTGATGCCTACATTATGCTTCCCTACAAGGTCTCAATGAAGAATGGTGGCACTGCTCAAACTGCCGCTGCGAATCGTCTATGTGCTACTCTAAAATGCGGAAATGGGAACGTTATTGATAGTCTGAGTCTGGAACTCAATGGAAAGACTATCGTCTCTATGGCTGACTACAAACTCTTTTGGAATAACGTTCGTGCTCAGACTGGCTACAGCCCTCAGTACGTTGAAAAGCACGGAGCTGAATCGTTCTTGTACCCTGACGCTGCTCAGTCGGTATCATACAGTTCTGGATCCGCATCTACCAGCGGTGATGGATATTCAAACACCATGGCATTCTCGTCTTCCTTTGCTGTCTCGGCTCCTCCTGGTGGTGCAACTATTCCTAATGATGGTTTCGTTAAGCGCCTTCTATCGAATCCTCCTACGGCTGGCGCTGACTTCTCCAGCTCGTGGCCGTCGGTAGGTGGTGCTGCTGCATCGACTACCATTTCTAACCAGACCTCGCGTGGAGCTTTCGTAGCTGGTGGTACAGCTGCTAACGCAATCATGGGGACGTGGAACTACATGCTTAAAATTAAACTCACCGATCTGCATCCTATCTTCCGTGAGCTTGACTTGATGGCTAACCCTCAAATTCGCCTGCGTTTCCGCGTGAATCAGGGAACGTCTGTAGTCGCGGTAGATGCTTCAAAGGGTATGTCGCTAACCTCTACTACTCTATCGTCTGGTAATAGTTGTCCGCTCATGATTGCCGCTTCTGCTACCGGTAATCCGATGAGTGGTGTGCTTGCCGCATCTGCTGGATTTAGTGTTGCTTGGGGAGCTGTTGTTAATACTCTTGAACCTACCATCGATGGTACGTATATGCCTTTCACTACGGCTCGTTTGTATGTTCCTTTCGTGCATCTTGAGAACCCTCAAGCTATCATCAGCAAACCTGTCAAGAAGGTACGCTACAACGATTGCTACGCTCAGTGGTTTTACCAGCGCGCCGGCATTGGTAAGTCCTCATCTCAACTAAATGCTTCTTTCGATCTACAGCTATCGGCAAGTGTTAAGAATGCTAAGTACGTAGTTCTTCTTCCATTTGCGGAACAGACAAACAACTTTGCTTCTGCTACTGTTCAGCAGTTCCAGAGCCCCTTCGATAGCGCTCCATACACTCTACAGCCCGGGTCGTCGATTCGCAACTTTAACGTTCGTATTGGCTCGACTCAGGTGTTCGATATCAGTCATGACTATGATTTCCACCATTTTACCAACGAAATTGCTAAGATTTCAGCGATTAATGGAGATCTAACCCCTGAGCTCGTAAATGGACTACTTGACTATCAGACGTGGTCGCTCACAAACCGCATGCTTATTGCCGACGTCAGTCGCCTGACTGAGCGCGATGTACCCCAAGCGATTCAGATCCAGGGTACGAACGCTGGATGTCAAGGTGTGAATATGCTGATCCTCGTAATTAGCGAACAGGAACTAACGTTCGATAGACTAACCGGAGAGGTTCTAGACTTCACTATAGCGTAAGTAAAAAAAAAGACAAATAATTAACTGTGGTTGGCCACATACTGTCGATGCTTTGCAGATCGTCGATGGGCAGACATGTTTCGATTGGACACTGATACACCACATTCACACTCAATTTTTCTACGGTTATTCTCATTAATACGATCCCTATTAGCAGCTCGATATTGTCGTCTTTGTTCATCTATTTGTTCCTTATTGTCTTTATGATACTGGCGACAGTATTCATATTTTTTATCACGATTAAGTTCCTCATACCGTAATCTCGATTCTTCTCTTTGTTCTTCGCTCACGAAAGCTCGAACTTTATTAACACATGATGTGGAATCAATCGCAAGTTGCTCAAATTCACGTAGTTGTTTCTGCTCAAGAATATCGTGCTCACTAATCAGCTTCATTTCGAAATTGTCGATACCATGCTCTTGAAAATGATGGTATATTGAACAGGCTCTGGATTTTCCGTTTAGCCACCGGCGAAATCCGTACCGATGGTTTTCCCACCGCGCATGAAGTGTCTGAGCCACATACACAATCGATTCGTCTTGGTTGGTGATCTTATAGATATATCCTTTCATTATTATACTATACGAATTTATATATTAGGATCACTCGTAATTATCGCAGCGATAAAAAAAAAGATTTTTCTTTAGTTAAGTTCCTTAAGTAGCTTTGGGCATTTCTCAATCACGAATTCACTTTTACGAAGCCAGTCGATATAGTTCGGATCCATACGACTGATCTGTTTCAGACTCTTACCCTTGTACTTGCCCCAAGTCATCATATATGAATTATCATTATTTAGGAACTTGCTGTGTAGGAATATCTTGATATCCTCACTAATGTTAAGGCTGGGTTGGTTGTGCATCCAACGACAATAGCCAGGTCAGAAGCATATACTTCCTCAGTTGGTTTGTTCTTGTACTTTCTAAATGTGAGTTCGAACGACATGTTATCTCTTAGGTGTATCTATATACATACCCCTTTTAATTTTTTGAGAAAACAATTAATTAAGTAGCTGACTTACCATTTGCTATAGTCTGGGCCCCACCACCCAAGATCTTGCGGATATGGCATTGACTTGATCCACTTCGAATGTTTGTCTTTGTTGCAGTGCTTTGCGAAATTCCATCTCTCCATCGATGATCCACACAAGCAAGTGATTCTTTCATCCATCGGAGCTGAAATTATCTTTTTCCTCATATCTTCACTGACTTCTGGCGAGAAATTTTCAATGGGAGGAAACTTTGAAAATGGATGCATACCACAACGCTCTTGCGATGGCTTAGCCTTACACTTAAATCCACTATCCAAAATGTAGTTGCACATTCCTATTACTTGTAGTAATTGTTATATATACTTATTAATTTTATTTATCAGGATGGGACTTTTTTTGTAAGATAATTTATTGTTTTGTATCACTGCGATATGAACGATCGCCTGTATCTAATGAGGGTTGAGGATGTAAGGAATGCCCCTTTCGCTCTAAGGTGGTCGAGAGGGTGCGTCGTTAGAATAGACAGCTGTTAGATCTTAGTGATCGAGCGGATCTGAAACTACCCCTATACCGAAAAGGCGTTGGTTTTGCTATAAAGTGGTCGAGAGGGGTCGTCGTTGAAATCGCTGCTGTCCTGAAAGAAGGTTTCAGGAATGTTCTCGGTGGTAAATTACGGTAAGGAAAAAAACTGCCGGCGTAATGTTCCATGACCCACTACTGAGGCCAGCGCCGATCACCGCCACGCGATAGGAGCTCTCGAGCGGCGTCTCAGTCGGTTCACTAGTGAGGTTTGGCATGTTTTGCTTGATGCGTTGCAAATTGCAGAGTGAGAAGGAGAATTAACTCCTTTCGAGCTATCGGTCGGTCGTCTTGGCATGGCCCCCCTGGGCAGTCGTTTTCTTCGTTCTCCACGCTGTCAAATCCAGGACTGTTCTCATTGATGATGTTTCGCTGCTTCTTGTCGTGCTAGGTGGTAACATGCTGCACACTCGGAAGCAAGGCCAATTCCTCGACCGCCATGTGCTCCTTCGATGGGAAGAGAGGCCTCGGTTTCGCTACACGACTCGCATTCACGCGGTATCCGTGCCATATGCCGATGACCTCGAGCTTGTCATGCTGCTGCGCTAGGCATCCTGGGCATCCACTGGGCTGCTTGCAGGGCACTTCAAGCACGGTGGCGGTCGTTTACGTTACGCAAAGCACGACCGCCGGATTCCTCCACCGTCAACAAGAACACGCCAACTGCGTGGATTATTTGACCAGGTGATCACTGCTTCACTGAAACCTCCAGGGCTGCCGAGATTCTCGGGCCGAGAATCAGGGTGGATATCGGAAGTACACTTGAATAGCGTGGCAGTACGACAACGACTTCAACGCGTGGATCTTGTAGGGGCGTTGCTTATGCTACGGGAAGAGTTCACTTCGATGAAACTCGTTGTAAACAGCTTATGTTACGCGGACCTGCTGAAGAGGATGGGCAGTTCGTCAACAGGACAGGACGTGCACCGAATTAGGCCTGGCGGAATGATTCCGGGGATGCCGCTGAAAAGATACTTGTACTGGTTCACATCGATTGGTAGTTTTTCTTTGACAAGATTTTGGCCGTTCGACCTCCTACTTATCTCTTCTTACTTGCTTTCGCCCACCAGCTCAGCTGCCGCTTGAATACCTGCGCATCAGCAAGACAATCGGTCAGCGTCCTCCCAGTTCCAAACGACAATTAATGTCTCTATCTTCCACTAACCTGAGAGATATGCAGCTTGCAACGCGCCCTGGAACTTGTAGTCTGTGGCTTCACCGGCAAAAAGCACGCGGCTGGCCACCGTTTCCCGCAGAATGGCCGGGTCCTCGGCCGAACTCTCCACTGTGAGAGAACTGTAGGCGCCCACCGACCACGGATCCTTATCCCACCTGCGTTGAGGGCGAAACACCCCACGAGTTATCGTTAGTTGGGGCAAAATACTGTAGCAAAACTGGCAGAATAGACGCACCTAGTAATGAAGTGGTTCACCGGCTCCGGGATGTTCGGGCCAAAAGTTTCTTGCAGCTGCAGGAAGAGGGCGTGTGCGATCTCTTTATCCGTGAAGGAAGCGGAGATTTTGCTCGCGTTTTCACCGACTAGGACACCCTCGATAATAGGCACCCCCTTGGCAAATTGGTAGTTGAACACCACCGGGAAGTAGACTCGGCGCTCCGAGTCACTACTAGAAGCCGACGTGTCCTTGAGCTGCGCGATGAAGGTCGAGTTCTTGGGCCAGAACACATCGGGAAACTCCACCAAGATCTTCATGTATTGGCCCATCTTCGAGCGTTGGATGGCGCCCAACTTGGGCGCCGGAAGCTCAGGTTGGAAGTGCAGCTTGCCAGACTTAAGGAATCCGAGCGACGAAGTCACAATCACGTGGTCAGCCGTCACTCGACGACCATCACTGCACTCAATGACAACGCCGTCCGCACCCTCGTAGTTGATCGAAGTAACGCACACATTCGTGTGGATCGAGTCCTTCACAGGCTCCGCCAGGTTGTCGATGAAGCGCTCCATTCCCGAAGGGGCGATGCAGTGTGCACCAGCGTTGTCACTACAAAGACAGTAGCAATGTCATTAGCGCGTCGACCGAGCTGTAAAATTCCATTCGCAACTAACAACGTACCCAATGAGCTCGATCTCAGCAAAGTCATCGAGCTGGACTTCATCATCGTTCACCCCCATCCAGACTTCAATCAGCTTCAAACACACGTCCAGTCTCGCGCGTGCATTCGGAGCCTTCACAACCTCCCGGAAGTCTTCATCGGACTCGACGAGGTGGTCCACGATCGCCGACAGCGCCTTCTGCTGGTGGTCTGCGGCATTGGGCGACGTCGCCAGAGCTTGCAGCTTGTGCATGAGCAGATCTTGCCACTGCCACGTCTCGTCCACTTGCTGCTGAGGCAGTTGTTCGCGTCCGTTGAAGAACAAAAAGTTCTTGCACGAGCCCGGGTGCAGCCACGGATTCCGCGGCGCCACCTCCTTGAAGGCGATGCCGAACTTGCGCGCCAAGTCGGAGAACGGGTTGCCCTCGGTGCCGTGGATCCACGCGGCGCCCACCTCCACGTTGACCGGCAGCGTGTCGCTGAACGGTTGCGTCTGCACGCGCCCGCCGATGCGCGACTGAGCTTCCAGCACGCAGACGTCACTGGCCGCGAACTTGTTGGAGGCGAGCAACGCGTTGGCAGCGCTCACGCCAGCCAATCCGGCGCCGATCACCGCCACGCGGTACGAGCTCTCGAGTGCAATGGCAGACTTGGTGGCCATACTTGGGGTGTGAGATGGGAGTGCAGGAATGCGGACCTCTCGGTTGGAAGGCAGGGTCGCAAATGACACGCAAAAAGGAGCTGAGCTCGACGAGCCCAACGAGCCGAGCTCGTCGATAGTGTTATGGGTAAATTCGAATAAACCAATCATCGTGCTTCCCGGGATTGTTCGGGCTGCAGGATTGGCTGAAATCAACATGGCTACAATGGCCTTTGATTCTGTTACGGTCTCTGGTAGAAGGCATTCCTCCCTGTAATCAGCAACCGAGCCTACGGTAGAATTGCGTAGAATCGATCATCATGCAAAACACAAGAGTAGGGTTCGCTAAGGCGGAGGGCACCGTAGCATTTCAGCTGCTGTAGTCGCAGCACGGAATACAGCTAGTCGTACTTCCGTTTTTGATTCAGCATGGACTATTGGATCGAGTGTGAGTCCATGTTACTCGTAAACGGTCATGTGTCACCATAATGCACGCGCAAGCCCTTCAATCTTAGCACGAGTCATCAGATGCCGCTCCCGAGCCAAAATATCAGCATAGGGTGAGTGGGTACTTAAATACCTGACACTATTTTTTACGTTGGTAAGAAGCACTTTAATGGCAATGCTATGGCGCAAGGAACCGGGGATCACCCAGCTTTTCGTTCGCCCCCGATTGCAACCACAAGTCTTTCAAATAGACCGGTACGGGTACAAGCCTACAAGAAGTAGAGTAAAGTATCCAAAAAGTACTGTAGCCATTTTCAACGTGAGCGTCTATTGGCTGAACCAAACCGTGAAATCCAAAACCTTTTTGGCGCTACAACCCGCAGAAGATGCCGCTGCCCAAGCGCGCCTTCGTGGCGCTGCAGGACCGCTTCGTGAGCTCCTTAGCGGTGGCCTGTTGCCCTACCATGGATCTGGTCGCAGTGCTCACACTGGACCACCACCTCCTGGTTCACGTGCGTCTAACCACAATGATGTTTAAAATAATTATTTTCAACTAAAATAGTCCTATCAAATTAATTAGATAATTTTCTAACGTTAGTATATTCTTCACTATTTTCTTAGCGGACGACGTCATGGCAAAAGCTGCTGCACATTAAGCCATCGGACGTCGGCTTCGAGATAGTGACGCTGGCCTGGAAACCCGATGGACTGCAGCTCGCTGTCGGCTGCGACGAAGGAGACGTGGCAATTTTCGAGATCGAGTCGGGCGAAATTATTCCCGAAAGACGGAGCAGTCTCCGTCATGAACATCGCATCACGGCAATGCACTGGGCTCAGATCGGTGATGCTGAGGCTTCAAAGGCAGGTCCCAGCAACAAACGGCATCACCCGAAGGATTTTGAAGGTGATTGGGGGACGTCTCAATCGAAGACGCGATTTCAACGTCGTTCCTCGAGGTTTCTTGCCGGTCACAGTAACGAAGCAGTGAGTGACGATACGGTGCTGGTTACTGCTGATGAACGGGGCTTTATCGCTTTGTGGTGGATGGGGAGAGTGATGCTGACGAGAATCGACGTGAGCGAACACTTTTCGGAGGAAGAGCATCAGTTTGTGGGTGGTCAACAGGAAGGGGGCAGTAAAGATTGTTTCCGGATTGAGCGGGTGGATCTGGCGCACGATCTGTCGTTGTTGTTCGTGTTGCTGGTCTTTTCGAGTAGTGATGGTAGCCACCCAGCAGCGTCAGAGACGAAGCTACATCGCATTCTCACTATCGACTTGGCTGCAATCCAGCGCATCCATGAGGATGTGGTGCTTGTAGCCGACACTGTAGATCGCGTCCAAGCGATTTTGGACCGAGTTGTTGCTACTGGAAGACAAATGACCACAGAATGGAAAAATGCCACTCGCATTTTTGAGCTCAAGATGGGGTTGATCGGGTCTCTATACGAGAAATACGCATGCGAGGACCCCCCACAAGTCGACATGCTGTCTGTAGCGGTCACGGGTATAACATCTCCTGCGCTCGCACAATACTTCGCGCAAGATATTCAGGAAATGGTAAGTTAGTGATGCTGTTATCATTACTGTCGCTGTTGCAGCGCTTAACTGACAGACTGTGTGTTGCAGAGTGTCCATCGCATGCAAAAAGCTCTATTTAGTGGCTGTGATACGTTGAGGACCATCGCTGAAGACAGAATGAAGCGTGACTTGGTTGACCTGATATTTCTGCTATCGGAGATGCGTGGTCGTGCGAAGTGGAGTCAGCAAGCTTACACAAATACGCTCGGTATTACGGAAGGCGCTCTTAATACTCTCGTTAGCACTACGCAAGACGCTCTTTTGGAGATGGAGAAATTTACGCTGGTGCTTCATGAAACTCGTCAGGACTTCGCACTCTTTTTCCAGTGGATTTTAGAGCGTATCCGTGTTCACACGAGCGCAAGAGAAGATGGACCAGGTGGAAACGCGTCCCGTGAAGTAGGTGCTACTGCTCACGGCGCAAAATCTCTCCTAAATTTGCGACGACTGTGTGACTTTTTACAGCGCGCAGCAGAATATGCACAGCATTACCGAGAGCAACAGCCAAGTCACAACAAGTACAAGATTGAAACTACCTTTGGCAACTCGGTGTCTCGGCAACTGTCTACGCGGCCAGTCCCATCAGGGAACAGCACTGAAAAGTCATCGCAGGGGTGTCTTTCTCTCTTCAAAAGCCTTCAAGACCAATGGGTTACTTTGCTCGGTTTGATGGCGAAGACACTCGCAAAAGCCACCGCTCGTGAGAAAAGTGGGTGTTTCTCAATAGGGAGCAGCAAGAATCTCGTAGAGGAGTGTCACGTCCATTTTCGCCACGCGTTTAGCTCGCAGAGGCTCGATGATACTGAAGATGACGACCAAAGTGACGATGAAAACCAAGAAGAGGCGATTGACTGGGGCTCGTTAGCACACTTCGGACCTAATGAAGATCATCCGACAAATCGTAGCACGCTACTGTTGGGGTTTCGTCTGCAGTCTGGTGTTTTAGTGCTGCTGCGAGCGAGTCGTGGTGTAGACCCCCCTCATGTTCACTCTTCTCATCTGGTATGGGACTCAGCTATTGTCCGCTTTTCCGATGACAATTCAGCAACACCAATCGCGTGCCAGAGTTTCGATTTTTATGGTGACGAAGCCTCGGGAAAAAGTGAGCAGCTAGCGCTTTTGCTCGACCGGAAGACTGATGAAGCTCACCAAGGTACGAACTGTTGATCCGGACAACTCATTGTGCGAATAATACGTAACACGAGTCGTTTATGATTTGATACAGAGTGGCTGTATTTGCAGAGGTATGATCACGTTGAGTTCTCAAGCACCAACTCGCCTAGCGACTTCGAGGTGGGCACACGCAAGCGACCAAAGCAGCTTTTATGAAGAACATAGGCATGCTTGAGTACACTAACCGTTGTCTGTTGTCGGTACAATTCCTAGACATTGTCAGGTCAAGGCCCAACTCACACTTTCCGGCTTGATCAAGTTCGAGGAAGGGTCGTAACTTCTCCTGTTCAGTCAGGTAGAAGTACAGCCTCTGTGCATGCGAATGCTTCTCGAGGTGTTCTATGCGTCACGGTACCTCCCAGTCGTTTGGCAATCTTTGATGCAGAGGATAGTGAGGATGAAGATGAAGAAGATGAGGAGGACTAACATTGCTAAAGCTCTGGTGCTAACAAGTTAAGAGCCGATTGCAGTGCTCTTTAGTTCGTGACGGTTGGTTTTTGCGTTCGCCCAGAGCCCGTGCGCTGGATCTGGAATCCATCCCCGCTCAGCAGCTCATCAACAAGCGCTGTGACGTCGGTCTTCCGCATGGCCAAATAACGCTCCGAGGGCCGGCGTTGGCCATTAACATCTCGCAACGATATGCTCGATCTTCGACCAGCGCGAAACGCGCTCATAGTGGCGGCACCGTCAGGGCGCAGTCGGACTGCAGGTAGATGCCCACTACTCCCCGTTGGGTGCACAGTCGACAATGTGGTAGCGCAATTTGGACGTCGTGGTGAAATGTCATCAGGTTGAAGAGTTCCGGCCATTGCAGGAATTGTTGGTGAAGACGATGCGAGGCTATCCATCTCAGTCACAGCGGTTGCGTACATCTCCATCGAACCTGGCAGCATGACGGGGGATCCAGGTGCGAAATGGGCACTTGAATGGCGTGCAGTCTTTTGAGGCTGGAGATCAGGAACATGTGCTAATACTTCAACTGCGGTTTGGTCCTCCGGTTCTTCGCGTGGTGTAGTACTTGTGTCCGAACGAGGAGAGTACTGGGCTGACTGAGCAGCTACCTCTGCTGCAACGCTCTGAGCCATAAGGCCAAGACCCAATCCAGTGGACGACACAAAGGAAGAGTGTCTTCGGTGGAGCATGGATATTCCGCTTACACTTGCTCGAATAGTGTCGTGATCACCCCCACGACGGGTGATGTTCAGCTCGGCTACGCGCTCGCGATCGACGGATGTTAGCCCGATGGCGTCGTTGTTTTGCCAACCTGAGACGACCTTCTGCTGTCGCGTGATCGATTGAATTATCAGTGACCGGATCTCATCCATTACTCGGGGATATTGAGCTTCAAACTCATCGAGACATTCACGCGGCAGCAAATACGTCCCTGTTGCTCGCATAGCGAACAAGTTGTACTGTGCCACTGTCTCTGTCAGAGTTTCCTTGTAGCCGAAGAACTCTCCTTCGTAAATCTTAGCAATGGTACCCTGGTGGTCTGCGATGACATGGTCGCCCCCAGATGACTGACTTCTACCGCTCGTCATTGTTGCGTGAGCATTCGGCACCGGAGCGAAATGGCGTGTCTTCGCGATAACAGCTCCGTTCATCAAGAAAAAGATGCCACTGACGGGGTTGTCTTGGTAAATCAGGATGTCCCCTTCCAGAAAGAATTGTGGCACGAGTCGAGGCAGCATGAGCGTGAGGAACCACTTGGGCTTTTTATCAAAGAAGCGGATCTTTGATACCACGCCACCATTGAGAATGAGAGTAAGCTCACTGCGTAGAGAATAACTGAGAGCATCCAGCAATGAATTCTCTGCAAAGAACGTCTTTTCACTATCGACGAATCGCAAATGCTCCTGGCAGGCCACAATGAACTCGGTCGAGACGCCACGTTCTTTGATATAGGCATTGACACGCTGGACCATTTCGTGCTCTCGGTTCATCAGACTTTTCGAGTTGCTTGCCACTTCAATGACAGTACCGACCACGTACGCAAACAATGTGGTGCCACCGATAAGAACCAAAATGCAGTAGGCCTTTTCGAGGTCGTTCACAGGAACAATATCTCCAAATCCGACGGTGGTCATAGTTGTGATAGCCCAGTAAATGCTGGCAATGTACTTGGACAGGATCGAGTCTGGGTCCTCAAAGTATAAGTTGCCCCACCACGCATCATCTGCATCCCGATCGGCCGACATGTAGAACCAGAAGCAGCCGACGTAGTGGGCAATAATCATCACTGGGGCTAGAAGCTTGAGAAGTCGGACTGTGTCGACGTTGATATCGAACTCTGCCATCCATTGCGAATTCATTTTGAGCAGCTTCGAAAGGCGCATTAGACGCAGCAACTTGATGAGCTTGAGGGTGCGGATAAGTCGTAAGGACTTGAATACATTACCCGCTGCAACCGCCTCAACAACGAAGTCAAACGGGATCGTAGCCATGATGTCGACGAAAAAAGTCGTCTTCAGATAGTGGCGACGGATTTCCTTCCGATCAACGATCTCCACCCCTGTATCGTCGACGTACGTGGTGCAAAAACTTAGAACCACGTCCAACACAAACAATACGTCGGAAATGCGATCCGTGGCGTAGAATACCAGGACATCCTGCACATCGAAGGCTATTCGAAACGGCACAGTGACGGCAGTGATGGAGACCATGAAGCCCATTACGATGTCCCACGAGATTCGCAGCTTGGAGTAGTGGCGAATAACGGACCAGTGCGTCACCACTTCGTCGCCTGCAACGGTCATGTCCATTCGAGTTATCAAGTCGGGTGCCATCGTGTGGAGGTTTATCGAAGAAATCGATTTGCGATGCCGTTTGTGGAGAAATGGTTCCCCTCTCGTAAATGACTCGCGTCGAACCGCCCGAATCGACCTCATCCGTTGCATGGCTCGCCTTCCTCTCCTCGCAGACTCCTCATATCTCTCACCCAAGATCACTGCTAAATCCTCAAGATACTTGTGAGCTACGGGGCACTTATCAATCGCTTCGAGGAGATCCTTGCTGTACATCGCATAGAGCTCGGTTTTTGATATCGAGCGGTAGGTGTGCGTGTACCGTCGACGAGAGTTCACAAGATACTCAATGCCACAAATTTCACCAGGCGAGAGAGACCCTACCACAAGGTTGGACTGCACGGTCTCCACCGAGCCAGATGTGAGGAAATAGAGCTCCTCCCAAACGCTTTCAGCATCCACAAGTACTTGTCCGGGGCCAAGAACTATTGGCCTCAGTCGCGGTATTGCGAACACGAAAAATTCCACAGAAGTCATACCGAAGAAAGGAAACTTTTTCACGAACGATTCCATTGACGCAGCAAGGATTTCGTACTGGAGGCTTTTGGGGAACTGCTGTAGTAAATAGTCTTCATCGAATACTGTGCGGTGACTCCAGTGAAATTCAAACTGTGAGATAACTCGCTGACGGAGACGTCGTGGAATGCCACGCTGGATCAGGAACTCCTTGGTGTCTTGCAGCTTCTGTTTCAGCATGATGCCTCGTGGGTTATAGTTTTCCGTAAGCATTTGAATGTTTGCGATGATCATACCAACGCAAATTGAGCCGAGACACGCCACGAAGATCGAGTACAGCCGCTCCCCATCAGTGATCCCATAAATCTCACCGTATCCCACGGACATCATGGTATTCGATACCCAGTAGAAACTTACAAGGTACGGGCTTTTGAAGCCCTTTGCTTCGATATTGGTGACCCAATTCGGGCCCGTTGGATCCCATGTGTAGAACATATACCATCCGCAGGCCACGAGATGGATGATGAAAATAATAGTGAGCAAACTCTTGAGGGTTTGGAGCACATGCGCGTTGAGTGCGTCCACTTGCACAGCTTCCATCGCGCGCTTGAGCCGCAACAACCGCATGAGCTTCAGCAGGCGAAATAACCTGAATACGCGGATAAGCTTGAGCGTCAGTAGAGAGGATGACGCGTTGGTGACCACTTGTAAAAACTGGTCTAGAGGGACAGTGGAGGCGATATCGAAGATAAACCAACTGCGAAGGTATCGTTGACGAATTCTCCGAAGCTCGCACACCAACACGTCTTCGTCATAGTATCCTGTAAAAAAGTTGAGGATCACGTCGACGGCGAAGCTGCTATCAAAACAGTAGTTCATTATCTGCTCCCACCCCTACAATAAAATAAAAGCACAAAACAGTTAGTCCATGTTCGTTTGGTAGCGTAAACCAGTTAGTTTCTCACAGATAGGTCGATGCCAAACCCAATCCGATATGGTATAAGGATGACACTGTAGGCAATGATAAACCCGATCCAGAGATCCCACCGCACTTTCCACGCGGCACGCGGTTGAATGAACCAGCGGTCGTATTTCACTTTCTCCGGCTGAATTACAGGCACGAGATCATTTCGGCGTACGCGTCGGGGCGCTGTGTATAGCGAAGGGTCCGGGAATGACTTTTGTTGCTGTAGCTTTCGTTTCCGAGGCAATCCTTTCGCGATAGATAGAGCATTATCATGGACAAAATTCGCCACAGTAGCAGCTCGTGGAAATGTCCGGGAACCAAACGACGAACTTCTGTGAGCCGGTTTATCTGCTGCTGATGCTGAAGTCGATGCCGTAGCTGTGCGCGAAGCATCGATACTCGACCGCGTAGGTGAATTCGCAAGCGGTCCCAACCGCACCGTCGCCACATCCTGAACCTTCTTGCGCCACGGATGGATCAATGTGCGTTTCATGGCGAGAGCCTGCTCTGTGCTGGGGAATGCGTCGGTGACAGCACGTCTTGCCCTCTCACGACACGATCAAAAAGCATACAGCAGCTGAAGACGCCAGCATCCACCGAAGCGCGCAGACCCAAACGCGCGCACGATCCGTCTGCCCAGCTGAGCTCAACAGTAGCAGGTAGATGGAAAGACAGACTTGCGCTGGGTTGTAGCTGTTGGAAGCGTGGGAAGCCCTGCACAAGTTCGTTACGTGCTCGAGGCCCACTTGGCCAAGATTAGCACCATGCTTCCCTGTTTTCCACCGCGGCTAAATATACCAAGCTCAACGCAAACCCACCTTCACCACACGGGGCGGCTGTTAGCGTTCGGGTCGGTCGACTTGTGCTGGGAACTCGCAAGAAAAAAATGCACAAAGGCCTCGTCAATATGCAAGAAAGAGCACTCGTATTGTTGTCGCAAGCGCCCTCACGTCACTCGTTTCCATCCTCCTGGTTGACAGTAGCTGGGGGAATCTAAAAGGGCATCTTCATACCCATGCTCTGGGCCATCTTGGCCATATCGCCTAGTGCGCTGGGGTCCATACCTTGCATCTGCTTCATCATCCGCATCATGTTCTGCGGGCCGCCCATCTGCGCCATCATCTTCGGGTCCATGACCTTGGAGAGCTGCTGCATCACAGCGTTCGGGTTGCGAGCCATCTGCTTGCCGAGTGCCGCATCGCCAGTCTTCATGAGGCCACTCTTGCCCATGCGGCTCACAACGGTCGCGAACTGCTTGTGGCACTTAAGCAGAAACTCAACCTCATAAAGCTGGCAGCCCGAGCCACGCGCGACGCGCGTCTGGCGCGATTCCGAGAGCGGCACGATGCCATCAAGCTCAGCGTCCGTCATACTATCCATCATAAAGAGGAACCGCCGGAGCCGCTTCGAGGCCTCTTCCTCTCCGCCGCCCATGTTCATCATCTCGCTCATGCCCTGCGGCAGGCCAGGAATCATGGACATGACCTTGCTCAGCGGTCCCATCTTCATCACGCTCTGGAACTGTTTGTACATGTCACGCAGCGTGAACACGCCCTTCTGGAACTTTTCGACCATTTCCTCTTGGTTATCCAGCATGCCGCTGGTCTTCACCTCCTCCATCAGTCCGCGGATGTCTCCCATGCCCATCAAACGACTCACGAAGCTCTGCGCATTGAACGACTCAAAGTCGGCAAAGTGCTCGCCCGTACCGTAGAAGATAATCGGCGATCCAGTAGCCGCGACGGCACTGAGAGCACCGCCACCCTTGGCGTGACCGTCCAGCTTGGTAATGATCACACTTCCGACGTCCACCGTTTCACGGAAGGCGCTGGCCTGGTCGAACACAGCCTGACCGATGGTCGAGTCCATGACGAACACCACGTCGTCGGGCTGCACGGCCGCCGAGACCTCCCTCATCTCGGCGAACAAGTCGGCCTCCTGCTTGTGGCGACCACTGGTATCCACGAGAATAAGCTCGTAGTTCTCGGCCCGGAACTGGGCCACACCTTCCTCCGCGATGCGGACGGGGTCGGCCTCCGTGTAGCTACCGTAGAACGGGATGCGCAGCTTAGTAGAGTTCTGCTTGAGCTGGTCAAAGGCACCGGCTCGGAAGGTATCGGCACAGACCATGCACGTCTTCCAGCCCTTGCGCTGGTAGTGGTGCGCGAACTTGGCGATGCTCGTGGTCTTACCGCTACCCTGCAGACCCACGAACATGATGACGTTGCTCTGGCCCTTCTTCATCTTGTAGGGCTGCGCCTCGGGCTCCAGCATCTGCACGAGCTGGTCCACGACCGACTTCTGGATGAGGCGCCGGCGGTTCACGCCCGAGCTCGCGTCCTCGAGGCTCACGGCCAGCTTGACATTGTCGCGCAGCTGCCGCACCAGCTTCACCTGCACGTCCGACTCGAGCAGCGCGCCGCAGATCTCCTTCAGCAGCGCGCTGAACACCTCGTCGTCCACCACCGTCGTGCGGTTGAGCTTGGCCAGCGCGCCCTGCAGCTTGGACCCGAGCTCCGCTAACACCATGGTCGATCGATCGCCCCCGCCTTGTTGCTCTCCCCTTTCGCGTTTGGCACTTGGGATTTGAATGGGGCTTGGAAAACCTTCCCACGGGCATATGCGATGAGGAAGGTTAGACCATCACTCTCGCTTCACATGGCCAGTGCGCCATTCTTCAATCTGCCTCGTGGATGACCAAGTGGCTGCGCTCAGTGCTGTCGCTTGCTGCCGCGCGCTCGCCCCCCGCGTCTCTCAGTACCCGTAGAAGTGCCACCGCCGCCTTTGTGCGCAACATGTCCAGCAGCAGCAGCAGCAGTAGTGACCCCATGAAGCTCTCGGACGAGGAGTGGAAGCAGCGTCTGACGCCCATGCAGTTCCAGGTGCTGCGCCTCAAGGGCACGGAGCGCGCCGGCACGGGCGAGTACAACAAGCACAAGGAGACGGGCGTGTACGTCTGCGCTGGCTGCAAGACGCCCGTGTACACGTCCACTACCAAGTTCGACTCGGGCTGCGGCTGGCCCGCCTTCTATGACGCCATCCCCGGCGCCATCAAGGTGCACCACACCCGTCTGCTATGCAAACGCAGTGTTGCTCTATCTAATTACTGTTGTATGATAACATGCAGGCTGTACCGGATGCTGACGGTCGTCGCACGGAGATCATGTGCGCCAAGTGCGACGGGTGAGGAGGCCGACGCTGCGTTTGAGCGTTTGTTGCTTAGATTCATCTAACGCGATTCGATCTTTTGCTTGTTTTTAGCCACATGGGTCACGTGTTCAAGGGCGAAGGCTTCAAGACGCCTACGGACGAGCGCCACTGCGTGAACAGTGTGTCGCTCGTGTTCCACGCCGGTGAGGTCCCCCCACAGTAATCAAGGATCGTGCCCTGGCTGCTCTGCAACAAATTCTGGAATGAAGTACTGTTGGAACAGACTGTGCGGGCAGCAGAGTAACGTTAACGAATCGGTATTTCAACTCACAGATATGCTTTCCTACTATAGCAAACTGTCGTCTTCTTGGTCGCTGGAGTCTCCGAAGCAGTTATCTGCAGTGAGGTGCTCCAGTTCCGCTGGATGCAGCACGTAGCGTTTCTGATGGTTTATCGTTGTAGGTAGCAGCCAGTCCTTGGTAGTCTCACCAAACACCACCCTGCAGTTCTTCTTCCATCCCTGGTTGAATGGGAACGCACGGCCGTACGCGTGGCATTCGATGGTAGTTGCGCCGTGCGCCAAGAGATACGAGTGAACAGCGATGAAGCCTAGCAGACTGATAGCCAACGCTCCGCCGAGCACAAACCCAACAACAGCCATCGCAGAAAAACTCTCAGCACCACGGGGCGCGTCGTCACTGAAAAGTGCGGCTTGGAACGGCCCAGCAAGAGCCCGTACGCACATCGACAGCGCCAGGAACGCGTACACGACAAACTGGAAGAAGAATTTGTAATTGCCCTCGCCGACGCAGTTGGCGACCCACGGGCAGTGGTGATCTGCACACCACAGACACAAGATGGCACAATAGTGTCAATACATGGCTGTCCAGTTCGGTCGAACACCAGCACCACGTACCCATCTTCAGCACGCAGCGATTACAGAAGCTGCAGTGGTGAGCTCGAAAGGGTTTGATTTGATTGCACCGCCGGCACGAATTCATCGTGGGCGGGCTCTTGCTGCCACCCTCTTCCAGGGCCTCTTGCATCGCGTCCTTGATGCGTTGCACCACAGCAGGCGTCACATACCCGGGGTCTGCGCTCAAACAATAAACACTCAGCACTCGGATTCCTCTCCCTTCCCGTCACTGCACGAGCTCGCACCTGTGAAGACCACCTTGTAGTACGCGACCAGCATGCACCCTACCACGAAGTGGAACAGAGCGACCTCTAGTATCCGCAGCAGAATGTAGAAGCCCACCGCTCGCTGGAACGCGGGAAGCCAGTGCTCGCTCACAAACACGTAGTACTCGAGCGTCACGATCGCCGCCACCATGACCACGGGCAGCGTCGACACCGAGCGAAGCAGCGCACTGGTCACGTTCACAACAACACCATGATGTCAACACCCCATAGACGCAATGGACGCCGCACAGCTTCAGCCTTCCTCCTTACTTGTCATGAACGCGCAGCATTCGCGTCTCCCGAGCGAGATACTGCAACACAACTGAGTCAGTCAGTCAACAATAGCAGCTACGACGGGTTTACCTGTCTTGTGATTTTTATGGTGTGCCACACACCCTTCCATATTCAATATCCGCCTCCCATAGCTGCTATTGCTGGGAACGTGGCAAGCGCAGGCGCAATTCAATAGCCGATCGATCGATCCCCCATTCGAGCTCGAGGCAGGTAACGGCCATGGGGAACACGGTGACGCTGCACAGCGCCTGCGAGTACGGCGACCTGGCCGAGGTGCACCGCCTGCTCAAGACCGCGACGGCCGAGGAGCTGGAGGCCACGGACGACAGCGGCCGCACGCCGCTGCTGCTGGCCGTGGCCAGCTTGAAGCATCTGCGCGAGCACCAGGAGCTGGACGACTTCGACGACCTCCACGGCTTCGGCGACAGCGACGACGAGGCGTCGACACCGGCAGATGAGGAGGAGGCGGAGGCGGAAGAGCAGCAGACAGAGCAGCAGCAGCAGCAAGATCCGGCGGCCAACGAGGCCCGGGACAGCTCCAACAGCAGCAACAGCGAGGCCGAGGAGACCGTGAACGAGGTCAAGGAGGACGCAGACCTGGAGCTCATGCCCAAAGAGGCGGAGATCCTGCACTTGCTGCTGCAGCGCCGCGTGAATGTGGACCACAAGGACGAGAACGGCTGGACGGCGCTGCACCACGCCTGCTTCGTGCAGAACGCGGTGGCCATCAAGATGCTCATCCACGCGGGGGCGCGCCCCATGAGGGAGAGCTACGGCCTGCTGCCGCAGGACTTGCTGCAGAGAGGGCACATGTCCGAGTGGGTCGCGCAAGCGCAAGAGCTGAAGGAGTCGCTGGATCAGATCACGGAAAAGAGCGCGTACGCCATGAAGCTGCTGGCCTTCCGGCCTAGCGGCATCGTTCAGCTGGATATGGGTGGACAGGTCGAGAAGGGCTCGTTCGTTACATGTACGTTAACTGTGCTAGCATGTTGGTTGGAGTGGGGGTTCTAATGGATGTTGGGTACTGGACGCAGTGGAGTACGACGTGCCGGAGACGCATTCCGTGAAGGATTACATCCAGGTGTTGATCTCAGAAGAAGACTCGGCCGATATCGAGATCGGGTCCTATCACTACGTTCCTGCGGGCGCACATGGGCAGCTAACTATCAGCACGAAGGACATCCCACCGACCAGTACGGTTCGCTTTGTGTACGTGAAGTGCGACATCAATACGATGTCGCGGCAGGTGGTGGCTAGCGGCTGCAATGCGGTTGTTCAAGCCTCAGTTGGCGAGATTTTCCAGTACGAGTTGTTCTTGTACGAGCGTGTCGTGGAGGTGGAGAGTATCCCGGAGTTCGAGTTCATCGACCAGCCGCTGATTGTGCTCAAGCGCATTGGTATCGTCGTGGGTGAGGATATTGATTGGGTCACGATCCGTCCAGACAACCACATCGTTGCCGTAAACGACATTCGCATTGACGCGATGGATTTTGCAGAAGCTGTGCGCGTTCTCCAGGAGAACAACGGACGACAATGTACAAAGTTGCTGATGCAAAACTACTCGGCTTGCGGCGACTTTATCCCGGAAAAGATTTTAGGCGTGGGTGTCATTGGCAAGTACGCCTATTTGCATCCGGTCGACGAAGAGCAAGATGCGGAGGGCGATGAGCAGACGTACGAAGAGTGGGTACGCAACAGTCACAGCGACGAGAATGGTGAAGGAACGGCTGAAAATCCGTGCCCTGAGGAGGTGAATTTGGGAGCGGTGAGCACGCTTTCGTCGGCAATTCAGATGCCTTCAGAGACGATCCCGATGTCTACAGAAGCGACGGAAACGTCACCTCCGCCTTCCGTGTTGTCGCTCGCCCCTCCTGCAGAGGAGCGTGTGGAGATCAGCAAAGTGGTTGCTGATGACCACGACGACCCGGCCACGATGGACAGAGAAGAAAAAATATCCGCGTCTTCAACCATAGAGACCGTTGTGCCACTACACAACTCGCTGCAACTCGTAAGTACCTTCGCTTACCGTACCTATTTGACCTTATGACCTGACACTAAATACTCATGCTGTTTTTAATGTGTTTGCAGGTAGCCCAGCTTCAGCATGGCATTTCGATCGGCCACGCGGCTAGATGAACAGCCACTTGCGCCGTGCCCCGGCTGCTGAAGTGCTTGGGGGAGAACTGGTTTCCATATCGTTTGCTAGTGATAAAGTCGAGAGTGCTCCAAATAGAGAGGTCTGCTTTGGAGATTTTGAAGACACCAGCACCAAGCAGAAAGAAGCCGAGGCAAGAACATACAGCAGACAAACATTAAACCAACCCGGTGATTTATTAGCATTTGAGATGAACAATTAAAACCGTGTCTTAGTGTTTTCGTCCCTACTGCTGGCAATCGGAAGAGTGGGGAGGGGTCCTGAATACCTGCACCACTTAGCTTTCCTTGTTCTTCAGAAGATTGCACTCCAACCCCTTCACTTCAAGCTTCCTTCGGTCCTTGTCTCCGGCGGCATTGTTCATGTACAGTTTGTAAAGTTTCGCATACTTGGCTTCTTTTTCCGACTTCGCTTCCTCCTCAGCCTCTTTCGGTTCTTTCTTTTCCAGACACCACCTGGTAAATATTTCCCTGATGTGATGGTGCGTCTCGACCAGTTCCTCTAGCTCCTCGGGGAGCGAGAACAGACCATCTCTGTCTTCGTGGACCGAAGCAGCGTCCGCGTCGTTCTTGTCATCGCTTCGCAGGTGCCGCTGGCCAGACTTGGTCCCTTGTGCGTTCGTGCCCGCGGAGACAAAGTTGCTGGTAGTTAGAAGAACGACCGTGGTGACCAAAAAGGCGTTGTAAGCACGCATCGGTCTTGTGCAGTAGCAGTCGAGTGACCTGAGCTCTTTCTGGTGAATCGTTGAATGAAGCAAGGGGCAAGGAATTCAGAGAATACTATGCCAGCTGAGAACAGCCACACAAGCACATCTTATGCAAACTCTGAGCAACACCACGATGTGTACGAATCGTACAGTACCAATGGGGCAGTTTACGGCACCTTTGGTAGGATCATTGTGTGCTTGAAGTATTTTAATATGTGTTAAAACACATACAGTATATGTACTTCGGAGAACCTGGCAGGTAGTGCTTGTCAATTGATGCACAAGCTAAATAATTTTGATAATCCGAGTTTTTTCTTCATACAACATGCATGCTGCACTACTTTTTGGATTGAAGATGAAAGGTGCTTGCCGACGACAAAGTAAAACGATGCAAAACGCATGCTGTATCGAGGACCCAAGTTTGTAAACCTTTGTTTACAATTGGAACGCCCATCTTTCTTAGACCCTATTGATGTTATGAAGGATCTGATCGAGAAAGAATGGATTGAGCACAGCTGGGTCTGAGGCGGCCATGGCCAAGCTATAGATATCGAGCTGTGATACTCCACTTCAGAGGCAACACAAAATAGTTGTACTGCGAAGTAATTTAAGTACTAGTGAAGAACGCCGTAATAGTGACCAATCTCACACTGCACAAGGAGGAAATCAATCTTTCTTTTTCCTTCTCAATTGTGGGCCTTGAAAAGATCGCTGCTTTGAGCATATGCAACGCTGGCGGATGTAAACAGTGTGATGACAAAGTTTATGGTGCCGCACCATGGGCGCCACCAACGTTAGATTACATATTCCTGCCTCAAAACACAGCATTTTAAAACTTACATTGTTAGATGTAATAGACTGCATTGAAAGCAAGTAAGACAATATAGTGCTACGCGCCGCCAATGCACCACTGGCGAGATGAACCGAGTTGGCGATGAAGCAACAGAACACGAGGCTAGAAGTACTACGAAGTGCTTTTGAAGTCGTATTAACAGTAACAAGGAAAACATCGTGCTTTTGATACGTCTATTTGCTCCTATGCTCCTCCATATCCATTTACACATTGCACTCCAGCACGAACAGTCTTCTTCCATGCTGCGAGCGTAGCAATTTGTATCTCTTGAAGAGCGCCGCAGCCTTCTTTTCGTTTTCGGTTTCTGCCGCCTTCATCACCTCCTCGGGCTTCTTATCTTCCAGACACCACCTTGTGAAGATTTCTCGGATGTGGTTGTGGTGCTCGACATACTCCTCAAGGCGCTCCGGCCACTCAAGCAGGTTTTGGCTTCTCAGGTTGCGCTTCTCGCCGTCAAATGCCGTCGATATTTCGTCTTGGGCTGAGTTCGCCGAAGCGGCAGCCAGGATGATGGCCGTGGCAACCAGAGTGAAGTGACAGACGCGCATCGTAGGTCTTAGCACTCACAGCGGAGCGTGGTCGAGTTGACTTCGGACTCGCTGGGGAAAACGTGGAATGACCACGGGCTCTGGGATCATCAGACCAGCGAAGAGTCGACCGCTATCCACACGTCTTGTCGGCTGGAGCTGAGAGCAGCCGTAAAAGCAGATCCCATGAGCAACGCAGAGCGATCTGCTCTCCGTACATCTGCCACTAAAATGAGACGGGCTGGTGGCTGGACGGTGTGTGTCCACAGCGCGTTGCCACGCCGGTCGTGGTCGTCACCGTCGACTTGCCAAGCAGCTTTCGTTGGGAAACTAGCGAACTGCAGTGCAATTGGCCACTCCGACGGCGACTGGCGGCTCGGTATATCCGGGACTAGAGAGGTTGCTTGCATCGTGCACTGGGCAAGAGCTTCTGGAGGCTGAGCTTGAGTGCTTTTGTATGTAAACTAATACATGTAGTGTTCACGGGTGAGCTAAGGAAAGAATCGATGTTAGCTTCGCCCATCAAGGGCGGGGGTGACACGTGAGTCAGGTGCATTTTTGATCCGCAGCCTGCTGTCTTACATGTACCGTCAATTGAGTGGGAGGAGATGGAGGATCAAAAGGATCAACTTCAGCTCGCCGTGGACGAACGAAGGAAACTTCAGAAACTTCAGATCAAAATCGCTTTTAGACTCTGGTCCACTTCAAAGTCAAAACCAAAATCCTGATTCTGCATTTTTGTGTGTGTACTGTACCAAAATACCGGTATACCGGTATACCGGTACGAACTATATAATAATTACAGTTTGGTCAATCCAACGTGCCCCATTTTGTGGCTCTGGACATCAGGGTTTCCGGGAAGCATCAAGTGACCAGGTGTTTCGGCTTGGCTCCCCTCGTCCCCCATGCGCTCTCGCTGCACGTCACTCCTGCTGCAATCGCGCCGCTCGGCGTCCCTGCAGCTGTCGCGCCTGTCACCCCTGCTGCAGTCCGCGCGATGGCAGCACACGGAGGCCAGCGCCAGGCTTAACGGCGAGAGTCCAGCGGCGCCCGCCCCCGCCTCGTCCCCAGCGCCTCGGAGGGCGCCCAAGCGCGCCATTGAGCGGCGGAAGCGGCCGGCGCGAGCGTCCACCGCAGCGTCAACCGCCAAAGCCCCCGCCTCGACGGCAGCCGCCTCGGAGACCGCGGACAAGGAGGAAGGCAAGAAACGCCCGCTGATGGCTACATTCAAGGACGGCAAGCCCTGGATCACGGTCATGGGGCTCGGAGGCGCTGGAAGCAACGCCGTGAACAACATGATTGCGTCGCAGCTGGAGGGCGTCGAGTTCATCGTGGCCAACACGGACTGCCAGGCGCTGGGCCGGTCGCTGGCGCCGCACAAGATCACGCTGGGCAAGGACATCACCAAGGGCCTGGGCGCCGGATCCAAGCCCGAGCTGGGCAAGCGCTCGGCGGAGCAGCAGCGGAAGGAGATCGAGCAGATGCTGCAGGACAGCAACATGCTCTTCATCACGGGCGGAATGGGCGGAGGAACCTGTACCGGAGCAGCCCCCGTTGTGGCCAGTGTGGCCAGGGACTTGGGCATCTTGACGGTGGGCGTCGTGAGCACCCCGTTCCGGTCGGAAGGACCCAACCGCACCCGACTGGCCAATGCCGGAGTGAAGGAGCTGGCCAAGTACGTCGACACGCTCATTGTCGTGCCCAACCAGAACCTGTTGGCGCTCGCGAACAAGAACACGACCATGCTGGAGGCGTTCCGCTACGCGGATGACGTGCTGCTGGAAGGCGTCAAGGGCGTCACGGATCTGATCGTTCGGCCGGGACTCATTAACTTGGACTTTGCCGACATCAAGACGATACTGTCGAATGCTGGGCGTGCGATCATGGGCTCGGGTATCTCTCGTGAAGAAGGTCGAGCCAGAAAAGCTGCTGAGCAGGCACTGGTGAACCCGCTGCTGGGCGACTTGCCGACTGAGTCTGCGCACGGACTACTGGTGACAATCCGTGGAGGAGAGGACATGACGCTGTTCGAAGTGGATGAGATCATGGAGATCATTCGCAGCCGTGTGCACGACGAAGCCAACATCATCTTCGGCACGTGTTACGACCAGTCGCTAGAGGGCTCTGTGTACGTGTCCATTATCGTGAGTGGTATTCAGACCGATGTCATCTCTCCGCCCATCGGAGGAGCCCACGTCCCTCTTCAGGACTCAAACAAGCGCACAGAAAGCAGCGAGTTCATTGCCAAACCGAAGCCTGATGACGAGGAGAAGCCGGCGGAGCAACGGAAGGGATTATTCGGCCGCTTCTTTTCCCTCTGAAGATATGAAGTTCCGAATAGTATTGAATGAAAGTGAGCGTGGGGGCAGATCGCTGGGCTTGGTCGAGCACTACCCAAGCAGCCTGAAATCGCGACGCTTTTTGCGTGTGGAAGTTATTGCAGCGGAGTTTTTGGTCCTCTGTCGGTATTGATAGAGGCAAAATGTATTGTGTAGCAAGCAAAAGGTGCCCGCGGCATCCTCGCGACAAGCTGTTATTTAATGTCTTTAGTTGGAGAGCTCTGCAATAGCACCCTGGAGCTGAGTGCGAGCATACTCCAGTAGCTCCACGTCACGCTTTTCCACCGAAAGCTTGAGGTTGCCATCAGCCTCATCCTTCTCGTATCCGAGAGCCTTCAGGAAAGCCACACCGCCCACGAGGCTAGCCACGCGCTTGCGGAATGCCGGGTTCTCTAGGTTGATCGTGCGGAACTTGTCCTCGTCGGGCTTTTCGATGAGGTTCTTGACGTACACGTTCAGCGTCTTGAGAGCAGTGAGTCCATCGTTGCCCACGCGGTACTTCTTCAGGATGCCCACGTTTTTCACGATCTGCTCCTTCGGCGTCAGAACCGGACTGTTCTTCTTCTCTTCCTCCTTCTTGGCACCCACATCAATAGGCGCGACGTCAATCGGCGGTCCGCCCAACCGGCCACCACGCGCGTGGCGCTCACGCTTGTCCATCTCGAGCTGCTTGCGCAGACGTTCGCGCTCGCGCTTGGCGTCCTCCTTGTCCTTCTTCATCTTCTCCGCCGCGATCTTCCTCTGGATGGCTTCAATCTCCTCGCGCGCCTCCTGCATCCCCTGTCCTTCGGTACGTCTCTTGAGCTCATTGGCACGCAGGTCCACCTTCTCCTGTTCCTCCCGTTCCGCGCGCTTCTTGGCAATGCGCGTCTTGAGCTCCTCCACCTTGGCCGCCTTCTCCTCGGGCGTCAGCTCACGCTTGGGAGCCGTCTTGGATAGGTCCACAAACTTGATCCGCTCGTCGATATCTGCGTCGTCCTGGTGGTCGCCCAGCCAGTTGATCGCCACCTCCAAGCCCTGGTTGTCCGTGGCCAGCAACGCCTTGCGGGAGCGCAGGTCGTCGAAACCCATTTCCTTCAGCTGCGTCAGCAGCTCCTCGTTCACAGGCGGAGGTCCCATCTCGGCCCCTTCCCCCTCCTCCATCATCTCTTCGTCGTCATCCTTCCGACGGCACACGCCCGTCGCCGGGTCGCACACCATGTTGGAGTCCGGCACGGCCGGCGCAGGCTTGGCAGCGGGTTTCGGGGCCGCCGGAGCCGGCGTGGGGGCGTTCGGCACGAGGCTGACGTTGTTGAACCTCTTGAGTCGCGCCTCGCGGGCCTCGGCCGCTGAAAAGGGCTTGGCGTCGCCAGCTCCGGAGCCCGCGCCGAGCGTCACGCCCGGTGACGCGAAGGGGTTGAAGGCCGACTGGCGCCACTGCTCGATCTTGGCGCGCAGCTGGTTGGGGTCGGCGCCCACGAGCTCGTCCACCTTGCTCTGGTTCACGTAGAAGTGAAAGGTGGGGAAGCCGCGCACGCCCAGCGCGCTGATGAGCGAGCGGTTCTGCGCCTCGTCCACCTCGAGGAACACCACGTCCGCGTACTGGCCGCTCAGCTGGTGGTACACGGGCTTGATGTGCTGGCACGGGCCGCACCAGACGGCGGAGAAGTCCACCACCACCAGCTTCCCGCCCGCGCGCTGCATCTGCGCGTTCCAGTCGGCGTCGCCCTGCACCGGAATCACGCCCATGGCTGCTTCAGAGTTTGGTCTAGACGTTCTGATTGCGTTGTGTCGTTCTGGAAGATTTGTCCACGTTCGCCCCCTCAATCATGGTGTATGATACGTAAACGTGGTGTTGAAAACATAAAGGCAAGTTGAAGTGCAATCAAGGATTGCGCGACCTCACTCCACTGCTACACGCATAATGCGTGTAGCAACCAACAACACGCTACGCGAGGACCACGAGGACCACGCCCAAGCACATCGCCACTGCCACTTTGAAATTTGCCATCAAGCGACAGCTCCCTGGTTTCCACTATGGCTCCCAAGTTACCTCAACCCCCACGGTTCTACTGTGCAATGTTGTTGGTCGTTGCCCTAGCTTGCGTCTATGGAGTCTCGACGGCTACAAACCAAACCATGGGATCTCAGACGCCACTTCATGCTCTCGGTCTTGACCAATCGCGTATCCGAGTCTACCGGCACCTACGGGCAGGCGAAGGCGCCAGCTTCGAAGAGAGGCTGTTCGAAAACATTCCCAAGCTGATGGAGAAGCTAAAGCCAGACAAACAAAAGGCAGCAAACAAGTACTTCGCCAAGCTGAAACTTGGCAAACCTACCTTCAACCTGTTCGACGACCCTGCATTCCAGAAGTTCGAGCGCTTCATGGCTAAGTCTTACAAGAAAACGCCAGACGCAGTGGATGCAGCGATGCTATCAACGTTGACAACTCAATACGGAGATGAAGCTGTGGCCCAGATGCTCGTAGCCGCCAGAAGTTCCACTCTTGCTACCAAACTGGAGGGAGTCCAGTTCTCCAATTGGATTCGCCAGGAAAAAACGGCGGACGATGTGTTCAAGTTGATGAAGCTGGACCAGGAAGCGGACAGCATACTGGAGAACCCCATCTTGAAGCGGACGCTCTAAGCGAGGATCCGTAGAAGTTGCTGCTTGTCAAGATGAAAATTAGCTACTCTAACCTGGAGCTTGCCGGCATGTTTGCGGGCGGGAAACAACGATGTCCATCGCCGAGGGTATGGAAACAGCTCTATTGAATATGTGGCGCGGCGAAAAACAACTAAGTGAGGACGCGGGTTTCAAGCTGCTCAAACTCGACGAAGAAGGTGACAAGTTGTTTCAGAACCCGTTGGTAAACACTTGGGCGTCGTATGTGAAAATGTTGGGCACGGGTTCAGACAAATCGATATTTCTGACTCTAAAGGCACGCTACGGTGAGGGGGATCTGGCTCAAATGCTGCTCAAGAAGAGCGAAAGCACGGGGCCACTTGCTGCAAGATTGGAATACGCGCAGCGCAACAGTTGGATAACCGAAGGGAAGACCGCAGACGATATCTTCAAGCTTCTTAACGTGCAGAAGCAAAACGAGAAGCTTCTCGAGAGTCCGTTATATCATTCCTGGACCTCTTACGTGGCAGGGGTGGAAAGGGGGGACTCGGACGAAGTGGTGGCGTCAGAGCTGAAGACTCACTACGGCGAAAAAGATCTAACATCGATGCTCGATGCAGCAAAAGGAAACCCGAGCACGAAGTCTGTTGCAACCCGTTTGCAGGAGGAGCTGTGACTGAGTAAAGGAAAAAGCGCCGAGGATATTTTCAAGCATCTCAAACTGGATGCAAGTGGAGACGACGTAGTGTACTCCACTAACATGTTAGCTAATTTTACTAGACACTAACTAACAGTTAGTTGTAAACTATACATGTTAGTACTGTATAGCTGTACTGTATAGTTTGAAAATGTATTTGGCAACCATTTGGGAACGATCTACTCCATAATAAGGCTAGATAGGCAAGGAGTGAAGGGATATGTTGAAGCGCAACCTTTAAATAGCAGTGGCTGAAGAGAAATTAAAGATAGGAATATCTTATCGTAGGGTCCCATCTTGTGATACAACTTCAACTCGGGCCATTACTTTAACTATGTATCGTGCTAGCGTTCTTGGCACATATCTACGAATTAAATCCATATCGGATAAGATTAGATTATTGATACATTCTTGGCGCACACGCACTAAATAAAGCTAAGAGTTGAACAAATTTATGTCCTCTAAGTCTGGCTTAAACTTCAAGTATGCCCTCTATGTCTGGTTTGAACTTCAAGTATGGTCTGCAACCTAGTCCCAGCTACACTATGGCCAAACAATGCGAGAACAGGTCAGAATAGATTATTAGAATAGCTTACAAGCGTTTATATAAATAGAGCTTTTCTCCACCTACATTTACTCACGTTGACCTATCTTTGTGCTCTAACGCTACTAACATGTTAGCTCAAAATACTAGACACGAACTAACAGTTAGCTAACATGTATAGCAACTAACATGTTAGCGTTAGGGAGTACAGTAAGACGACGTCTTTACGAACCCTGAGTTGGCTACGTGGGTCTCGTACGTGATGAAGGTGAACAAGCGTGGCAAGAGCGCAGATGAATTTCTAGCTATTGCAGTGCTGGTCGACAAAATCGGAGGGGATTGATCAGCTGAGCTGGCAATGAGCAATAAGGCTTTCGGCCGCAAGGATTCGCAACTTCCGCGACGAGTCACTCGCAGATTTGCAAAAGCTGCAGTTCAAACAATGGCGAAAAGAAGGCGATACTCCCTCATCTCTATCAAGTTGGATGACAATGAGGGTATTTGACAAGAGAAGCACTGGCGTGTTTCTCGGCTACCACGATTTCTACAACTCGCGAGCAGTCTGATAACGCCAGGGTAACATGTCGACTGTGCAACGTACGTTGAACCGCGCAGCGTCAACAGCAGGACATCAACTACGCCATTTCAACTGCCGCGGCTCTACTGTGCGAAGCCGCTGATCGCTCTCGCTGTGCTTGCATGTACGCTATCTCGGCGGCTACAGACGAGTTCACGAGCATCGACACGCCATTTAATCACGAGGCAAATTCGACACTCCAAATGATAGCCATGCCATCGAAGATGAAGGGCTGCTTTTGGTGAAATGGTGTGTCACACACACACATCTGCTGTTGCAGAATCCATATTTTTTTAATCGGCGTCCAACGTTGGGTCACTCGGATAGCCTTTCGTGCGATCGCCACGGCAACATTGCAAAGCGCGAGTGGTGACGGCGCCTGCTGTTCCAGCATGCATGTATCCTTACCGAAGTGGACAAGCACTTGAGCAAGTGCAGTGTTGACACCTTGGCTGGTGTTTGCTGGTGTTTGCTGGTGTTTGCCGCGCAGCTCCTGTAGGAAGGCGCTGACTACTGGCGTAATCCTTCCACTAGGGCTTTTTCTATTGGACTCCAGTTTCTCAGGCGCTGCTGTTTTTAGACCGTCCGCCGTTGCCTGTTCAGAGTGCTTCACTTGGCATTTGTAAGTTGGTTGCTCAATCCGGGTGTTCTCCGCGCGACAAAAACAGGACGCGTCTCCCCTTCGTCAACCAGTTCTACTCCGCAGTCATTTACCGTCTCGCCTGTGCTCGCCAGGAGCGGAAGCTTGCGCGCGTCGTACGAGCTACCGGGAGCCTCTCCGCCTCCGCCCACGCCGTCCCCTGCCTGCAGACGCGTATCCTCTCCCCTCCCCCGCCTTCCGCGTCTCCGTAGGCGCCGTATTGACCGCGTAACCCGAGTATAACCCCAGCGTACCCCCATGGCTCGAGCGAGTGACTCGAAGCAGGCCTTGCTGCTGAACCCCGAGTTCTGGACGCCCAAGCAGCTGGAGGAATGGCTCAAGCGCTTCGAGGACGGCCGCTACGCGCGCTTTGTGGCGCCGTTGAAGGGCCGCAAGGGCGCGGAGGTCGTGCGCTTCACCGCCGCGGACTGGGCGCAGCTCAACCCTCAGGACCTGGCCACGAGTCTGCGCTTCACGCTGCTGGGGATGGTGCAAGTAGCCACCAGCGACGACACGCTGGCTATCGTCACCGACTTCGTGCCGCTGGCCAACTCCCCGGGGAGGATCAAGCGCGAGTCGCCTCACAAGACGATCCCCGTCAAGTTCCCGCCCATGGTGGAGGTGCCGTCGGTGCCCATTATAGTGAGCTGTGTGCTCGTGGTTATCCTGATTATTTTGTGCTTCACGGTGCTGAAAGGACCGTTGGAGGACATAGGCATCGACTCGGCCAGTCTGGTCACGTACGGCTCGATCCCTCTCGTCAGCGTGGTGTTCACGTACTTCCACATTTGGGTGGCGCTCTGGATGACGTTCTACCCGTTGGAGTACACGGGCTGCATGCAGATTCCCGACACGAATACGGGCTTTGGATGGCAGGGCATTGTCCCCAGTAAAGGCGAGAAGATGGCGCGACAGGCTGTGCAGATCATGACGCACCAGCTGCTGCAGGTGTCGGAGGTCTTCGCTCGCATTGAGCCGGCGCAGGTCGTGAAGGAGCTCGAGCCGATCCTGTTTAACACTATTCACACGGTCGTGGAGGATATGGCGCTCAAGTACAGCCCCGAGTTGTGGGCCGTGCTGCCCACCAAGGTGAAGGAGGAGATCGTCGAAAAGGTGAAGGAGGAATCGCCCGCCCACATTGAGGCACTTATGGACGAGATCCGCAACAATATTGAGGACGTGTTCGACCTGGAGGACATGGTGGTGACCAACATGTGCAAGGACAAGCAGCTTCTGGTGAATATGTTCGTGACCTGCGGCTACTCGGAGCTGGCCTTCATCCGGAACTCGGGTGCCTACATGGGAGGACTCTTCGGCCTCATGCAGATGGGTATCTGGTTCGTGTACTCAGACCCGATCGTGGTGTTCCCCGTCATCGGCTTGCTCGTGGGTACCATCACCAACTGGCTGGCGCTCAAGATGATCTTTGAGCCTGTGAACCCCAAGAAGTACTGTGGCATCACGTTCCAAGGACTTTTCCTGCGGCGTCAGAACGAGGTCGCGGAGGTTTACGGCAAGATGGTGGCGCGTGACGTGCTGAACTCGCGCAACATCTTCGAGGCGATCTTGAAGGGGCCGTACTCGGATCGCCTGTTCGAGCTCGTGTACGACAATGTCCAGGAGGCTGTCAACGCCGCCACTCAGACGACGCAAAAGATTATTAACTTCAGCATCGGCGAGGAAATGTACGCCAACATCAAGGAGGATGTGACCAACCACATCGTCGAGATCTTCCCGGATAGTCTGCGCCAGATCGAGGGTTACGCTACCGTCGCCATGGATCTCGAGGTTACGCTGCGCGAGAAGATGAAGATGCTGAGCTCCGAGCAGTTTGAAAACTTGCTGCACCCGATCTTCGAGGAGGACGAGTGGAAGCTCGTGGTCATGGGAGGTGCACTAGGCGTTGTGATCGGCATCGTCCAAGTATTCCTTATCGAACACTAAGGAGAAGGGAGTAGTGAACACCTTCATCGTAGATCGGACTGCGGATGAAAGAGGGCTTCCCTTGATGCGGATAAATTATCAATTCACGTGTATTCATTTTGTTTCTTCGTGCATTTCCCCAAAGTGAATTCACAGCGTGAGGCATGGTGACACTCTAACCGAGTTGAGTTTGGTCGACGCTGAACTGGCAAACTGGGCACACCTTGTTCAGAGACAGCCACGAGTCGATGCAGTCGGAGTGATACGAGTGGAAGCACGGCAACGACTTGATCTCCTCGCCGACCTCGAAGCTGCAGCGGCATATCAGGCAACTAAACACAAAACAGCAATGTAGCAAAACGAATGAGAATTTGTCACTTCATCAGCAGTAGAGGAGAAGGAACATACTCAGGGGTGGCTTGGTCGGCGTGTTCTTTTGCTGCTGTGAAAGTGTACGTGGGGAGCTGGTTGATTAGCGAAGCTGGGGCTCCACGGCTGAATCAATAACGAAATTTCGTCAGTTTAGCCTTGCCTACAAGCCATCCAAAAAACTGACTTACGATTTGGAGGTGTATGGTCGGCGGCCGTGCTGGTCTCGAGCAGGAGAGGGTGGTTCGTTCACCTCCGTCTCGATGCTCACTTCACGGAAACAAATGCAATCGCCTTGAAGGTGAGTAATCGAGCTGCCTAGCACAAGAGGTTACAAAGGCTTACCGATCCGGTAATCGAGGCTTGGCTGGATGTCAGTGACAGGAATCCCTCGCACGAACTACACCAAAGCACGCGCGTGTGAGTCTTAACTCATAGATAGACGCAGCATTTCACAAAAGTGTACCTCGTCATCATAGTTGTTTCCAGGGGTATCTGTGTAACACCAAACAGACATCATTGTCGTTGTCAGCAATAATCATATCAATCGTAGGTAGATTTCAGTGCTACGTACCCAAATCAGTTTCGTACAAATGCTGCAACCAGCGGGCATACTCCTCATCAAATGACATAACTCCTGCGGTCCAGATCAAAAAGTAAGAACTCAATTCCCACACAACCAAAAATCAATAGGATATGTACACGACGTACCAGAGCCAACATCGAAGGAAGACGGCGCATTTTCATCCAGAGACTCTTCGCTCGCTCCCATCGAGATCACTTTTTCCCGAATGGCTTCAGGCAGCACAAAACGGAACAAGTGGCGCAGTGGCAGCACTTTTGTTTGGCAATGTCCCGCATCCACGTGGAAGAGCAGATAGATATCCACTCGGTTTCTGTGTGCCTTCCGAATCACATCAACTTTCTCTAGTGCGAGATCTCCGAATGGCGTCCGAATTCCAGGTTGGCCCAACAGAAACGTAACAGCATTTGGTCCATCATATCGCATAGCCTTTGTACTAGCACGCCGTTGCTGATCCGCGAATGCACTGGCATGAGCCGCTGATGCATCTCCATTCGAATGAGCAGCAGCTGCCGCAGCAGCAGAATCCCCAACAGAGTTGATTTCATCCATTTGTCTGACAGGAAGTGGCGACTCCATGGCGGGGAACGCGCTGAAGTCGTGCGAATACAAAATCCGGACCGTGAACTGCTTAGGTAGCGAGAATGTCGACGAAATGCAGTCAAAGTCACCCTTGTCGAGGCGCAACGTGACAATGCCTACATCATTTTCTCCAACTCCTGCTTCCCCCTCGACAACCTGGAGCTCCAACAAGATGCTGGCGTGAAGGCGGCACTCAAAAATCAGCTCCCCCTGTCGACCGAATGGCAGGTGATACATCTTTAGCTGCAAGTCGCTGCAGTTCTGGAACTGCCTTCCCACCCGGAATATGTGCATCCCTGTATGCAGATCCACGTTTCGAACGCCGTTCACCATGCTGGAGAATAGGACCCCTTTCTCGTTCTGAATGACAAAATAAGGTCGGCAGATCTCAGCCAGAGGCGACAACGCCGTGAGGCTTGAGCTGCTTGCTTCGTCTGCACACTCAGGACTCGACAATAGATCGATCTGTCGGATATAAATCGGTCGCGCCGCTGGGGTCACTGCAATACCCGTCAGCTTATGCTTCTTCTCCTCCAGGGCTGGCAAGTCGGCGCAGTCCATTAACTTTTTGTCTCGCATCTCCAACAGCTTGCCAAAGTCCGCAATGTATCGTGCCTGGGGTCGCGGTAACCCACCCGTGTAGGCGGCATTCTTGGGGTCGTTCCCGCTGAAAGTCCGCTGGAGCTTAGCTGGCCACGTTTCGGCCAGCTTAATGTGCTGCAAATACGCGCTCAGCAGCTCGTTTCCGAAGTTCTCCGGGAAGCTGGACACGACGGTGCAGTAGAGCGTGCAGCACGTGGCAAACACACTCATCTGCTCATTGTTCGGGGCAAGCAGGATTGCGACATTGGACGGCTTGAGGTCCAGCCACGCCGCAACCGTCGACGTAACCACGAAACCGGAATGCATCGAGGGAATCGGTCCGCGGCAGTACGAGATCGAAGCGATGCGTCCATCTACCAAGCAAAAACGTATCGGTTATTTCCCAATACTCTCTATATATCTATCCAGATCAATAACAAAACTTACCACAAAACTCGTCAAACACCAGCGGCTTGTGGTGCATCCTCTTGACGCCATCGAACAGCCCGCAGTCAAACACACACGCTCCGTCCTCGAACCTCTTGGACATCTGCGAGTCCAACTGCTCCAGCACCTTCACTGCCGCGTTCCAGTTGCGCGCCGACGAGTACGCCCCGAACAACCGACTGAACGTCGTGATATGCGGCGGCGCCACGCAATAAACCCTGCACGCAGGCAGAAAATCGTCGTCAAAACCCGTCCCCAGTACTGTACCCCCTCTTTTCTTCCCTTACCTTGGAGCGATCTGAATGAAGCAGCCGTCCTCGCTGGTCTTGGCGAACAGCGCGTACTGCACTGCGCTCTGCAGCGAGACCTGCAGCCTGTACGTCCAGAGCAGCACCTTGTACGTGTTGGACGCCGTGTTCTCGCTCTCCTGCTTGACGTCGTTAGCGTCCGTGGCCGCCTCGATGGCCTCGAAGCTCTCCTGGGCGTCCAGTAGCAGCGACGGGGGAGGGGGAGGAAGCGGAGGAGACGGCCGCTTCTCCTCTGCGTCGCCCTTCTCCTCCGCCGCAGCCGCCGCGTTCTCCTCCGCGATCGCCTCCATGGCCGTCACCTCCGTGGGCGACGGGGGCAGCGACAGCTTCAGCAGCAGGCGGCGCACGCGCGGGTCCTCGGCGACGCGCTCCGAGTTCATGCGGCGGATGAGCACCGAGCCGCGCTCCACCCACGCCAGGCCGCCCGGGAACCCGTCGGTCGCCATGAACGCGCAGAGAGAGATACTTGGGGACTCGAGCCGACTTCTGAGAATAATGTTGGGAGCGGTTTTTGAAGCTACTGTAAGTGTGCTTTCTGAACTTGTAAACTCGATATTATTTAAAAACAAGGGACATACTTTGTGAAAGTCTAATAGGTTCTGAGAAATAATACTTGATGATCAATAACAAAAGTGCCACTGTACCGCCGAGCACCGGATGATAAGGTTCATGTAGAAGCGGAGCTCCGGTGTTGATTGTTGATTTGGCCGCAGCATTGGGATCGACTGAGCTCAACTCAACTCAACTCGTCGACGGACAGACTCGTGCTTTGATGCAAACATGAACCTTGATTAAGTAAGTAAAGACAGAGACAACCACCCTTCATTAAAGATGCCTCGCCGCTGCCTGCCTACTTGCGCGGAGGGGGCGCCACGTTCTGCGGCAGCGCCTTGCCGTATCCGGAGCGGAAGGTGGTGCCCATGCTGCCGGCGTCCTCGTTGGCGGGCTTGTTGGAGGGCTTGGCCCACTCCAGCTTGAGGATCAGGTGGTCGTAGCCGTAGCCCTGCAGCTTGTTCAGGGCCTTCTCGGCGTCCTCGCGGTACACGAAGCTGACGAATGCGAAGCCGCGCGACTGGAACGTCTCGCGGTCCTTGGCCAGGTACACGCGCGACACGGGGCCGAAGGCGCGGAACAGCTCCTTGAGGTCGTCCTCGCGCGTGTCGGGCGACACGTTGGTGACACGCAGCGTGGCGCTGTCGTCGCGCGAGTTGTCGCCGCCGCCGACGTCACCACCGGAACCGCCGGCGCGGCCGCGCAGGCTAGGCGGCACGTACTTGCTGGAGCCGAAGGCGCCGTCCAGAGCGGAGCCACGAGCCGCGGGCTCGCCCGAAGCAGCCGCAGCCGACGCGGGGGCCGCGCTCTCGCCGGCCTCGGCGCGCTTGGCCATGTCCTGCTCCAGCTCCTCCTTGGGCGTGTCCTTGTACGGACACTTGAGCGTCCAGTGGTCGCCCACCATGCCACAGTGGCGACACACGACGATGGACGAGTTCTTGACGCCGGCGAAGATGTTCTCCTCCTCCTTCTTCTCGCCGGGCAGCACCTGGTCGGCGTTGGGGTCCTCGAGCTTCACCTCCTCGTACGACATGTACGTGACGTTGCTTCCGTCGCCGTCGTCCAGCGCGTCGCCGAACTTGGCCCACTTCTTGCGCTCCAGCGCGCGCTTGCTCACGCGCTCGACCTCCGTCACCTTCTTGATCTTCTTGGTCACCTTGACCTTGTCGCCGGCGTCGTTGAGCTTCCACTCGACGATCTGACGCACGCCCTGCGAGTCCGGCTCGCTCTCCGTGCGCTGCGGCAGCACGTCGTCCTCCTCATCGCCCCATCGCATGCCCGAGATCGCCATGGCTGTCCCTAGTGATGATACTGACTGGGAACGCTTGACTGGAGGGCAGCGAGGGGGGGTCGCACCGTAATCACCTTAATTAAGTACGAATCGGAATTCCCCTGTCAAAACTGATCTCTATCACCACATTGTGGAAGTGTGATATTCAGTTTTATCACTAGGAACGGGAAAATGAAGAGGGTGCAGGGGAAAGTGAGAGGGTGGAATGTTGAACGGACGCGCAAGTTGAAGTGGTTGCAGCCATGCTGTCTCGCGAGCGCTTGCGGCGCGAGCTGGAGCGGGAGTGGGCGCTCATCGAGAGCGCGGAGAAGAAGGTTGCTGCTCGCTGGATTAGCTGGTAGGATGTGGCCATTGCAGCTGAAGACGGGGTTTGTGTACAGCTCGTGGAGGAGAAGAAGAAGGTGGTGGCCGAGTGGGTGAGCGTGGAGGACGCCCAGCGCGAGTACGATGCCAAACGCAACGAGTACGTGGCACTTCAAGGAGATATAGATTGTTGGTTTCACTTCTCATATCACCTGCTGCTCTTGGTCGACTAGGTTTGAGAAGAACGTGAGCAAGCACTTCAGCTTTCTACCAGAAGACAGTGTGGTTGTCTTCAACGTGGGGGGCCAGGTACCTACCTACCTGCTCATTAGCCGCATCTCGCCTCACATGGTATTTTAATCGACGGTATGACTGACGCTTGCTCCTTTTGTGGTTTAGCTGTTCAAGTCCACCGTGAAGGTGTGGACTCGAGACCGCTTCTCGATCTTGGCGCAGCTCTGCACGACAGCCCCCAAGCTTCGCCCCGACACAGATCAATCGTTCTTCTTCGATCGGGACTTTTGGGTCTTTCGGCTCATTGTCGCGTTCTTGAGAGACAGCACGCTGCCGGAATCGGTCGAGGAGCTGCGCGAGTTGTACTGCGAGGCCAGCTTTTACCGTCTCGGACTGCTCCGGCACGCCATTGAGGCTCGGATGATTGGCGAGGACGCTGTTGCTGCAAACGAGCTGCAGGTACGCCTCAGTGACTCCCAAAGCGCGCCAGTAGAAGCTCCAGCAAAAGTACAGGACAAGCCTTCGAACGAAGACTCGTCACCTAGCATTGCTAGCAAGTACAGTGAGCTGCCTGACCCGTTTGGATTCACCTCCAAGAAATAAATGGCTTCGTGATACTTTTAAAACCCCTGCATCGGCCAAACTTAGTTGTCAGAAGTGCTCACTAGGCAAACATGGGGTACCAGCGTGACGGTGGGTGGTATTTGAAGTACTGTGCTGCACTTTGACTAACATCACGTCGGAATCGACCTAGTTTTCGCAGCCCAAAGGTTGTCCGGAATGGTGCAACTGTAATCAAGCTCAGGTCATTCATTCACCTGGTTGTTTTCGTGGCTCTTCAACCACAACACCAACATGCGTCGAGGTACTGTTTTGAAAGCAGTGCTTTTCACGTGCGAATTGAAGCTTAGCGACTCGCCAGTCATCATCCTGGGGTTTTCCAGGTACCGGCGCAGATGCGCTATCGCACGAACAGCAGCAAGGTCCCAGCAGTGCATTCTGTAAATTGCATCAAGCAACACAAGTGCCATCGTGACCCCGATAACTCATGAGCCACGGTCGTCACCAAACACCCTATGCGCTAAGGTTCTTAGTTGTGGGCCTAGTGCTTCTTCTAGGCGCCCTGACCTCATCCGCCAACGCTGAAACCGAAGTGCAGGAGGCTACGGTGGACCCGGATGTGGGCAAGTCTGTCGTCGAGATCGTCCAAGCTCGCGGCTACGCCATCGAGACGCACAAAGTCACCACCTCGGATCGATACGTGCTCACCATGTACCGACTGCCGAAGACCTACGCCGAGAGCCAATCCGGCTCTGCTGCCGATCCCAACAAGCCCGCAGTCCACTTGCAGCACGGTCTGCTGGACAGCAGCTTCACGTTCGTCTCCAACTTCCGCAACCAAAGTCTCGCCTACGTGTTGGCCGACGCCGGCTTCGACGTCTGGCTCGGCAACAACCGCGGCACAACCTGGTCTCGCTCGCACCTGGACTACACCACCGACGACGACGAGTTCTGGGATTTCACTTGGGAGGACATGGGTCTCTACGACCTGCCGGCGTTTGTGAAACACATGCTGGTCACCACTGGTCGCTCGACGGTGAGCTACGTGGGGCATTCGGAGGGCACCACACAAGCGTTCGTGGGCTTCTCCGAGAACCAGGAAATCGCACAGAAGGTTGACTACTTTGCTGCACTGGCACCAGTGGCTTGGACGGGTCACGCCACGGCTGAATTTTTTGTCGCGTTGGCGAAGCTCAAGGTGGACAAGACCTTCCTCAACCTCGGCTTCACCAGCTTCCTACCGCACAACGACCTTCTTACAGTGCTTCTGTCGGACGTCGTTTGCACCAACGTGGCCGAGATCTGCAACTCGGCAATCAGTCTCATCGCCGGACCATCGGACAACCTGAACGCCACGCGCATTCCCGTCTACCTCTCGCAGACCCCCGCAGGCACCTCTGTCAAAAACATGGCCCACTACGCTCAAGGCATCCGTGACGACACCTTCGCGTCGTACGACTACGGCTGCAGCTGCGTGCGTCTCCTGGGGATCAACCTCTGCTCGTCGCTCATTTGCAAGAACAAGGCTGTGTACGGCAGCTTCGACCCGCCCGCCTACCCAGTCGGCAAGATGGTCTACCCGCGCACGGGCTTCTACATTGGCGCCACCGACACGTTCGCGACCTCCACCGACATCGCGCAGATCCGGTCCGCACTACCCAGCGGCACCATCGTGCACGAGAAGACCGTCGCAGCCTTCTCGCACCTGGACTTCACCTGGGCTCAGAACGCCAACGAGCTCGTGTACCAGGACCTGCTGTCACAGCTCAAGAAATACGCCGGCAAGGCGTACAAGTAACTCGGTTAGTGCTAGCAAGTTGAAGTTGGTCAAAATGTCGAAAACGGTTCATCCATGTCTATAATCGATTTTGACACCTGCGTTTGTGTGTGTGTGTCAAAAACATGCCACGCAAGGCGTCGAGCGAAAGCCGCCGCGCGCAGGTCGCCGAGGCGCTGGCGCTGGTCCTGGCCGCGGGGTGGGCCACGCACCTCGTCCAGAAGGAGGAGGAGGCAGGTGAACAGCTTCAGACTGAACAGCGGCTGCTGCAGGCCACCACCATGTCCCACGCGCTGTTCGTCCTGCATATCCTGGGCTTGTCCGCCGTCCTGCAGTCGATTTTCAGGCCACAGACGCTGTCCAAGGAGCTGCGCCGAGATTCCAGGTCCGGAGTTTGAGTTTTTGACAGCGATCGTCCTTGAGGGCAATAGACTCAGTAGCACAATGGTAATGCAGACAGGAACGCGACGCCGGACTGGTGGTGGGCTGCGTGCTGCCGCCTCTGGTGCTGTTGAGTCGCCTGCTGGCGGAGATCTACCAGGACGGAGTTTTCTCGAGCGTCACGTTCTTCTACGCGTGGACCAGCATCTCCGTCGGCGTGAGTGCGCTGCTCAAGGTCGCGGTCTTCGGGTCCGTCACGTCGCTCAGCGTCAACGTCCTCGTGGATGGGGTGCTGCTACCGACAGCGTTCGGGCTTCTGACTCCTGTGGAGGCGGAGTGGAGGTTCCTGCTGGCGACGGGGGGACGAGTCTTTGTGGCGACGGTGCTGGCTGCGGACCTCAAGCTGCTGCCTCGGTCGTTCACGGTGGGCGAAGCTCTACTGGTGGCGCAGGGCGTCGGCTTGTGCGCCTACGACCTCGTGCTGTCCACCGTCAATTGGGTGCGTGGTTAGATCTATTGCTGGCTGTTGTTGACTGAGGGAGGGGATTGCTGACGAGGTTTGAGCTTTGCTGGTATGTGCGGTGTATGCAGCTGAACGAGTTTGACGTGATCGACCTGCCGCCGAATGTCCTCCACCCGTGGCTGCTCTTTGACATGGACCGACCGGACTACGTTTTGGCTCTTCAAGTTGGAATGTTGGGGTCGCTGCTGGTGTGTATCGCGCTGATCCCGTTGCTGCGTTTGTATGGAGCGCCGTCACCCACCGCTGTTGCCCAGCCATTGCCCTTAAGAGGTAGTGTGGGGTTTGTGCTTACGGCCGTGGCGGTCGTGGGCGGAGTCGTGTATCCGTGGAGCTGCTTCTTGCTGCAGACGTGGAATCCGTTCGGCTGGCTGTTCGACTTCCTCTCCGAATCGCGCAGCCCGCCCTCGTCCTTGCCACCGCGATTTATGTTAATGGGGTACTGGGCGACGTGCTTGGTCGTGCTCGTCCCATTGTTCGCGTTGATCACCGACCGCTTCGCATTGCGGAACATTGTGGCGCGAAAGCTGTTCCACCTGCTGGTGGTGGTCATGCTGGGTCCGGCGTCTCTTTTTGACGTACCCATGCTGTCACTGAGCTACGGTGTGGCGCTCAGCGTCTTCTTCCTCGTGGAGTGTGTACGAGCGCTGGCGCTGCCGCCATTTGGCCGATCCATCGCCGAGTTCATGCGGACGTTCATCGATCACCGCGAGGCCGGTCGCATCATCTTGACCCACTCGTATCTGTTGCTTGGCTGCGCGCTGCCGCTGTGGCTCGCGCCCTCTTTTAGCGGACCCTCTCCGCTCGTAGTGAATACTGGCGTTCTGGCGTTAGGCGTGGGAGACGCAATGGGGGCCGTGGTGGGATCGACTTTGGGCCGACGCAAAGTGTTCGGTGGCAAGACGCTAGAAGGGTCTGCAGCGGTGTTCTTCTCGATGCTGATCGCCTCGATTCCGCTTCACGACTATCACACGCGAGCTTATGTCGATGGGGAATACGTCCAGGTACGTCGAATTGTTGGCTTTCAACGTGCTCTGAAAGTGTTTTCATCTTTTAATTAATGATTGGTTGTGCACTGTGTATCCGCGTAGCTGGCGCTACTCACCGTTGCTGTCTTCTTGACGAGCGTGCTGGAGGCAGCAACGGCGCAGATTGACAACTTGGTGCTCCCGCTCTTCTTTTACACCGCGTGCAATCTGGTGAGTTGTCATCGAGAGTAACGCGAAACGGATCAGAAGCCAAGTGGGCGCACTCAATAGACCCCTTGGTTCGCTCGACGATAACTCAAGACTACTGAGCTTGGCTCGTTTCGACTTGTGCACCATGCACTTACTCGAAAGCCAGCGAGTTAAGCGTGAATTCGAGCCCATCCATTTCGCGTCCAACCTGGAGGCAGACTTTACTAGAATTTCCTTTGTGGAAAAAGTTTACTAGTCGAATTGAAACGCGAAGTCGACACCTGGGGCCAGCAGAGCATGCAAGCAACGTTGGAATCTTAGATGCTACGATTCATATTAGAAAGCAACCCCAATTCGTGTAGTAGTAACCACGTACCGAAATGCACCACACGGAAGCACATCGTGACAATCACCCAAGCTGCAAGTTTTCCCTGAATTAACGACATCTGCGACTCGTGAACGAATGCTAGCTGATACCATGCCTGCATTCCGCAGTTGCGCTTTATCAAAAAGCCAAGCACCACAAATGAAAACACTTGCAGCAGACCAAAAAGATGCAAGACGCGAACCTTGGACCCCACATTTTCACTCGTGATACCGTCCATTTCTGTGTGATACTGGGCGGCTGGGAGGAACACCATAACCATGATGTAGCAGCTGTAACAGAAAGGGATTGCGGCCTCCAAGTACGCCGTGGCGACAAGACATTCTAACGAGAACAGCACCTCGAGCGCCTCTCCAAGTACGGTGTTTCTTCTTGCGAGCGCATCAACGTGGAGTAAGCCCAGCTGCTTGGCTGATGACGCTCTTTGTGCAGCTGGTTCAGGTACAATTTGATGAGTAGGTCCAATCCGATTTCTCTGACAGAGCAATCTGAGTCACTCGAATGTAGAGGGGTGTTGTAATTGAATAGCAGAACTGTAAGGTCCAGTAGCACGAGTGCTGTCGGTACTGGAAAGGGTCGCCAGTTTATCCAGCAGAACCTTGTTATCATCAGATAGAGCATGTGGGTAGCACGACGTCACTCGAATGCCTGCGCGGACTTGTATCTCAAACTTTTCGGGACTACGACACAGCAAACACAGAGCTTTCACTAGGTCGTCATTTTGCTGAGAATTTCCAACGGTATCCCGGAGTCGCGCTACAATAGTAGTGGTGCGCTTGTGCAGGCCGAACAACATGACAATCGTTTGTGATATGTCAGTGATAGAGATGGCGATAACAGCGAAAGTTGACGTCGCGCTCTGCATACAAGTTGCCAGGTAGATGGCGTTGAAAAAATCGACTGTGAAGATGACAGCTTCCGGGACCATATCTTCCAGGTGTTTCATGCATTGCAATACAACATTCTTTGCTGCGACCTTGATCATCGGCAGAAGAAGAATCACTAGAATTTGGTAACTCAAACCTTTTGCGAGGCGATAAAGAGCTTCGTAGGCCGCGTATACTGCCGCTATCATAACTTCGGTGCACACGAACATGACGTAGCGAATGAGCTGGCCTCGACGCTCCAAAATAAGGCGAAAAATCTGGCCGCCTACTACAACCCGATACGATAGAATCAGGAGCGGGTAGAACATCGGGGCCATCGTCAGTGCGAAGAACGGAATGGGGAACATGGAGTGAGCTGCAACGGTGGTAGCACCGACAGTGAACAGTCCGGACGCGCATAGTGACAGCAAAACTAGTCGCCACCAAGAGATGACCACGCCGTCGATGAGGAAACGCGTTTGATCTGTGGCCATCAGGGAAATCACGAACGCGAGTATTGCCGAACGAATCCAGAAGCCGCAGTTTTCACGCCACCCCGCCCCCGGATCTTGTAGAGGGATTGACTCTTGGATTAAGGCCAGCACCACTACAGGCGTTGGTGCGCCGAAAGAAACAAGCAGAGCCCGATACAATGGAGTCTTTCGCGTGTATTCATCGAGAGCAAGCAGTCGATGGATGGAGTACATGCCACCGTAGTAGCTGACTTGCAGCCCCTTCCAGGAGCGTATGAACTTGGAGAGTAGCGAGGGCTCGTCATTCGCATGTATTCGTCCACAGTTGATCAGCGACGGAGACGCCATCTATAAATTATCTCTTCTGGCGTTTGCATCTTTGTTGCTGGCATTTGAAGGAAACGAGATTGAAACTGTAGCTAAATGCAACTAACGACAAACTGACCACATGAACCCCATACCACCGTATATATTCACTTCGTATTATTGTGCCTTGCATGCTTTCTGTCTAAACAACGACGTAATCCGTTGTTTTAGCAAATCATGGTGATTAGCCCATCATTGAGTTAGGAGGCTAACTCGTCGATTTAAGATAGAATAGCTGCTATTACCGTTTGCAGATATTTTGGCCAACGCATGCTTATTATCTCGTTAATAATCTCGATTTTAATCCAGCCAGCTCTTAATTAAGACCTAGGTCTGATTTATATATCTCGCCAGTACGGTCTAAGATCCGAGCTTGGGGCTCTGTTTTCTCGACCAAGGCGCTTTTCTACGACTTGGAAACGCAGAAAAGCCATTCTCGACGGGCCAAACCGAGTTTCTGGGCCTAAAAGCGGCCCCCGGCAAAGCATAAAGCTAAATCAGCCCTCGCCTATCTCGTGTCCACTCATATTAAGAGACAGGCGTGGTCTATTTTAGAGGGCAAAGTATTTGCAAGCGGCAATAAGACAACGAGTTAACGTTGAGTTATGCTCACTTTCGTTGAATGGACGCCTACCACAGAGAGCCTCTGCACGCACCCTCCACAACGCCATCACTTCGGTGCGTCAGGCGGCGGAGTGGGACATGGGGAGCGTGCAGAAGGTATACAGTCGGCTCCACACCTTCAACGAGCGTCAACTTCAAAAGTGGGCTCCCCCTAATACGAGAGCCAAAAGTCGCACAAAACGGGCTCCCTCATGGTAAGTACGAGATCGCTCCCCATTGGCTCCCCTCCAGGGCTCCCCAAATTTAGCTTCAAATCTATGACGGGCTCTTCATAGTAATATCTGATTGGCCAATTTTACCTAGACTTAAGGCGAGCAACTTCGCGTGATCGATGCGCCACGCTAGAAGATCGAGCTCAAAGATCACCACACTAGAAGATCTCGCGCCGCTCATATGTGTACAGCCGCTCCGAGGCCACCCCAGCGTCGCCGATAGTCCTTCCTTCCCCTCAAGGAGAAGCCCTCTTTCCTATGCCTTTTCAGGTTAGAACCTGGAGATACTTCAATGACGGCCAATCATCAGCGAGATATTTAACAGGTGAGGGATGAGCCCTTAACGAGGTCTCACAGTTCTGGAGGGCTCCGTTCACTTAACCTATTGAACTCAAAAGCCCAGGAGCCCGAGCTCGCGACTTTTTGGGTTCACCCAAGAGCCCAGGAGCCCGGCTCTCCCCAGGGCTCGTAGAAGGTGTGGTCGGCTCAATCTGTAAAGAAGGTTGCTTGTTGAGGGTCGATGTGGATAAGCTCATACAAAAACAAAGCTAAAACCACTAAAGTTGCCAAATCAGAGGCCGCATACCGATAGGGTGGGTTTGGGCGGCGTCCAGTTTATCGAGACCATATCTGGGCCTCCTGAGATTTATGACCGGCATATGCCTCGTCATATCTGCTGCAGATAAGGTGGTCGTTTAATGCATTTGTGGTAGGCGTCCAATGCCTGGAGTAAATCCGACAATACTACGGCCCTGACATTCTAATTCTACTCGCTCGCTTTGTCTGATTGCTTTCTAGTCGATGATTGACATGCGTTGGCGATCTATCGTACTAAACTACGTCTACAATATTGAAGAACATCCCTGTTTTTATATCGAGGAGCTGCAAGCAGCTTTAAAGTCAGCGTTTCCTGCACATCCAAACATTTCTAGTAGAAATTTTCTACTGCTACTATATGCCGTGCTCTGAGATTCGAGCTTGGTTTAACGCGCAAGGCCACGGCGAAGAGAGCGAAAGAAAACGTCCCCGCCGAAATCGGTGCTTACTATTATGCAAGGAGTTGGCGCCATTCTATCGGGGACCTATCAGTTTGTTTTCTTGCAGCTACAACAGATTTATTCTTGCAGTGGCGACCGCTCCGTTCGTGCTCTGCGTTGTGCTTGGTACTGGCGGTTGATTAGCTTAACTTTAACTTAAGAGTTAGCCCCAACACCCGCCAAATCAAGGACAAAAACAAGGACCAAAAGTTAGAAGCTTACGCTGGCGTTGTTTTTGAAAGATAAGCCATCTTATTGGTACGGAGAGAAAGCCTTTGATTCCCTCTTTTAATCCTTTGTTATGCGTAGTGTCCACCATTGTCCATAACGGCAAAAGCTACAGTTGAAAGGTGTCATTAATAACATGTTACATTTCTTTTTTGTCCTGGATTCTAGGACAAATTCCTTAAAATGACTTGAGTTCAATATAGGGCTTCAACCGTTTCACTACTCGAACAGTTGTTGTCTTTGTTATACATGACACCCTCGTACTTACCTGGTTCTTATTTCCTCCCATACAACCCCCAAGTCACTTTTGGTCCTTTTTGCTGGTTCTAGGACAAAACCCTGCTAAATACGGCGTACTTAAGTGAGTTTGGTCCTAAATCCTAGGACAAAAAGTGTTGGGGTTAGGCTGCGAGATATGATCACCGGGAAGGATTTGCTCGTTGGTTTAGAGCCCTTACCGAATTACCTATGTTATGCCATACACTTCAGCGAACTCTATAGAGTCGACATTTCGGTGCCCTGGCTAGCCATGCAAATGCATAAAAAACGCGTTTCAATACAAATATCAAGTGAGTCACTATAAAAGGGCAGTGCACACCAATCTTCCCGAAACGCCTGTGATTGGTCAATTAGGGTGCATGGCATAACATATAGAAGGTGATCACATAGGTAATTCGGTAATCGCATGCCAAAGTTCGTGCAAAGCACAATACATGATGTTGCTATAGACTTTGCTGCATAGTACTAATAGTATGCACTGCTGCACAAATTAGTTGGATGGTCGATCGAGCGATGATGACTTCTGGCCTATGTGTTGTGGGATTCATAATCGACATCATCCGTAAGACACTTAAGTTCAAGGCCCCTGTGAACTCTTAAGATCCATAGTAAAGAGATTCAATTACACAAATTACATGCGTCAACTTTACTACCTACTAGCGGAGCATCACGGTCGCTGCGCTCATGTTGCTTTAGGGGTCGACCCCCAAAACTATGCTGACCACAGAGTTTTGGACGACGTCCCCACTTGAGGAATTTGAGCACAAAGCCGCTTGCAAATTCTAGCGCTTTATTTCCCCTTTCACGCTCCCCGATTTGCTGGCTATTTTGCAAACAACATAAGTACCATTCATACGTTGTTATTAACGGTAGACTGATACACCTGACCTGTGGTTCGAATGCCAGAACACTTGTATTTTACTTACTTAGGTAAGTGTAATAGCAGAATGTGCACACTGGCACAACGAAAAGTGAATAAGGGGTTAACTTTCGATGTTTCAATTTTGTGGTGTGTTCATTTTCAGAGTGAAAATACGAGCGAATTATTCCAGTAACCTTTCGCGATCCATGTTGAAATTCTTCCTCCAGATGTCATCTACACCCAGCCGCAATGGCCAATGTTGCTGCCGCGACTATGACATGCACGGCTGTTCAAAGCTTTTAGTCTGCACGCGTCGGTAGATAACCTCATGCACGTTAAGCGCAATAAGGAAATATATATAATGAACGATAACTAGCTCAAAATAATGTAGTTGAGCCCGATATCGTACCATCACACATGCATGTAGGGTATCAAAGCAGAGCTGTGACGCCCGAGATCGACCCAACAGAACTGTAATTGAGTGGGCTAATGCATTTGCTTAGTCGAACATCTTTTCATGAGCAACGCAATGAATGAATTAACGCAGACTAGAAAGGAGCAAATAATCGGCGCCTTTAGCGTGCAGGAAGGACTTGGAGCTGTCTGATTTATTTAAAGCGAAGTAGCAGGCGAGCTCGAACGGGCCATAAGAGAGCCATTGTTGCTACCAAAAAGCACCGACACGGACTCCGGCTCGTACACCCCAGCTCATCGTCCAGCTCGTCATCCGCGCATAGCCTTCAATGTAATTTAGAGAAGTTGCTGCTCGACAGTACCCGGTCCTCAGCATGCAAAGCTGCTTGCTACTTGGCGTAGCGTTGGCGCTTCCTTGAGGCTCTGCTTGTTGATGCTTGGACTCTGTTGTGCGCTGGTCAAGCGATCCCGAAGGGCCGCAGACTTCTTACCATAACTTCGACCCTCTGGTTTTATGGCATCTAAAGATAGTGACGTCGGTTCAGCTCACAAAAAAAATGCGTGCCGATACCACCTTCCGATAATCATCCAAATGTTGTTTAACCGATGTATTTTTTTCATTTTTTGGTCCCCGTGTGAGCGATTCTAAATTATGACCCTAACCCATTCGCAGAATTAATGTAAAACGTAAAGCGGAGTGTATATAAGAGACGTAAAAACTCCATAAAACGGAGTCTCATGATTATAGGGGGGACTTCGCCCCCAACAAGTGCAAATGGCATTTACTCAAAGGTAAGACCGCCCAGCGACTGCTCCAGGCCGTCCAGAGCGTGCTGAATCGTCTCCATCGAGCACGCGTACGAAATGCGCAGACCGTTCTTCACGCCGAAGGCCGAGCCGGGCACCAGAGCCACGTGGTAGTGGCGAAGCAGGTACTCGCAGAAGTCATCCGCGTCCTTCACCACCTCGCTCTTGTCCGCCGTCACGCCCTGCTTGCCCTCGAAGTACGAAGCCAGGTCCAGGAACACGTAGAACGCCGACGTCGGGTACGCGAACTCCAGCTGCGGGATCGCCTGCAGACGCTTCACGATGTACTTGCGCTTCTCGTCCATGATCGCCAGCGTCTCCGTCATGCGCTCCTTGTTCTGCGACACACACTCCATTTCGAACTTCATCGCCTCCACGGCGGCAGCCTGACCCACCGAGTTCGCGCACGACGTCAGCTGGCCCTGCAGCTTCGTGCACACCTGCGTGAAGTACTTCGGCGCCGCCAGGTAGCCGATGCGCAGACCCGGCATCGCGTGCGACTTCGAAAAGCCGTTCACCGTCAGCGTGCGCTCGTACATGCCCGGCAGCGTCGCGAAGCTCTGGTGCTCGCGTTTCTCCTCGCCCTCGTCCTGGTACACCAGCTGCTCGTAGATCTCATCGGCGATCACCAGGATGTGACGGAACTGAGGCTTGCGCAGAACCGCAGCGATGCTCTCCAGCTGCGCCGGCGAGTGCACCGTGCCAGCAGGGTTGCTCGGGTTGCACAGCATCAGCGACTTCACGCGCGGGTTGGCCACCAGGGCCTTCTCCAGCTCCACCGGGTCGATCAGGTAGTTCTCCGACAGCTTCGTCTGGAGAATCACGGGCTCGCCGCCGGTCAGCTTCACCATCTCCGGGTAGCTCACCCAGTACGGCGCAGGGATCAGCACCTGCTCACCAGGCTTGGTGATCGTCAGCAGAGCCTGGTACACCGTCTGCTTCGCGCCGTTCGACACCAGGATCTCCGTCAGCGGGTCGTACTTCAGACCCTTGCACGTCTCCAGGTACTGCGAGATCAGCGTGCGCAGCTCCGCCGTGCCCTTCACGTCCGTGTACTTCACCTTGCCCTGCTCCATAGCGGACATGCCAGCCTTCAGCACGCGCTCCGCGGGGGCGAAGTCAGGCTCGCCCACGCACAGCGACCACACCTGCTTGCCCTCGGCCTCCAGCTGCTTCGCCATGCCGTGGATCACCACCGTCTTGGACGCGGCGATCTTGCCCAGCAGCGGGTTCTGCGGGTACTTCTCCGTCAGGGGAGCATCCTCGCGGAACAGAGCCCGGGTGATCGCAACGCCTCCACTCACAGCAGGAGCAGCCATGGCCGGGGTAACAGCTCCGCCAGCCACCGGGGTGAACGTCAGTCCGCCCAGCGACTGCTCCAGGCCGTCCAGAGCGTGCTGAATCGTCTCCATCGAGCACGCGTACGAAATGCGCAGACCGTTCTTCACGCCGAAGGCCGAGCCGGGCACCAGAGCCACGTGGTAGTGGCGAAGCAGGTACTCGCAGAAGTCATCCGCGTCCTTCACCACCTCGCTCTTGTCCGCCGTCACGCCCTGCTTGCCCTCGAAGTACGAAGCCAGGTCCAGGAACACGTAGAACGCCGACGTCGGGTACGCGAACTCCAGCTGCGGGATCGCCTGCAGACGCTTCACGATGTACTTGCGCTTCTCGTCCATGATCGCCAGCGTCTCCGTCATGCGCTCCTTGTTCTGCGACACACACTCCATTTCGAACTTCATCGCCTCCACGGCGGCAGCCTGACCCACCGAGTTCGCGCACGACGTCAGCTGGCCCTGCAGCTTCGTGCACACCTGCGTGAAGTACTTCGGCGCCGCCAGGTAGCCGATGCGCAGACCCGGCATCGCGTGCGACTTCGAAAAGCCGTTCACCGTCAGCGTGCGCTCGTACATGCCCGGCAGCGTCGCGAAGCTCTGGTGCTCGCGTTTCTCCTCGCCCTCGTCCTGGTACACCAGCTGCTCGTAGATCTCATCGGCGATCACCAGGATGTGACGGAACTGAGGCTTGCGCAGAACCGCAGCGATGCTCTCCAGCTGCGCCGGCGAGTGCACCGTGCCAGCAGGGTTGCTCGGGTTGCACAGCATCAGCGACTTCACGCGCGGGTTGGCCACCAGGGCCTTCTCCAGCTCCACCGGGTCGATCAGGTAGTTCTCCGACAGCTTCGTCTGGAGAATCACGGGCTCGCCGCCGGTCAGCTTCACCATCTCCGGGTAGCTCACCCAGTACGGCGCAGGGATCAGCACCTGCTCACCAGGCTTGGTGATCGTCAGCAGAGCCTGGTACACCGTCTGCTTCGCGCCGTTCGACACCAGGATCTCCGTCAGCGGGTCGTACTTCAGACCCTTGCACGTCTCCAGGTACTGCGAGATCAGCGTGCGCAGCTCCGCCGTGCCCTTCACGTCCGTGTACTTCACCTTGCCCTGCTCCATAGCGGACATGCCAGCCTTCAGCACGCGCTCCGCGGGGGCGAAGTCAGGCTCGCCCACGCACAGCGACCACACCTGCTTGCCCTCGGCCTCCAGCTGCTTCGCCATGCCGTGGATCACCACCGTCTTGGACGCGGCGATCTTGCCCAGCAGCGGGTTCTGCGGGTACTTCTCCGTCAGCGGGGCAGCGTCACGGAACGAAGTGGTAGTAGTGGCAGGCTTGTTACCGAGCTTTTGGGTGACTTCATTCAGAGACTCGCGGAACTTCTGAATCTGCTGCTCGGAGTTGGGGTTGAACTTGTAGAGACCCTGGAACAGGTCGAAGCTGTCCTTGCAGGTGTCTTCGACAAGACGGACGAGGTTCTTGAAACCGCGCGTGTCAATCGGCGTGTTCTTGACGCCCTGCACGCTGAGGATACGGCCCGTCAAGTGTGTCAAGAACTGGCTGCTGGCCGCATACTCGTCGTGGGACTCGCACGTCATCTCAAGCATGCGGCACATTTCCGTCTCGAAGATGCGCAGGAAGTTGTCCATGACGTGGTTGTGCTCGCCGGAGGTGATGCGCACCTTTTCGTACATCATGGGCAGACCTCTCCACGAGTACTTGCCACTCTCGGGGCCGAACATGGGGTGCGTGCACAAGATGCTCGCGCTCTCGGGCAGACTCTTGAGCATGATCTGCTTGGGGTGCGTCTTCACGGACAGCACGTCGACGATCACGAGGTTCTCGAGGAGGTGCTTGGGGATCTTGCTCAGCACGCCTTCGAACGACAGAATGCTCACACCGAGCACCAGGACATCCAACCCATCAAAGAACTGCTCCAGCTGGGTCTCCGACGAGTAGTACTTGCATCCGAGCTGCGCGGCCACACTCGAGTAGTCCGTACGCGAGGTGGCGCGCACGTCGTGTGCCTTGGCCATGGTCTTGGCCAAGAACTGGCCGAAGTTGCCAAAGCCGTAGATGCCGATGTTGAGGCGCACGGGCTTGTGCTCCTGCGGTGCGACGGCGGGCGAGGCCGTGACCGGGTTGGCCTGGTACGCGCCCACGGCCTCAAGCGTCTTGCGCACCTCGCCCAGCAGTTTGCCCTTGGTCGGGTACGAGCCGAGCACGCGCACGAACTTGCAGAACTCACGCAGATGGCGGAGCGCGTTGATGATGTTCTCGTCCGTCTGGTGGCCGATGAGGTCCACGTAGAACAAGTAGCTGTACTTCCTGCGCGCGCTCTCGGATGAGAGCGAGAAGTCGTCGCCGACCGAAGCCGCGACCGAGTCCTGGTACTGCTGCTCGGCCGTGTGGCCCCAGGGCCTCGACTCGATCTTGGACATGTCGATGTCGCGCAGCGAGAAGGCGGACAGCGCCTTGTAGAGCTGGCCCTTCTCGTTGCTGTCGACGAAGGAGAAGACGAGCGACGTCTTGAACTCCGTGCCGGCCTTGGCGTCGAGGCCCAGGTCCTCCTTCTTGCTCAGCAGCAGGAAGCGCGTGAAGTTGCCGGCGTCGTCCTCGACGTTGCGCTGCAGCACCTGCAGTCCGTAGTACTCGGCGGCCAGGTCGCTGGCCACGGCGGCCGTGTCGCGCCACTGGTTGTCGGCCAGCATCTTGGCGCTGCCGGCCGTGTCGTACTCGGCGCGCGGCTTGGCGCCCATGGACGAGATGGTGTGCGCGCACTGCGCGAGCGCCTGCGGGTGGCTGATGACCGTCTTGATGTCGCTCTTCTGCACGCCCGGCAGCGCCAGCAGCGAGTGCTCCACGCGCAGGTCGTACTCGCCCACGATGTGCAGCCCGAACTTGAGCAGCAGGTCGTAGTTGGCGTGGATGCTGCCGCCCAGCGAGTTCTCGATGGGCAGCACGCCGAAGTCCGCGTCCTCGCGCTGCACGGCCAGGAACGCCTCGTCGAAGGACGGGTAGCCCACGGCCACGACGTTGGCCGACGAGCCCAGCAGCTGCCGCGTCGCCTTCTCTGAGTACGCGCCGGGCATGCCCTGGTACGCCACCTTCACCTCACCCTTCATGGTGTGGCTGTGATGTTGAGAGAGTGTTGGTCCTGGTGCGGGTGGGCGGCGCAGAGGAAGAGAGGAAGTGAGGTCCTTCGCTTCGCTTGCTGCGGCTGCCGGCTGATGGGCGCAAAGTGCGGAATGAGCTTGTGGATTGCAGACTAGGATAGGATCGGTAAAACAAATTTGACGGGGACGGAGGACAATAATTATTGTTGGAAAACATGGTATTGGGTTGCAGATCAATTTGTTGTTTGATTCGCATCTTACGAGTGGCACCTCCAACTCCAATAGGCAGGCAGTCGCAGGTTGTGGCTACATGTAGTATGGATCAGGCAATCTTGATAGACGTTCGAATACATGCACAGCTCTTTTGTGGTGGAGAATGTTACCGTCACATATTAGTTGGTGAAATTGTCAATGCTCTGGTGAGGGAAGATGAATATCGCGCTGGATGGGGATCTGAACTTGCTGCGTATCCAAGCTATAGTAGTGCCGGCACTCAAGTTTGCATGTATGGAGCTGCGTGAGCACTGCAGTTTCTTCAGTGAATTAACATCGATGAACTGCTGGACGTGCGCAATTTCCCGAGATATAATTATGACAATACACGTCTTGCATCGACCCTGACTTATGTGCAAGCCTCACAATTCTTCGTTCAGATTAAATCTAGTCCATTACAGCTACAGTACCTACACTCCACGCAGAATTTGCCCAAAGTCTTGTACAGGTCACATCGGAGACTTTACCAGCAATTACTTCTAATTATTGTTTTTGCCAATCGATTCAGCAATTAAATAGAACCCCCGGGGGTGGTATTCCCGGCGAAATTTAGACTTGGAAAATGTATAGACGATGAACACGTACTTGTCGCGCGTCTCTAGCACGGGGCAGATGTGGGGCAATCATTGCGCGCTGACACGCCCTCGTGCTGCGGAGACCTTGCTGCTGCTGCAATTCGCGCGCTGTGGAGCTTCAATGCCTTGAGCTTCAATCCGTGACAGTCGAGCGCGGTGTTAACCGCAGGGCGCAAATTGCCACGTCACAGCTCGATTTTCGCCTCAAAGCGCGGCAGCAACCGCAACGACCAAACACGAGCTCCTTCCTCAAATCTCCCGCTGACGACAGGGCTCGATGGCCAAACGCTGCTTGTTCAACCAAGCAGAACGATTGCTCGCTGCCGGTGATGCGGTCTCCATCACCAAGTGGGATTTCCGCCCGCCAGTTCAAGGCAACCTCAGCCACTGTACTGGTCCAGTGCGCGGTGTGTGCTCTCAACTCCTTAGGTGTAGCAATGCCCAGCGTGTCCGTAGCTCGCTGTATTGCTAACGAGTCATGATGCACGTGCAAATGTCGTTCGTGTGCAAGTGTCCGACGTTGCAGCATGAAACACCCGGTCGCTGGCGGTTTCTCAGCTGCAACGCCATCTTTAGCGGACCCATGCGCTTCCTCGAGACCATTTGCATCCGACGGAGTGCCCCCCGTTAGTTCGTTGCCGCTGCCGCTGTCGAAATGCCTTTGTACGCGGCGATCTCGCCGACGTTCAGCACGGCGGAGGAGTCGCTGGATGCGCTCGTCAACTCGGCGTTCTATGCCGAGTCCATGATCAAAGGCGCGGGGGTGGGTGCGACCAAGCACGCGACGACGCTCGGCCGCTTCGAGAAGATCTTCGTCTTCATGGTGGACCCCAACTCGTCACGCGGGGCGTCGCTCTACAGCTTCTTCATCGCGTGCGCGGCCTTCACGAGCTGCTTCATCCTGTTCCTGCAGACGCTGGACGGGCCGAACCACCACAGCTCGGAGCCCGAGTACCCGAAACTACCCAGCGAGAACGGCTACTACGACGCAGACCTGGTGTTCACCGTCATTTTCACGCCGGAGCTTCTCATTCGTCTCATCATCTGGCCGTCGCTCTGGCACGAGCACGAGTACCTGACGGAACGGCGATTGAAGCCGTTCCTGCGCGACTTCTTCAACTGGTTCGATGTGGCCGCTATCGTACCGTTCTACACCGACCTGATCTTCGGCAAGGAGAAGAGCTTCGTCATCATGCGGCTCTGTCGACTGCTGCGCATTTTCAAGCTCGCCCGAAATCACTCGGGAACGTACATCTTGCTGCGAGCCATCCGCGCCAGTGTCGCTCCTATTTCCGTGGCGCTTATCTTCTTCACGGAAATTGTTCTCTTCTTCTCGGTCGTCATGTACATGGTGGACCCCAGCTACGACCGCAACAAGCCTGGCTTCTCCGACTTGCTGACGACGGGGTACTTTGTGGTGGTCACGGTGGCCACCATCGGCTACGGAGACATCACGCCCACGAAAGGCAACGTGGCCAGCCGCTGCTTCGCCGTCATGATTATCATGTCCGGCACGCTCTTCTTGTCCATGCCTCTCGCCATTATCGGAACAGAGTTCGACCGCGCCTGGAAGCAGCACGCAGAGAGCGTCAAGAAGTTTCAGCAGCTTCAGGCTGGCACACACGTCGCCACTCCGGTGAATATTGACCTCGCTGCTGCCACAGGAGACAACCGTGCCCACCAGAAACATGAAATTCTGGTCAAGTATAACGCGCCCAACAAGCTATACCTGCGCTTGGCAGCGCTTACGGGCGAGGCGTCGCTGATCACACAGGCTCTAGTCACTGAGGCAACGGCTCATGAGTTCAACCTGCATCAACTTCGAGATATTACGGACGACTTGAAGCAAACCGTCGAGCTCTGCTTTCTCAAGTGCGAAGAGCTGGCGGTAATGGTGCGTGATATGATAGTGGCCGAGTCGCAGGAGGTCGCTGCGCCGCCGACATGGCGAGAATGGGCACGAACGACGATCCTTGAGCCGGATTCGTCTCTGCTGGGACGCGTTATTTCTCGTTGGGTGAAGTTCTGCCTCATTTTCAGTATGATTATCGTCGTGTTCCAAACCATGCCGGACCTGCAGACATACGGAGAGGAAACCTACTTGTGCGAGCGAAAGGTTCAGCGCTACTGTGAGAACGTCCTGGACATTCGTGCCGGTGGCAACGACCCGGGTTGCTTTACTGTCGATGACCCGAGTGTTGAGCTGCGCTTTGGCTGCACTGCTGCCGAAAAGCTCACCGATTCGACGTGTTACGGGTATCCAGGCAACTTCGGCAGTAGCACGGTCGATGACAGACTTTCGTGTGATGGATCGGATAAGGTGCTGTTGAGTGCATTGAACAACAGTGGGTCGTCCTACCGAGACCAACTTGACCTCGTGTTGCCGTTCCGACCGGATCCGTACCTTGTCAAGCGTGATCGAAAGCTGAGCGTTTGCAAAAAGTGGGAGTGTGACAACCTGCACGTGACTTTCTTTGAGTTTGGCAATGGATACGTGGCGATGGAGTACATTTTCACGCTCACGTACATGTTTGAATTCGCGGCTGCTCTGTTCGTATGCGAAGACTACCGCTCGTACTTCAAGAATCCGCTGGTATTCATCGAGATGGCGTCGTTCATCCCATTTTTCGTATTTGAAGGGCGACGGTTATTCACCGGCGTGACGCCCATATACGTGATCACTCCGGCATCACAGGACTTTCTGACATTTCTGCGTCTGCTGCGCCTGTCACGCATTTTCAAGATCCAGCAGAGCATCCCAGTCACGAAGGTGCTTTGGGAGTCGATTTCCAAGACATCAGCACGACTTACGATCCCTTATTTCATGCTTATGGTCGTGACCACGATCCTGTCTTTCATCATGTTCGAGCTCGAAAAGGGTACGGAGTGTTTCTACGGTCAAGAGTGTATTGTCGGCGACCACAACATGACCTTCCCGTCAGAGCTTGAGGGCGCGTTACCCGGTAAACGCTTTCTCGTGAATTTCAAGGGTGAAATTTCAAGTTTTGACGACTTCTTCTCGGCCTTTTGGTTCGTCATCGTGACACTGGCCACTGTTGGCTACGGTGACATGGAGCCTGTGACGAGCTCGGGGAAGCTGGTGGCCGTCGTCGCCATGATTTTTGGAGCCTGTTACACTGCCATGCCACTTACCCTGGTCGGATCCCAGTTCAACAAAAGTTACCTGGAGTACAAGCGGCGGGAGGCACTTTTGCGGACAAAGCAGGAAGTAGGCAAGCCTTACGTTGTTCACCCAAGCGAGCTCCAACGCTGGGAAGACTTCGCACGAAACGAATCATTCACTTTGATGCTCAAGTTGCTACGTGACCAGCTCGAACCTCTGCTCGATTCTATCGAGAAGAGCGAGGTCGACATCATTGACGATATCAACAAAGCGGAGATTTTCAACATTTCCAAGGAGCTGAAGCGCATCATCTTCCTTGAGAGGGTGCGTATATATCTATATTCTTGCTGTGTTTGTTCCACCTGGGCTGATCACGTTATATTTTGTTGGATTTAGTTGCAAGTGATGCGGGTTAGCTCCATTGTGAATTATCTTCGGAAGGAGGGTATCCGTCTGGCTGAGCAGCAAGTTACTGCGTTGCAGAGCGTCGTCTCGTGACGGTCTACGACAGCGCTAGAGCTTCTTCGTAGCCTTCATGAGCTGATAACAGTAATTAAGCAAATGGCAGACATAATTTGGCTGCATATTTCGTCAGGGTTCACTACGCCTGACGTTTCCGCAGAAACTTCATTGAATGCACTCGCGCATTGCAGGTGATCGACTGTCATGACACTGCTTTGAAGTTATGTATTTAGCGCGCTATTACATGGTGATGGTTTCCTATAGTTCGTGTTGGATGCTCAGCTTTGCCCATTACTCAAACGTCAGCGAGTTGAGCGCGTGTTCCATACCATCCATCGAGTGAACCATCGTGTTCATGGAACCAGCGTACGAAATGCGCAGCCCATGCGGTTCACCCATATCTGAGCCTGGACCCACCGCAACACCATGCTTACGGATGAGGTAGTCGCAGAAGTCGTCGACGTTGTGCAGGACCTCGCTCTTGTCGGCAGTGAAGGCAGTTTTGCCCTCAAAGTGCAGTCCGAGATCCACGAACACGTAGAAAGATGACGTCGGGTACGCGAAGCGCACGTTCGGCATGGCGCGGAGGCGCTTGGCGATGTACTGGCGCTTCAGATCCAGGCCGTGCAGGTCCTCGGCGATGCGAAGCTCGCCCCGTTCGATGGCCTCCAGCTCCATCTGCATGGCTTCGATAGCCATGACCTGGCCAACACTGTTAGCGCAGGACGTCAATTGTCCCTGCATGAGGTAGCAGGGCTCGATGAAGTGCTTGGGGCCGGCCATGTAGCCAATTCGCAAGCCGGTCATTGCGTACGCCTTGGAGAAGCCGTTGATCAGGATCGTGCGCTCGTACATGTCCGGGATTGTAGCGAAGCTCTTGCAGACGCGCTTGGGGACACCTTCGTCCTGATAGACGATCTGTTCGTAGATTTCATCGGAAATCACGACAACATGCCGGAACTGGGGCTTGCGGAGAACAGCAGCGATCTTCTCCAGTTGTTCGGGGCTGTGAAGCGTCCCAGCCGGGTTGCTCGGGTTACAGAGAATGAGGATTCGGGTCTCGGGGTTTGCCGTCAACGCCTCCTCCAGATTCACGGGGTTAATCAAGTATTCGTCTTCCAGTGTGTTTCGCAGCTGCACAAGTTGGGTCTTAACCTGCGCAAGAATGCCCTCGTAGCTTCCCCAGTACGGAGACGGTAGCAATACCTTGTCGCCTGGGCGCAGAATCGCAAGAACCATGTTGTAGATGGCCTGCTGGGCACCACCGCAGACTTGAATCTCAGTGGGGGCGTAGGTCACACCCTTGGCTCGTTGCAGATACTTGGCGATGATCTCGCGCAGCTCCGCCATGCCGCGCATATCACAGTACTTGGTCTGGCCTTCTTGAATGGCTCTGATACCAGCTTCTAGCACTCGCTTCGGGGGCTGGAAGTCAGGTTCGCCAACACACAGTGAGTAGACAGACTTGCCTTCCGCTTCCATTTGCTTAGTCACTCCAAACACCGCAAGCGTCTTGGCCACCTTGGTGGTGTCAAACACGGGACTCAACGGATACTTCTGCGCCATGGTCAGCTCTTGCGGAACAGCATCTGGAGCACCATTCGTCGTCTCCACCGCGCCGCTCGAGTAGCACCCAAGTACGCAAACATACGAGCACATCGCCCTCAACGCCGCAATCGCCTCCACAGCCTTCGCATCGCTCTGGCGAGCTTTCAAGTCCGCGTAGAAGATGAACTCGGCCTTGCCGGCGCTCGGGTGCGCGCTGCTCCACGGTCGGCTCTCGATCTTGCTCAGGTCGATCTCGCGAGATGCGAACAGACCAAGAGCACGGTGCAGCTGGCCGTGCGCGTTGCCCGACGCAAAGGCGAAGGCGAGCGACGTTTTGCACTGGTCCGTCTTGGGCGAGGGCTCCACCGGCGTCTTGGCCACCATCCAGAATCTGTGTGCGTCGGAGGTTTTGGCCGAGTGTTCGTACTCGCCCACGACGGCCAGGTTGTATTTGATCAGGAGGTCGCAGGATTCGTAGCAGCTGCCGCAGGTGGCGGAGTCGACGGGCAGGACGGCAAACTGTGCGTCGTCCTTCTTGACCGCGACGACGGCGTCTTCGAGCGTGGCGTAGCTGATGGCCTTGGATTGATCGACAGTGCTGAGCATTTGAGCCGCAGCGTCCTTGGCACCGGGGAATGCTGCATCTTCATGGTAGGCCACTCGCGTCGACGTTCCCACTGCCATTCTGGAGTCCTGGTCGAGTTAGCTGGGCTTGCTGGTGTTGAAGCGAAATGAGGAGTGAGTTGAAAGGAAACCATGATTTTCCTGCGCGGATACCCGTTGAAGATGGGTACCGACGTCATGCGCCTTCGCGCCCTGTGATTGGCTCAGACGCGCGTGTGAAAGGCCGCAGTACGCTAGTCGAAACCAAACCGACCGATTAGATGACTAGCACAAGACTACCTGAGTACAATGCACTCACCCCACTACGTGCTGCAAAGCTGACCCGGTGGCGTTCATGTGGCTTCAGCGGACTTCAACGCGTTCTGTCGCCGCTGAAAGCGCTCAACATGGCGCTAGTTGGTGCAAAATGCTCCATGAGACTATTGCACTTGTGCATGTAGATTCGCCTACAGTGCTTGCGTGTCCCCTCGTGCGGAATGCAACTCTCATGTAAATATGTAGTGGTGGAAATACTGGTTACATGTGCAAGCTTATGGCCAATTTTAGTTGCGGGTAGCTTGATGCTCGCTTGGCTTTGCATCTATTTTCGCGGAGGTGGCGAAGCAGGCAAACGGACCGTATTCCGTGGAGGAATTGAGTTCCAAGCGCAGCGTGTTGGCTCGGCAGCTACCCAGCGCTGTAGATATGCCGCACCGTACGACTTTGAGTGCCGATGAGCTGGAACGCATGAGGGCGAGTGTGTCGCCCCCAGTGCAAAGCGACCGCGAGGCGAGACGTCAGGCTATCAAGCTCAAATCCGAGCAACGCACGGCCACGTGGCCGAACACGCTCGAGGCCATGCGCAAGAAGAAGGATCGCTGGAAAAAGGACAAAGAGGAACGCCTGGAGGAGGAGCGCAAGAAGATCGACGAGGAGGAGATGCGGCTTCAGCGCGAGGCGCAGACCAAGCAGATCGAGCGTGCCAATCGGCTCCTCTATGAACAGACCGACCGGATGAAAACTCTGCGGAGTAAGCAACTTCTGGCCGATGTGGTTCATGTGAGTGCTATGTTTGACTTCTTGAGCCAGCACTTGTACACTTGGGCTAACCCTTACTCTGGCCATGACAGCACCGCACGCTTCAGCTGGAGGAGAAGCAAATGCTCAAAGATCAAGACGATTTGACAAATTATCTGTACGACCGGCAGGTACTTGCCAAGGTTCTCGAGGGCGAGGAAGAAGAGCGACGTCTAAGAAAGAAGCGCCAGGAAGAAAACGCGAGACTAGCAGCCATCCAAAAGGGACAGCTCGAGGAGTACAAGCAGCGCTACATCAGTGAGCTTCGAGAGGTAAGTTGTGTTCTCATTTTTCGTTATCTACTTACACAATCGGCATACCTCTAACTCGATGTTCTGAACGCGACACAGGAAAAAATGGACGGCGAGCGGATGAAGCAGCAAGCGGAGCAGGAATACCTGGACGAGATGGAGAGAGAGCGTCAGCGGAAACTGCGTCTGAAGCAGGCGAGCGAGGACGCGCAGCTAGCAAATCAAAGATTGCGCGCTCACCGGGAGATGCTGAAGGAGAAAGAGCGTCTTGAGGACGTGAAGCGCGAGGAGGAAGAGCGCAAGAAACAGCTACGCGACGCCAAGCGTATGGACCTCCAGCGGCAGAAGAAAGAGAACGCGCAGGCCCGCAAGCAGCGCATGATCGACCTGGCCACGAATAATCTGGTGAAACTGGAGCAAAAGAACGAGGAGCGTCTGCAGAACCAGAGCAAGGAAGTGCGCGCGAAGGAGGACAAGGAGCTCAAAGAGCGCGCCGACCGCCGTGCTGTCGAGAAGGAAGCGATTGCGCGTAGCCGGCGCCACCAGCTCGAGTGCAAGCAGCGTGAAAAGGAGCAAGCAGCCGAAGAAGCCCTCGAGTCGGTCATTCAGTGGGAGCAGTTCGGTAGACGGATCGAGATGCAGGTCAAGCAGGAGGAGCAGGGGCAGCGTCTGGAAGATCTGCGCCTCGCGGTGGAGCAGAAGCAGCAAGCGGATGCAAGGCGCAAGACGATATCGAACGAGCGAGCTTCCAGACTGCAGGATGATCATGAGACTCGGCGTGCGTTGGAGTACGAGAACGAGCGCTTCAAGGTGGTGGCCCAGCAGGCCCTCGACGAGGCCCGCGAGCGCGGCTTGACCAATGTGTTCCCCATCCAGAAGGCGCTGGCGGAGAAGCGCATCGACCTGCTGCACGCATCAGGCTTCCGCGTCTAGAGTACAATACTGTAGCGACCCCTAGTACATGCACCCTTGAAGCTCATGCTCATCTCAACATGTCGTTTGGAGGTCGACTATCGAATGTAGCCATCCGTCATGCTAGCCAATCACAGGCGCATGACGAAGTATGCCCATCTCCCTCCAACACGGAAAAGATACCGTAATCAGACGGACCGCCATCTCTTCGATGGTCCTATAGCTCATTCTCGGATTCGCCTGGAGACCTACTAGTTATCGACTGTAGTGTGTGTTTAGTTTCGTTTCGTTTAGTTCGAGTTTAGCAATCGAAACCGTTTAGAACGCGTGTTTCGCGAACGATTGCCCTCATTTCGTCGACAAAACTCGAGTAGCCATTTTTTAGAATTATTTCTCTATATTTAGACTACATTTTAACATTTTGCTCGCCGCATTCACTCCGAGGGCGAGTGCGCACTCGCGCTTCAACTTCATTCCGCACTCTGCGCGCACTCCGTGCACCCAGTGGGGACACTCCAAGGGCGCACGGACCATCAAGACTCTTGCGCAGATCAAGGAAGAGCGACGGTGAGGGTGAAGTGGCGAAGGCGCTGGCCGCGGCGTGCACTAACATGTTGGATTCGTGGAGCAGCAATGCCAGGAGGGCGACCAAAAGGCGAGGTCTGGAAGCTTTTCGAAGAACCAGGTGCTGATGGAAGCGTGAAGTGCCAGCGCTGTTCTGCTCAGATTGCCAACCCGAAGCCACACAAGCTCGAAAGCCACTTGACGAAGTGTGATGGATACTCGCTTGTGGAGAAGAAGAAGAGGAAGCGCGCTTCTGAAGAGCGTGCGGAAGAGGCGGCGCGGCAAAGGAGTCTGAACAGTGGAGATGTGGAGATGCTGCAAACGGACGCCGAAGACACTGATGGACAACCGTTGATGTCATACATCGTGACTCAAGCCCTCGTCAACAAACTGGTTGCCGACTACATTTACGAGTCCGCGTCGGCGTTTCGATCCGTGGATTTGGGCTCTTTCCAGCGTTTGGTCTTGACCTTGGCGCATGGTACTTGCACTTCAAGCGTCAAAAGTTCCATCGCCAACGGACGTTGGCGACCCGCTCCTAAAGCAGACCGCAAAGGAACACTTCGAGAAGAAAGTTGCTATCCTGATGAAGCAGAAATTCTTCGCGTTCCAGCTCGACGGATGGTCGAATCCCAGACGGGAAAAACTGATCAATCTTCTGGCGTCAGGCCCAAATATGGATCCCTTGCACCTCGAGACCATTGCGACTGGAGTCGACTCCCAGACTGGATAATATATTGCGAGGCTTATCGGCGCGAAGGTGGACAAATTGGACGCGATTGTTGGCGAAAGCAAGGTGTCGAGTGTCACGACGGACAATGCGCCTAATATGGAAAAGGCGTGGGGAATTCTTGAAAGCACGCGGGGGTTGCTGTGCAATGGCTGTGCTGCGCATGTTCTCAATTTGCTTTTGCAAGATGTGGCAAAAATGGACGAGATCAAGCGGGTAGCGGCTGGCGCTGAGGCGATCACAGCGTACTTCATGGGACGCCAGCAGCTACTTGCCTGGTTTAAGATCGAGAAGGACGATATGGCTTGACCCAACGCAGCTGAAGTGCACGGTCGCTCGTTCACCATCCCTGTTGGTACCCGCTGGTACTCCTCGTACCATTGCCTCGTGAACGTGATCCGGAACAGAGAGGCTATAACCCGCGTGTTCGACGACGATGAATTTATGGCTTCGTACAGCGGGAAAAAGAATCTGCGAACCCAGCCAACACCAGCTCAGACAACGACATCAAGGCGACGAAGTACGCGCTCCAAGAAGAAGACGAAGAAGGCCCAAGAGGCCGAGGCCCAACGAAAGAAGAAGCAGGAATTGAAAGCGGCCGTCTTCCAAAACGTTGACAATCTGGTGCGAGATGAAGACTTCTGGATGAAGGGTGAACAAGTAATTCAGCTGCTGGAGCCGATCATCAAGAAGCTTCAGCTACTGGAATCCGACCACTGCTACATTTCAATGGCGTACTGGGCGTTTCGTGACCTCCTCAAGCAGCCTATCTACTGCGATCCAACGTTTTTGGTCAGTACGGCAAAAGCTATACTTGTGCAAATCGAAGCGAGATGGAACAAAGTGCACACAGATGCCATGTGCATTGCATTCTTCTTGGACCCGGCTCAGGACCCCAATGGTTTCGTTGGCAAAGATCGAAAGAATAGCAAGAAGCAGATCCGCAAGATGGCGAAGAGACTGGGTTACACACCGGAGGAAGTTGATCAAGCATATCACGAAGCCGGCGTATTCTGGAATTTGATGCGGGATTGGACGCCCAAGCAGCGCCGTATTGAGTCCCGTTCTGCACCTCTAGAGTGGTGGGGCGACGAGCGCGACTCATATCCAGTCCTGTCTCGGATAGCGCGCCGGGTGTTCACGATGCCGACATCGTCAGCGGCTTCGGAAAGGAACTGGAGTGCTCACAAGTTCGTCTACTCAGATCGACGAGTTAACCTTGGCCTGGACAAAATCAACATGCTGATTTCCATGTACTGGGATCGACTGGAGAAGCCGCTTCCAAGAGTTATCTTCAACCCCGCAATTCTACAGACGGCAGTAACCAGTGAAGGTGACGACGACGAAGAGGAGAACAGGATTCACTACGAAGCTCACGACTCAGATGGGGAGGAGAATTACGAGCATGAAGTCTTAGCTTAAGCGATGACGATGATGAATCGGACGACGAACAGCAGAAGGACCCAGAAAAAGCCAAGGCAATCAGATTGGCCCAAGAAAACCTGGACTACTTCCTTCATGATACCTTCGACTACCAGGGCGAGTAAGTTTTGAGTACGACTTTGATGTTTGGCGAGTAAGTTTTTGAGTACAACTTGGATGCTAAGTTAATAAATTCACGTTGTCGTGAGTACACTTTGCTTGCAATTGAAAGTATGACCAGCTTCATCGGTCTTGTTGGCCCTTTGTAGACCTGAATAGCGTCGCGCCGAATCCCGTACATTTCGTTTGCAAATTAAACCGAATTAATTTCAATTTCGAACGCGAAACTCCATTAAAATTGCGAACGAAACACACACTAATCGACTGCAAGCTTTCCTTTACCCATTATGGCTGTCGGACCATCAACGCGAGTGGCCTACCATGAAGATGCAGCATTCCCCGGTGCCAAGGACGCTGCGGCTCAAATGCTCAGCACTGTCGATCAATCCAAGGCCATCAGCTACGCCACGCTCGAAGACGCCGTCGTCGCGGTCAAGAAGGACGACGCACAGTTTGCCGTCCTGCCCGTCGACTCCGCCACCTGCGGCAGCTGCTACGAATCCTACGACCTCCTGATCAAATACAACCTGGCCGTCGTGGGCGAGTACGAACACTCGGCCAAAACCTCCGACGCACACAGATTCTGGATGGTGGCCAAGACGCCGGTGGAGCCCTCGCCCAAGACGGACCAGTGCAAAACGTCGCTCGCCTTCGCCTTTGCGTCGGGCAACGCGCACGGCCAGCTGCACCGTGCTCTTGGTCTGTTCGCATCTCGCGAGATCGACCTGAGCAAGATCGAGAGCCGACCGTGGAGCAGCGCGCACCCGAGCGCCGGCAAGGCCGAGTTCATCTTCTACGCGGACTTGAAAGCTCGCCAGAGCGATGCGAAGGCTGTGGAGGCGATTGCGGCGTTGAGGGCGATGTGCTCGTATGTTTGCGTACTTGGGTGCTACTCGAGCGGCGCGGTGGAGACGACGAATGGTGCTCCAGATGCTGTTCCGCAAGAGCTGACCATGGCGCAGAAGTATCCGTTGAGTCCCGTGTTTGATAACACGACTATCGCCAAAACCATTGCAATCTTTGGGGTAACGAAGGAAATGGAGGCCTCGGGCAAGCTTGTGCACTCGCTGTGTGTTGGCGAACCTGACTTCCCGCCCCCGAAAGTTGCGATGGACGCCGGCATCAGGGCGCTTCAGCAGGGCCAAACCAAGTACTGCGATATGCGTGGCATGGCTGGACTGCGTGAGATCATTGTCGAGTATTTTTTTTAATAACGGTGAGGTGTATTGAGTTACTGGCCATGTATCCGAACTTCAAGATCATTGTCGAGTACCTTCAGCGCACGAAAGGCGTCAAGTATGACCCCGATACCGAAATCCAGATCTGTAGCGGTGCCCAGCAAGCCCTCTACAACGCGATGCTCGCAATCTGCCGCCCACGTGACAAGATCTTGCTGCCTTCGCCGTACTGGGGCAACTACGAGGGCTGCATCACGCAGGTGAAGGCTGGCCTCGTTCGACTGCGCAACAAACTGGAGGAGGACTACCTCATCAACCCGACGGAACTCGAGAAGACTCTGACCGCCAACACCAAGACGAAGATGATGATCCTGTGTAACCCCAGCAATCCGGCCGGCACGCTTCACAGCCCCGAACACCTGGAGAAGATCGCTGCAGTCCTCCGCAAGCCGCAGTTCCAACACGTCGTTGTTATCTCGGATGAAATCTACGAGCAACTGGCCTTCCAGGATGAGGGAGCGGCTGAGCGCAAGCACGTCAGCTTTGCCGCGCTTCCGGGCATGCACGAGCGTACAATCCTCATCAACGGCTTCTCCAAGGCGTTCGCAATGACTGGTCTGCGCGTTGGCTACATGGCCGGCCCCAAACACTTCATTGAGCCCTGCCAACTCATGCAGGGTCAGACCACGTCATGCGCCAACAGCGTGGGTCAGATCATGGCCATCGAAGCCATGAAGCTGGAGCTGGAAACGATCGAGCGGGGCGAGGTTCGTATCGCCGAGGACCTTCACGATCTTGATCTGAAACGCCAGTACATCGTGAAGCGCCTCCGAGCGATCCCCAGCATGCGCTTCGCGTACCCGACAGCGGCCTTCTACGTCTTCATGGACTTGGCGCTGTACTTCGAAGGCAAGAAGGCGTACACGACCGGTAAGAGCGAGGTTCTCGACAATGTCAACGATTTCTTCGAGTACTTGATCCGTACGACGAGCGTGGCTGTGGCCCCGGGATCCGACATGGGTGAGCCGTATGGACTCCGAATTCGTACGCGGGTCCGATGGACACGATGGTGCACGCGATGGATGGGCTCGAGTTCGCGCTCAACGCGCTGACTTTCGAGTAAGTGTAGTGGACCATCATGCTGCACGAACCGAAAGAGTAACAAGTTCGAGTCGTGTCTCATTCGATCCAAGAAATCTAGCAGGGTACATTGAGTACGTACACTTGGCTTCTACCGGTAATCCGCTTCCCGTTACTCTCGATGACAACTCACCAGGTTGCACGCGGTGTAAAAGAAGAGCGGGAGCACCAAGTTGTCAATCTGCGCCGTTGCTGCTTCTAGCACACTCGTCAAAAAGACAGCAACGGTGAGTAGCGCCAGCTACGCGGATACACATTGCACAACCAATCATTAATTAAAAGATGAAAACACTTTCAGAGCACGTTGAAAGCCAACAATTCGACGTACTTGGACGTATTCCCCATCGACATAAGCTCGCGTGTGATAGTCGTGAAGCGGAATCGAGGCGATCAGCATCGAGAAGAACACCGCTGCAGACCCTTCTAGCATCTTGCCACCGAACACTTTGCGTCGGCCCAAAGTCGATCCCACCACGGCCCCCATTGCGTCTCCCACGCCTAACGCCAGAACGCCAGTATTCACTACGAGCGGAGAGGGTCCGCTAAAAGAGGGCGCGAGCCACAGCGGCAGCGCGCAGCCAAGCAACAGATACGAGTGGGTCAAGATGATGCGACCGGCCTCGCGGTGATCGATGAACGTCCGCATGAACTCGGCGATGGATCGGCCAAATGGCGGCAGCGCCAGCGCTCGTACACACTCCACGAGGAAGAAGACGCTGAGCGCCACACCGTAGCTCAGTGACAGCATGGGTACGTCAAAAAGAGACGCCGGACCCAGCATGACCACCACCAGCAGGTGGAACAGCTTTCGCGCCACAATGTTCCGCAATGCGAAGCGGTCGGTGATCAACGCGAACAATGGGACGAGCACGACCAAGCACGTCGCCCAGTACCCCATTAACATAAATCGCGGTGGCAAGGACGAGGGCGGGCTGCGCGATTCGGAGAGGAAGTCGAACAGCCAGCCGAACGGATTCCACGTCTGCAGCAAGAAGCAGCTCCACGGATACACGACTCCGCCCACGACCGCCACGGCCGTAAGCACAAACCCCACACTACCTCTTAAGGGCAATGGCTGGGCAACAGCGGTGGGTGACGGCGCTCCATACAAACGCAGCAACGGGATCAGCGCGATACACACCAGCAGCGACCCCAACATTCCAACTTGAAGAGCCAAAACGTAGTCCGGTCGGTCCATGTCAAAGAGCAGCCACGGGTGGAGGACATTCGGCGGCAGGTCGATCACGTCAACCTCGTTCAGCTGCATACACCGCACATACCAGCAAAGCTCAAACCTCGTCAGCAATCCCCTCCCTCAGTCAACAACAGCCAGCAATAGATCTAACCACGCACCCAATTGACGGTGGACAGCACGAGGTCGTAGGCGCACAAGCCGACGCCCTGCGCCACCAGTAGAGCTTCGCCCACCGTGAACGACCGAGGCAGCAGCTTGAGGTCCGCAGCCAGCACCGTCGCCACAAAGACTCGTCCCCCCGTCGCCAGCAGGAACCTCCACTCCGCCTCCACAGGAGTCAGAAGCCCGAACGCTGTCGGTAGCAGCACCCCATCCACGAGGACGTTGACGCTGAGCGACGTGACGGACCCGAAGACCGCGACCTTGAGCAGCGCACTCACGCCGACGGAGATGCTGGTCCACGCGTAGAAGAACGTGACGCTCGAGAAAGCTCCGTCCTGGTAGATCTCCGCCAGCAGGCGACTCAACAGCACCAGAGGCGGCAGCACGCAGCCCACCACCAGTCCGGCGTCGCGTTCCTGTCTGCATTACCATTGTGCTACTGAGTCTATTGCCCTCAAGGACGATCGCTGTCAAAAACTCAAACTCCGGACCTGGAATCTCGGCGCAGCTCCTTGGACAGCGTCTGTGGCCTGAAAATCGACTGCAGGACGGCGGACAAGCCCAGGATATGCAGGACGAACAGCGCGTGGGACATGGTGGTGGCCTGCAGCAGCCGCTGTTCAGTCTGAAGCTGTTCACCTGCCTCCTCCTCCTTCTGGACGAGGTGCGTGGCCCACCCCGCGGCCAGGACCAGCGCCAGCGCCTCGGCGACCTGCGCGCGGCGGCTTTCGCTCGACGCCTTGCGTGGCATGTTTTTGACACACACACACAAACGCAGGTGTCAAAATCGATTATGGACATGGATGAACCGTTTTCGACATTTTGACCAACTTCAACTTGCTAGCACTAACCGAGTTACTTGTACGCCTTGCCGGCGTATTTCTTGAGCTGTGACAGCAGGTCCTGGTACACGAGCTCGTTGGCGTTCTGAGCCCAGGTGAAGTCCAGGTGCGAGAAGGCTGCGACGGTCTTCTCGTGCACGATGGTGCCGCTGGGTAGTGCGGACCGGATCTGCGCGATGTCGGTGGAGGTCGCGAACGTGTCGGTGGCGCCAATGTAGAAGCCCGTGCGCGGGTAGACCATCTTGCCGACTGGGTAGGCGGGCGGGTCGAAGCTGCCGTACACAGCCTTGTTCTTGCAAATGAGCGACGAGCAGAGGTTGATCCCCAGGAGACGCACGCAGCTGCAGCCGTAGTCGTACGACGCGAAGGTGTCGTCACGGATGCCTTGAGCGTAGTGGGCCATGTTTTTGACAGAGGTGCCTGCGGGGGTCTGCGAGAGGTAGACGGGAATGCGCGTGGCGTTCAAGTTGTCCGATGGTCCGGCGATGAGACTGATTGCCGAGTTGCAGATCTCGGCCACGTTGGTGCAAACGACGTCCGACAGAAGCACTGTAAGAAGGTCGTTGTGCGGTAGGAAGCTGGTGAAGCCGAGGTTGAGGAACATCTCATCCATATTTTCTTTCGCTAACGCCACAAAGTACTCGGCGGTAGTGTGACCCGTCCAAGCCACTGGTGCCAGTGCAGCAAAGTAGTCAACCTTCTCTGCGATTTCCTGGTTCTCGGAGAAGCCCACGAACGCTTGTGTGGTGCCCTCCGAATGCCCCACGTAGCTCACCGTCGAGCGACCAGTGGTGGCCAGTATGTGGTTCACAAACGCCGGCAGGTCGTAGAGACCCATGTCCTCCAAGTGAAATCCCAGAACTCGTCGTCGTCGGTGGTGTAGTCCAGGTGCGAGCGAGACCAGGTTGTGCCGCGGTTGTTGCCGAGCCAGACGTCGAAGCCGGCGTCGGCCAACACGTAAGCGAGACTTTTGTTGCGGAAGTTGGAGATGAACGTGAAGCTGCTGTCCAGCAGACCGTGTTGCAGGTGGACTGCGGGCTTGTTGGGAGCAGCAGCAGAGCCGGATTGGCTCTCGGCGTAAGTCTTCGGAAGTCGGTACATGGTGAGCACGTATCGATCCGAGGTGGTGACTTTGTGCGTCTCGATGGCGTAGCTGCGAGCTTGGACGATCTCGACGACGGTCTTGTCTGTATCTGGGTCCGCTGGGGCCCGATACCCCAAAGAGAACCCCGGGACTTCGTTTGCAGCTTGGATGGACATTGTGACGATACGTGCCAGTAGTAATAGCGCAATGCTGGCTACCGGTACTAGCCCACCAAGGATTCTACGAGTGCATTGCCGCATCGGGCTTTCGATGACTCCAATCAGTCGTGAGCCCTTCAAACTCCAAGAAGTTCTGTCATCATACTCGGAGAGTTGTGTGGCTAAATAAGGCCAAATCAATCCCGTCGAGTACTAGAATCTAAGTCTATGAATAAGATGATGTATTGCTGCTACCCCAAGATTCGATCGAGCAAATAGCTACAAATGTCGACTTGAAGCCATGCGCAGCTTCACCACCGTTCCCGCCGTTACGACGTCATGTATTCCAGCTTGCAATCTACCCTTACCGATTCGTGTAGATGGAGGCTGGTTTGACTCGAATACTACTGCATAGTTCCTTCAAACCCGGTGAACTTGAAAACCCGCGACACTGCAAATACAGGAACGAAGACACTGACCAGCGTGCTGTCGCGAGTGATACTTGCAGTCTGATACATTACGTCGAAACCTTACATTGTACACTAACAGCTACTAGACCTACTCAAAGATCAAGGACTTGAGCAAGTTCTCCATGCCGTCCATCGCGTGCGCGATCGCCTCCATCGAGCTCGCGTACGAGATGCGCATGCCGAACTCGTCGCCGAACTCGGAGCCCGGCACCACGGCCACGTGCGAGTGTTGCAGCAGGTGCGCGCAGAAGTCGTCGACGCTTGCGAGCGCCACGCTCTTGTCAGCCATGAACGCCTTCTTGCCCTTGAAGTAGCTCGACAGGTCCAGGAACACGTAGAAGGCCGACGTCGGGTACGCGAAGCGCACGTTGGGCATGGCGCTTAGGCGCTTGACGATGTACCGGCGCTTGGTGTCGAGGTTCTTCATGACCTCGGTGATGCGGCGCTCCCCCTTCTCCATGCACTCGAGCTCGTACTTCAGCGCCTCCACGGCAGCCACCTGGCCCACCGTGTTCGGGCACGACGTGAGCTGCGCCTGCAACAGCGTGCACGGGTCGATGTAGTACTTTGGTGCGGCGAGGTAGCCCACCCGCAGACCGGTCATGGCGTGCGCCTTGGAGAAGCCGTTCACCAGCAGCGTGCGCTCGTACATGCCCGGCAGCGTCGCGAAGCTCACGTGCTTGCGCTCGGACTCGCCCTCGTCCTGGTACAGCAGCTGCTCGTAGATCTCGTCCGAGACGACCACGACGTGGCGGAACTGCGGCTTGCGCAGCACGGCGGCGATCCGCTCGAGGTGCTCGGGGCTGTGCAGCGTGCCGGCCGGGTTGCTCGGGTTGCACAGGATGATGGCCTTGGCGTCCGGGTGCGCCGTCAGCGTCCTCTCCAGCTCCTGCGGGTTGATCAGGTAGTTCTCCTCGAGTGTCGTGCGCAGCGGAATGGGCTCCGCGTACACGAGCTTGACGATCTCTGGGTAGTTGAGCCAGTAGGGCGTGGGGATGATGACCTTCTGGCCGGGACGGCACACCGTGTAGAGCGCCTGGTACACTGACTGCTGCGCACCGTTCGACACGAGCACCTCCGTGGCTGGGTCGTACTTGAGCCCCTTTGCCTTCTCCAGGTACGTCGAGATGAGGCCGCGCAGCTCCAACAGCCCCTTCATGTGCGCGTACTTGATGTTGCCGTCGCTCATGGCCTTGGCACCTGCAGCCAACACGCGCTCGTGCGGGTTGTAGTCGGGCTCACCCACGCAGAGCGACCAGACCTGCTTGCCCTCGGCCTCCATTTGCTTGGTCTGGCCGTGGATCAGCACGGTCTTGGCGACCGTCACCTTTTGGAACATGGGGTTCAGCGGGTACTTGTCGGCCATGGTGATGTTGGTGCCGGTCTCGCGGCGGCCGGTCTTGCGCGCTAGCTCGACCGCCGTCAGGGCATCCGCGCTCTGCGCCGTCGCATACGAGCCCAGCACGCGCACGAAAGCGCAGATCTCGCTGAGCCGCCGCATGGCCGCCGCCATGTTGGCATCCGTGAGGTGGCCCTGCACGTCTACGTAGAAGAGGTACTTGTACCTGCGGGTGTCGACGGCCGTCTCTCCGTGCTGCTGCGGGGCCTGGCCATCCCATGGGCGGCTCTCGATCTTGGTCAGGTCCAGGTCGCGCTGCGAGAAGACGGCGAGTGCGCGGGTGAGCATGCCCCTGGCCGAGCTGTCCTTGAAGCCGAAGACCAGCGACGTCTTGAAGTCGACGCCTGCCGTCTTCTTGTCGTCCAGCGCCAGGTCCTCCTTCTTGGACAGCAGCAGGAACCGCGTGTACGATGACGACGGCGTCGACGATGCGTCCTGCGGCACCGGGGCGGCCTCTGGCTGCTGCTGCTGAAGGTCGTACTCGCCCACGACGTGCAGACCGTACTTGAGCAGCAGGTCGTAGTGGGCGTGGATGCTGCCGAGCGAGGACGACTCGATGGGCAGCACGGCGAAGTCCACCTCCTCGTCGTTGACGGCGGCGCATGCGTCCTCGACGCGCTTGTAGGCCACGGCCGAGGCCGAATTGTCCACGAAGTGGCGCGCGGCGCGCTCGGCCTCACCGCCCTCGTACGCGATCTTGAGCTCGGCTCCCATGACTCCGAGTTGAAGTGGCTGGATGGTCGGGATGTTGAAGCTGCAACGAGCTTGTCGCCGACGGTGTCAATTGGGGAATGGGAGCTTTACGACACCAAGTTGCCAAGACGGCGGGGACAGCACGGTGGGCTCGATGCCGAGGGCGAGGAGAGCGGCTCTGGTTGCGTGACAGCTCCCGCGTCACCCGAGAAGACTAGCGAGATCAAGCGCGGGAAGCTTGGGTGATCAGCTTGCAATGCTTCAGTTTTGGTGTCGGCGACCAAGCAGCATGTTTGGTCGCGTCTCTCGCTGCGACCAAACGCTTTGATTGGTCGCGGAAAGCCTCTTTTATGGTCGCGGCCCAAGCCGAAAAACCCAAATTGGGTTTTACACTACCGGTAGCGGATTCTTCCGAATAGTACACCGGTATTACAGTAGTAGTATAGACGATATTATACCTTGTTCCAGTGTTTACTATTCGGATGGGTATTGTATTAGGAGGTATTTAGTTTAACTTGGACTTGTCAATTGCAGCGCAGAATGGAAAGTGCTTGATCGAATTACGAGTTTCCTTGTCCACGTGTCCTACACAGAGCGAACTTACCAACATCTTCTAGAATGTCCTCGACGCTTCCATGACCAACACTCTGGAACGCACTGTAAGTTGCCTTTCTCCGTACTCGTAGACAGGACCAGCAAATCCTTAACATTTAGTAGCTTAGGCAACAGAACAGTCATTAGTTATTAGATTATTAGAACTATAAACAGTCACGAAGGAAAGCCACTACCACTATCGAGTTCACATCGTTGATTGTTATGAGAGTCTCAAATGCCTCTACCTGAATATTTTGTTATTCTTCTCAGTTCGCATTACGCGCGGCCTTGGCAGCCTTTTCTGCCATCTTATCTTGTAGCCATTCCAATATGCGAGAAGGTACTGATACTCCTTTTTGTGGTTCGCAAGTCTTTGGAGAGCTTCCACCCTGTCCGCCTTATCCGCATTGTACAAACCGCTGAACAAGGTTTTCATACCTGCCTTGCTGTCGAGCGCATCATCGAGCTTCTTCACGTCGATGAGGTCATCCACCTTTGCTGCATTAAAGGTCCTCTCTTCGTCCCCTTCGAAGACCCTCAGGAACCGCCGAGTCATGTCGATAGTCTCCACCGAGTCGGACGGCACCCTCTCCGAGAGCGCGTTGGTAGCTGATGCAGCACCGCTTTTCGCGAGTAGGGCGACCGCAGTGACCAGGAAGTCGTAGCACACGCGCATGGTAGACTGAGGCTTGGAGGATTGGAGAGTATTGCTTGCTAGGAGGAAAATTGCGGAATGAACAGGATTTTAAAGCACAAACCGTGCATGAAGAGCAGAGCCGGTGAATATAAATAATTATCTCTATCTGAAATTGATTCATTTAGACAGCTCATGTCTGCGACAAAACCCCAGCGGAGAGCTGCTATCCCCGGTGGATCCCTGATGATGCTGGGCTGTCGATGTGTGATGTACTGTATCTCGCCTGAGTGGAATATGATGAGAAAAGATTAAAAGCTAGAGTAAAAGGGATGACGACCGTGTATGATACAAAAACGGATGGGTGCCTTGTGCAAATCAATCAAAGGATGAATGCCTCGTGTGCGTCCAGTACAGGCAAACTGCGCTCGCTGATACGAAGCCTTTGGGATGACATTATGCTTGCCCCTTGTGTAAGACTTCATTTTGACCCGCAGGGGTTCCACCGAACCCATTTATCACGATGGTGGCTTCCCTAGAAGGCTTTCACCTGCGGAATCGTGTAGGACGTAATTATCGACCTGAACGCTAGAACCAGCTAGAGGAAAAGGTTATCAGCTCCCCTGAGAAGGAACGGGTGTATTAGAAGAAAAAAACGCGATGCCATTCGCTCGCATTCCGTGTGTCCGAAGGCCCTTCATCGCTACGCGTCCAATAAAATGCATGTAAAAACACTAAGCAAGTCATCCCTCTTCATAGAAAACACACGGAAGCCCACCGTTTGAAGGTTCGTACTAGGACTTCAGCCTTTTCACTCTAGATTTTAATCCGCACCCGAATATAATCACAACTGTAATCCCATGTATGTACGTTTGACCGAGAAATGGCGTGAGCTCTGGCTGAGGAGGTGTATTACGCAAGCCGAGTTGTGATTATATTCGGGTGCGGATTAAAATCTAGTGTGAAAAGGCTGAAGTCCTAGTACGAACCTTCAAACGGTGGACTTCCGTGTGTTTTCTATGAAGAGGGATGACTTGCTTAGTGTTTTTACATGCATTTTATTGGACGCGTAGCGATGAAGGGCCTTCGGACACACGGAATGCGAGCGAATGGCATCGCGTTTTTTTCTTCTAATACACCCGTTCCTTCTCAGGGGAGCTGATAACCTTTTCCTCTAGCTGGTTCTAGCGTTCAGGTCGATAATTACGTCCTACACGATTCCGCAGGTGAAAGCCTTCTAGGGAAGCCACCATCGTGATAATGGGTTCGGTGGAACCCCTGCGGGTCAAAATGAAGTCTTACACAAGGGGCAAGCATAATGTCATTCCAAAGGCTTCGTATCAGCGAGCGCAGTTTGCCTGTACCGGACGCACACGAGGCATTCATCCTTTGATTCATGCTCTTTCGTAAGACGATACTTAGCCCCAGAGAGCCTACCGTAAGACAAAGCGTCTTACGATTTGCAATCAACTCATTTAGGCTACATCTTGGTTTTATTATACCAGTGGCTACATCGTATTTTGTCCGTCAAAACGTAAGACAGTATGTCGGACAACAATTTGCACCATGCGATTGGCCAAAACTTTCTGCACGAAAGAGGGTAGTGTAGTTGCGTGCGTTCCTCCATTGAGCATGTAGGAACCCGAGGACAACCGCTTTGCCGTTTTTGAATTGCTCGTACCACCTACAGTTGAGCCGACGAAATAAGGCGCTCACAAACACGAACATGTAGTCGGTAGTGCGGCCCTACTGCCGACTACAATGTACACGCTTGTTTGAGAATGGTTAAGAAATAAATGCACCCGAACCATTAGCCCAGCTTGACAAACAAAACGTTCAGGGCTTTATCGTGAATTCTAGTTAATGCATAACCTAATAGAGCCCCTCTTCCTCCGGTAGTGCGGCCCACGAACCCTGTCGTGTCCTCTGAGGACGCCTCCGAGCGAAACAATGCACGATGAGCGCGCACACATGCTCCGCACCGAGGCGTTGTCGGAGGACGCGAGGGAGTAGACATTCAATACATTATGGGATCTTACCAAAGCCATGAAATGAACTGTTTTGTAGTAGCAACAAGGCAGCGTCAGCCAGTCTTGGTATTTGTATTTGTTGCGGTTTGCTTGGCTGCCTTACTCCCGGAGGCGCACACTGCCGCAGCTCCACCTACGTCGGTAGTGGACACCTCCGACCTCACCCGCGGCCACGTGTAGGCAAGCTGTTGGTGGTGTCGCAAACGACGTGAGGGCCTCTAAGAGTCAAATGAGCGGCGAAACTTCTCGGGAATACATGAAAAATGCCAAAGCTAATGTAATTGATCAGCCCGGCTGAAGGCGCTTACCAGTTTGCTCGGCTTGCTACTGTAGTACTAGGAAACCTAAACGATCTAAGCTCGCCGTGGTGTCGCAGCGCTCCTCCGCACAGTTCTATCGAACCGCCAATCATTACTACCACTACTATGCGGCGCCCGATATTAGTCAGGATACGAAGTGCAACGAAATGCATCAAAAAGAGTAGCGAAGAGGAACGCGGGTCTTCCTAGCAGAGCCTCTGCGCCTGGCAGTGCCAACAGAATTGGCAAGTCGTACTATTCGCCAATCAAATCACTAGATTTGATTTGTCGTCAAACTGTCTTACGAATGCTCGACACAAGTGATTGATTTGCACAAGGCGCCCATCCGTTTTTGTATCATACACGGTCGTCATCCCTTTTACTCTAGCTTTTAATCTTTTCTCATCATATTCCACTCAGGCGAGATACAGTACATCACACATCGACAGCCCAGCATCATCAGGGATCCACCGGGGATAGCAGCTCTCCGCTGGGGTTTTGTCGCAGACATGAGCTGTCTAAATGAATCAATTTCAGATAGAGATAATTATTTATATTCACCGGCTCTGCTCTTCATGCACGGTTTGTGCTTTAAAATCCTGTTCATTCCGCAATTTTCCTCCTAGCAAGCAATACTCTCCAATCCTCCAAGCCTCAGTCTACCATGCGCGTGTGCTACGACTTCCTGGTCACTGCGGTCGCCCTACTCGCGAAAAGCGGTGCTGCATCAGCTACCAACGCGCTCTCGGAGAGGGTGCCGTCCGACTCGGTGGAGACTATCGACATGACTCGGCGGTTCCTGAGGGCCTTCGAAGGGGACGAAGAGAGGACCTTTAATGCAGCAAAGGTGGATGACCTCATCGACGTGAAGAAGCTCGATGATGCGCTCGACAGCAAGGCAGGTATGAAAACCTTGTTCAGCGGTTTGTACAATGCGGATAAGGCGGACAGGGTGGAAGCTCTCCAAAGACTTGCGAACCACAAAAAGGAGTATCAGTACCTTCTCGCATATTGGAATGGCTACAAGATAAGATGGCAGAAAAGGCTGCCAAGGCCGCGCGTAATGCGAACTGAGAAGAATAACAAAATATTCAGGTAGAGGCATTTGAGACTCTCATAACAATCAACGATGTGAACTCGATAGTGGTAGTGGCTTTCCTTCGTGACTGTTTATAGTTCTAATAATCTAATAACTAATGACTGTTCTGTTGCCTAAGCTACTAAATGTTAAGGATTTGCTGGTCCTGTCTACGAGTACGGAGAAAGGCAACTTACAGTGCGTTCCAGAGTGTTGGTCATGGAAGCGTCGAGGACATTCTAGAAGATGTTGGTAAGTTCGTTCTGTGTAGGACACGTGGACAAGGAAACTCGTAATTCGATCAAGCACTTTCCATTCTGCGCTGCAATTGACAAGTCCAAGTTAAAGGTTATGAGCCCAAACGCTTCCAACCCGAACGAGATACTCACCGACGATAACTACTTCATGTGGGAGTTTAACGCCCGCATGGCGTTGGCGAGGAAGGGTCTCCAAGTGCCGCTATGAAGCCAGAAGACGCAGCGCCCCGCGAGACGGAGGAGTGGAAGGCCGCCGACATGAAGGCGCTGGCGGTAGTGGCGAAGATGCTAAGTCCGACGTACCAATCCATGATCCGGGACGCGGCATCCGCGCTTGAGGCGTGGGAGACTCTGCGTGCTTTCTTCGTGAAGCAGACGCTTCACAACCGGGTTCAACTGCGGAAGAAACTGCATGATTTTGCGCTGGGCGCAGGAGAGGATCTGATGAAGCACATCGTACGCTTCGACGAGCTGTGCGCACGATTGGCTGCTGTCGGCGAGACGATGCCCGAGGACGAAAAGTTGGTCATTTTGCTCGGAAGTTTGCCCCCTGAGTACGATGCAATGGTTCGCATCATTGAGGCCCACGACAAGGTTACGCTGCTGGACGCAAAGGAGATGCTGCGTCGTGAATTCGAAGTGATCAAGAAACGCGAGGAGAAGGAGAAGGCGTTTAAGGCGTCGACTCGCGAGCGTGGTGGTCGTGGTGGCCGTGGACGTGGACGCGGAAGCGGTTCGCGTGGTGGTGGTCGTAGTACCGGCGGTCGTGGACGTCGGCCGAGCAAGAATGAGTTTCGCGGGAGCTGCTTCAGCTGCAACCAGTTTGGACACAAGCCCGAGAACTGCCTGGAGTTGAAGAACGACAAGGCCGGAAATGAGTTTGTATTTTCGGCGACGAGCAGCGCCCAACTACGTGCAACGATGTGGCTGCTCGACAGCGGTGCGAGCTGTCACATGACGGACGAGCTGGCGGACTTCGTGGAGTATCAAGAGTTGAAGTCGCCAATCAGCATCGCGGTCGCGAACGGGCAGCAGCTACCCGCAAAAGTAAGAGGATCTGTGCGTTTTGTCCTCCGGAGTGGTCGGGTGGTCAAGCTGACGGACGTCTTGTATGTGCCTCAGCTGGACAGAAAGTTGGTATCGGTCCCGGCATTGACAGCACGTGGAGTAAGGGTGCAGTTTGAACGAGATCGCGCTACGCACATCGTGGACGGAGAGGTCGTCGGGGTGATTTTTCGCAGTGGCAAACTGTTCGCGTGGCACGTGAATCAGTTGGAACAAGCTCAAGCTGCTCAAGCGGTCGGCAACACCAAGCAGGTCACTGACAATGTGCTATGGCACGCCAGGTTGGGAGTAGTGGGTCATGGAACATTACGCCGGCAGTTTTGTTCCTTACCGTAATTTACCACCGAGAACATTCCTGAAACCTTCTTTCGGGACAGCAGCGATTTCAACGACGACCCCTCTCGACCAGATGAGAGCGAGAGCCACGTCTTTTCGATATGAGGGTAGCTTTAGAACCTGAACCGGTCAGATCTAATAGACGTTGATTTGACGACGCCCACTTTATAGCGAGAGCCACGTCTTTTGGATCTTAGGGCGTTTCGGGACCGCTCGTTCAAACTATATTGATAAAACCAATAGAACATTACACCGGCAGTTTTTTATTTTCATAATTTCTTACCGTAATTTACCTCCGAGAACGGTGCTAGAACGATCTTTGTGGATAGTCGTCCGTTTTACCAACACGACCTCTCAACCACCTCAGAGCTCGAGGAGGCGTCCGTTAGCCAGCGACCAGACGCGCGACCCTGTAGTCGTGCAGGATCGCACATGCGAGGGTAAGAACATGACGATCGAACTATCTTTCGGAAAATACAAAGCTCAATCCATTGAGGATGTATTCAAGAATGATCCTGGATACTGTCGTTGGATTCACAACCAACCCAGTCTCAACATTAGCGAGGAAATGAAAATCTTTCTTCACTCAAGATTCCTAAATAACGATAACTCCTATATGATGACGTGGGGGTAAGTATCGAGGCAAATCTTTACAGCAGATCAGTAAATTGGATCCAGGCTATCTCGATTGGCTAAGAAAAAGTCAATTCGTGATTGACAAGTGTCCAAAGCTACTCAAGGAGCTGAACTAAAAAATATCTCTATTTTTACTTACGCTGTAGTGAAGTCTAGAACCTCTCCGGTTAGTCTATCAAACGTTAGTTCCTGTTCGCTTATTACGAGGATCAGCATATTCACACCTTGGCATCCGGCGTTCGTACCTTGGATCTGAATAGCCTGAGGTACATCGCGCTCAGTCAGGCGAGTGACATCGGCAATAAGCATGCGGTTTGTGAGCGACCACGTCTGATAGTCAAGTAGACCATTTACGAGCTCAGGGGTTAGATCTCCGTTAATCGCTGAAATCTTAGCAATTTCGTTGGTAAAGTGGTGGAAATCATAGTCATGACTGATATCGAACACCTGAGTCGAGCCAATACGAACGTTAGAGTTGCGAATCGAAGACCCGGGCTGAAGCGTGTATGGAGAGCTGTCGAACGGGCTCTGGAACTGCTGAACAGTAGCAGAAGCACAGTTGTTTGTCTGTTCCGCGAATGGTAAAAACACAACATATTTCGCGTTTTTAACACTTGCCGATAGCTGTAAACAAAAGAAGCATTTAGTTGAGTCGAGGACTTACCAATACCAGCACGCTGGTAAAACCACTGTGCGTAGCAATCATTGTAGCGAACCTTTTTAACCGGCTTAGAGATAATAGCTTGAGGGTTCTCAAGATGAACGAAAGGGACATACAAACGAGCAGTAGTAAAAGGCATGTATGTACCATCGATGGTAGGTTCAAGAGCATTTACAACCGCTCCCCAAGCAACACTAAAACCAGCAGATGCGGCAAGCACACCATTCATCGGATTACCGGTAGCAGAAGCGGCAATCATGACCGGATAACTATCACCAGACGATAGAGTAGGAGAGGTTAGCGACATACCCTTTGAAGCATCTACCGCGACTACAGACGTTCCCTGATTCACATGGAAACGCAGGCGAATTTGAGGGTTAGCCATTAAGTCAAGCTCACGGAAGATAGGATACAGATCGGTGAGTTTAATTTTAAGCATGTAGTTCCACGTTCCCATGATTGCGTTAGCAGCAGTACCACCAGCTACGAAAGCTCCACGCGAGGTCTGGTTAGAAATGGTAGTCGATGCAGCAGCACCACCTACCGACGGCCACGAGCTGGAGAAGTCAGCGCCAGCCGTAGGAGGATTCGATAGAAGGCGCTTAACGAAACCATCATTAGGAATAGTTGCACCACCAGGAGGAGCCGAGACAGCAAAGGAAGACGAGAATACCATGGTGTTTGAATATCCATCACCACTGGTAGATGCGGATCCAGAACTGTATGATACCGACTGAGCAGCGTCAGGGTACAAGAACGATTCAGCTCCGTGCTTTTCAACGTACTGAGGGCTGTAGCCAGTCTGAGCACGAACGTTGTTCCAAAAGAGCTTGTAGTCAGCCATAGAGACGATAGTCTTTCCGTTTAGTTCCAGACTCAGACTATCAATAACGTTCCAATTTCCGCATTTTAGAGTAGCGCATAGACGATTGGCAGCGGCAGTTTGAGCAGTGCCACCATTCTTCATTGAGACCTTGTAGGGAAGCATAATGTAGGCATCACGAAGGCTTGCGAAGCCCTCGGAACCGTTAAGCTGAGCCGTAACATCGATAGTGATGACACCATTCTGGTACGAACCCTGATTTAGGTCAATAACGTGCGGTACACGCTTGCTCGAAGATACCTTGATCTCCGGGTCGCTCTTAAGCGAGCTCTGGTACAAGTACTGATCGGATAGTTGAGTTTCGCTCATCGTTGAATCTATATGGATCCTAATATAGTTTGATAAAATTAAATACTATGTCGCACCTCATCAAGCCAATCACCTCAGATCATGATCTCATCGAACTCGCTGAGAAAATGAACGTTCAACTCGATAATATATTCGAATCAAATGAGATAAAATCCCATCTCCCCAAGAAAGGGTCATTTCTGATTCTACTTCGCCCTCCTAATCTTGAGGTAGGACACTGGACGGCGGTTCATAATGGTGAATTCTTCGATAGTATGGGGGAAGGACCACCAAAGAAGTATGGTATCGATCGATACAACACCAAGCAATACCGAGGAACATATGGAGACTACTGTGGACCATTCTGTGTCCTATGGCTATATTCGAAGCAATACCGTAAGCCAAATGTATTCAAAACAATGAAAGATCTAAATTTGACAATTCTGGAATAAATTTAATTCAACGTATATAGTAATCATGTATCGCGAATTAACAATCTCCAGTGATATTCCTGCGCGGAAGCTTACCAAAGCTTTCAAGACTGGTAAGCTCAGCCTCACCTCAAGCGAACTAAAGGGTAGTGGTTCAGTCATCCATCTCCACCCTGCTTCGTTTGAAAAGGCGCTCAAGGCTCGTAAAGCTGGACGCGGTGTCAGACTCGACATTACCAAGCACGAAGTGAAGAAGGGCTACAAAAAGGCTCAAGGAGGCTCTATCTGGTCCAACGTATGGGGAGGGATCAAGTCTGCATACAAATTTGCTAAGGATTCAGGTCTACTATCCAGAGCCGTTGGTGCGGCGGTTCCTGCTTTAGCTAGTTATGCTGGTCAGCCAACGGCTGCTGTTCCAGCCAGAGCTGCAATCAAGTCCCTAACCGGCATTGGTATTTATGATT